CCTTTGCAGGTCGTGTTAGCGCCGGAAGAACCAAAGAAAGACAAACTTATCTCTGCTGGTTCCTTTTTTCTTCTCCCTTTTCTGCTCGAGATCCATCAACAGAGTAGAAATGGAGAATTGAAAGAGGGAAAGAAAAATAAAGAAGCAGAGACCAAAGAAGTGAGGATGAAAAAACAGAGAATTTAAAAAAGGGGTGATAGAGACAGCAGCTGCCAAGCCCAGACAAAGCGTTCAAGACACAAGAAGAATCAACTCGACTAACATGTGCATCCTCTTCCCCCTTATCACAGCGACGATCTCGAATGCGGCTCGCCCAGCGGTCCTACCGCAGCCGCAAGGAGAATGAGCTCGCGACGACAAGGGCCCGGGCCGACGCCCTGCAGAGGGCCCTCAACAGCTCGCTGGACGAGTTCATCCGCTTCCACGAGCTGTCGTCAGGGAAGGAGAAGGACCTGCCGTCCGACTTTGTGCTGCAGCTCAACCGGACGGCCATGAACATCATGGCCATTGCCCGCAGCGCGCAGGCGGACCATTGGCCGGCGCTGGACCACGCGGACCGGCTGCTGGCGGCGTCGACGGGCGACGATAATTACGCCTCCTCATACCACGGTAAGGATAACAAGAACAACAAGAGCACTGCCGGCGAAAAGAACAAGAGCACTGCCGGCGAAAAGAACAAGAGCACTGCCGGCGAAGACGACGGCTCCTCCACATACATCCTGCGGGATGGACTCCCGGCGGCGTCGTCGTCTTGGGGGAACGCCTCCTCCTCCTCCTCCTCCTCATATGCCCCCCCTGAGCGTCACAACCCGCTGCGGCCCAAGCCCGTCACCATCTCGCAGCGCCTGATGCGGGCCTGCGTCGACCGCGCCGCCTCCATGCTGCACCTGACCTCGTCGCCCGTCATGTGCCTGCTGCCAGCAATGCTGCTGCCCCTTCAGCACGACCGCCGCGACAACCTGCTCTCGCGCACGATGCGCTACCTAAGCATCACCCACGACGACGCCGCCGCCCTGACGCTCGACGCCGAGCACAGCCTCCAGGCGACGCGGCGCCTCCCGCGGATGCTGCGCACGGTCGAGGGCCAGGGGAGCAGCAGCAGCAGCAGCAGCAGCAGCAGCACGACAATGGTCCCGCGCGCGCCGCCGCCGAACCTGCAGCGGCTGCAGTTTGGGCGCACCCGGACGGTGCTGGCGACGGCGCTGCCGGACCTGCAGGGCGAGTGGCTGGAGGCGTCGGACGTCGAGGAGTATCTCGAGCAGCGCGGCATCTTCATCCGGCAGGACGCGCCAGACGCTGACATGCTGAATCTAGCCATCCCCGTCGTCGACGTCGACAGCGGCGCCGGCCTGTCCCTGCAGGCGACGGACCTCAACGACGTCAACCGCCAGAACCCCGTCCGCATGGTCCGCGGCCACCCGCACTTTGTCGAGTCAGCCGCCGTCATGCCCATCCCTACTGCTGCTCCTCCGTTTCCTCACCATCGCTATCACCAACATCAGCAGTTGCAGCAGCAGCAGCAGCAGCAGCAGCAGGGCCTGCCACCAATGTCCATGCAACAGTCGCTCGACAGCAACTTCGCCGTCAACCCGGACTACGCCATCTTTGGGCAGCAGCGCGACATCCAGGTGGTTCCCTCGGGGCTGCGCATGTTTACGCCCACGGCCTGGAGCTTCGACGATTCCGCCAACATCATACCCATGGACATGGCCATGCGTAACAACAACCAACCCAACAACAGCAGCAGCAGCAGCAGCAGCAACAGCAACAACAACAACAACAACCACAGCCCGGACCACATCAACATCATGGTCAACCTGGACAACCTCATCGTCAAGCTGGCGTCAAAGGCCGTATGCCTGGGGCCGTGCCCGGGGATTCGGAGGGGGCATGTTGACGAGGCGATTCGGGACTCGGTGGTGCAGATGCCGCCCATGTAGATGTGCTTCTTCCTTTTGAATTTTTCTTTTTTTCCCTCTTCTCGGGTCATGTTGTTGACTCCTCATTTCAAACTCCTCTTTTCGTTGTTGGGGTTTTGCTGGCGTTCAAGTCCATTTTCCAACATGGTAGTTGGTTTTTACTTGTTAGGTTGGAGTTTTGTTAGATGAGAGGCTTGAGATTGCAATACCTTTAATCAAATTGAGTGTGTTGGAAAGAACCGAAGAAGGAAAAGCTCCAACCAAGAGAACTTTGTCAGAGATGATCTACCGGAAAGAACTGTGTAAGAGAAGTGCACTCAACACTCCTTCTATAGCCCCCCCTTTTCATCGAAATCCTCCCAAATACCCCGAACGCTTGGCCGGCACCAGAGGCCCCCACACATGACCTGAATAATTTGTCTATTGCTCTTGTAAAAGCCTTACAAATTATCCGTCTGGCCGTGTCACGCAGGTTATTATTCCACCTGTTAGCGAGAGTGTTGCTGTTGTTTGTATTGTCTGAAGGAGTGGCGCAAGTCGAGCTAGGCTCGTCTCGCAACTACCTAGCAAGAAGATGTTGCCTCGTGGTAACGACTGTCCGCGGTAATGACGCTTCCAAGTGTTTCCATCTCTTGTATACCTGTCTCTCAGCTGTTTGTCAATCTGTTATTCCGTCCATGGCTCATGTATTCCCTAGTAAATCACCTCCATCACCCTCGTTGGTACCATCTCTCCTTCACCCCATCCCTCCCCCCAAAGCTCACCTTCTCACCTCACCCTCCCTCCCCATCAATCCCCCCCCTCACACGTCCCGCACCAATCGAGCCCCAACCCAGGCATACAGGTAATTCCGCTGATACCAGTTCACGAAGCTCTTCCTGCCGGCAATCCGGGGGTGCGTCGCCCACGACCCGCCCAGCACGACGTTGTGCTTCTCGTCAAAGAAGTCGGCCGTGTAGCCCGGGTAGAGGCTCATGGGGCGGAACCCCTGGTGCGGGCGCAGCACGGAGCTCGTCCACTCCCAGACGCCGCCGAGCTCGGCCTGGCCGGCGAGGGAGCCGCCGCGGGGGGTCACGGGAACGGGGTGCCAGTGGAGGAAGCCGGTGTTGGTGGTGCTGAGGTCGACGAAGAGGGAGGCCGGGGAGGGCTTTGCCGATGGGGGGGTCTCTTCGACGCCGTCATTGACGAGGTGCCTTGTAGCTTTCATGTCAGCCATCCCTTTTTCTCTCTTATATACCAGTGGGTGTGTGTGTTTTGGTAAACTCACCCGTTGACGGCTGGAACCTTGTTGGACAGCTTGCTCTGCTTGGCAATGTCCTTCTGCCTCTCCACATACGCATAGATGCTCTTTGCTTCCTCCATCGTCGGGATCCTGCCGCCCATCCACGCCGCGCAACCGGCAAGCTCGTCATACGACGCGAAAACAGGCCAGTCGAGGGCGTAGCGCAGGGGCACCAGCCCGTAGACGGTCCGCACCGCCTTGTCGTGGAGGAAGCTCTCGGGGAGCTCGCTCAGGATGGGCTTCCCGGGCGTCGTGGCGTTGGTGTTGTGGTGGTAATTGGGGGGGATGACCGACCAGGAGGCCGGGAGGTTCTCGATGTGAGAAGAGTAGAGGTACTTGGCGTACTGGTTGAGAGTTTAGCTGGCTGTTGATGCTTCAACATGGCAAAGGATTGCCTTACCTCCTCGTTGGTGATGGGTCTGCCCTTGGCCTGGAAGGCAGGCACAGTCGCCTTTCTGGCAGGCTTCTCGTTGTCCCTACATGGCTCGAGTCAGCGTGCATATTCGACATATATCCAAGGATATGATCTCACCATCCAAAATGTCGGTTCACATCGTGCTCGTCCTCAGGATCGTCCATGCCAAGGGTAATCGTCTGCTCCGGCACGTCGAACCACTGGTTCGGCACCCGCGCCGCATACGCCTTCTGGGCCATCTTTGGGAAGTCCGGAACGACCGTGTGCGGCGGCGGAAGCGTCTTGTCGCTCTGCAGCAGCATGTACAGCAGCGTCTCGAGGTGAAGCGCCTCGTGCTCGAAGCCGATCCAGACGGCGCGGCGGACGTCTCCGGGAAGCTCGTCGGGGCTGGCATACAGCTTGCGGAGCCTCTCGCGGACGCGGTCCTGGTACGCCAGGATGTCCTCCAGGGGCGGCCACTCGTCCGGGACCTCGGAGTGGTCGTGGCACATCTCCGGGTTGTCGACGTCCGGGTCGATGCCGCGCTCGAAGATGGTGTGGAAGTAGAGCGGCTCGGTGCCGCCGGCCTGGGTCGTCTTCTTCAGCTGGATGTCGAGAAAGGCCGGGATGTGGCCGAGGTAGAAGATGCAGGCGTTGCGCAGCTTGATGGGCTTCTCGTTGAGCTCCGCGTCGGGGAGCATCCTGCGGGTGACCGTGTCCCAGGCCGCCCAGAGATTCTCCCAGTCGGTCCAGGTGGGCAGGGTGTCGCTGGCGTAGAGCTCGCGGAGCCTTGGAAAGGGCATCTTGGCTCTCTTGAGCATGTGAAGGCCTGGAACAACAGACGGTTTGGTCAGATCCTAAGCAATGCTTCATAACGGACAAGGGGAAGATGAAGGCGAGGACATACCGTATTCGCCTTGGTGGCTCCATTTGGCAACCTCATCGAGGCCCGCCGTCTTCCACAGCTTGTCGAGACCGACGTCGGAGTACTTGAAGCTCTGCTCGATCTTGATGCGCTCGTGAGGCTTGATGATGTGTCCCAGGACCGAGGCAACCTCGAGAGGCGAGACAAAGGCCTGGTGACGGCCGCCGTCGACATCGTAGACGTACTCGCCAGTGACTTGCCACTCTTCGACGTTGAAGACTTCCTGGCCGAGGACCTCGTTTGCGTGAGTGAGGCCATTGAGGACGAATCTGCACACGCCGTTAGTCGCTGAAACTGGGGTGAGTGAGGATCAAATGCATTTCGTCTTACTGGTGTGTAACGCCCTTGCTATCTGATTCCTGGTGTCAGCGTTTCTGTTCACTCATCCACCAGTATACTCATTGGAGCCCGTCACTTCAAGTCGACTCACCATTGTATGCATGACTGTGAAGATTTCGTCAGCCGGCATTCAAGTTCTGTGTCGTTCATGTGCACTTACTACACCTTGTCCGGGCTCTGACAAGAATCAACCCCGACAATCATGAGATCCGAGGGCTGCAGAACCTCTGCAAACGACCTCAGGAATTCCGCCGCCTCGTCGCGCGTAAAGTTGCCTGGAAAAAAAGAAGAAAGGGAAAATATCAGCCAAATCGAACAAAACATCCCTCTCAGCAAAGACACAAGAATCAGTTCATACCAATGCTGGAGCCGAGGTGCAAAATGCACTTTGGGCGAGCCAGAATCGCCTCCTGCTTCAGCCACTCGCACCCATCGTCGTACGTCCCGCGCAAGCCCCGGCAGCTCACGTATTCAAAGGCCGGCGCCTCGGCGAGCGTGCGCTCAAGCTCCTTCTGGGACAGGTCGAGCGCGAAGTAGTCAATCTTCTTTTTGGCATCTTCAAACGCCTGCAGGAGGAGGCATACTTTGCGCAGGTTTCTTTATAGCATTGCAAAAGAAAGCGAGTAGCAAACCGTTAGGAACAAGACACACCACAACAACACGAATAACGGACGAAGATGGGATATAGAAGGGGGATCAAGGAAGTGAAAGGCGGGCTAGAAAAAAAGAACTAACCCGCTGCCCAGCTCCACCACTATGGCTCCCTCGGGGATCTGGCTGGCCATTTCGGCCGCCGACTTCTTCAGGAGCTCAATCTCGTAGTTGGTGAGATAGTATTCGTCCAGATACGTGATCTGGCAAGTAGAGAATTTACTCCGGTTACACACTCTGCGAAACAGCTACAGGGGGGGAGACGGATGGATATGGACGGGCTCTCGCAGACATACTTCTTCAAATAGCTGCAGGCCGCGCTCGTCGTAGAGCAGCAGCGTGGGCAGCGTGCGAGGGCCCTGCTCCGGGTTCATCTGGGCCAGGATCTCGTCCTTGAGGTTGACCTCGATCCGCGCATTCTGGATGTCGATGATGTCGAGCGCCCTCTGTGTGGTGGTGGTGGTGGTGGTGGCCGTCTTGAGCGCCATTGCGTCGTCGATGGGCTGCTGCTGCTGCACAAGGAGGACGGGCTCCTCGACAGCGGACATGGTATGATGCTGTGGAAACCAAAAAGCAACGATGCGCTGGTAATGGGACAAACAACGGGGCAGGACAGGCGTGTATGAGTGCGCAGAAGGATGTGATATGATGTGACGGACTCGTTCTGCAAAGCTGTTTATATATAATATCAGGTCTTACTTATATCAGGATGTCATCCAGCTTCGTGTACACAGGCGGCGGCGCAGTGAGGGGGTGACGGCAAGCCCATGACGCCCCCCCTCGGCAGGCCATCCATCTATATACAAGTTGACTGCTCGTCGAATCCAGGCACCGCAACGACGCCAAGCGACGTGTCGAACCACGATCTACGTAATGTCGAACGGACTTGGAATCCTAAACCAAGACCAGGGCCCGGCCGGGAGGGCATACCGGGCAGATACATGGCATCCGCCGCACACCGGCATCACCACCCAGGTTGTGAGCATGTACACAGCTATGCTGCGTTCTAAGTCTGGGCTGCCCCCCATGCGCCCGCTCATTGGGGGGGTGTCGACATGCTACACTCGACGGACTTTAACATACCTGTACATACCACAGAGCATGCAGCAATAAGTGTTCAAGTTTAAAGTAAACACCCTTCTCCTGGGGCTCGTTTCCCCTCCCCGACATGCCGAAGCCCACGCTCCTCAGCAGGGAGAGCTCCCCCAAGAGGGTCCGCTACGCAGCCATGATGCAAGACACCGGCCGCCGTAGTTGTAGCAGACAGAAGGGCATAAGGCATGTGGAACCGCCGGCCGGACGCCATGGCTTGGGAGACGGCGCCAGAAGCTGGATCAAGATAATGGTCAGCAGCCCCAGCAGCCAGGGGGGGTGTTATTCGGTTCTGGTTCTGGTTCCCCTCTGATTCGGCTGGCTCTGGTCCGTATCGATTCGGCGGCATCGCTATCGTCGGATGCTGGTCCCGCACTGTTTGGAATCATTTCCACTACTACAGCTTCTGAGGTTATTCTCCTTCGAACCCTTGCAGGGCTAGACTAGCAGCATCTACGTGGAACTAGATGAGCAACCAACGTGCCGCATTTATTGGGGGCCAGCTGCTATTGAGCCACCACCAGAGTGATTAATCGGGGGGGGCTCCACGGAAATGGAACCATCTCACGTAACGGAAGTCAATCGAGGCAATGCTCGTCAGTAGCAGCAGCAAGAAGTGAGAGAGTGAGAAAAGTAACAAGTCAGTACCTGGAGCTGTTTGCTTTTCTGCGTGGCCAGCCAGGACAAGGCCGTGTATTGGCTCACTGCCCGCGGCCTGGGCTTGATGCTAAGGAGATGCCGTCCGAACTCTCTTTCCTCCTCGGCCGCATCAAGATTTGTCACTTCTACATGGTGCGACGAGCCGAAGGATGGAGCTGAAGTGGGATTCAGCAGCGTGTATTCCTAAGCAGCTTCATCTTTGCGTTCTCACATCTACTTCGATATCGTCTCCTCGTTCACGCTACAGTGCGCCCTTTTGGCTGTAGACACGCAGCTCGGGGAGCTCCAGCACCGTGAAAGTGCGCCGGGCCTGACTGTACCTTTCAAGGTTGTATTTAGGCGCGGAATTCCGGGCATCTCGGTTAGCCGGTTGCCTGCGCAAGAGCTTCACTGGCTGTAGATATTGCCTTGCAGGCATCATCGCCGGTTGACCAGTCTCTTTTTGCATCTCTGTTGGTCTTTTCCTTCCTCGCGGAAATCATGTGTCATGTGTCCGCGTCTCGAGGCTGCGAAAGGCAAGGGACGTGGTCATCATCTCGCCCATCTCAGCCGCCCCTAGCCGCTCCGCCTTGCTCCGTGCGAGGCCGCATGTACCGCCGTTGACGTTGGTCGCATTGTCGATCGTGATCGGGCTGTAGATGGCGCTTTCGGCTCGTGGTGCGCTTTGGGTGTATCGAGCAGTCGTGGTTGAGAGAACTCACAAGATAGTCAGGGCTGGCAAGAACAAGCTTCAAGATTAGAAATCGATCTTCGTAGACAGGAGCAGGGCGCTCTTATGCTATATGTAGGCGTTCCATTAGCAGTGATGTCGCCTTTTGGACCCTGAATGAGCAGCGAACCGCTAGCATTCCCCCTCGAGACACGTATATGCCATATATGCTATCCTTCTCTGCTCTCTCTTGTTTATTCTCTTTGCAACCTTCCAGCATCAGTCGACTCTTCATCCATTCAGCGTACATTCAACTGTATTTGACCGATAAACGGCTCTTCGTTGTCCTTCTCGGCCATCAATATGCACAAACCCCGCCTGCGTCACTCCCTCCAGCCTCGCCAAATGGGTCCATGTACGAATTACACGCCTCGGGAGTCAACTCGAAGCTCTTGGGAGCCATGGCGCCGAACCCGCTTCAGTTCCTGGAAATCATGGCCCGTAGCTCAGACCCCCGAAGATCGAACCAGATGATGGAATCACCTCCGTTCGATATTACCATCTCTCCGCCGACTCCATCGAAAGCCCGAGCCCTGCCTCTCGTATTACTAAAGCAACAAATGGCGGTTCACCTCCACGATGCGGGACCCCGGACGAACCCGGAAGTCGGCCGATATCAAGATCATCTCAAAGCAGCAAAAGGTCTGTCTGCCTTGTGCTTCTTTATTTCATTGTGGGGCTTCTTCCCGGTGTGTCACTGTCGCGAAAAGTTGCCCGAGATTTCAAAGACTTTCCAAATTAAACATGACGAAAATACGGGCCATGCTGATATTGATTATAGATCCTATCTGGTAATGAACGTCGAACGGAATCGCTTCGAGCCGAAGTCCAAACAAAAGACGAAGGGTGTACAAGTGCGAGGGGCAATCATGGCATTGCAGCTTTGGCAAAGCAAACTGCTTCAGCTCTCAGCCGATCAGACTCAGGAGTTTCTGACGGTTCAACTCCCAAACTTGCGATCTTGACTTCTCCTCTTGTTGGAATACCCTACAAGCCAGCAGCGGTGGACAAGAGACCCATGTTCGCATGGACCTCTGCTCCTGCTAGGTGTTGGCATCTACGGGAGCTTCAAGGATCCGGAACTGCTACCATCTCGAACAGCATCATTCTGAAGGAAGAGGGTCATCAGAACAACACATGCAAGACGAAAGTCTACGTGTGCCTCATTTCTCTTGATCCATTGCTGCCCCTTGATTCATTACTCCCTGGGTCTGCTTCCATGTCTGCCCAATGCTTGGTCCGGTCCACCTCTCTTCCGTTTCCTATTCCACTCCTCCGCGCTCATCGATTTTCACGGCCGACACTGACAAGTTTAGCTCCTCTCAGACAGCCAGATCCGACACGGCTTCTAGTAAGAAAATTCCTGCCCAACGAGCTTCTCGCTCAACTTCCACAGACGCTCAGCCTCGACCTTGTCCGTGCCCCACGGCTTGACAGTCTGCGTCCACGGATCGGCAATATGCGCGTCGTCTAGGTATACACCATTGACTTCTACCACATGAGTTAGCATCTCCGTCCCAGTTAGTTAAAGAGCAAAAGGGACGACAGTACCCTTGAGGCTGGGCTCAAACGCCGCGTAAATGTGCGTCGCCACGCCCCTGTCCGGCGTCTTGAAGTCAAACCCAGTAGCCCATCCCTCTGCATTTCCAAGAAGCCTATCCGCAGCAGCTATACCACACATCGTCAGCACGCACGAAGAGAGCATATGTCAAACAGAGAGGCGGCTAGTTGCATACCCAAAGCTGGAAACTCGACGGAAAAGTCAATGTGCTCGCCGAGATGCGTCATGATGGCACCCGGATGGAGACTAAACGCCGTGAGGCCACGCGAGCCCAGCTTCTCGGCCAGCGAAATGGCCATGAGCATGTTGGCCGTCTTGGATTGGCCGTACGCCTGCCATCTGTTGTACGTCTCGCCGTCCTGAAAAAGTCTCGTTAGCAGCGAAGCGCTTGAAGACATTTAGAAAAGGGGGAGAGAGAAACGGACTCGGAAGTTGTAGTCGAAGAAGCGAATCGGGTTGAGTCGATGTCCATTGCTAGAAACGTTGACAACCCTTCGAGACGTGGAAGCCAGAATCTTGTCAATGATGAGGTTGGTAAACAGGAACGGACCCAGATGGTTGCTCCCAAACTGCATCTCGAACCCATCCACAGTCACCTGATGGGGAACCGCCATGATGCCCGCATTGTTCACCAACACGTCAATATAAGGGACATCCTCCCACGCGTTCACCGTAGCGGCAGCCTCGCGCACGGCAGCCAGCGAAGAGAGATCGATCTGCAGCGTGCGAACGTCAATGTCCGGGTGCGCCGCCTTGAGGGCATCGGCCGTCTGCTGGGTCTTGGCCAGGGTGCGGCCGGCGAGGATGAGCCTGGCGGGACTCGCTTTGGCGATGTATTCGAGGAAGATGCCGCCGAGGGTGCCCTGGGAGACGCCGGTGACGAGAATCACCTTGTTGGCGATTTCGCCGGCGAGGTCTTTGACGAGCTCGTCGGCTGTGGTGTCTTTGGTGTACTCGCGGACCATTTTGGGTGTGTGCGTCTGGCTTTCTATGGCCTCTTTGAGAAGTTGAATGTTGATTTCCTATCCACTGTGGCGTATGAATTGTAGTCAAGTCACGGAGAGGCGATGCCTGATATTTATCCTGAACTTCCATCCTCGGAGATATGGCGTTATTCGGAGGTCTTCCTTCGAGGAATGCAGCCATAGCCTAGCTCTTCAGGCTACAGCCCTTCGATGTACCACTTGGAGGGAGACTAAATGCTGCAATCTGCCTCTTCACGATCCTAGCCTACCTGTAAGGCGACGCGTCGTCACTCTTAAAATCCTTCCATGGTGAGTTTGACCGGGATATCAAAGGACATCCACTACATACTCATCACGACAATCAAGCGTATGATGGGCCACCTTGAAGCAACCACTCTCTTCCTCCTCGTTAATAACAGACAATCAAGGCCGTCTACATCTATGAAAACCCACACTCGAGGCGAGAGAGAGCCTTCTTCCACTCCCAACTACATACATACTTCATACTTCCTACTATGCTCTAGATAGAAACCAGCCATCTTTCAACCACCGTACAAAGCATTCGCAAACCTCCTCCCCGAAGGATCAAATCATATGACGAACCGCAGCGAACAATTTGCCTCCGCCGACGCAGTTGGTTCACATGTCCGAAATCCCACGGTCCAAGTTCACTGACGCCAAAGTCCGGACATGGTTCACACAAAATCCGCGAGGCCACACCGGTTCTGCGGGCCGGACGATTGATGCGCCATCTCGGGCCGAGTTGGCCCTGGATCGAGTGTCAACTTTAATTCAGCAAAGCGTGCATTTGGTCAGCATGCAAGATGGAATGATCGACTAAAGGCGTACTAACTGTGATATTAGGATTTTGAATGAGGGATACTCAGCCTCAAGTTAGCCAATACTATCCCAATCAAGTTGGACATACAAAGAATTGCGAAGTTGTTGGCCGAGGAGACGCAATTTGCAGCGTAATGCCGAGTGCCTGGGCGACGAACCGGACGGGGATAAACGGACATACGATAGCCTTGTTTGTTGGTTGAAGGAGCCGCTCCTTGCGATGGTGTTGGGCAACGAGTTTGGAACGTTCGGGTAACTTTAGGAACCAGACTTTACGTATATCTATGATTAGAAGATGATGAGCACAACATCAAAAGAGAATTAGATGCTGGACGTTCAACATAGCTTTATGGCGTATGCGGCTACTTACCCTGAAAAACGCTCGGTTCGGCGGGTGATTTTCATGCAATCATTCCTCATTCACCGTAACTAGTAGATATTGCTTTGCTTGTGTATCGTTGTTTTTTCCTTCTTTATTTGTTTCTTTACTCATCTATCCGTACGCTCAACCATTCAAGCTACCGTATATATCAAGAAGCTGCTCAAACACATATCCGGGCAGATGAACGCCGTTTTCCGTCACCAGGTTTGATATCAGCTCGGGGGGCTATGGCAAGATGGATCGTCAGCATATTGATTCAAGTGAAAACGCAAACAAAGCATGATAATACTGACCGTATAGTCGACGGCATCCTTGGCCTGCTTGCTCGGCCCCGTCGATGAAAAATCCAGCACCTCCTGCTTGTACCCGATATCCCTCTGGTCCAGCGGAAACTTGCGCACAAACTTGTGCGTCTCGGCAGCCACGTAGAAGGGAATCTTGGCCTGCGCCGCCAGCTTCGCAATCTGATACGTGCCGATGCGCGAGATGATGCCTCCGTTCTGCGTCACGGCCTCGGCGCCGGTGAACACCATGTGAACCTGCCGCAGCAGGCCCATGACATGCGCCACCGCAGCCTCCGGAATCTCCGCGACGGGGATGCCCTTGCTGCGCAGCTCCTTGACGACGCGGTCGCTCTCCTCGGCGCGCACCTCGTCCCGCACGTAGACGACCCTGAACTTGCCCTCGCCGTTCTTGGCCGCGCGCTCGAGAAGGCCGGTGACGCTGCGAGACGCGCCGTGGGTGAGAACGCACTTGCCCTCGCGGACGAAGCGCCACCCGGCTTCCGCAATGCCGTTCCTGGCTGCGATGGCCCTACTCGCAAACAGGCGCCCATTGCGCAGCAGGTGCTGCCGCACGGCGTCGAAGCTGCTGCCGTCCTGCTGCTTGAGCGAGGCGACGAGGTACTGGAGGAAGAGGTCGGTGCCGGCCTGCAGCGGCAGCGGGTTCTCGACCGAGGCCTTGAGGAGGTCGGAGTGGGACTTTACGGTGTCGAGCGTTTCGTAGACGGTGGTGGAGGGGACGGTGTTGAGGAGGGCGATGAGGGACTCGATGGCGGCGACGGGCTTGGTAAGGTCGGGGTCGGAGGCGAGGAGGTCTCTGTATGTGGCGACGATGCTGGGGCGAGCGAGTTAGAGGCGGTGATGCCAAGGAGAGGGACGAGCGTACTCAAAGGTCGAGTCGTCGGGCTGGCTTCGCAGGGGAAGCTCAGTCGTCTGCTGCGCAACGGCTGGATGTGATATCAGGTCAGTACTTGATGGAGCGGTGTCGCCCTGCAGCGGAAGATTGACGCACCAGCTGCTGGTTCTGACATGTTGCGCGCAATGAGTCTGTAGTGTAAAATGCGGCCAAAACTGAGGGATATCGCTGCGGGAGAGAGCGGGCGCAAGTGTCGAGATGCCGATTCTGTGATGTGACTCAACAGAAAGTGGGAGATTTCGCCTTGCCGCTATCGAAGCTCACGATTGAAGGTTTCAACACTAGCCACACTTGGCGGGGTAGACTCCCCCGTAGCTCCAGGCGCAAGCCACTGTAAGGCCCCCTGTAAATCAGCCCCTCCATCCGCCCCGGGTCGATCGTGCCGGCAATTTATAGGGCAGCGAGGCAGATGGATGCCCAATAGGTAGCTGATGGATCCAATTGATGTCGAGATCCAGCCCAGAGCATCTCCCGTCGCGATCCAGCCAGACGCAGTCAAGGCGGGACATAAACCAGCACACGGAGAGCGTCCCCCACCGCCCATCTCTGTCCTCTTCATCCCTCAACACCATCGCCAGCATCACCAGCCGCGACGTCTGCGCCCAACCGCAGCCTCAATCCCTCCAAGTCTCCTCCTCAATCTATCCAACCCCGTCCACCTCAAATCTCCGTCTCACCACCACCACCAATTGAACCGTCACCAGCATCACGACCATCGCCACCAGCAACCACCGCCATGGATCCCATCGACCCAACCACCGGCCAGCCCCTCCCCAGCGACGCCATCCAGCGCATCCTCTTCGTCGCGCACCCCGTCCACGTCTACAACATCCCCCCGCTCACCTCCATGCGCGGCCACTCCGCCTCCTCCTGGACCGAGGACCCCGCCCGCCACATCTTCACCGCGCGCCTCCGCGTCGTCGAGACCTCCTTCGAGAGCACCGCCGATTCCTCCTCCTCCTCCGCCACCAGCATCAAGATCGACCTCGTCCTCGAGGACCCCTCCACAGGCGCCCTCTTCGCCGCAGCCCCCTACAACGACCGCGCCGCCGTCGAGCCCGTAGTCGACAGCAGCCGCTTCTTCGCCGTCACCGTCAAGGACCCCCAGGGCAGGAAAGCCGTCCTGGGCATCGGCTTCGAGGAGCGCTCCGACGCCTTCGACCTCGCCGTCTCGCTGCAGGAGGCCCGGCGCAGCCTCGGCTGGGAATCCGAACAGGCGCACAACTCGAGCAACCCGGCCGACGCAAAGGCCAACAAGACGGAGACCAAGGACTACAGCCTCAAGGAGGGCGAGACCATCACAGTAAACCTCGGCGGCACAAAGTTCGGTCGCCGACGGCCCCAGAACGCGCAAGACGAGTCAACATCGTCGAGCAGTTCGGCCGACCTACAATCTTTTGCCCTGCCGCCTCCGCCCGCGGGAGGCTTTTCTTTGCCGCCGCCGCCCAAGACGTCGGACGTGAAAGAGAAGCGCAAGTCGCTCAAGAACCTGGGCTTCGACGACGGCCAGTTTGGAGAATTTGCGTAGAAGCACGTCACGGAAAAGACAAAGAGACGGGAATAGAGATTAAAAGTGAACAAAAGCGCAGTGCATGACTACCTCATGACTTAGACAATATCCTCCCAGTATTAATGGTCAATTCGCATCCGGCCGGTCGGATTTCGTTTGGTACATGTACAATTCAGATTCGCCATGCTCTTCACCCTTCCCATTATCATGGTATATGCAGACCTTCCAGCGCAGCAAAAACAGAAGACACCAATAAGATCGATAGACTGCCTTCTTCTTTTTCTACCCAAGTTCTCCCCCCTCTTACTTTTCTCTGTTCTTCTTTTCATGCATGGTCTTTCGCATCAGGCCATACAGAGCATAAACTCGGGAGACTCTTCCGCCTATCTTCTGAGCGTGCAGACAGCTTCTGCCTGGTATCCAATGGCCGTAACTGCGATTCTGGCGTCTTGTCACAGCTCCGGTATGTGTATTCCAGCCCATGGTTGCACAATTCATCGCCCCGCGAGTCTCCCCTGGACCTGATTTCAGCTTCTTCAGCCTCGGGAGTCCCAGGCTCATCGAGGCGTTCACCATCATTCTCTTCCCCTTCATTGCCCTCATCCACGGTATCAAGTGTCCGAGACTCCAACTCTGACGCGCAGGAGTGAGCACGGGCAGGTGAGCTATCCAGCTGGGTGGCAGACGGGACAAACTCCTTGGAGTCTGCACTGAGTGGCTTCTCCGGTGACCTTGACGACGGCTTGGCCGTTCGAGGGGAAAACTTGGAGTAGAATGCCCTGCGTTGCTGTACTTGATCCCATGCGTCCCTCCCCAGCTGCTCCATGTGTAACTCGCTCAGCCTCAAAACGATGGCCTTTTCCTGACGTGACGCCTCAGACAGCTTCACCTTGATGAAACTCATCTGCTTACGAAGCTTTCGCCTCTCTTTGCCAACGTGGTCCCTGGCCTGCAGCTCCTCTTCGATCAAGGAGTACTGGTGAATCATCTCAATCGCTCTCAGCGAGTAGGCCTGGAGGGACGCGGTGAGATAGGCTCGCTCCGCATAGATTTCTTCATAGGACCGGGGGTGAAACAGGATGTTCCATGATGGTGTGGCTGGTTGAGAGCTGCGTCTGCTTCTTCCCCGAGCCCCATTGTTGTTCTCCTTCTTGGTGGCAGGTGAAGACCCTCTTGAAGAAGGCTTTGTAGAGACGGCCGAGCGAGAGTCGAGCGAGTAGGTGCGGCAGGATGACGGTGATGATGATGGAGAAACGTCTCGAGGAAGCTCTGCCCCTGATCCCTCGGCAATTGCAAGTGTTTCCAGATCCATTGGTTCTAAATTGTGCTGCACTTTGTCGTAGGGATGTCTGCTGAGAGAAATGCTGCAGCAAGATTTCCCCAGTTTATGAAGAAGGGTCCAAGGTTAAAAGGCAGCCCGGAATAGCAGCCAAGCCAGAGAGCCACACAGCTGACCGTATCAAATGTCGACGGGCGCCTATTGTTCTCACAATTAGGGACCCTCGCTGGGACCGAGGACCCGAGGCTGTGGCTCTGGAACGCGGACTCAAGACCTTGATCCTGGGCTTGATTGTTGCTTGCGAGGCCGTGATACGACGCCGCCACCAACAATGTGGCTTTCTCAATTCGACTCTCTCCCGATCGCATTGACAGGACGAACCAACACAGCGCTATTTCATCCGTGCTTTTCGCCTAGCCTCGCAGTCTGTAACTCAAATCAGGGTTTTCTCCAGTCAAACTGCCTGGCCCAGAATAACGCTGATGAATCACATCGCCCTTGGCGCCTCATTGGTTCTGCGGCTGAAGTCGAAGAAAAAGGAGAACAACACCGGGCGGAGGCTGAGATATCCACATAGTCCACACATCCACGGCCAAGCCCAAAGCTACATGGAAGCACAGAGCAGTCAGAGGACTCAGCAGAATAACCGTAATGCATGCCATCAGATAACGAATCCACCGTGTTTCGGCGGGTCGCAGAACCTCCAGAGGCCAGCCTCCATTGCCGCTTTGCGAACTAAAGAGACTTCATCGTTCGTTACCGCGCGGTTGATGTCGCCGTATCGAACTTCCGAGCCCCCCTCGTCCGGCTCGCTTTGGCCCTTTGCCTCCTCCACGGCGCCGGATGCCTTTGTCCTCCGTTTCTTCTTCCCCACGTGCGCATCTGGGTGATACTGCTCCATGATGTTGACGAAGCAATCGGTGGACACTTCAGATGCCAAAAATCGCATGATTTCCGCCCCTTCGGCCTCCTTTCCAGGCATCACCAAGTGCCTGACCAACAGCCCTACTTTGGCAATGCCGTCTCCGGTGAAGCACAAGTCACCAACCTGCCGATGCATGGCCTTGATGCTCTCCCTGGCCGTCTGGGGGTAGTCATCTGCCTTGAGCAGCCGCTTGGACGTGCTGGGCTCCCACAACTTGAAGTCGGCTAGATAGATGTCGACCAACCCATCCATGAGCTCCAGCGACGCAAGCGAGTCGTAGCTCGACGTGTTGTAGACGATGGGCAGCTTCAGCCCCAGCTCGGCGGCGTGCAAGATGCTCAGCGCCACTTGGGGCACCACATGCTCGGGCGTGACAATGTTGATATTGTGCACATTGCCCACTTCCTGCAGCTTGAGATACCACTCCCCCAGCGCCTCCGGAGTCAGATCCATTCCGTTGCGCTGGTGGGCAATGTCGTAGTTCTGGCAGAAAATGCAGCGCATGTTGCACCCGCTCATGAATACCGCGCCACTGCCATTGTGCCCCTGGATACACGGCTCTAGCCAAGGCGTTAGCATCTCTTAGCATGTCCATTCCCCGTGGGCGTCTTAGTGCTGGATCGAGGCTACGGCTATTCAGCAGCGCCTCCATTTCTCGCTCTCAGCCGCAATTCGGGGTAAATCGAGGGCTAGAGGACTAACCTTCACCAAAATGCGGCGCAATCACATTGACCTTGGCCGTGTCCCCAATGAGGCACATGCCCGTCGTCTCGTAGCGATTGACGCCGCATTGTCTCGGGCACAGGTTGCAGTTGCGCAGGTGGGCGTAGGCCAACGACCGCTTCTTCGCGGCGTCTCTGGACGACAGCTTCAGATACCTTGGCGTGTAATCATCGAGCAAAAACGGCGGGGCGAGATGGAGGCGTCGCCGAGCGGTCCGGGGAACTGATGGAGCGCGCTGAAGAAGACAATGTTTCATGAATGGGAGGGCCATGGCGACGCTGGGACGCATGCGAGGTGAAGCATAACTCGGACCTGGTCTGGCCCCTGCAGGAGCTGCTGCACGTCTGCGCAAGATGTAGAAGACGGAGAATTTAATCCCGCGACCTGAGCCAACAGAGATGGACTGTTGGTGACGATGTGATGTGATGCTGGAGTGGTTGATTCATCATGTCGTTACGTTGGCTGCAGAGGCAATGCTATAACGCAGGATATGCATCTAGCGGGGAGGCTGCCTCTGATAACCGTTCACTTACTTATCAGCGACACTTGCAGCACTCGCCCAGGTACCCTCTATCAATAACACTGCAGGTCACACTCTGCCTTCGATCTACAAGAACCAACAACAAACACAAATTAATCTGTCAATATCGGACAACTCAAGCAAGACTAACAAACAGGAAATCGACTCTACAGGATGCGATCCGCCACTCTTGGCTCGCTTAGCCCAGCACAACTACCGGCTCACGTGCTTCACCTATTCTGCACTCCCTCCTCAGCCTGCAGCAGGTGGTGATACTCCTTCGGCAGCGCCTCTCTCAGCCTCTCCATCTGCCGCCTCATCGTTTCCATCTCGCCGAGTACCGCGTCCCTTGTCTGTCCTTCTGAGGTGCCCTCATAGAACTTGACCTCGTGCTTGGTCTTGCGCAGCTCCGCCAAAAGGGTTGCCATCTGCGCCTCCATCTCCGTCTTGTCTTTTGCGAGCTCTTTCGCCTCGTCGAGATGAGCCTTGACACGCTGCTCCAGGTCTGACGCCCGCTCCGGCCACGACGGTGCCACTACGGAGACCACTGTTGGTCGCTTCTCCATCTTGCGAGTTTGAGCCGTGCCCGGATGGTGTTCGATTGCCGGCATCACAAACATGGTCGATCTCCCGCCCTGGTCCTTGAGACGCACGAACCGCGTCATCATGTCGATAGGCACCAGGCCTCGGGAGTACCAGTCGCCGCCTTTCGTGTTTGCCCACATCCTCTCGCCGCTGACTCCAGACTCCCACCAGGTCTGCTCCTTGGCTTGGATCTCGGACTCTGCCTTGTCCATCAGGCGGTGCAGCAGGCCAAAGACATCCTCTCCTGCGTTGACGAGCACAAAGCGGTCCTGCGGATAGACCACCTCGCGTCCCTTGGCTCGTCCTTCTGGGCCGAACTGCCCAAGCATCTGCATAGGCACAACGGCTTCTCCTTTGAGAAGATCGAGGGCGTTGGCGTAATTGATCTCGAGCTCGTGCATGCGCGCAACCAGGTGTTGTTGATGGAGCAGCCACTGTCCGAGCACCGTATTCCGCACGCCCGCCATCTGCTCGCAGTCATCTTCGTTGCCAGAGGGGAGCAGCGAAAGCAGGCCTCCTGTCGCACTGTATTCGTGGTCCAGGATCTCGAGACAAGCGTTTGCATGCATGACGAGATTGTGATGGCTGCTGTACGGTCGACGTGTGCTTTCTCCGGGATCCAGGGGCCCATAGTTGCGCGCAACTTTGAGAGGGCAATGGCATTGGATCCCAGTCTCTTCGTCTTGATGCTCAATGTGATTTGCCAGGGCTTCCAGCGGTAGGTGATGATTTTCGTCGTCGTTGGTGTATACCTCGTCGAGATTGTTGAGCCAGTCAAACGCTTCGTTCTTTTGAAAGGCAGGTTGTCGGTCTCCTCTTCCATCGATGACGCCGAACGTGTCGCTGACGCATATCTTCTTGATGAGATTTGCGAGGGCCTGGGCGTGCTGCTTCAATGCCAACAGCGTCGGCGGCCTGCCTGAGGACAGGTAAGAGCAATTCACATGGCTGAGAAGCTGCAGGTCTTTTTCGGTCAATATGCCCAGCTGGGGATCGCTCCATGAACAAGCCCATGCTGTCGAGTATTCGGTTGCCGCTGTGCCGTAGGGTGTGCCTTCGCTCTGGACGCTCACAGAGTCGCGATCGCAGTCGGAGCTGCAGTCGGCGCTGCTGTCGCTGTCTGACATGGTGTGTAGTGTCTCTCGGTGCGTCTCAAGTTTGCGAAATAATAATGTCAAGCGTGGAAGTGTTTCCAGAAGAATTCTAAATGATGTATCCGAAGTCGATGAAGTCGACGACTTACCAGGCGAAGCGCTGCTTTATGTCCTAGGCCAACTCACCACTTCAAGGTCATACCCATTGATGACCATAAATAGACATGAAACGAGGTTCGTAGGATGTGACTGGGTGAAGACAAAGACTTGGGACCACGGACCCAGAAGTCAGACGGTTTTATACCTTTGTTTTCTAGAGTTAATTGAATCAACGATCGTGACAGCTTGGACCAGCACGACGGTTGAAGGTTCTTCATTCTTCATTGACAATAGTAATTACTTGGTAGCCTGAGTTGTCACTGTTGTGCCAGCTGAAGAGGATGGCACCGTGGGCACACGCAATGCCAGCAAACAGACCACTTGATTCATTTCAATGGGTCCAACTGCAGTATCGCCATGCCAGACTCGCATCCATGTCTAGGATCTCCGTACGAGGCATTGATTAGACTTTGTATCTTCAAAGCAGAATATCCTGGGGAAAATGTCACCATCCATGAAGCCCCCCATGAGACGTTGCTAAAGGCATGAAAGAGTCCTTCGTCTCCCGTGTCGGTGCCGCCCCTCGCAAGGGATCAAAGACCTCCGGATCCGGAAGCACGCTGGCCATGCGTTGCATGCTGTATGCTTGAGCGCAGACCTGAGCTGCCAGGAAGCCAGTGTCCGTGGCCGCCGTCGGTAACGAGGCGAGGCAGTGATGACTCAATGCCTGAGTACAGATGCAGTATCTCGTCGAGCACATGGTTCAAGTAACGCGGTCCATGAAAATAGAACGGAGTGAAGTCGGCTGGGAGCGTGCAGAGCTCTTCTCGAGGAGAGTGGCTTTGACCGCTGGATGGCGACAGATGGACCAGATGAGGCGTGTCAGTTTCACGGCGGTGGAGTTGCTGCCTGCAATAATGTACGTTGATGCTTTGGCTCGGAGCTCTATTGTGTGAGGGCCTCTTTCTTCTTGTCGCTGTTTTGAAAGATCCTGGAGAAAAGGGTCCATTCGGTGCTCGTAGGGTCTGAGTGCTAGGAGGGTTCCTGTATCGAGTGATTGACTCTTCTGAGGTTTCTTTGTTCCTTGAAGGAGGGGCCTGAAAACGGGACGGGGAGATACTTGACCCGGACGATGAATGTTGGGATGCCTGAGCGCACGGCTCACATGTAGCCCAAGTTCTCGAGGTCCTTTGTATACCCGTTCACTTGGCCAGGTTCAGCATCCTGAAAGAATTGCTGAAAGACAACTCGGATGAAGCGAAAGCAGTCGCAATAATACCGTATATCATACGTGACCGTCTACTTTGCATTAAAAATTACTATCAGCTCCGGTGTAGTCCGCAGAGGTATGATATGCAGACCAGTCAAGAATGGGCCGGATCACTGACGGCGGCTCTTCGCTTTTCCGACTGAGAGTTGCTTCGCGTTTCAGCTTCGGTGGCATAATTGGAGCCATGCCTGAGTGGTTGACGCTGTTGAGAGCTCGCAGGACTCTACGATGTACCGAGACTATTTGCTGCAGGGTCGGTCTTTGGAGTTGAGAGTTATAGAGAAAAGCTTGGTTCAATACCCATCTCCATCAGATAACCCGGTTAGTTAGAGATCACTGTATATGAAGATTTACACTTTGCGATTCTCCCTGTGATAGCACAGGATGAGACTCTTGTATATTTCGTGTACTTGGAGACATGTCGCGTTTCCGCGTGATTTGTTGTCGTAAAGCTGGGGTTCACTACCACCTCATGCCTTGGGAGTTCAAACGGGAAGCTAAGCAATTTGACTGGTGATTTAGCATGAAGCTACTGCTTGGATCCCGACGCCAAGATGAATCGCTGAGATAGACGGATTTGGCGAGATTGGCGATCCGTTGTCTTTTGCAGATGAGTGATCTGCAGCACTTGCAGCTGCATTCTCGCCATGGAGGGGATACCATATGCCGAGGCAATCACAGTTAGAGGCTAGGAATAGAATGTGTGCTTGTTGTCAGTATTCTGTGGTGGCTACCAACAGGCTCGACGCAGTAGGCGAATCGATATTGACACACCTAAAATCTAGAAATGTCCGTTCATGCATGGGATGCTATGGGGTATATGTGAGTACATATCATGCATACATGCAGCCAAAGGTCCCCCGTGTGTCTCTTGTGCTTAGGCAGATACAGCACTTGGATCATGTTGCAGACGGGGCCGCCTGATTTCCAGTTGTGAGTTGAAGTGCGAGAAGATAAAAGAGCAACTGATGTAGATGCTCTCATGATATAAACAATAGGATTCTCAAGTGTAATGCAGGAACTAAAGACAGCAGGCGCTCGGGGGTACTCGGGTAGTTGGTCACAAGTTCCATGGTCGATTTCGCAGAGAAGCTGGGCGACTTGGGTCGAGAAGAAGGCAGCGTCCTCAAAAGTAAATAGTGTAGAGGTCAATTAATCCCATGTGAAGCGGAACCTGAGTCGTATGGTCAAGCCGTTTTCACACATCAACCATCATGATTGTATTCTTAAATTATTACATCATGGGAGCGCATGTATTCGACTTCATAAGTATATGTATCCAACTTCAAGAAAGCTAAAGGACGCAAAAAGGGGTTGAGTAATTATTCGGTTCCATTCCCATTCTGAATGTCCTATCCTCAGACGCAGCCTGGGCCGCAACCTAAAGAGATGAATATACACGTAGCAACCATATATGAATCTTAATTGTGACTCCCAGCATTAGATATGGATGTAAAAGTAGCATTTTCTTCAATAACTTAGGGAATTCTCACTCCACTCCTCATTTTGAGTTTGGTGTCACGCTCAGCAGTTCTTGGGCAGACGGCAAAGCAAACGAAGTGGCTCGCCAATTCTTGCCACTGCCAGTCCTTGGAGTGCCAGCGGCGCCAATTCGAGCATCAACTTGCAAAGAGACTACCTTATACAGGTTGAGGTACTTGAAGTTGGCAAAATCACTCGTACTTCTTTCACCGCCCATGAAACCTAGCTCTTGACCCGAGGTGCCTGCCTATTTAAACTCTTCTCTCTCTCTCTTCCTCCCCTCTTTCTTTTTCTTCTTTCATTCTCTTCGGAGATTGTTCAGCATTCTTCAACACAGCTTCACTTCTCGGCGTGGAAGGCCTGTGATAAGGCCACAGAGATCTCGCCCTCTCGGTCTATCTTCAAGAGTGATACTATCATCGCATACTTGGATGGTTGATTCTTCCTTTATCCCAAGGTGACCTACCCGCATGGTATCAAAACAGTTTGGCTAACCAACTCATAGACCTGAGCAATCATGGATCCGGAGCGAAAACCACCCCAATCGCCTCACCATGAGGCCCCCAAGCAGCAGCCGTCCCCGGCTCCATCGATGTCGTCGAAGAGAGATCTGCTGGAGGCATCCTGCCCAATTCGTACATTCACTATTCGTGGTGACTCTCCATCGGACGGTGAAGGTCAGGACACATCTGGCAAGCCGCATACCAACACAATTGCCCCCGCCAATTTGGAAGCAAAGGGCGCAGAATCTCTCGTTATTGGGAAGCAACTGGCCAAGTCGAAATCGAATGCTCCTCAGAACAGGACGGTCAGGCCTGCAGCAGAGTCATCGAAGAAACCAGACGTTGAACAGAAAGTTTCCAACATTCTTAAGCCTGCTCTATCTCAAGAGGCGAAGCCAGGCAATGCTCATTCATCAGTGAAGCAAGAAAATCTCGATGATGAGAACAGCTCTCGTCAACTTGTTGATGGAGCTACCTCTGACCATGAGAAGAGTCCTGGCCACGAAGATGGCTCAGATCACGAGGATGATTCCGATTATGAAGATGGAAACGATTCTTCTTATTCGAGAGATGAAGATGATGGGGACCAGAAAACAAAACGCAATCCCTCCAAGAAGGCTAATGCGAATAAGCCGCGGCGAAAACGGGCGGCGAACGCTCGAGAATTCGTTGCACGTCTCCACGAAAAAGAGGACAGAGCCAAAGGCGAGAAACGCGGGCAAAAAAGAAAATCGACTGACTGTGATGGAGAATCTCGCAAAGCACACAAGTTGGCCAAATATAGTTCTGCCTCGAAATTTGATGATGGTCCTTCAACTACTGATGGCAATTCTCTGGCTGCCATGGAGCCCATCCAGGCAAACACTATCGCTGAGCAGTTTGCCCAGATCAGAGCGCAGATACCTCAGAACTATGACACAAGGCGCAGCAAGACGCAGAAGCGAGATTTACGAGAGGCTACCCAGCTATTTGGCTACAAGAAAGTGGAAGCCGAGAATGGCCGTTGGAGAATGAAAGGTATGGAGGCTGTTCTGGAAAGTTACCAACTCACTGCTGCGGCCTGGATGGTGAAGAGGGAGCTGAGTCAAGAGAAGCCTTTTGGCGGGCTTTTGGCCGACCGCCCTGGTATGGGAAAGACGGTCATGAGCCTCGCATGTATTGTGGGCAACCCAGCAGATGAACAAGACCTGGCAAACTACTGCAACGCCACTCTTGTCGTCGTGCCAAACAAATTGACTGGTCAGCAGTGGGAACAGGAAGTCCAGGTGAGGCCGACAATATTCCAACTGGACAAGAGCCTTGACCACTGACAACGCGTGCACAATTAGAAACACTGTAAATCGCCAGTCAGTGACAAGGTCTTCATCTACGATTCCACCTACGAAGGGGCGTACGAGAAATGCAAGTCGTCATTCATCGTGTGAGTCCACTCTCTTGCCGAGTGCCAGAGAATCACCAATGACTAACAATATAAAGGATTACCACGTATTCCCAACTGCTCGCTCAATATCCCGACAAAAGCATCATGCAATACTGGCAAGAGAAGTACGACAGTGATGATGAATCCTTCGATCGCGCGTTTGCGTCCAAGGCGGGTGACCTATTCAAGATCCCATGGTACCGGGTTATCCTTGACGAAGCTCATGCCATAAAAAATGTTGACAGTCGCAGTACGTTGTCCTTTCCTAGGAGTGAAGCAAACTGATACAGCCGCTGACTTTGCCCTCCCATTGCTTTAACCCAGCTGCTCAAGCCTGTTCCGACCTCCGCAGTAAGTATCGCTGGGCCTTGTCTGGAACGCCACTGGCCAACAGCTCGTATGGTATGTACTTGAAGTCTTCGTTTTTGCCTGAATGGGGGTATTCAGCTGACAATGTGTACAGAGTTGTATCCGTATCTGAAGTTCATACAATGCAAAGCGACGTGGAGCATGAGAGACTTCAAAGAGACGTATATCAGCGATGTAAGAGTTCATGGAAAGAGACAAGAATGAATATTTGATATCTGACAATCATAGGGTAAGGTAAATGGCCAATTGGAAGCACTCATCAGCATGGTCATGTATCGGAGGTGAGTTCCTCTAAAACTACGATGATTGATTCGCAGGTACTGAAAGCTTCTAGGACATCGAAGGACGAGTTCTTAGGGCATAAGATTCTTGACCTTCCCGAGATGAGAGAGTCTTACCTCGTAGTTCCTCTATCTGTGGAGGAACGCCTCATTGTCACGTACGTCTAACCCTGTTCAAGGCCCCCATTTATGAATTGCTATCCAGAATGCTACAATACTGAATTGTCTCTCATAGGGCGGTGGAAAGCTTCTACAAAAAAAAGATCAGGAACCTAGAACAGGGTACTCTCGAGAAAGAGGAACTGGAAGTCGCGACTGATGGTTTAGACGTGGATGAGCCTGACGACGACAAGAAAAGGGGCCGCGGAAAAGCCAAGAATGCCAGCATGACATGGATGTTGACGCGAGCCAGTCTCATGAGAAAGAGGCAGGCAATCTCTCATCCCTTTTGCATCGAGCGTCTTCTCCGACACTCGCTTGAGCCGCAGGAGCTGGCAGAGCTCATCGAGGCGCTCAAACAAGTGCCCGCGAAACAGACCATCATAGAGCAGATCCACGCGAACGATAGGACAGATGACGGCATAGCGGCATTTGAGAAGGGGCTGCAAATACTGCAGCAACGAGAGGAGCCCATGTTTGGCAAGTATTTCGACATGGGGAAGCTACTGGACCTAGCAAAGAACGAGCGCGCTTTGAGTGGCATTACTTGTCTGCTTTGCAACAAGGCAACACCGCCAGTGGAACCTTTTGAGACACATGATGTAAGTGGAATTGCTGAGTTCTTGCATCGTACGTGACTGTTACTGACCCTGCAAGTGCGGGCATGTCTTTTGTAGCACATGTCTGCTGAAAGCCATCAGCCGCAGTAAGAAAAGCAGGGAGATGCTGGTAAGTAGACTTGTTGCAGCCAAAGCCATCGTGATGCTTCTTCTAACCTCGCTTTGACTATCTTCTTAAAGATGTCCTTACGAAGAATGTGGCAAAGAGATCACTGGTGGAGACGAGATCGAGACGCTGCAATCCCAAATCGACTCCAAGGACAAGAATTATCGTGAGCCCGGTCGAGACAGCAATAATTCGGGCGTGCATCATCAAGAAGACCGTAATGGCTTCTTTGTTTACAGTACGATGCCGGGAGATGCCTCGGTCGTGCCGAGCACCCGACTCACGGCCACCATGGCCATTGTCCTCACCTGGCTGAAGGAAGCGCCAAACGACAAGATTCTCAGTAAGTGCTCACAGGCAACGGTCTATGCCCTTGAATGATAATGCTTTGATCATGCTAATCTTCCTAGTCTTTACACAGTTTACTGGAACGGCCAAGGTTCTGGGTTACATGCTTCAGACGCTGGACATCAAGTTTGTGCACTTTTACGGCGGTCTCGCACCAGGTCAGAAGAAGAAAGCCGTGGACTCGATCAAGACGGATCCAGATATCAAAGTTATGGTCAGTTTCCAGTTCCAATGTCCCTCCTAGTAAATCATCGCAGATCTCAGACTAACATTTTTACCCTGCTGCGCAGGTCTCAACTCTCAAAAGCGGCGGTCAGTCCCTCAATCTCACTGCCGCCAACCGAGTTATCATTGTCGACCCCTGGTGGAACAAGACGGCCGAACGACAAGCCTTTGGACGAGTCACACGAATGGGCCAAGAGAAGAAGACTCACTTGGTCAAGATTCGTACCGAGGAGGAGATTGACGAGAGGATCTTCATGCTCCAGAAGAGGAAGGCGGAGGATGTCGACTACACTCTGCAGGATGACGGCCATACGCCGCCTGCCGTGAGCGACACTGAGCTCCAGGAGACCTTTTTCCGGAAGAAGTCGGACAAAAAGGAGAAGAAGAAGAATCGAAAGAAGAAGTCTACCGCGACGAAGAAGAAATAGAGGCGGAGTTACGCTGGGATGCCTTGGAATCGGCATTTTTACGATGGGGCTCAGAAGGGCTTTTTACCATTTCATTGATTCTTTCAGGGGCGCGAGGATAACGCGCGAAAAAAAGTATTTGCTTTGAGGTATTTCGAGGGTGAGCGGGCTATGCTTTGCGGGAGGGCATTTACTCGGTTATCGGTTCTATTGCGACATTTACGAATCATCTAGCTTTTCGACACGCACAAATTGGGGGTGGATATTTGAGGTTTTGCGATTTCACGGTTATTGATCTGCTGCTGATTAGGGAAGAGGGAAACGGCGGGAATAATTTGCTTCTAGGCTCGGTACCCAGGTTGACTGACTCGATCAGTCAACGAGCATCTCCTTCAATCAAAAGTTTTATTTGCTTTATACAAAGTTGCCTGAATTTCCTCTATATCCAGGTGAGATGACGAGATGACTTTTACACTGATATTACAGTGACGGGGTGGTAGCAGCACCCTTCAATTGCACGCCGAGTTTACATCTTCCACTCAACGCACGATTTACAAACGCCTCAGGATATCCTCGACAACCTCATCGGTGGTGGCCTTTCCACCCAGGTCAGGGCTCAGCAGCTTACCCTCCTCCAAGTTGGCATCAACGGCAGCGTAGATCTTGGCAGCAGCCTCGGGCTCCTCCAGGAACTCGAGCATCAGGGCGGCACTTCGCAGAGTAGCAATAGGGTTGGCAATGTTCTTTCCCTGGATGTCAGGGGCACTTCCGTGGCAAGGCTCGCCAATGGCGAAGCCCTCGCCGACGTTGGCGCTGGGCACGAGACCGAGACTGCCGACAAGAGCGGCAGCGCCGTCGGAGAGGATATCGCCGTACAGGTTCGGGGCAACAATGACGTCGTAGGCTTCGGGCTGGCGGAAGAGCTTGTAGACCATGGAATCGACAATCTGCTCCTCGACGGAGACGGACGAGTACTTGGGGTCGGAGAGGGCGTTCTTGGAGGCGGTGCGGAAGAGGCCGTCGGTCTGGGAGAGGACGTTGGACTTGTGGGTGATTGTGACGAGGGGCTTGCTGTGGATGCTGGGGGTGCTCTCGCGGATCTTTTGGCGGCGCAGGGCAATGTCGCCGGCCATGGCGGCGATGCGGAACGAGGCCTTCTCGGAGATGCGCTTGATGGCCTCGGCGACCTTGCCGTCGGGGGTGTCGCGCGTGGTCTCCTGCTTGACGTAGAGGTCCTCGGTGTTCTCGCGCACAATGACCATGTCGATGGGCTTGGCGGCGGTCATGACGGTCTTGACGGGGCGGACATTGGCGTAGAGGTCGAGGCGCTTGCGCAGGGCGACGATGGGGGAGGAGTAGCCCTTGACGGCGTGGGTGGGCGAGCTGACGGCGCCGAAGAGGGCGCCCTGGCACTCGTTGCGGAGGACGTCGACGGTGGCGTCGGGCAGGGCGGAGCCCGTCTGCTCAAAGGTCTCGAAGCCGGCCTTGAGGTCGACGAAGTCGAACTTGAGCTTGAGCGACGCGGGGAGGGCCTCGAGGATGCGGCGGCCGGCGGGGATGACTTCCTTGCCGATGCCGTCACCGGGGATGAGCCCTGGAGAGGGTGTGTTAGCTGTGATTGGACTCGACTGTGCAGGATTATGGTGATTGAACAGCATGGGCAGTGTAAATGGAGGAATTGGGGGATTTACCGATTCTCAGAGTGCGGATTGACATGGCGGGCGGCGTTCAATGGGTGCGTCTGGCGGGCTTGTGCGGAAGAGAACTTTTTTTTTGCTGGAGTCGATTTTCAGAGGTTTCTGTCAGTGTCGCGATCCGATCATCGGCGGGTTTATCCGGGCGCTACTGCTATGCGGCGGTAGTGGGGGCGGGGAGCATTTGATGGCGGGGTTGGGCTTGAGCTGCAGGAGCTGAGCTTCGTGAACCACCATTGATAACGAATCCACAGGACGATTGCCACCATCTCAGACTGCTCTTCGACATCTACTAGTGCCCGCTACATCGACATGGATGAAGAGTTGGTTGACGCTTTGCCTCTGGACGACACGGTCGGAAGCCACGACGACACGTCCGAGACTGTGCAGCTGGACCCTGAAGGGGACGCAATCCTCATCGTCAATGGCTCAGGCTGCACCAAGAGCTTCCTCGTCTCTTCCAGAGTTCTGAGCTTGGCATCGCCAGTCTTCTCCAGGCTGTTTGGCCCTAACTTCAAGGAGGGACAGGAAACTCGACGCGGAGACCGCCCAAGCATCAGATTGGAAGAAGACGATCCCAAGGCGATGGAAGTGATTCTTGGTATCCTCCATTACCAATGTGCACAAGTCCCATTGAGAATGGAGCCTGAAGCACTCGCTACCCTTGCGATTCACTGCGACAAGTACGACTGCAATGTGGCTCTGAGGCCATGGGCTGCTCACTGGTGCAGTAACTTTGGAGGCAGGTACCATGAAGAGGGCACTGCGACTGAAGACCTTGGATTCATGCTGCTGGCTGCATACATGTTTCGCTCACCACGCTTCTCTGAGATTTCCGCCAGAGCTGTGAGAGAGCTACCACCAGGCTTCGCTTCCGCCTGGAGGGCTCATGAAGAACTGGCACTCCTGCCAGACAGACTCACAGGTTTGGTCACTTCTGCCTGGCCGGAGGCAGCAGGCTAACAATCTGCAGCTGCATTGTCTGATAAGATCGCCGAGGAGCTGAAGAATCTGCACCAACAGCTGCAATCCACTGAAAGAAAATTGCGGCTACATAAGGCCTACTATAAGATGCCTGGTCATAACTGCATGAGTTGTGGCAGAGACCTCCCGGCAGAGGCAAAACAATGCCGTCGATGTGGCACTACCGAATTGTTCAAGAATGCCTGCACCAGCGAGTATAGGGTGGCGGAATACTTCGCGATTCTGAAACGGTTCGAGCTGTGGCCCTCTATAGACCCCTTCACCACAAAATCTCTCTCGGATATCATGCATCATTTTGAATGCGCCGAGATGGACCATAATCATCAGTGTGGAGCGAATGAGGGTTGTCCTCTCCTACATGAGCTGGTCCATATGTATCATCTAACATTGGAAGCTCTTGACGACATAGAGGGAATATCCTTGGAAGAAATAGGTGTGAGTTGATGGGCGGGATAAATGGACTGCATATCGATTCATCAGGAAAATCCATGACACTTGGATGCCAGAGTTCTTCAGGAGAATCTGCTTGGCCATCGACCAATTACCGACAAAGGTTTAACCTGATTTGAATACTAGCCAGCCCAAACCGTTCTCGAAACCCCTTAGACAAAGGGCAGGGCGGATATATTTTGCTTACATCGAAATCCTTAGGTTACGGCTTCACATGGGTAATTATGGCGTTTGGTAACGCAAAGAATCAGGGGTTAAGAGGTTTCATTTGATTCCAGAATGACTTTTCCCGCGCGATCCTTAATGATGAGGACTTCATATTTGACAGATAGAGTCCTAGGGGAGAAACGATGTGACAACGTTTTGAAGCTAAGCGTACATGTATACAGACCTCCGCAACACTGCTGGACAGATTGTAATGGATGATTTTCTATGTTGTCACCATCTCTTGTTCCTCTCCACCCAGTCCGGTTACGCACAGCAGGGTTATATAGACGAATAAGCTTGATCTGATCATGGCATTGTAGATTTCTTCTCAGTTTTCCATCGCTGTATTGCTGTCTTTGCCCTTGCGCTCACCTAGGGTTCCCTGGTCCAGTCTGACATGGTCTCCATGGAGGTCCCGCACCATGACCATCGTACCATTACCAACACATTGGTATAATTGGCAATTGCTCTCACTTATTGGAGTCCTTTTCCTCGAGTTCTTCCAAGATACTCCCTACAAGTATCTTGATGGCATCCTCTCCTTGCTGCCACAGCTCGTCCGAGACTCTGTGCACCTTGAAGCCAGGCGGCGGCTCGGCTGATGATTCTGCGGCGATTACCGGCTAGAATAGGAGTAATCAGTATGTACCATACAGAGGATTACATTGACCATGACGTACCGGCGCATTCTCGTTGTATCGCTGGTATATAGCCAGGAGGTCATCTTTGCGTGGCTCATCAAGCACCTTGTCGGCCAAATCTTTGAACGATTCGTCCAACTATAATACCTTATTAGCTTCTTAACAACACGTAGAAGACGTAAACGTGCCTCTTTGACGTTGGCACTCGCGCCTGCCAGAGAAGTCTCTGTGGAACGGTCTGCGAGATCTTTCAGCTTGCAGTATTTGATCAGTTCCTCGCTTTCTTCATCCGTCAGCTCGACTCCATCTTGACGAAGGAACTCGACGGCAGCTGTATACAACACGCCCAGCGAATCCTCGACCTCGTCTGCCGTCGGGGCCCATTGGAAATCGCTCTTGAGCTGTTGGTCGAATTCCCCTGCCGTTTGCTTTTAACACATTCGATTAGCTGGCTTGTAGAGAGTATTACAGAACTGATACTGACCTTCATTTCCTCGGTTTTCGCATGCAGCCATGGTATAGTTCCCCGAAGGGAGGAGAATTTCCAGGAATTCTGCTGACACTGGTATTTTTGCATTGCCGTCTCATAGACGGATTTTGCAAAGACGTAGCAGTTTCTAGTTAGTAGGTTATAGCTACCCATCCTGTCGCTGGTGGCTCGCATGATATCAGCCAGGCCAATGACGTTGAGGTTGTTGTCGTCAAAAGTCAGCGAATACAGCTGCAGAGGGAGGAGGCCCTTGGACGACGAGGACGACGAAGATGACGAAGAGGAAGACCCGAAGAACGACGCAAGTCGCTTGAAAAGGCCCGAACCGGAACTCGAGCTCCCCGAGCTGGAGCTCATCAACGACTTGACCGACGGCTTAGCACCAAACGACCACATGCCAATGATGACTTGGTCTTGTTTCGTTTGGCGCTCCGCCAGCACACGAGTCCGGTCCTTGGAGCTGGAGCCAACATCTTCGAAGATGATTTGGAGGTACTCGTGTAGCACGTCGGAGTTTAGGTTCTTGACGTGCGTGATTCGTCGGACGAAGCAGTTGCTGTAGGCAGAGGCGTTTTGGCTCAGGTCAGCGTACCATTTCTGAGGAGTGACTACTTCCTCGGTGGAGGTGAAGACTAATGGCATAGACATGATGATGAAAGTACTAGATGAGTTGTGTCGTGGGTTTATAGGGAGAGATGCGGAGGAACAGAAGGTATGACAAGGAGACGATTCTTATAGTATTCTTGTAGTCTGGTCCAACTGACTGGAGAGACTGGTCCAAGAAAGAGAAGGCCTCGAACGAAACCGCACGGCGCCAGTATCCTACAAGCTGTGATGATCCCAGATATGCACACCCTGTGCGTTTCTTGTACTCGTTTACATCGGCTGTTCCGTCCCAAAGTAATGACTGGCTCCTACTTGCCACACGGCAGACAATATTCCACCCGTGCAGGATCATGCGAAGCCTCTAATAGGTCCAGCTTGACTTGCTTGTGCATTCAGCCCGCCACCGTACCAATATTTCGCTGTACCTCAGCCTCAGCTGTCCCCAAGTCACTAGTTTGCTTCTGCCAGAACCAATGCTATTACGATTGTACCTTTTTCCAACCTTTCACCATGAATTTCTTTCTCGTGTGGCTAGGTTAGGACACTGGGCCGTGAAGACATGTCAGTGATCACATTCCAGCTGATCAGAGCTGCATCTCCCATATACTAATTCAACTAGGCAATCAGATGTATGCTGATGGATGTACGGTTGCGCTACACTCTATACGCCTTACCACGGTGCCAGAGTGGCATCATTTGATTCGCGTCGAGTTGATCGGTATCAACATGAACGTTTCGTGCGGGGAACGGCACAGCATCCTCCCCGATGCATAACACAAATCTTATTGACCTGTTCAATTGGGTGAAGAAGAAAGCATCAAGCCCCCCGTTGACGACCTGGAAAGTGGACGACCTCTCAACCTCAAGCGAGGATGAAGATCACAGTCCGAAGCTGCTCAGGCATCTCTGCATCTAACGAGACATTGACGACTCCCCTAACCCTATCCGCCAGGAGATCGTGCTAAGAGGCTGGCTGATCTGCAAGGGAGAACTGCAGGTACCCAGTAGTTGCTGTGGGGTGGCGAGGCATTGATAAAAGGATATGCGTTAGGCCAACCTCCAAGAGGAGCCTGTCGAGTATTATGCATCTTTTTTCGCTTCGGCGATTGCATGCATGGCTGCCATAGGCAATACTATCAGGCATGCTAGTAGTAAACCTCTCAGCTATGCGGTCGGATGAGCTGCAGTATGCTCAACCATCTGAACCTCGAAGCCCCTGCAAGTACCATGCCAGCCGCAAAGTCGTTGTGTGGCGGATGAGTAGTAGTCCCGCTGACCTGAGTATCACATACGCCAGAGCTTTAGTTCTTGATAACATACATATATACTTGTATTGATCTGTAAACCCAGGTTGTGTGCAGACAACTTGCAAATCATCTGTTGAGCAATCCAAATCCTATTGTAAATTCATTAACCATGGCTACCGAACCTAATGTGGACGACTTCGAAATGGCAAGTTGCTGGCCCATGCCTTCAACCGACCTGTCCGACCTGCCATCCAGCAACCTTACAAACGATGGGCGCGATGCCGAGGAAGATCCAGACGCCATGTCCTTGGTCGTCAGCAAAGACTGGTTCTGGCCTGTCGGCGCGTGGCTGCATGTGCGCTTCATGAACGAGGAGCCCTACCCTCATCACGAGAAAATGGTGCAAGACGCGGCGAGGATCTGGGAAAAGTATGCAAACATTCAGTTTGTGTTTGACAATGCCGACAACGCAGAGATCAGGATCCTCTTTGACAGCAAGTTGGAGGGGGGTCGATCGCTCATCGGAAGACACAAGCGAAAGGAAACGCCAAAGGAGAAGCCGACAATGGTGTTGGGCTTGGCCAAGGATGACGGGCTGTTTCGGAGAACGGCTTTACACGAGCTGGGCCACGCACTGGGCTGCATCCATGAGCACTCCAGTCCGGCAGCCGAGATTAAATGGAACAGAGAGGAGGTCATCAAATGGTTTGCAAAATCCAAACTGTCAGAGGAATGGGTCGAAAACAATGTCTTCAAGCACTACGACAAGAGCCCCTCGTTGCTGACCTCGCACTTTGACCAGCGGTCCATCATGGTATACCGCATCTGTCCCGGGTGGGCAGAAAACGTCACGTACATTGACTGGCCCAACGAGCTCTCTGAGACGGACAAGATGCTCATCTGGAGGATCTACCGCCCCAACATGGCGACGACAGAGTTTGGCAAGTTTGATACGCAAGAGCAAGGGGGGACGAAGCAGTCTCCGTCGCACTATGTCAAAAGCATTCCACTTCAGAACCCACAGGACAAGGCTCTGGACATTGCTCTTGGGATTACTGAATTCGATCTCGAGTGTAATGATGGAGTACGGGATGTCCAGCTCAGGGCATACGCGGATACTGTCGAGACGACGAGCTTCAATCTCAATCTCAGTTCCGTGGAAAGCGGTCGTCTGTACGCGGCCGCGGCAATTTCTCTGGCGACGGAGCAGAACAATTCCACAATGCAGACCGGCTCCTACACTACGGCAAAGGAAGACACGCGGGACGGCGTGGAGTACGAGAAGGACGTGAAATTCAAAGATCCCTTCAGCAAGAAACCGGAAGTGGTTGTCTGGCTCAAGGGCTTCCACTTCAAACCGGAAGAATGCTTCAAGATCCGTGCCACCGCAGACCACGTAACCGAAACCGGATTCCAGCTGCACGTCGAAACATGGGACAACGCCGCCCTCCAGAGCGCCGAGGTGTCGTGGATCGCATACGAGACGGACCCTCCCGGCATCCGCTCCGGCAAGGTCGAGCTCCACAACTTTCGGCCGCGGGAGGCGGATGGCAAGCCGCATCATGTCAAAGAGAGGCATCGAGCCAAAGAGGTGCGTCTGGACCAGTGGCGCCCTCAGGTGGTGTATGCTGCCGTTTCCAAGTTTGAGTTCGAAAAGGGACATAACCCGCGGCTATCCGTCACGACGACGCCGACGAGGCAGTCTTCGTTTGAAGTGGACGCGGTGACGTGGGAGGACAGTGATTGTCAGGGGGTGGAGGTGTCATATCTGGCTGTTTGCATCTGAGTTGGCGGACAAGTATGGCCAAAGCTGTCCCTGCTTCTGCTGGGGATATCTGTTCAAGATCATGGTCATTGACTGGTCACTTGGTGTGCTTGCACGTGCGTACATGAGTTCCTGAATGTAGCAATGATTATTCCTACGTTTTCTTCCGTCGCTTGACAGGCCCCAGCTTCAAAAAAGACGTAGCTGGAGTTACCACCTGGCCAGCATTGTCTGCCTGGTCGTTCTCCTCTACAGATAGCGACACAGAGTCCTCCATTTGTGCACCGTTCTCCAGACGCTGAGAGAGGCCAGTCGACTCAGACAGGGCTTGGACCTCAAAATCTACCTTTGCCGGCAATTGGTCGATAGCTGAGCAGATTCTCTTGAAGAAACCTGGCATCCAAGTGTCGTAGATATTTTTGGTGAACCGATAGGCAGTCCACTTATCCCGCCCATTTAGTGTTGTAAAACTAAATGTATAGATTTCATGGCGGTAGTATTTGGTGTTCTTGCCGTCAATGACTGGGTAGTAGCCATAGATCCGTACTGAGCGCTGGTCGTGTGAGATAGAGAAAGCTACGATCTGTCGGTGGACGTCGTTCTCGCGTCCCACAAGACGGAACAGCTCGACCACGCCTCGAGCCGCAAGGGTCATGGTATGGGCATTCTGACGGTCGGCAACGTCGAGGGCATCCCCACACTTCACCTCGCAGGCAAGGAAGGGAAAATACATGTAGTATGTGGCCATGAAGTATGACTGGTCGGCGAGAAAGTCGCCAATGAAGGGCGATAGCTTATCAAGCTGTTCCTCGGTGAATGCATCTCGCAAAAATCCAACTGAATAGTCTGGCTGCGGACGCCTCCCAGTCAAGGGAATCGAGTTATTCCAGCCTTCGTTGACACTTTCTGTCAGGATATCGAGGTGTTCAGCGCCATATGTTGCAAGGCTCTCGGCGGAAGGTACAATAAGCCGAGTGATGTCTTGCAAAACCCGAGCTTCGTTCTTCGTGCGGATTTTCTCGCAGGTCAAGCCGAAGATGTCATCCCGGAAGAGTGAATTCTCGGGATACGTTTGGTTTCCCTCGAGCAAGGTTTCGCAGAGAATTTTGCTCTCGTTGGTAATATCCAGCTTCGATGGTGCCATAAAACTGCCTTTGGTGGCAAGCAGTGTCTCATAACGCGAATCTCGATACTGGGCGCTCTTCTCTTCACGCGGCTTTTGGTCGCTTGGCGTAATGGACGAGGCTGAACTCGATCGCTTACGGGCGGACGAGGACGAGGACTTCCTTCGTGCAAGCAGGTGTTCCATGTCTGGCTCGGGCTCGAAGAGTTTGCTTGGCCAGCGGTCTGTTTTTATCCAGAATCCGACGGGGTTATTGGGGTCGGCTTCTTCCGCTGCGGCATTGCCCAGCCTCTCGGGGGCAGGTGGTCCTGACGTTCGCCGTCGCTTCGACGAGGGCGTGGCAATTGAACTGCGCGTATCTTCGATGGCTGTCTGCCTGCCTCGGGCTTGTCGTTTGCGCGATGGAGCGTCCTGCTCCTCTGTTCATTGTTAGTGACGGCCTGCCGGTGCTGCACGGGACATACCTGGGTCCTCTGGCTCTGGTTTGTGCCTCCTTTTGGCGGCTCTCTGGGCTCGGGTTTCAACCATGGCGGCGGCATGGAAGCTGGCGGGGAGACGTGAGAGTATATGCGATGCATCGACAAGGGATCAAGCTCATGGCCAACCATTTCGCTCGCACTGCCAGCATGCATGTCTCGACGTGATGGTCTGGAGTCCTGAAGTAGCATCAATATCAGGATGATGATAGTGAATACCTTAGATATGCGACCACCCCACGCGCCTTATGATCCGAGCCTAAAACTACCTACCTGACGGGGACTAAACACGGCTTGTCCCTTCCGAACCAATCAGCTTGAAATCCAATGTCCGCGCCCGAGATTCACTAGCCTAATGGGTACCATTAAGGCAGGCATCAAGGTAAGGAAGGGTACATGTAAGTAAGATAGTTGTAGTATGTGCTTTATTGTAGCACTACCCCCTCATCCGCACAAGGTACTCTATCTGAACAACGTCCGATATGTCGGTAAGGCTGGATAGAAATAACTCCAGTAGGAGCAAGCAGAAGTCTTTTATTAAGCTTGATAATGATAGTAGGAGTAGTGAATATAGAAATATACATCTAAGATATTAGATAACCAAGTCGGAGTGTTGGCTGGCCGCTCTCTGCTTTTATTAACCACAACTCTAGAGGATGATAACCTTTGACTGCATGTGGACACTTAGTATAATCATATTATGCACGCGTGCATTCCTGGGGACATAGCAACTAATAGGCGAGGGTGTTACCCGTGTTGATTTGCTCCATGAGCTGCTGGATTATGGCAAGGTTCCCTGAACTTCGTAGACTTTGTGTTGCTCTACATCAATATCTGAGCACGCAAGGAGGCCGCGTCACTGTCCTCTCCAAACATTAATCAGAACGATTGACCAAATAAGTAGGTAGCATTGGCTCCCGGATATAGAATAGGATACGGAGTATACAACAGGATGTTGTGCAAGGACATGTATATACACCGTAGGCTCAGTATGTAAATAACCAGGGGCGGAGAGTATCATATAACCCCGTAAGAATCCGCTGCAACACCCGCCTTTCCCAGGCTTCAACACCTTCACTCCAAACATAGTAGACTCTGACGTTCTACAGCACAGAAAAAAGTCATCATGTCTCACATCAGACCCCCCTTTGACCCTGAAGTCGCCAGAGGCGTCCCTCCTGGCATGCTCGATGGGAGCCTCTCCAAGGCCATGCCCACCGACTCCGCCGTCAGACTTGCAGCTATTCGAGTGGCAGTCGACCAAGTCGCCGAGGCCGAGAAAAACGCAATTCTGTCAGATCCAACTCTCGAGGTGGAAGAGGTCTTCATCCCTGGGCCCCGGGGAGACATTCGCTTGTCCGTCATAAGACTGAAGGATGTCGCTTCAGACGACACCAAGAAGCGTCCGGCCATCTATAACATCCACCCGGGAGGCTTGATTATGGGCAACGAGTACATGGCGATTTCCTCTGCGATTTCCTGGATGAAAGAGATCGGCGGCATCGTCGCTTCGGTCAACTACCGTCTGGCTCCAGAGCATCCCGGCCTTGCCCCCTTCGAGGACTCCTGGGAAGGTCTCGTCTGGTTCGCCAAACAAGCAGATCGATTCGGCTTCGACCCGGACAAGTTGATTCTGTCAGGCTCCTCGGCGGGCGGAGGCATTGCTACCGCGGCCGCGATCAAGGCCCGGGACGAGGGCTTCCCCAAGCTGTGCGCTCAAGTTCTCATTTGTCCCATGCTGGACGACCGGGCTGCCACCGTCTCCCATCAGCAATTTTTCCACCACGGCTCTTATACCGGCGAGGCGGACGAGTTCAGCTTCGGGTTGGTCTTGGGCGACCGACGCGGCACGGATGACGTTTCGGTCTTTATAGCGCCGGCTCGGGCGACGGATCTTTCGGGCCTTCCCCCGACATATATCGAGGTTGGGTCTGCCGAACCTTTTCGAGACAGCGTAGTTGCGTTTGCGTCCAAGCTGTGGGAGCATGGCGTGCAGGCCGAGCTGATGGTGTTTGCGGGTGCCTTGCATGGCTTCGATTACTATGCCCCGGAAGCCATGGTATCGAAAAGTGCTGCCCAGGCGAGGTTGAACTGGATCCGACGGTTCATGGCGCAGTCCAAATGACTATGGGAGAACCGAGGTGAGTAGCTAAGCTGTGAGCGAGCACATTTGATAGATGCTGTGCCAAAGGAGGAGCAATTGTCCAGTATAGATGAGTAGGGGTAAAATACAAGACCTCTTGAAGTTCATTCTTGCATCACCACAATGTCGGCACATCCTCTCCCCTCAGCTCGCACCAACATCTCGCCTGCTGATACATCTCCCCCTGAGCTCCCTCTGTGATCATCCAGTACTTCTTCAGAAACCACGGCCGTACTTCCCAACTTCGAATATCCCAGGGGGCGCCAGAGTGCCCTGTCCCGGCGCCGGCAAAGGAACCCCAGCAAATGACTCCGTCATTCTGCAGGTCGTGGCAGAGCTCCTCCCTGTTGATGATGGGCGGCTCAGCGTGCATCAAGGCTATGAGGCGCTCACGGAAAGCGCGAAAGGGAAGAGCGTCAATGTAGGGGTGATGGCGCTGTGTGAGCTGGTTCTGAGTGGGCTTCAGGTCGTCTTTTACATCGGTGAATGCGAGTCCTTCTGTGCTTGCGCTTGGTGCTTTCTTGGATGTGAAGAAGGGAGACTCGGACTCGAGTGAAAACATCTCTGGGGCTGTTACGCCGAGCATGGTTGCGTTGTGCAGGAGAGCTGCTACAAACGACATTTGCGTGACGCGGATTGTGTTGGCGTGAAGGTCGGGAAGCGGCACTATGTATTTACTGTTAGAGACGTGATATAGTAGCTCTCATGTCTTAGGATTCACCTTGCATAGGCTTGTAAAATGCGCGCCCCTGTACTGAGCCGTTGGCTGGTTTCGTCGTGGTTTGCGAGTCATTTTCCAATGACTGAAGACCTTTTCTCACGACATCCTTGAGGGTGATCTTGTGCTTGCGGATACTCATTAGAAGAGATTTACTCAATGCTGTGTCGTCCTGTAACAGAAAATGCGCAAGCAGGCTATCCGTATCGTCTTGCTCTGACGATTGGCTGTCTGGTACAATGATATGTGGCTGGGGGGCGTCTTGCTGCAGACAAGACGAATCAAAGCCACCTCCTGGGGTGATGGCATCCGATCCTGATTGGGCAGCCAGCGGAGGAGATGCGGAAAACAGATCCTCCCGAAACGATCTTCCGGGATTCAAGGTACCGTCCGTCTGCTGGAAGTCAAGACTCGGCATATATCTGTACATGGGAGCTGGCACGCTTGTCTGGTAGCTCAAAGCAGTAGCGCTGAAGCTCGTGCCGCATCCTACGAGGCTTCCCATGCCTGTACCAGCAGCCGGACCGAACTCTTGATGCTGCATCATGCCGGACAAGCCCAAGATTGGCGAGTCGGCGCCGGCCAGGATGCCAGCCATTTCTTGGCCGATCGTGGCGCTTGGTGCCCCAGAGGCTGGTGCATCTTGGACAAGTGTCTGCGACTTGGCGAATGACTCCAGAGCCTGCAGCCTCTTTTTCTGTTTCTCCCCTGGTGGTTTCTACTTATTAGGGGATCAGTTCATTGCGATAGTGGTTGTACATACGGTAAGTCTTTTGTGCCTGGCGGTTCTGGATGCGTCTCCTTTCGGATGTCTTGAGCTTCAGCGGCACCGCCTTTGGTGTACCGGGAATAGTGGGTTTCGCTGCACTCAACTCGCTGCTGCTCCTATCATCGTCATTCTGCGGACTGGCAGATTGGTTGTTGGTTATCGTCAAAGCGTCAACGTGCTCCATGGCGATTGACGAGAGGGTGCCGTCATCAACGGACAGTAGCGAAGGAACAGCAGCGTGGGGGGAAGCGATGATGGCAGCTGTAGGGAGATGTTGAGTTGAGCAGCGACTGATGAGGTGATCATAGAATCAATCACAGAGGGGCGATGAGGTGAGCAGATGGCCATTCGGCCGGCCAATGGCGATCCACACGCTTGTAATGAATAAGCAGAGGCGTTTGGGTGCTGTTTGGTCGGTTGGAGAATTAGGCTTATACCATCGAAAAGGATTGCGGGCTATAAGCAGTTTATCGAACAACAGACTAGACTTACTTGCTAGTCGAAGATGGGTATGGAATCACGACGTCAAACCACAACCCCGGCCATACCGTATTGTGGAGGCCGGAAAATAAACCGAAGTAGCGGGCAGCCCCCAGATGAGGTAACTGAACTTTTAAGCCTACGAAGTTGGCAGCTCCAATCATATTCACCCTCAGTGGGCACATTACCTCAAAAAGTCCGCTCCATGTTGGCGGAGTTTGATGCGATAGGTCAGTATCAAGCGGTAACATCGACGACTATCTCCGGTAATGACCGTGGCTCCTCGTCAATATTTGCCCATTCCTAGTTTCCAGGATAGTCTTCGATTCGTATAGACTAGAGACTCAGTCCGGACTTAATGCATGGCGGATCTTGTATCTGGGGTTCATAGACAGAGATAAAGTGTATATATAGACTTAAAACACACTTTTCAGGTTCCATCATTCAACCATCGCATTCACGTCTTCGTCCCATAACATCAGTCTCGTCACATAATAACATCCCGTCCAATAACAGCATAACAATGGCCTCAACAAAGCTTCCCGCCAAACCCCTCGGCCGCAACGGCCCTCTCGTTCCAAGATTGGGCTTCGGAGGCATGGGCCTCAGCGTATCTTATGGATTTGGAGGCTCAGACGAAGAACGCTTCAAGGTTCTAGACCGCGCCCACGAGCTGGGCAACACGTTCTGGGATACAGCAGACGTCTACGGCGACAACGAGGACTTGATTGGCAAATGGTTGAAGCGTACGGGAAAGCGTGACGACATCTTCCTTGCCACGAAATGTGGCGGCATTCTTGATGCTGGGGGCTTTTCCATTCGTTCGGATCCGGAATACGTGCGGCAGGCTTGTGACAAGTCACTCCAAAGACTCGGTGTTTCTCACATTGATCTGTACTACATGCATCGGCTTGATAAGGAGGTGCCTGTTGAGCTTACGATCAAGGCTCTAGTAGAGTTGAAAAAGTCAGTGTACTCCTATCTCCTGGTATCGACATAGGCTGACAGCTCCATCGTCTAGCCAAGGAAAAATCCGGCACCTGGGTCTCTCCGAAATCTCAGCGGCCACCCTCCGCCGCGCCCACGCCATCCATCCAATCACCGCCATCCAAGTCGAATACAGCCCCTTCGCCGTCGACATCGAGAAGCCCGAGATTGATCTCCTGCGCACGGCCAGAGAGCTCGGCGTTGCGATTGTCGCTTACAGCCCCCTGGGACGGGGCATGCTGACGGGGCAGATCAAGTCCCCAGACGATTTTGCCGACGATGACTTCCGCAAGATCATACCTCGTTTCTCCAAGGAGAACTTTCCCAAGAATCTGGCGCTGGCCGACAAGATTGGGAGGATTGCTGCTAGCAAGGGCGTAACACCGGGACAGTTGACCCTGGCGTGGTTGCTGGCACAGGGCGACGACATCTTTCCAATTCCTGGGTACGTATTTGTTATGTCATAAGTAGGCGAACTGGAGAGATTGATGTAGGCTGACTGAGTGGGCAGTACGAAGAAGGTCAAGTACCTCGAAGAGAACTTGGGAGCTATCAATGTCACTCTTACAAAGGAGGAAGAGGCAGAGATTCGGAAGGCAGTTGATGAGACGGAAGTTACTGGAGGCCGATACCCTGACGCGTGAGTGCAAATTCATCATGGGTGTCTCTGCTTCAAATCAAGTCGCATGCTAACCTCGGTGAACAGTATGGCAGGTCAGTTATATGTCGATACCGTGGAACTCAAGAGCAACTAAGGGCAGCTTTTCTTTGACGACCATAACTGCAAACTACAGGTACCTCCGCCGGATCCCTAGTGAACAACTGGTGGATTATGCATATTGGATTCTCAGTCGGATATAATAAGAAATTGTTGTCATATTTCCTGCATTCTGTCTTGACGCTGCGTATTAGTTGATTGACATCGACACGTTCCAGCATGAATCGTATGTTCCATGACCATGCAAACTCTTGACTTTGACGCCATGTGTCGAAGAAAGGAGATGATAAAGACCAGAATGTATCTCGGGCACTACCAAAAGCTGCACCTCTTGCTCACATCATCGACCCTCTACCGGCAATACCTACATTTTCTATGCTCTGGCTGGCCATCAAGGGCCCTCCATCCCACTTTCAACTCATACAGCATGATGGCATCAAAGCTCACATGCTGACGGGTGCTCAGAGGCTGGCATCTGACCCTGAATACTTCCCAAGCCTTGATCGAGGGAATGTTTCGCACACGGGGACCATGGTTCACGTGTATACACCAATTTTATGTACGTCTTTTGCAGAGGACATGCAGCTTGAATCAGGTTTTCTCGCATTCTCACTCATGGTAGATGAAAACGGAGCTGAAATGTCTTGTATTACGTTTCCCCAGACATGGATTGTCCCCCCTTGCGCCATTGGCTTAGGTGTGCTGAAAGCGCTTACTACAGAATGGCGGCACGTCTTACGTATCTGCCCATGACATCTCAATGCAATGCCAAAATGCATGTATATGACACAGAGAAATCCCATAAATAGATTGCACGATTTCTTGCCAATGTATAGAATAAGAGATGGCCCATAGGTAGACATTGTACATGGATATGGTCAGAAGCCCAACAAAAGAAATGGCGGCCGACTTTTTGTACATAGAACAGAGTAGCATCGTCAACATCCTTTTCACTATGCTTCCTCCTTGTCGACTTCCCACAGCCCAGACATGGAGTCCTTCATATCCTGCGCCATCCTCTCCTCCGCCTCCTTCAGCTCGTCCTCAAAACCCTTCCCCCAGCCCATATACTGCCTCCACCGACTCAAATAAAACACCGCGTCGAGCACAAACATGGCCCATTGCGATCCCAACGCCTGTGAAAACGTCACCTCGCTGTCGTCGCGCAAGTTCAGCATCGCCGAGCGACCAATCATGCCCAGTCGATTGACGGGAGAATCGTAGAAGCGATTGCTGCCCTGGACGAGAGCTAGATTCCGCTCCAGAAACATGAGCTCGCGAGGATACAGCCCATCTTCACCGAAAAAGGCAGCAGCCTCACCAATCAGTCGCTCGGATCGCTCTTCGGGCGTCTCGTCGGTCGGCTCTGGCTTCTTCGAGTCGCGAGACATGAACGTGTCGGCCCAGGCATCGGACGTCTTCATTCCCCAAGCGGCTGACACTTCATCCAAGCCTCTCTTGTCACCTGTGAGCAGAGACTTCCAAAAACGAGCGTACTGTCGCCGCAAGTCATCTGATAGAGACACGTAGAGGCCGTGGTCTATGAGCACAATCTGCGGCTTGCCCGACGGGAGGCGTCGAACAAACATGTTGCCCGGATGAGGATCGCAGTGGACGAATCCCCATTTGAACATTTGCGACGAGAAAAGGTCAATGACAGTCGTCATGACGTCGGCTTCGTTGAGGCCCATCCCCGAAGACACATGGTCGGAAGGATTGTACTGGCCGGTGATGATGTCCTTGTCCCACAGCTTGGCGCCGTGAATCCATTCAGACGTCAACACGCGCTTCGTCGTGAGGTCTGTGTAGACTTTGGGGATGTACACTCGCGCGCTCAGATCGGGGTCTGACTGAACGAGTTCAGAGATTCGTATCGTGTTCGCCGCTTCGTTCTGAAAGTCTGTCTCCTTCATGATGTTATTCATGATGTAGTCGCCGATGCCTTGAATAGGGATATCGGTCGTTCTGCCTATCAAGTCACACATGACCCTATCACAGCCGCCAGTTAGTTCATCTTGTCAATGGATATCATAAGGTAGAGGTGGGAGAGCCTGTGGTATACTTGAAGGTCCAGAGATCCCACGACGCCTGCTGCGCCAACTTCCTCTTCTGCACTTTAATCGCAACCTCCCGCCCGTCCCTCAGCCTCGCATAGTGAACCTGCGCAATCGAAGCCGAAGCCCTCGGCTCCCTCTCCACCTCGTCGCCAAATACTTCGCTCACGCTGGCCCCAAACTCCTCTCTAATGACAGCCTGGACGTCGCTCCAAGATTCCTGTGCAGCATCGTCAAACATATCTTTAAACTCTCGTTGGTAAGCTTCAGGGAGAGCGGCGCCCTGCACGGCAATTGCCTGGCCGATCTTGAGAAACATGCCGCCGTTGGTTTTGATCATGTCGGCGACACGTTTGGCGTTGCGGTCGTGCAGCTCGTCGATGGGGACGCGGGCTTGCTTGGGATTCTTTCCCGAGTGCATCTTGTAGTCGAGCCCGACTTGCGCGAGGGTTGCATATGCTCGCAGGCTGCGCGTCAGGATGCCTCCCATGTAGTATCTGTCTGCTACAGTGACGCCGCCGGCTGTCACACCGGCGGTGGCTCCTAGGGCGATCAGCAGCTTCCAGTACCATCGGAGCTTCTTCTTCTGCGGCTCTGCGACGGTGCTCTGAAATCGGACATGGTGAGATCTGGGCGACAGGCGTGAAGGTGCAACGTGAGTGGAGGAGAGGGCGGGATGGAGGCGGAATTGCTGGAACCGCAAAGGCAATCTAGTCTGTCGTGTCAATAGCAAGGGGGAAGAAGCAACAGCCTTCAGAAGAAGACGCGAAGCCATTATTCTATACGTGAAAGCCCTCTAATAGAAGTAGCGAATGGCCACCGAGAACGGCTATAAGCGAAGAAAGGCTCTCTACATTAAGCCATGGAAGAAAATAGGTTGGTTGGATGGGTAAGGAAAGCCATGTCTCTCACCGGCCAGTGCCAAGGGCCGCGGGTTATGACATACACTCTTACGCGATTCGACAATGCTGTAGTAGTCGTATCATCGCCCTCTCATCCTCTTCTCCATCCTTCAATCCTTCCGCCGCAAGGCCTTCAAGATAGATCCGTGAAGGCTAACGAATGGAAGTGCGACTTGCATGCGGATAGTAATGCGGGCTGGCCAATCGGGAGATCGGGGCTTGATCGCATTCCGCATCTCTTACCAGGATCAAGCATCTACTTAGACACTCCGTGCCTCAAGGCGAATCCATCTTTGAGTCACCCAATGCATGTGACACAGTCAATCTGTCTCGACTCATCAATCGAGATCCTAGAAAGCGTGATTGGGCATATGCCGTCGACTGAGGCTATTCGTGTCGAACTGTTCAGTTACCTTTGCATGAGGCTGAGCAAACGCATCCCGGTGAAGCCTAGAGGGGCACAGCGCCGGACTCATCCGCTTGCGCTCATCTTACGTATAAGAACTGTATCAGCTAAAGGCCTGGAGTAATATACTACTAAGCCGTCATCAACATATTGAGTCAGCCCAACACTGTCATTTTCAGATGACTAACGTAATCATATATAAGTGAAGGCGGAGACTGTCTACCTCTAGAGGCTCGCTTCTTCACGGTGAATATCGTATCAAACAGCACACTCAAAGCTTGTGAGCGGCCGTCATTGTTGTCCATCTTTCCTTAAGCCAATGTTTCCGCGCAGGCGTTTACAACCCCCGTATCTCCCATCGTGACAACGTACATGCGCTACAACTCAGTATATAGTCAGATTTGATTGTGGCATGAATGCATTCTCATTATTCACTGCCTCTTGGTTGCTATTATTGATTCAATACTGATCAGTAGTTTCTTTCCTCTTTTGCTGCACTGTCAGATTCCGTTTGTGTGACTTGTAGATGCACCCTTGTCCGTTCCGCGTAGTCAGCCACTCCGTTCAAGGAATCTCACGCTCTACCGATCGAGCGATGAGATGCCTCTTCATTGCTCTCGACTCCCGAATATCTGCCGAACGGCCATGCAGCTTGGACAGCTCAGTCGGTAGAGCGTGAGACTCTTTGCGCTGTAAGGCGGCCCAAGCAGGGTGAAGGAAAACGGGCCGCATTATCACTTACAAATGCGGCGATATATTCTTCCACCCTCTTTGAGCGGCTGCATTGATCGAGACGAAGAAGTAGAGCAAGTAGCTTCGATTTTGGTAAGAAGGCATGAATATGGGTGTATACGTGTTACTACCTTATCTGCACAGGACTCCTACAACTCAGATTATTCCGGCGCCAAACATTCTCTGTAAAGAACAGTGTAGACGTTTGATGGTTGGATTAATTGCAAGAGGGAAGAAAGAGCCAGTTCGCCGCCCACGTACGCGATTGTGCCGCCCGGAGCCTACATACATATATATGCCCAGGTACTCTACCAAGACGACCCTGCTTGGCCAGGGCATACGTAACTCATCCTGCATCCTTCTTCTCTGGACGGTATCATAGCTCCAAGGACCCCGTCCCTCGTGGTGACCCCCCACATAACAGCGCATGACAGATGCAGGAACCCTTCATTGCCGCAAGACCTGCTGGTAGGGCGGAACCTTGCACAGTGCTAGTGCAGGAACGTTGTATCCTGCATCTGGTGATAAGCAGACAAGTCAGCGGCTACGGTTCCTGGATTACTTATGTGCTCGGGGCCAGTGTTACAGGCGTTTCCCTATCAGGTGTAACAAATGTGTCGAGTGCTGGTTCAGGCGGCTGCGCGGATTCAAGATGCCGTGCCACTTACAGACCTGCCTAAAAGGGACGGGTTTTCAGACATGCTAATGAACCACTGCTCTCATGGGCATTGTAGTATTGTTTCTGAACGCTGCCCAACCAGGAAACTCGATCCATATCAATTCAATCCCGTGCTACTGTCACTCAGCCTGCGGTTTTCGGTCCAAGTGTCCGATGGCCCCCAGTTGGTCCACGCGCCTATCTGTCGATTGATACCCTCTTCGACCATATCAAACCGACCTTGATATACCGCAATCACCTGTCCACCTTCTAGTCCCATATCAGCAGGACAAGTGCCAGCCATGTGCTCTTTGGAATATATATCTCAATGAAGACGGGAACAGAGTGGGCCACTTTAATCTCATCTGCACCAGTTGGGCGGGTGAGAACCGAATTGTTTGCATCCCCATGTAACGTCGCCTTTTGTGACCGTGTAAGTGAAACAAACAACATCATCTCATCATCTTGTAGTATGGCATTTCTCCATAGAGCGAGAAGCCAGCTTCTGCAAATGGCATCACTACTCCGCATTCATCCTGGTAGAACGTGCCGCCGTGAGATTGGAGCCTGCAGGTCATCCGTCTGTCTACCCAGAGTTCTATATATCAGGTCTGTGTTTCCCCAGGAGAGAGAACAGCTCTGTTTTTTTCCCCAACGCAAGCTTGTTCAAGAGGGCTCAGTGCCATATTCCTTCCTTTGAAGTTCATATTTTTGTGGCGGCTATTCTTCTCTGTATATATTATAACTTTGTCATTTATACCATCCAACATGCTGTCACGCACTCTCCTTGCTGCCCTCGGTCTCACGACCATTGCAGCCGCCGCTCCCTCGCGAACCATCAAGACCCGTCAAGCTCCCAGCGGCCAGAACGCCGTGTACTGGGGCGCCACCAACAACGAAAACGACAACCTCTCGACGTACTGCACGGCCAGCTCCGGAATCGACATTGTCATCCTCTCATTCCTGGACATCTATGGCGCCACCGGCAACTTCCCCTCTGGAAACATGGGCAACTCGTGCTATGTCGGCACAGACGGCACCCCCCAGCTGTGTGACGACCTGGCCTCCTCCATCGCCACCTGCCAGGCGGCCGGCGTCAAGGTCATCCTGTCTCTGGGCGGCGCCGCCAGCTCGTACTCTCTGCAGTCTCAGTCCCAGGCCGTGGCTATCGGCCAGTACCTCTGGAACGCGTACGGCAACTCGGGCAACACCACCGTCCAGAGGCCCTTTGGCAACATCTTCGTCAACGGCTTCGACTTTGACATTGAGCTGAACGCCGGCAGCGAGTACTACCAGTACTTGATCTCGACGCTGCGGTCCAACTTTGCCAGCGACCCCTCGAACACGTACTACATCACCGGTGCTCCTCAGTGCCCCATCCCCGAGCCCAACATGGGCGAGATCATCAGCACCTCTCAGTTCGACTACCTGTGGGTTCAGTTCTACAACAACAACCCAGTGTGCTCCCTCGGCCTCCCCGGCGATGCCCCTTTCAACTTCAACGACTGGGTCACGTTCATCGAAACGACCCCTTCCAAGAACGCAAAGCTCTTTGTCGGTGCTCCCGCTTCCACTCTGGGTGCCAATGGCAATGCCGGCGGAGCAAAGTACTACGCGACGCCCGAGCAGCTGGCCGGCATTGTCAACAGCGTCAGCTCCAACCCCTTCTTCGGTGGCATCATGCTCTGGGATGCCGGTTACTCCGACTCCAACGTCGAGAACGGCTGCAACTACGCCCAGGAGGCCAAGAACATTCTTCTCACCGGCACTGCTTGTGGAGGAGGATCAACCGCCCCTTCTCCTCCCTCTTCGACCACCACTACCAAGGTTCCTCCTCCTGCCACCTCCACCCCGTCGAACCCTTCAGGAGGCGGCTCAGTTCCCCAATGGGGCCAGGTAAGACTTTCCATACCATGAACGAGTTGGAATAAAAATTGAAAGCTAATGACGGTTCGATAGTGCGGCGGTGATGGTTACACGGGTCCCACGCAGTGTGAGGCCCCTTACAAGTGCGTCGCCACGAGCGAGTGGTGGTCATCATGCCAGTAAGGGGAGATGACTGGAATCATTACATGAATATAAAAAGATATGAGAAAGCACATACTAGTACATACTAAGAAAGGATCCCGATCCCCTCTTTCAAGTGACGCAAAAATTGTTCAAAAAGACAAAAAATAACCGCCTAATCTTAACCAGTGACTTGTTATAGGAAAAGCCCGATGCGGGGGTCGAACCCGCAACCTTGAGATTGCATCAGAACGTGTTCTCGATTAAGAGTCTCACGCTCTACCGATTGAGCTAACCGGGCGGGTCAAGTGACATGGTCATCGACCAATCACAGACCACCGATTGAGCTTCAGGCGGCTTGTGGAAGGAGTAATGCAATAACTTTTTATAATTTATTGGCTGAGAGGCGGTGGCTTACCTATTGAGCTGGACTGGGTTTATGTTAGCAGAGTAGTCAGGTCGGATCTTGGGCGCGTAGACGGTCACGCAGCTAGTCAATACGGTTGCAGTGGATGTCTGACTTCCAATCTGATTGTATTGTGAGCTGTGTCAACAACTGGCTGTCTAAGCTCTCTGAATGAGTGACATAAAGTGAACTTATAATATCCAGTTGATCTGGTGGCTCGTACAGCTCGTTTGTCGAGCTGGTCGAGCTTATCCTGGTGTTGCTCGCATGGCTCGTTCCTCGAGCCGATCGAGCGACATCTGATTCGTGGATCGGAAGGGTGAATATTCCGATCCGGATCCTACAATGACGTTGGGTCGTAACAAGGCCCCACTTATCGTGGGCTAGGCGGCCCCTCGCCTTAGAACGGCGCTCGTTTGTAACACTTTTTATTATCCGAAACTTCGCACGACCCCTCAATTTCATTTTCATAGTCTCCTTTGACAGAATAAATGACTCGACTAGCTTGAGGAGAAACGAACTGCGCAGGCAATAATGCTTGATCTCATTTGTCATCTTTGTGACGACTACTACTACTCAGTAGAGTTTGACACAGACGAAGAGCTGGATGAGCATTTGGAGGCTGAGCACAACTGGTGTCCTTTCTGCTGCCATGACTATGATACTCCGGCAGAACTTCTTAATCACCAAATTGACAAGCACAATCTGTGTTGGATCTGTCGAGAGTATTTTGACAGTCGTTCTAACCTGAGACATGTTGGTTTCCTATACCCTAGATCTTGCATATACCTGACAGTTTCTGCAATAGCATAACCTAATTCATACTGCAAGACTTATAGAGTGCCCTGGATGCCCTCGGAAATTCCCCACAGAATCTGCCATGGTGCTGCATCTAGAGGTCGGACGCTGTCAATCAGGCCTCTCCTGCGATGACATCGATCGCTTTGCATGCGATTGTCGTCAATCGCCAAAATTTCTTGTTAACGGAGATGAATTGAGGTACATATGCCCAACTTGCGAGGGAACTTTCAAATTCATGAGTGGTCTTTTGCAGCATGCTGAGAGCGAGCGTTGCGATGAGAATCTAGACGAGAGATATAGCCCTTTGGCGATATTTCTTCGTTATCTTAAGTCACGCATTACGCATTCGGACAAAGGCTATAGACATACTACGCAGTGACTTATAACGCTTATGAAAATGTCTTGACATTCATGGCTATATGCACTTTGTTTATGTGAAAAGAAATAAGGAAGGCAGAGGAGCTAGTATCTAGTAGCTTAACTATTATAGTATGTTGCTTGCATTCCCACCTTATATACATCTGTCAGGAGCCGTCCTTCACGATGCAATCCAAGCCTGCCTCTGGTAATTTGCAGTTAATGCTTCCCAGTCGCTTACTAGAATATAGTAGCAGGCTGCAAGGCCGCCCCGGTAAGGGCATGCAACTTGCAGAATTCTTTCTCTGACTGCTCTGTTCCCGGAGTCTATTCATTCATATCTGAGTTATAAGTGAGGCACTGGCGGCTGATGTTAAAGTCGACAACAGCAAAATCCTGGCCCTTAACCTATGCGGATAGGTATATGTCAGTGCTGTATCTGCACTGAAGCGATTTGTCGATGCATCAAAAACGCACCTCTGAACACACTCAAACACACCACAACAACAACAAACCAGCTCGTAGAAAATCGGTTGTACCGCGCGCTGTAAAGACCACATCGCGGAAACAAGTCAAGGAACCATTTGATCTGGCCCTCTTCGAGAGTTTCGATCAGGAATATAGTCAGAGCTGAGGCTGTTGCTCAGCTTTGCGGTTCACCGTTTGACCCGCAGTTGAACCGGCGATTGATTCGCCCTCTCGATCGGCGGTACTGATTAACAACCATTTTCGCCCTTTTCCCGTCTTTTCGGCTTCCATATCTCTCCCTCTTCTGCTTTCCCCATTCCTCTAGGTCCCTGGGCCGCTGAATGCAACGCAATATGATCTCTCTCGGTGCCAATACATTCTCTAAGTTACTATGAACTTGGTTTGCTGTGGAAATATTCTGGGAAATGCCAAGAATGCCATCGCAGACCTTGTTAACCGGCCACTTATATCCAGGTCTCTTCTTCACGTGTTTGAAGACAGCGTCTGCTGCAAGCACCTGAGGATCGACAAGTGTCTTATGAAATATGCGTAACAGTTCCAAGTCGTTGCGAATGAGTGTCTAACAAGAATGGTTTCGTCGCCGATGTACAGGAAACTTTGTTCGCGCTTCTTCCCAGCCCCGCTTGTACTCATATCCTCCCGTTATGCGCTCTAGAGCCTCTGCGTTGATGCCGTGGATATGGCTACGCCACTCTGAGATTGGTTGCGATGGCGCGACGGGCGAATCGATCAACGTTCTCCCAGTGAGGAAGTCGACTGTCAAATAGTTAATAAATCGCTTCAACAGTCTTTAGCCCTTCCCCATTCGCAGTCAAGGGGTCGAGGGCAACAACCTTTCATTTTCTGATAGTAGCATCCCTCTTTGGCGTTGCGGCGAAGTTGTCGATGCGAAGGTCTGGCTTCTTAGCAATACTTATAGGGAAGCGGCCCGGTGTCAAGGATTACACGCTCCCATCAGAGGATCTCTAGTGAATGGCATTTTCGCAGTAGCTCCCCGTAGATGGTAAGTTCTGAATATGTATTGCCCCTACATTACAAGGTTGGTGGCAAACTGTGTAAAGCTCGGCACATCGGCTTAGGGTAAATACGCAAGTGCCTCTGTGGATCGGATTGTAAACGGCTAAAATTGCGTGTTCACATTAATATCTAGAGCTTCTCAGTGATACTGATAGGAATTATATTGGACGGTTGTGGTAATTATAGGTCGGAATTGAACTCTTCTTTTATATAACTTATAATGACTTACACCACGCATGAAGGAACTCTCATCCTGTTACTTATGTCGGCTTGAATCCTATCACGCCGGCCTGGAACATAGCTTTCGCATCGATCACTTAGGAGTGGAAGCATGGATCTCCCAGGAGCAGAACATCGGGTCCTAATCATTCTCTTAATCGACGCTTGCCATGGCCTTGACAAGAGGAAGATGAACAGCTTCGTTCCTCGTAAAACACACTGCGTGGCGTCGATCCGCATTGTCGATCTTGTACAGCCGATTGAGCGCTTCTGCGCGACGACAAGCTGTACGAAGAGGCCTCTCTGAATTTGGCAAAGGGTCGGGACTGTCGTCCCAGTATCAGTCATGCAGCAGCGTCCGCCGCCGTTGAAAGCACCGGCCGTGATGGCCTTAGCCAACAGTCAACGATGCCTTCAATAATGGCTATAGGGATGAGATTCATAGCACGTTCAATACGTACAGGTGTGACGAACCGGGTTCTATAGATTAGTACCTTATAGAACAAACTTCCCAAGGGACAACACGTTCGAGTGGATGGCTCTATCGACCTACCTCGTGCAGGGTACCCCTGTCCCGAATCTGTAGGGAGGATTTTCTGACAGCACCGTATTAAACGGAGCACATTAACGTTCCTAACTGAACTACCCCGCTTTTGAAGCAGAGTCAAAACGTTAGAAACTGACAGACTGTAATCCTTGTTTTAGTTAACATTGCCTTAAAAAACAAGGGTCCGGACTCTTTGAAGAAGAACATGCCCGGGCAAATGATCACGTGACTTGGTAGTCATTGACCAATCAGGAACACCGGTTGAGCTCAGGCGGCTCAATTGAAAGTGATCGCTTTCCATGCTTTCATAAACCAATGTCCCTCTCCGCATCCCAGCAACCTCACAACGCCACGTACCTTGTCCAAGCCGCCTCCAATCAGTGAAGGAGTATAAACTCCAATAAAATCTCAACTCATCTTTGGTATCCATTGTAATTCCTATCTCTGGTCGCGAAATCAACCTCGAACAAACACTCCACCCATCCTATGGTATTCATGATATAATTCAAGCGGCGTATCTTCAATCTGCTCGCAAAATCCCAATAAACTCACCTTTCTCAAGGACCCCAAAAGGGAAGCTGCGCATTATATTCCTCCGCGAAACTTAGGCAGTGTGATGCCTGAGTTTCCCCGGTCTATGAGGTGGTTCTGAGTGTCAAAAGTGCCCTCATAGGCTTCAACCAGTAAGGGCAAGTCAGTGCTTTTGTGGTTGATGCTGGTGTATCATGGCTGTAGGATCAGGTAGCCGGTATCGTAGTTCATTTCTCTAAGCGTACAATCGAGGAAAGGACTCTGTTTGGATATGTTGCCAGTTGATAGTCTTCTTAGCCACCCAATATTAAATGAGTTGCCTTGTGTCTAATCCAAGTCTAAGAAGGCAAGAAGAAGTCGTCAGGGTTAAAGTCATCAAGCCCAGCGTTGGCTCTTTCTTGTTCGAGGAGTTCTGATGACAGCGAACCCGCGACCTGCTTGCCCTTGTAGGGTTTTTCTGGGGTGTCGGCGTTGTCGTTGTAATCGTCGGACGAGTACAACTGTGGTTCGGGGAGGTTCACGTCAACATCGATGTCGAGTGGGGAAGGGGTCTTGCCGCTGTAGATGTCTATGCTTTCTGGTTTAGCGGATTTATTATCTAGCTCAATCTAGATATCAATATATATATAGATAGATAGATAGATAGATATAGATATAGATATAGATATCTAGGCATATATCATTTAGAGAAAGATGGCGATTTCTATTAGAATGCTTTCTCCTTCTACCCCATATAGCAGCATCAGCAGTAGAATAAGAGGGGAGTAGAGAAGAAGAAGAAGACTCCTTGGCGCCCGTAATCAAAGCTATGGGTTGGGTGACGAGGCGGGACAGAACATCACGTCGTCATCATTAGAGGGTCAATCATCTGTAGCGGACCATAGACCTCCATTCCCCATTTCGCTGTATAATCTAATGAGACCTTTTCCCTACATTGAAAACTCCATTTGGCGTCTGGTGGGTGACTCTATGTAGCCCACAACGCCGCAAGGTCTTGGCCGTATTCCACACTCGCTCATATACATCCAGCTCGTATTCCTTTCTCTCGGGGCTGCCCAGGCCTGTGAGCAAAGCAATCCATTTAGAATTCTGTGAGTCCACCCCTGGTCCAAGGTCTTTGTAGCACGTGTATGTGGTGAGCAGACTGCGGTCGTAAAGCTCTAATGTGCACTCAGCGTCTGAGTGGCATATTGTGCAACCAACGACCTGAGCATATTGTCCATCAAAATTACTCCACTGCTCGCTGTCATGGGACGTACACCGCGGTGGATAGTTCGTGATCTGTGCTGATACCTCGACCATGCCATTTTTAGTCGCGAATTTCGGCGCAGAAATTGTCAAGCTCTGATGTGGGCAGGCAGTGAAGGATTGTGGTCGATTGTCATCGCTCCGACTTTGGTAGCAGACTAATTCCTGTTTTTGCAAGAAGTCGCCCTTATTGAAATAGATCTCGCTGGTCCAAATGTAAGTCGTGCCGTTCTCGGAGGTGCATGTATCCTTAAACGATAATTTGGGAATAAAAGCCCTCTTTGTGCCAGGGCCGAGTCGGCCATGGATGCAAGCTAGGTGATTCGAGGAGAGGTGGTAGGCCATGACAGAATGTATAGGCTCGAGCGTGAGGGCAGATTGCAAGCCAATCAACAAATCCTCAGCCTTGTCATCTCCAGTTTCTGCCCTTCGCAGAGACACTTCCGTCGGTGTAGATTGCTTAGATCGGTGATAGATACATGGATGCTCGCGGAGACGGCGATTGGGCGAACGTATTGAAGGATGCTCGCGGCAACAGCCCTGGTGAGGCCCACAGATGCATAGAAGAGGCGATGTCTCGTGGAATATAGTGTCTTCGGATACTGTAGTCGCTTGTTGATATGAAGGCGGCATTGTCTGAATAGAATCTTCATCGTGGCCAAGACCGCTATACTTGATGTGCTGACTCGGCTGGGCTGGCTGATTTTGAGAGGTGAAGCGTTCCCGACGGTGTCTCCGTAGGTAGTCCATGAATCCCAAGACTGGTGCCAGCATTATAGTAGCCATGACAATAAAGAGGCTATCCATGAGTTCTGTTGGAAACAGATGATGGGAAGCTGAGAAGGCCTGGGCGAGGTAGCTGTAATACGGTAAAAACGGTAACGTGAAGGACTTCGTCGATTGTTGAAGAATGAAATAGCGATCCGGCCCCAAGTAGGACCACAACCGCATCTTATAACTCTAGATTCTTAGTAGATCGGGTTTCGTCACTGAACCTTATTGCCAAGCCATGGCTGAGCGTTGAACTTTGACTATGAGGAGCCCGGTCTTATTATGATGAACCAGTCTTCTTACATGCTTAGAGTTCAGAGAACTTAGTGCATCGAACCGATCAAGTCTCGGTTACGTTAGTCTGTGCCATCACTTGGTGGCTGAGTGCTTAAAGATTGAAGCTTACTTGAACACAGCGTCGGACCGAGTTGATGAACCAAGACATTCATAGCTGGGCTCTGCAAGCCTAGCAGCCTTGCGCAACAAATAGTAGGCTTGCAAAAGACAAAAGTTATGCCTCGAACTTCATGCAAGCTTGCAGGCTGGACTACCTACTTATTGTGCCCATCGTTGTTTTCTCACACATACATTTCTGAGCCAACACATACTGCAGCGTCAGAGCGAATGATAGAAAAGGCTTGAAGCAAGCCACAGAAATGTATAACGGCGGCAACCATGACTGCAACGTGAAAGATCTGGTGGCTGGCACCAAAGATGTCAAATCTGTACGGTAACCACCTCTCCGGGATCTGGGTCTCGTCAGTATATTGCGCTTCAAGCATATTCAATCGTCTCAATAGAGAATCGAGCTTACCCTGGCTGCATAAATGGCCGCGCCCACAATATTAGACGTGGCCATCCAAGCCATCCAATGCAGAGACATGTGTGCCCGTTGAATAGCCCATCCATGTATAACCAGACCATGAATGACAAATATCACAGAGCTCAACCCAAAGCCAGCGTAAAAGCACGCACGCCAATGCCTGAGTTGGGGTGAGATGAATCGTGGGTGTAATGTGACTATAGTACATAGAAGTGCGGTGCTGGACGTCTATGAAGAAGCTATCAGCCTCGTATAACAGGTCACGGTAAGCATCTAATGAAAGACTTACAGTCATCCAGTAAAGCCATTGTAGGTTCTGGTTGCAAAAAAAGCCATAGTACACCGTGGGAATGCCAGCTCCCCACATCAGGACAAGGATGCCGAGATAATCCAGTTTGTTGCAAAATGAAGCCAAAGGCTGGCTGTGACTCCACATGATGTGAAATCTGTGCGAATATTTAGCAACTCTGACTTCACCTTGCAACAGGCTGGATTCTTTCGGCATCCTTGCATCTACTTACGTCGCTGAAAAGGTAAAGCAGACTGCCACACCAAGGCAGTAGGTGGATATTACAACCACGTCGTCGAAATGCGCATTTGGCTGAAACCGGTAGAAGCTCCAGTAGAAGTAAAAAGGGAGTGCACAAAACACCACTGCACCGACCAAATGCGAATAGATGTTGATCGTCTGGTTGTGTAGATAGAATAAGCCGGCAATGGAGGTCCAGGTAGAGCCAGTCGTAGGTCTGCAGTAGAAGCGTAAACAAAGACGGTCATGAGATGCATAGATGAGATGGAGGAATTACCTATAGCCAGAAAGCAAGTATTCGTTGTCTTGTTGCCAGCTGGGGATCTCGTGAAAGTACAGCAGCCTCGGCACCCTCAACCAGATGTGGCCCGGCTTGTCGTCCTTTACGAGAGGATTTCTTTCTTCCATGCTCACTTGCGACGCGGACTGCAACGCCCCTTTCCGAAGAGACATTGTTCGAACGAAGCATCCAGCAAGAACATTTTCCTGCTGACCAGGGAGACGACGGAGTGTTGGGACGATAAAATACAGAATATCAGGGGGATTATTTTCCCTCAACAGCCACTAGGCCGTCCGCTGTTAAAATCACCAGAGCGGTTCGGGGTCCAATGAGGGGAAGCACAGCTCCTGATGGTCCAATCAACGCATGGCCGCATGAATGCTGAAATAAATTCGAGGCCAGAGCTAGGGAACTGCCGTTCTCCCGCGAGCCACGCGAGGCTCTGGTTGGCTGGATAACCACTGAAGGATCGGGCCCCTGCTTCCCACTTGTAGCAGCATCTTCATCCTGCATCGCGTGTGCAGCCAACACTCTGTTAGGTACGTTTTTGCTTCGCAGAGAGTCTAAATAATGGTTTTAATAATGGATGTAAGCCATGGTTCTCGGGTCATCACCAAGTCCCCTGTTCCAAACTCTCTTACCATTCATCAAGCCTGCCCTGGGCGTATGAAGAACCCCATGGAGATTCAGCGCCCTGAGTTTATAAACTACACGTTTGTCGGCTACGTGCCAGATCCAGACGGTCGCGGCACTCTTTCGCTGCTGTTCTCATGTCTTGTGACCCTCAGTTTGTGTGTTTGGTCGGCTATTCACTTGGACCTCCCGCCATATGGCGAGAGCGACATTGAATACGCATACAGGTACCTGAAATGGAGCGTGCTGGGGGTATTCGGGCCTGAGCTCGTCATCTGGGCGGCATGGCGCCAGTTCATATCCGCTCGAACACTCACGAAATATGTCAAGGAGGTTGTGCCGACTTTGCGTAATCAGCATGCTCGCTGCTAACATTTATCCCACAGAGAAGCAACAACGGCCAAAGGAACGTAAACAAGAGACAGCAATGGACCATGGTCCACGGCTTCTATGCAGGCATGGGTGGGTTTGTTTTCGATACTGCCACCACGGAGATGCTGCAAGGTCCACCATTTGTTCCCCAGCGACGTCTCCACCTTACCCCACGAGGGGTCCAGCTCCTGGCACGATGCGGCCTGCTACCCGACATCTCCGTCGAAGAGATCAAGGACAAGAGCAAAACCGACGGATCGGGGAAGCTCATTTGCTATGTCCAGGTCGGCTGGATGGTCGTGCAGGCCGCTGTGCGAGTAGCGGTTGGCCTTCCAATAACACCGCTCGAGACGAATACCATTGGGCACGTTGTTTGTGCTCTGATCAACTACGCTCTTTGGTGGTATAAGCCAAAGTGGATCAAAGAGCCGACCATACTGAGGGGCGACTGGACTCGAGAGATGTGCGCATTCATGTACATGTCCAGCCAAGTCAGTCAAGAGAACAAGGTCAGTCGAGACGTCCTGCGCGACTTTGGCGTCAAGACGGAAATGAGCGGAGTGTTATACACCCCTAGTGACTACAGCTCAGAGAATGCTCGCAGTCATGAGGAATCCAATGAGGATATCCAACTTACGCGACCGAACGGGGCATTTGCAACGAAAGGACATATGGCATTCAACGATGAGTGTGAACCATCAGCGCAGGCACTCCACATAGAAAATGCCGTCACAAAAACAACTACATCGGCTATGCGGGATGTCAGATGACAGCTCGCATGCGATGCCATTGAACGATACCCAGCCATCCGAGAACGCCTCGACGTCCCTCCGTGTGATCAGGCCGAACTGAGATACCGGGAGGCCCACCGACTGTATCCTGAAATGCCAGACAAAGTGAGCCAGCATCCAAGTGGCCACAAGCCAAGCGACCATGTCAAGACAGGCTCAAACAGAAGTTGGTGGTGTGCGTCAGAAGAGCTCGTAGTTGAACGTCCCCGAAACTGGCCCGGCGATGATCTTCTTCGTCACATGCAGGGCCACTTGATGGGCATCATTTTATGGAGCTCCAGCACAGTGTACGGCGCTGTTCATATCGCGGGTTGGAACGAGATATTTCCCACGGACATCGAGTCCTGGTTCTGGAGAGCGTCTGGGGCCTACATTGTCTTCAGCGGACTGTTATGGTCGTTGCTGAATCTCATGGGCCACTTGTCCGGCTCGGTCTGGTGGTTTTGGTACGGCATACTGGAAGGGGCGGAGCGAAAGAGGAGTCATGTTCTCATCTACGTTTTGTGTTGCATAGGAGGGACATTTTATGTTGTTGCGCGGGTGTATCTCGTTTTGGAGGCATTCATCTCTCTGCGCTCATTACCAGCGTCGGCATATGACTCTCCCTCTTGTATTCTAACAGTGCCTCATATATAGGATGGGCGACTCGAGATGCTCCAGCCCGACCTAAGCTATATACCTTCCTTCCCAAGAGTCATTGATCGTATTACTACATACAGCTAAACTGACGATTAAGTACATTGCCGTAACTCGTAGCTATATGTCAAGCATCTTGGCTATATCCGATCGATCCAAGGATTGAGCTACTTGCCATGGCGTCCTGTGCATATGCCCGCCTCGGATTGACTGATCAGCGCCAGCAGACACTAGAAGCTGAACCACATCTGCATGTCCTTGCACGACAGCCAGGTAAAGTGGTGTTCTGCCTTTTCCATCCTGAGCATCTACGTCTGCACCTCGCTTCAGCAGCTCTCGCGCTGCGTCTTGCCACCCATGCGGAGCGGCCTGATGTAAAGGGGTCCGTAAATCTTCGTCTTTGGCGTCGACTTCCGCCCCATGGTCCACGAGAAATCCGATCATTGACACGTTGCCTCGACTTGCGAGAAGGTGCAGTACTGTCTCACGACACGTCTTGCCTTGGTCACAAGGTTGGATGCTAAAGTCCACAAGGTTCCGGACACCGTATGAGCAGCCCCGGTTGGCGCTCTTGATCATCATCGAGGAGGGAATCCTGCGCTGACCACCGAGTCCAGCTGCCCGCTTCTTGGATACCTTCGCTCGTCGGATTTGAAGGGCATCAATCTTGCTTTGCGGAATCTCTTCCGAAGAACCCGTCCTAAATCGATCCCTGCAGTTGTGCGTCAGTACATTGGGCATTATAACACATCTGCACGCTTTAACCTCACTCAATACGTGCCAAGCTGACGCAAAGCGGCAGATTTTGTTTCGAAGCAGCCAAAGCACTGGGAAGCATCCCTTGTTTGTCTTCCTGCAACGCAATGAGCATGAGGCTTTTTGACTCAGTCCATCTAGAGACCTCAACGGCGAGATGGATAGTCTCCGCATCGTCAATTCCGAGGCAAGCCAGAGCATGAAAAACCGTCCACCCATTTTCCTTATGTACCTGTCCTGCGCACAAGTGGCCATGGCACTCGGGCAGATCCTCAGGGCAGTGAGCGTTAGCCAAAGCCATGATGATGGCAATCTCCTTAGGATTGAACGCTGTCTGGCCTCTTGCGAGTATCGGTAGGTAAACGAAGACGAAGCGTCTCGTGGATGGAATCGAAGCTTACAAAGTACATGTATATCACGAAACCCGTCGCACGCTGCAGGAACTGATAGGTAAAAACTGTTACGGCAAGGATAAGGCCTTGCCTCGCTGCGGCCGGCCTGCTAGTATATGTGCATACACCGCCTCCACACGAGGCGTTTGAACTTCATGCAAAATTGGGTGGTATAAAGGCGTGAGAATTCACGGAGTGCATAGTTCTTGTTGTTGGCTGCAGCACATTTTGGTTGTTGGCTGAGGGAGGCCTAGAATGCGGGCAGTGCAGGTTGTTCTCATAGATTCTAGGTCAACGTAAGGTGACCATCTAAAATCGAATGGTGACATAAGCCCCCTGTTAATTCAATCCCATCCGACAGCGTCCTATGGTATCTACCGCAGAGTAAATTCTTGCACCTTGACATCTGATCTTGTCATGAACCCTCCCTGCATGATCCCGTGAACATCTATAGACATGGTTAAGACAATATTCTCGTTCAAGATATCTCGTCAGGCATGGATTGACTTACAACATTCCCCTAGCAGTTGGAAGTATCCTGTATCATCCAACCTTCTCAATACCGTTGGAACCTTTGCACCCAAGAATATGACTACAACATCGCCGCTGCGTGCGGACAGTGGGCCTCTTCCAATATAACCAGATTGCGTGACGAAAAATCGGCCAGTGTACTCCAGACACTTCTTGTTATTCTCGAACTTCATGATACCCCTGTCACCGTGGCTCAAATTTGGGTCGAAGAATTTCTCCTCTGGCGCTTCATCGTCCAAGCCCGGACTCTCGTCTATGTTGCCCTCTTCATCGATCTCGTCTCCGGAGTCTTCATCTTTGAAGGCCTTGACGCCGATAGTAGGCTGTCCGAGAGATATAGTTCCATTGAATGCTTTCAAGCGGCTCAATTTGGAGCCGTAGATGTTGTGTGACTTTGCCTTTCTGAAGAAAAGAGCCCAGCAGGCTTTGGTACAGGATGACTCGAGAGAATCGAATTGCCAAGGCTCATCATCAACATCCTCAATTCGATCGACGACAATACCTTGAATCAAGAGCAGCGTGTTATCTTCCAGCATTCGAAGACACGGCTTGGTGTCTCCCGCAGCTTGGAAGAGATTGTAGGTCGAGGAGGGGGCGAAAAGGATCGAACGCGCAATTTGGGCGTTCAGCGGTGGAATAGACCAGTCCGGGAGCCACGAGGGCCATGCAGATTGATCCTGGAGTGGCAGCTGTATTTGGAACACTTAGCCGAGGACGTTGAATGTATGAGGGTGGGAGAACGAAAAAGGTAAGCTGCCAAACTGGTGACACGGATGACATGAGACTTACTGCAGGATCCTTGTCATAGTGATGACGGAGCTCACAAGCGCTGAGAATGTCGAGGCTTCCTTCGCTATCATAAATACGCCAGAATACATCTCGGCTGACTTCAAACAAGTGGCTTCTGTAATCGACTGTCAGTGGGGTTCCGATCCCGCTTCGATCTGCAATCCCTAGAACGCCGTAGATATGGTCGTGCTTTACAGTTGCGCGACGTTCGCGGCTCATCAGGAGCGCCTTGAAGAGGGACGGGAATTTGCCAGATAGGATTTCGCCGTATATCTCTAGGAACCGCCTTGTTGCTGCATTGTTCGCATCTGTCTGTCGAGTGTCAAGGCCGGGATAAGGCAGCAAGTCACCATAGAGCTTGTACATCAGAATGAGCGTTTTGAAATATACCGTATAGCCGCCACTGCATATCAGAGCGTTACGGCCGAGGAGAGCTTCTTGCATCGTCCAAACGCGCGTCCAGTAACTCTGCTGGAAGAATTGGCCGAGGCTGTGGGCGAATTGCCATCCACGCACTGCTCGCACCAATTTCAGAATCTCTGATTGTTGCTCGAGACTGAAGTGGCCGGGAGTGTACTGTGGCTGAGAGAACAAATATGCCTCAAAGTACGAAAGCGAATGCATTGCACTTTGAATATAGTCTCCCGGGCCCCATGGCACAGACCCAGACTCCTCATCGAGCCATATCAGAACGCAACCAGCATTTTTGTATACGTCGTCCATCATATTGACTTGGTGATTCTTCTCATCAATGCTATCCTGATTGATGCAAAGAGCGTCCACCCACAGCAGTGAAGGCATGGTCGGATCACGGAACTCGAGCAGTGCTCTGTAGAGATTTAACGTGACTTGCTTCTGTTTGCCTCCAAGAGATATGAACCTGGGGGGATCGCGATTTCCCCATGTGTACGAAAGCGCCATGTAGGGGAAGCTCTCAACTCCGTTTTCTCGCATGAATTCATGCTCAAGGGGGAAAAGGTCACATCGTATCTCTGCTTCTGGATCATGATCCGGATACAGTATCAGGATGCGGATGTCTTTTGTCCCCGGTCTGAGTGGTTTGTAAGAATACAGCGCGTTGGTATCTTTCTGTAATGGCAATGCGCCTGGGCTGTTCCCCGCAGATTGCACTAGTGAAAGGGAATATGTGAGCACGCCCAGCGTTTCCTCGTCATTCTCCACGGTTGCCCTTTGCATGAGAACGTTCAGCCATGATCCAAGAGCCACGTCTGCATCATCGTCATTTGATGGACTAGAAGACCTCTGCGATTTTGAACCGGTCTCCGGACCATTGCCGCCCTCGGATTCACTATCGTGCTGGGTTTCTCCAGCACGCCGAAGCTTTCTCTTATTTCGCGTTCGATAACGACTGCAGAGCCTTGTACTCAGACGCGTGGAAACCCTGCCGCCGGCATGTTCCTCAGAGGTGTTGGACAGCCAGTAGAGAACGTCCTGCGGATGTGAAAACAAAGATCCCAGGCCCCAGGCTATAGTTTCCCCAGTTGCAATTGTGCCGGTAATGTCAAAGCTGAAGACTTCTCTAAACGCTTCGGGGATTTGTCCAGGGATCTGGAGAAGCGCTTGGTCAAGCCAAACCAGGTGGTTATCCTCGAGCCGAGGAGCAGCAAACCTCAACAATCGAACGGTGCGCACAAACGTATCCCAGTCCATTTGAGTGTCTCCCCATTGAAAGGATACTTTAGATCCAATCCCAAGGTCCAGAAGTGCGTCGATTCGACCCCAATGCCACCACGGCCGTCGGAACAGAAGTTGGATGACACCAAACGCTCGGCCGAATATTGAATGAGACGCCATGACCTTCAAGTAACTGTAGGCCTGGTTTAAGTCTGCTTCATCGCTCCAGGCTATTGTTAAAGCTTGTACTGCAGCAAGTTCAGCTTCTGCAAGGTCCTTTCTTCCTCCCAGACAGACTATGATTTCGTCGGCCGCAATGTACACATTCGACTTCTCCTTGATGATGTCCTTGGGATCCCCAGGCTCCAATTCTGTTGTACACAGAGGGTCAGCCCATACATATACGTCCTCATCTGTACGACGTCGATGACGGAGCGCATCATGCAGAGTTTCGGAAACCGTGATGTCTGCGCCGTTGAAACGTATAGTTGGCGTTGAAGAAGATGGGGGGCAAGCAGTGACATATGACAGAGCGACGAAAGGGACGGGATCTTGGGCTTCGTGCGTGACAATTATCGAGTCACAGACAACCGGGGAGTCGCATTCTTTAGAAGGATGAAGCCGGACAAGCTGAAGAGTTGCGTCAGCATCCACGTACAAAACTAGCCACTCGAGATATTTCAAGAATCGTTACCTTCAAGTCTGTCATTTCGATAGGCACGTCTTCCGAACTACAGACTATGGTACCCATTGCGATGGCATATTCTGTATGTGCCTCCAGTCCGTAATGTAATTGATATATGGATGATTTGTGTGATTCTTTGCTGTGAACTCGTAATGTTGTTGCAGCGTCGAGCGGTTTGCTCAGGGTCAAGTTTGCGTGTCTGACCTTTGACCCGAGCTTGTCGACGCCTCTCAGTCTCCTAGGCTAAGGGAGGTGATATTGGCACCTGCGAGAGTATAAATGGGCAGTACTCCCCGGTAGATATAGATATATTCCGCACGTGCATTCTGTCAAGTACATGTAAGTCGGGCATGACAGCAACCGCCAAGATCAGGAAATGCCAAGCTTCCAGCCTTAAACCCACGATCGCTTCCTTGTTTCTGCCTAGCTGCTAGCCTCCAATTACCATCGTTATCTCGCTACTCAGCTTTGAATTTGATGTGACATTGCTTGTCATAGATATCCCACTTTCGGTGATGCCCAAACGCCATCGCCGCCCAAATCTCAGCACCAGAATGCTGAGCCCAGGGGAGATTCTGAGTCAAGTGTGTTTCTTGGGCAAACGAGCAGCCCAACTGTCCTGTACATTTCATCTCCTCCTGCAATGCCCATTGGCCGCTAGAGGCTGTGTTGTTGGGGTGCTTAGGGAGGCCTTCGGTGACGCTTGTGCAGCTGCATGTTGTCAGCTGGAAACGCCACGGCTGGCATGGCAGCTTCGTGTAACCCAAGCCTCATCAGCCAACAGAATGTTCATTACAGTTAGAAGTGACAAACTGTCTGCTCATCTATCATTGGGGGTTAATTCACCCTTTCACGGAATGGATGTACCGGCACAGGGCTGCTTGAAATTCTCGCTGCTCGCTGCGGTGTTCTCAATCCTACAAATTGTTTCATGTGCTATCCATGTTTCTTCATTCAACATACCCACAGATAGTCATTTCCTAGGCACTGAAGAAGGAGCTGACGGCCACAATTCAATAGTCTAGCGGTATTTATTTCCGGGCTTTCGACCTTGATAAAAGCTACCTAGGCTCTGCATTAGAGTCGTGTAACATCACATGGAGCTTGAGCCGTACAGATGAGAATTATCCATTCCTAGCAGAAGTAGGTAGTATCTTATCAAAAATAGATATGAGGTCACTTCTGAGTATTCAAGCCTTGGTGGCGGTGATACGCACACCACCAAGCTCGCCACCAGCAAACAATGCATCGACAGTATCATAGAACAGAGTAAGCGGTACCGCGGTGGTCCCCCTTTGCCTGTTGTTCTCTGCCCGCTCATGCACAAACTTGGCCCACTCATCTGTCACATCTTCAAACTGTATTTCCTTGAACCCTGCCTTTGTCAGGTCGGATATGTATTGATCGCGGCTCGGCAGGTAAGGACAGGACACCCTGTCGCGCAACTTGTCGCTGACGTCTTTGCTGAGCGTTGTCCGGGCGAAGTAGTCCTCGATGTACATCTTTCCTCCTGGCTTCAGAGCACCGGCTGCCTTTTTGAACAAGGTATCTCTGTCGGCGATGTGTAGAATGCATAGAAAGGAAACGATGTGGTCTACCGGAGCATCGAGGGTGAGTGTCGTGAAGTCGGCGTTGACTGATCGTACGTGTTCGGAGAGACCATTTCGTCGAGTAATCAGCTCGGCGAGTTGATGGATTTCAGGTTGAAGCTCGACTCCCGTGACATCGACGCCGTAGTGCTTGTTCAAGTACCGACCGGTGGCACTGAAGCCTGAGCCAATGTCGACGACGGTCTGACCAGGCTTCAAGTCCAGAGCCTTGGCCGCTTTCTCCAGGGCAACGTCGCCCAGGTAGTGCATGCAATCGAAGTCTGCCGTGTCGGCGAGGTCCCACGTTGGCTTGCCGTCGAGGGCGTCGAGGCTTTTCTTGAACCTCTCCAGGTGATACAGGGCCGCATCGCCAATATCGGATGTGCTGTTGTCGCCCATGTTGTCTCGGATTGGATGTGGCGTTTTGAGATGAGATTGTTGCAAGTATGTCAAACAGAGAAGGATGATTTGGACGTCAAGCTGGGGAGGATTTGGTGCAGCTACGAGCCGAGGAATGTTGATGCTTGATACAAGCATCTACCTAGCAAGACTCAAAATCTGAGCTTAAATATACCGAAAAATGTATGTGTACCCAACCAATGCCCAAGCATGCAAGGTATCTGACCGGTACTCCGACCTACCCGTCTTCGGCCTCGCGTCAAAGTATATTGGCGAAGGTTTTGAGGAAATAGAGATAATTCCGAGGCTTTTGTTGAGTCGAAGACAGCAGCTCGTGTAAGATTACGTAGACTGTACCGACTTATATGCAGGCAGGTATATGTTCTTCTATCGCAAGCCAATCTCGGCCGCTTTCCAGACTCACAGATGTCACCCTCCTTCAACGGCCAGGCGAACATCATCGGCGTCGGCATCGAGAGCCGAAGGTTGTCAGCTATCTGTACGCTAGAGCCTGTGGAGCCTCGAGTGCCGAGATGGCCATTACAACTACCGGGAAGTTCCCGTCTATTGGCGTGGTCCAGATAACCACTGCACTCTTCTTTAAGTCTGGCAGAAACATGGCAAACGTTCCAGTTAACCTTTTCAACAGAAGCAGCAACCCGATTTATGCATATCTAATGATGTGCCATGAGGGCCATGAATAGCATCACGAATCATGATCGACCCCTGCCATCTCCGGCCCGCTGCGGCCCGCGTGGGGTATTTGCATGCGAGATGGGCCAGATCTGTAAGTCCACCACAATGGGTCAGCGGATAAATGGAAGTAAAGTGAGTGAAGTCATGTTTTTTTATCGGCTAAATCATTGATAGATTCCAAGTTACTGCTACTATGCGGGCATTTCGGCATGTTAGGATATTCTTCAGAAGCCATCGTCGAGGGTGCCCACCAAGATCCCTCCCGGCAGGCTACAAAGGAGTGTGAAAATACATACAACCCTGATAGAAGTAGACTGTAAAGCATCATAGTTGGCGCGTAATAGCAGAGGATTCCGAGGTTATATGGCGAACTTGAAAGGTACATGGCCACGATTACGTTTGCTTCATGACCTGTAGGTAACCACCCGTCATCTGGTGAAAGATGTGTGGTGCCGGATTCGAAGAAGTCAATTTCCTGTGGAAGAGGGTTATAACGGGGCCTCATATTCAACAGAACACCAGGAACAATCAAGAAGCAGTTCATTGCCGGCCACCGCTGATCTCGACGGCACCTTTGTCACTTGTGATAAGCCTTTCGAGACCTTGCCCGAGAAGACGAGCGCCGAGCGCAGTCTGAGTTACAAGTGGACAGACAACGGGAATTGGGGCAAGCTAGGGGAGGTCATGGTCTTTCCAATAGCGACGTCGCTCACAACCAAAGACACTTGCGCCACGGGCGGCTCCTCGGCTAGTGGAAGAGGATTGCGTTGTTCTCTTCCCTGCGACCTGATCAGTTCCGGTTGGCTCGAGACGATGAACCTCTACGGAAAGGTGTGACGAATGGCGTCAATATCTGGACACCGTTGTGTTGTGTAAGTCTCGCCATCGTTTCAAGGGCGGTGATGGCGATGGTGGCCCGCGAGAGGAAGAATGGCTGGCAGCGGAGTCCAAGGGCTTGGATTGGGAGAAGTAGGATGTTATCTCGTACAAAGATTTATGTATCTTCGTATGTGGTTCGAATAAACACCAGTTCCTTGAAGGGCTGGTAGACAAAGCTCCAAACAATGTGATGCACCGGAAGCGACAGTCTACGTAATTGCAAGGCAATACTGGAAAGTAATCCTGAAGTCATATTTATAGGCCAGGACAGGACCTTTCTTCTTGAGGTATTATGTAGGGGATTATGATCGATTCTTTCTTTTGGTATCACTATATTATTCCAATATAACTATATCCCTCCATTCTAATTATTTTTTAGCATCACGACATCCTTCTAGCCCTCCTCTGCCTCTCCGATTGTCAGACATCACTGCAACCGCCTTGCAGAAACTCATCCCAGATACTTTTTGAACCAGTCGACGGCTTGCTTAGCTGCTGCCATTGCAGCCTCATCTTCCATCGTCCTCTTTGGATCAGCTCGTACAGCGAACCCATGCTTACAGCCGCCATAAGTCTTGACCTCATATCCATCCGAGGTTCCTCCAAAGACCTCTTTCAAACCGCGTTCAATACTGTCGATATTATCCTTGGACAACACCATGTCAAGATCCCCCACTGCCAAGCTAATGGGGACCTTGAACCGGCTGGCCGCGGCCGAAAAGTCATCCGGTACTTTGAGACCAGCTGGATGAGCCACGAAGTGAGCATCGAACAAGGACTGGTTGCCACCCTCTTCTGCTGGCTCCCCGGTGAGCTTGGTCGAGTGCATCCCACCCCAACAGAACCCAGCAACCCCCAGTTTGGCACCAGTCGGCAGCGAAGCTTTAACGTCGCGGGAGAACTTGAGCAGTTTCGGGTACGCGTTTCGCGTGCGTACTGCAAATGGAGCAAATATGGTCGCAGCTCGCATCGCAGCTCCTGCTCTCTTCGCCTGGCCTGTGAGGTTAAATAGGCCAACAGGCGTCGAGAGGGAGTCAAACAGCTCTATCGCCGAGAGAGGTGCTCCACCACCCGGAATGACGCTGGGCATGAGAACCAAGCATCCAGTCTCGGTGGCATATTTGTCTGCTAGCAGTTTGTTGTTCACGAGGTTGAACCCAAAGACGTCGGTGATGAAGATGATTTGGGAAGTTGACGTAGGGCCCGTTTCGGGGGATGCGATATATGTGAGGATGCTGTGCAGCATCTCCTCTTTGCCTTTGGGGGTTCCTTCGTGGATAGTTCCCCTGAAGCAATCTGCACAAGCCATTCTGCAAATACAATGGCTTATTGAAAAGAAGACAATGAGTTTCTGGGTAGTCTCAGAGCGGTCGGGCAGTCTTTCTGTGGGCTAACTAAGAGGGGGCTTGTTTAACATTCCTAGAATCCATAACCTCTTATATACTACAACAGGTGACATTTTCTGAACATAGCCGTGAGTATCTACCGAGCTCAATCATTCGGAACCATCTGAAACTATGGAGTTAAGACGCTTATCATCTAGTTGAAGCCGCACGATGTCCAATCAATCATGGTTAACCACAACTCTTTTACCGGCGCTCGGCAATCAAAGAATTCCGAAACCTCACCATGTCAGCAAATCGGCGTCGGCACCGGCAAACCACCGACCGGACGATCCACATGTCAGCCTCGCTAAATAGTAGTTTTATATACATAGAAGTAAAGAAACCAAGTTCTATCAAGCTAATTAGTTGTACCTATCACTCTCCATAGCAGTTAATGCCATGTGGCGTGATGGCCCCCAATCTCCCTTGGTAATTGGAATTCTCAGTTCCTTGAGCTTCCCAATTTCCTTGAATAGCGGTCTCAAGTCTCCCTCGATGAGCTGCAGAGCCCGTATAAGTACAAGCGCTTAAAGGTGATTTTCCCTCTTATTCAAGTGACCCCCTTCTCTTCATCTTCAAACTGCGAAACTCGACCCCAAGTTTCCAGTCTCACAAGCGACAGGGTGAAGCTCCTCCTTCTTTGCGCCCTCACCGCTTCCCTCCCATCCATCTTCGCCCCTCGGCCGATGCCTCTCAAACTACTCTCCTTGCCTATCCTCCTCGACCTGCCACTGCCGAAAAGGAGGAAGAATCTTACGCCTTCGCCGGTGAATTCAATCTTGAACAGGACATCGCCAGTGCATTCAATAACTACCTCGGGGTCGACTACACCCAGCAGAATCCCTCCATCGGACAGGGTTGAGACTCTGTCATCGCCACGCCCTCCAAGAACCCAAAGGCCAGCACTACCATAATTCATCAAATCTTTGTCAACAACACTAGCTTCGTGCATCACTACAAGCCTACTGTTCCCTCGATCAAGATCATGCACGCAAATCGAATGAATAGAAGCTGCATTGAGAGCATTGGGATGCTATTGCAAACCTCACTCCCGCCGAGATGTATCCCACTCCATTGCCTAACTAGGGCTCTAGCACAGCAGAAGAAGCATATTGGGGACTCTAGGCTAATACGTCTGCCTCTACCATCTCAATGAGCCGATGTCTGATACTGATTTCGGTGATATACTGCTTGTTGCAGGTATTTGGAATCCACTCACAAGATATAGACCATGAAGCACGCAACCCAAATAACATATGTTCGACCATCAAGGTTGACCCTTGAATATGGACAATCCGGTCACGTCACTGCTCTCCCCCGGCCAACTAAAAAAGCACCGAACACTTGTTGGTCAAGCACCGCTTTAGCCCACAGAGAGAACTTGAGACGAAACGGTTCGTTTGTCGCCGTTCGTGTCTTCTCTCTGCCAAAGGCGTGATTTAACTCGGCCACTTTCCTATTCAGCTGAATGCAATACACATCCTAGTGGGTCTGGACATCTTATACAAGTCCCTGCATATTGGCTGAACTGGACATTCACCCACGTACGCAAGAACGTATATCTGCTTATACAGCTTGCTGTATCCCATGGGTTAAAGACATTACTGCTGTACTTGGTACCGCTTCAAACTGGATTTAGCTATTGCATTACTCCATGGGAATATGTAGTTCAATTTTTTAATCACAGATGTATTTTCTGCGATTTTACTATAACGCGCGCACGGGTTGCGCACGGGCGATGCTATGTGAGGTATTTTGACTGCGTTTTATGAGAGCCGATAAGACGAGCATCGCGCCATCTAGTCCAGGCCTCACGGGCCTGCAGCACGGATCCCTGCTAGTAGTAGTTACAATGTGATTCTTGAATATCTCCCCAGTGGGTATTGTTCAAACCCACTTCCCCAGGTATTCTTCCAGAGGCCTTTGCAGGGGGGAATACGTGTAATCTATGGCGGAATAATCGAGGGTCATAGTGTAGCCTGTGTATAAGCACATCAGAATTCCAAGAACCTGTTCGACCTTTGGATTGCATGAAGTAGTCTTTGATTCACTCACCACGTGGTATCGTTTGGTACCCAACGATCGTTACCCTTGGGGATTGTTGATGAAGCTTTGCCAGATAACGACACCTGCATGGAACCTGCAAGTCCCGCTATAGACAACGACACTGGTCATTATCCTTGATATAAAGACACCAGCGTCAGGGATGTGGCCATGGTTCGCCTAAGCACGACCTGCATACGTCTTCGTGAAATGACTCGTAATGCGGCAAACTCAGCACCTGATCAAATGCGATACCACCAGCTATCATGTTCATCTCAGACATTAGGCCATGCGAAGACACTCAAGTTGGTGTACTTACGCGCCAGCATCTCCATGAGGTCGCCTGTCTGTAGGTCAGGTACAAGAATGTGCCTGAATATCTACCCCTGGGCTCGAGAGCGTTCGTCTCATCTCCGTCGGGGTTTCTTCGAATAATCGGCCGACTCCCCGTCCCCTCAATCTGTCACGTTGCAGCGATCACCTCTGTCAATGGATGCCTTGCATGAAAGTGTGGGGTTGCAGTGCTTGATGCTTTATTTAGTCCGAGTGTTGGTCGATGGTGTGGAGAGGCGACTTCACCGATGCCCAAGAGAGTAGCCTTATATCTCCGACTTCAACCGAAGGACATCTCTAGCGGATGATAGGCGATGGCGTTACACGACTTATATGCTTAATTACTGTGACTATTACCGGTAACTGCCACAAGGTCTTTGATAGATAGTCACTAATCAATCGACCTATCATGAGGAGTCGTTAATCTCTTCGTGAGAAAGCGCCCTGAACTCCTATCAATTTGTCTGCTCTGTATCTCTAATGCCTATGGTTCTGGCCATTGCTCTCTGGCTATAGCAAGTGGATGTATCAGCCTAATCAATCACTGATTCGCTTCAAGATATAACGACCATTGCGACATCTTTACAATTGATTAGCTGCTTAAACTTGGCCTTGGAAACAGCTCAGACAGCAGAACAGACCACCTGCTAGTAATTGAAATATGCAGGTCCAACATTGTGAGCGGTTCTCGTGCAAGCTCCTCTCCAAGGACAATGCGCGGCACTGCGGAGCTCACCATCCCCGTGCGTTGACCTTCGGACCGATATCTGGCTCGAGATGTTGAGATTCAGCAAGACTCAACTCCAAGAGCTTGAAAACGCATCTCTTCGTGAACATGAGTATATATAGGAGCCATTCAGACCTTGGATCGCTTGGAAAGACTCAGAATCAGAGCACATCATCAGAAGTCTTACAGAGGAGACCCTCTACTTCTGCCTGAAGTATTGATTCTCCTTGCCCTACAACTTTTACCTCTCTTTTCTCTGAGAGTACACATACAACACCATGCGTACTCTCACTATTCTTACTGCTGTGATCGGCGCAGTATCTGCGGCCCCATCGCTCATCTCAAGAGTTGCAACGCCCTTCTCCATCGCCAGCCCTGGAGGCATCGACGACATTACACTCACGGCGAACAACACCCTCAACGGAACATACCATAGCCCAAACACGACCGACTCCAACATATTCGCCTCCCAAGCCAAGCCTAAGCCTGGACACCTTCCGATCAATCTCGTCAACAGGTTTGGCGGTGGTCATGTCAATGCCTACATTTCTGGCCTAGACTCTGAGAACAGGGTCGTCTTCGTCAGGGCCGATGGCAAACTTGTGTATCCCAGCTCCGGAGGCTCCAGCACTCCCGTTCGCATCAACGACCCCATCAGCATCCCTCTGCCTGCCAAGGGCAAGTCCATCACCGTAACCGTACCCATCGTCCTCACGTCTGCCCGCATCTACTTCGCCGAGGGCACTCTCCCCTTCTTCATCGTCAAGATCCCTACTGGCGACGGCTTGGTGCAGCCGTCACCGACAAACCTCAAAGACCCCAGTGCAGGCGTCAACTGGGGCTTTGTCGAACTTTCTTATACCGAAGGGAAGGCTGTGTATGCAAACATCAGCTACGTTGACTTCGTCGGCATGATCCTCAGCATGAGCTTGAGTTCCACGGATGGAAGTACCCAGATCACCAGAGGCCTTCACTCCTACGCTCTCAAGGAAATCTGCCAGGGGCTGGCCCAACAGACGCACAAAGACGGATTCCCTTGGGCCGCCCTGTGCATCACAAACTCTCATGGAACTCCCATCCGCGCCCTGGCACCAGGCGACTACAGCGCCATCAATCCCAAAGGCTTCCGGGGCTACTGGAAGTCCTCCGTCGACAAGGTCTGGAAGCATTATACCAGCAAGCCTCTTACCATCAACACGCAAACCTCCGCCGGCCATGTCAAGTGCCAGGTCTCGGGCGACAAGCTCAAGTGCCAGGGCGACAACCGCGCCTACAGCAAGCCGACCGATACCGACATCTGGGGTTGCAACAGCGGGCCGTTTGCCATTAAGGCTGGGGACAACGACATCCACAAGGCTGTTGTTCCCCGTCTGTGCGCTGCCTTTGTTCGGTCTACCTTGCTGATTCCCGGCGGCGACGTTCAGCCTGGCGTGAGCCGCTCCAAGTACTACAAGGCTGGTCCTTCCAATCACTACAGCCGTCTGGTTCACCACTTTGAGGTTGATGGGCGAGGCTATGCATTCCCTTATGATGATGTCAACCCGGATGGCAATGAGAATGCTTCGGGAACGTTGGCTTCGGGGGCTCCCAAGAAGCTGACGGTCTACGTTGGCGCGCCTCCTCCTTGAGTGTTTTAAAGGAGTGGCTGGACATTGCCGAGTCGGCTGTCGAGATTTGCGGAGACTCTTTTGACGGGGTAACTGATGTCCCCGTGTAGATTGAGATGCCGGCTAGCCCTGGCTATTTACCTTCTGAATGTACATAGAGACCATGTGCCGAGCGCTGCGAGTTAGTAGGCCATATGAGAATACGAACGACGCATATAGCAACCTACTTATCTAAAACATGTCAGTGACTGTCTCACTTCCTCCTCCATTTCCGTCACCATCTGTCAGAGCCAGGACAGGATTCCCTTTCAATATTGCGTGCTGATGGAGCCCCAACTCAGTACCATCACAATCTGAAGAGAACTGGCTCCGAAAACAGGTCGGAGGTGATCGGCTCTTTAAGGTGAGACGGCATCCATTATATCGAAGTGCCGTAGAGGACAGAAATGCAGGGGTGTACGCATCTCGGCACGGTTGATTTTGACAGGGGGCTTATAAAGGGAAAATGATCGCCATGTTGGCCCACCAGATTGCAACGTCCTGAACAAGACTCGGTAAACCAAAGAAAGGCAAACATGCTCTCCGAGGAACCGAGCCCCGAAAGCTCTTTGACATTTCGATGCCCTGTCAGTGGGGACCGGCAAACTGGATTCTTCAGGGTTTCCAGGAGCCCCGGAAGGATGTGCGCATCCACTAATAAGCTGTCTACCGGACAAGGGGGGAGCTCTATCAAACTCTGGAACTTTTTGAAAAGCAAGTGAGATATTACACCGGCAGTGCAGGCTATGGGTTCCCGGGAATATTCATCGGTATGAAGCTTTATCGCAACTGGCTGAACGTACACGAACCGGCAGAATCCATTCCAGATCATGTTCCTTGAATAGCCGTGATCCGGACGCTTTGTAAGGTCAGCATCTGTAATTTTAGCCTGATACAAAAAACGCAAAGAGAAACAAATCACATAGCAAACTGCCGTGCCTCTTCCTGGTGTAGACAAGCCAACAGCTATCAACAATAATACCCAGTTCAACAAACAAGAACTACTGTCTAACTATGCCGTACGGGGTACAGATCAAACGGCGAGTACAGTCATCCCAAGGGGGAAATCCAGGGTTACTTCGGCCCGGCATCCCCAATGCGACACGTCAAGATTTATACCTGTCAAGTGGATGATCCCTCCCACCCTCTGCCGCGTATAATCGGAAATGTTCCCGGTCGTTTTTTGTTAATCCGTCCGGTCGACGACGTTCGAGGCTGTGCTCCTCGGTTGCGATCCGATTGCTGCTCTACAATATTCACCGCTACACCGATCTTTTCTCTGCCCTTGTTGACAAAGAAGGCGACATCATCTTGGATAGCAAAGTGACGTGGCAGAAGGATGGAGGTTAAAGTACTGGGGACAGCGGCTTAGAGAAGACTTAATAATGCCATTGTGAGGCTTACAGGGGTAGAGCCAAGTGCCGAAGTCTCAAAATAGGAAGTGTGAAATGCCTGTTCCGGGTTGTCAAAGACTTCGGAGAAGGTCAGCAGCTTCCCGAAGAAGTAACAGGTGGAATTCCATTCCGACCCCGAAGCCGCAGTGGAAAGGCTTAGAACGTACGTATATCGGACCTGGACACCGTAATTGCTCAAAAGGTCCGACAACCGGATCCGTAATACCAAATGTCACCTACGGTTTTAGATACCGCTCCTTAGAATCAGCAGAAGATCTGCGCTTCAGTCAAGGATAAACGGCGAAGCACCTGCATACGCGGAGAGGATCCGTCTAATATCTTACTCCTGCGAGGAGGGCAGACTAGGAAAGGCAGACTTGGCAGAGCATCAGCAGAAGCGAAGGAGATGGAATCCCCTTCCGTTCTACGTGTTTCTGCCCCTGAGATGTCCATTGCTAGCTTTGATAGAATGTGCTCTGATTACTCGTGATGTCTACTTAAACACTCGAAGCCCGAGCCAACACAGATGATATGTCACATAGACAGCCAACAACAAAGATTAAGCTTATTGTGTTGACAGACATACAGTCTACACTGCCGGCTATTCCGTCACAATGTCGACAACAGTAACAGTTCTGGAGCCTACCTTGCTGTTGGACACATCCACAGTCACTCTACAGCTATCAAATGTCGAGAAGCCACGCCATGTCCTGATTCCGGATCTATTCTCCTCCATCATGGCCGTTGAGCCTACCATCAACCCTCATTACAATGATGGCAAGGCTGAAGCAGATGCGTGGTTCAAAAGGTTGTTGAACATTTTCATCTCGTGAGGTGCTACTCTGGCTGACAGCAAACAGTTTGCTGCAATTGAAAGGCAAAGCAGAGGCGACATTCAACAAGACAGACTTTGGATTTGCGGCCGCTGTATGGGCCCCTTCAGCAGAGAAGGAGAGGTTTCGCACAGTCGTTGACTGGGCAAACTGGGTAAGAAGACCTGCCTTGTCATATCACTCATTCAATAGCAACTGATCTAACAAATCTTCATAGGTATTCTACTTTGATGATCGTAAGTCTACTTGAGTTTGCAGTATCATGACAAGGCAGCTGATGTTTGATCGATAGAATTCGATGAGGGGCATCTGGCAAATGATCCAGCCGGGACGCAGAAGGAGATTGACTCCATCCTCGCGATTCTGGACGACAATCACACATTTAGCCAGGCCGATAAGCCTCTCATATATGCTTTCCAAACTATCTGGGACAGAATAAAAAGGGTATGTAGACTCCAGTATATCTGAGTGAACTTGGCTAACCTCCATACGATAGGGTGCTACACCAGGTAAAACAGATAAACAATCTCACCCCATATAAAGAAGAAGCTCTAACTGGCCAGTAGAAGTACGAGAACGCTGGAAGGATGCCCACAAGAAATATGTCGAGGGATTAATCTATCAATCAAAGCGGACAAAGCTAGGTTTTGCTGCCGCCTCAACCGTGGACGAGTATATGAGCTACCGAAGAGAAACGATCGGAGTGGTGTTGGCTATTCGGCTGGTGGAGTATGACTCCCCGTCTTTTAAAGTATATATAAAGAGTGCTAACATGTTCTCTCATAGATACGCTGAGAATATCAAGCTCTCTCAAGCTCAGATTGACCACCCGGCACTGCAACTATGCACTCGCACGATAGTAGATCTAGTGATTCTGTAAGTCGGCGTCTCGAAATCACCTATGAAAGTCATCCACTAACGAATCATCAGTTCAAACGATATCTTATCGTACAAGAAGGAAGTCGTATGTTTCTGTCCACAAACGCCGCCAATCGCTAAGGCATTCTTCTAACCTTTTTATCAGGAGTTGAACGACGCTGGGAACAATCTCATCACGATACTCAAGGCACAGCACCTCTCCGATCAGGAAGCAATGGACGAGATAGGCAGAATGCTCGATGCCTGCTACGAGACTTGGTACAGGGCAGTAGAGGAGCTGCCAGCTTGGGGAGAAGAAACCGACAGAGAGGTGCTGAGATATCTGGATGCCTGCCGCAACGTGGGCCTTGGCAATCTTCACTGGAGGTAAGGAGATCCGAGTTTCAATGTCCTATAATGAAGTTTTGTTGACAGCCTCACAGCTTTCGCTCTGGTCGATACTTTGGCTCATCTGGCGAGGAAGTTCGCAAAACCCGGATTTTGACACTTCCCTCAGCTTAGCTATCCGCTTCTCACTTTGTGGTCAACGATAGTACAACACATTTCACCTAAAGACGATTTACTTCTGGAGGGTTGCCAGCATACATAGGCGCGGGAATTTTCATCAATGGATAGAAAGGTTGGGATGGGCCACGGGGGGGGGAAGGCTGCGGCTCTAGAGGTGCTTAAAAGGGAAAACGCTTATAGACTAGATTATTTGATGCTTTCTGACTATCAATTTTCGCGATGTGACTCTGTCCCAACCCGTAGCCTCAGCATCTTGCTCTCATTCACTGTAGATGTCGACAACTTTACATTGATTTCCTCTAATCCACTGTGCGTAACTCAGCCGTTTAATTTTACGGATTGAGGGCATACGTATCACTGCATATCTCCAATAGCCGCCCAAACTTCGATGCTTTTACAATCCTTGAAGGGTTCCATGAGACTCAGTATACATCTTGAATTTGGAGCATAGTAACTGTACTCATAGCCTGTAGAAAAATTGGCAATAACACGGAAGGCGAACTGAAGTTGACTGTAAGATTCAGAAGCAGAAGTACCATTGGAGCAAACGATACTTCTGCCATTCTCATTGTAAGTTTCTGAGACTCTGTGGAAGGAACGATCCAGCAAATGTTCGCTACGTCACTGAATCCTTATTGAAATAAGAACAAGCTTCCAATGCATCGCTTCATTCGAGTCTCGTCGCTACATCCAACCAAAATGGTTGAAGATAAGCGAGGCTTTCTATGCGCATACGGCATGCGACTCGTTCGAGTTCAAGCTACCCTGGAATTTCCAGTCCAGAACCTCACATTGCATGAACTTTTCAGCTGAACCGGGTTACAAGAGAAGCCGCCCAGAGAGCCGAGATTTGTCCGACAATATCTTCAGAATAATGAGGTGCCTTACGAGTACTATGTCATCGAGTCGTGAGAAAGCCGATGACGCAGAGCAGCTGGAGTGTGGCACCACCCACACTGTATGAGCATCAGCCCAGCTTCAACGGCGATCATCTCGATCCCCCAAGTCGGGGAGCTGGGGTTGTTGGTTGGTTGATCGGCATGATTCCTGCTCCGTAGACGTATTTGTGCACCGTGGGGAGGCAAGACGGCGCTGCTTTGACCGAGCCGACATGTGAAATGCCCCTGAAGAATCACACCTGGAGTAGAGTTCACTACATGTACTTGCAGGAGGCCGCTTGAAACCCAAGTCAATGCGTCCAGCAACATATCTCGAGTGAGACATTACGCGGATAGTCGCAGCACAGCGGCTGCAACCTTGGGTTTACGCGAACGAAACCTCGGCCGTACCTACACGCTCTGATATGATCTGGAGCTGATGTGAAATGACGAGAATGCACGTCTCCGGTTCTGTGGTCTCATATGACCCCCTTGTAGTGTGTATGTATACAGCCACGAGATAGACTGGATACTACCGACGGCGGAGCAGATAGATGCAGATTCACAGACAGAGTGAGCCAGCAGTTGAACGTGGCAGAAGTGGCTGGGTCTGAATACTCGTGATGCTAGATACCGATCGGGGCATCCTCCGTAGAATCCAGGGACGCTATTTGTCTTTCGTTGGCCGTGCTCGTGGCCGTGGGGAAACCCGGTGAAACTGGACGAAACTTGACGCCACAGCGAATCCGCAACAATGCCGAAACCAAACACTCGCCCCCAAAAGCGCATCCCCGGTGAGCCAGAAGGAGCCCAATAAGCTCATCCGGAATACATCAAGTTCAATCAGGCTCCGAGGGCCAAGACCGCGTCGGCATCATCCATCACGACACCCTTATGAACCCAGCAGCTCAAACCAGACAAAAGCGAGTAGCCAGCACGCAGTCTAGAGTCTAGACCCAGCTCCAAAACCAGGTTCTGGCCCGGCCAAGGGGTAGTATGACGAGATTGAAATTGAGTAGAGCCAGAAAAGCTGCTTGTCACCCACGCCTGCGTGTGACTGGCGCCGTCCCTTGCGGCCCACATAAGATACAGCTGAGCAGGGATACAGGAAGAAAGGAAAAATAGAGTGAAGCTGCAAGCCAAGTTTTGCAACAGGAAAAAAAGACAAGCTAGAGAGCAGAGGGCAGCCGAGCAGGGGGGGCCTGAACCCACAAGCCACGTCCCCATTGAGGTTATCGAACGGTGACCCTCCCTCGTGGGAAATGAGATTGGGAGTTGAAACTCGGTGCACAGGCAGGGACAAGAATTGAAGAAAGAGAAGCAGAAAAAATTCTTTCCAAATCTCCGCGAAAAGGGTCTCGAGGAGCGCGGCAATTGGCGGAGGCGCAGAACCTTGCAAGGGAATAATTGCATATTGACGATGCAGGCAATAGCCTCGAAGTTCTGTTTCTTTCTGATATTCTGTGTCCTGACAGCGTTTTGTGTTTTTACTCCCATCGACATTACCTTGTTCAATTCGCCTTCCGGTCGTCTGGCACGGCCATTCCGCTCGTTAACCGCCCAAGCCACATACGCACAAGATCCAATCGCAGCTGGACAAGCAACGCATGATTTCAGACCATCTAAAACGCCATCCCTCTTCCAAGGCAGAGCCCACATAGGCTAGATCAGCAGATTGGCGCCGCAGCCGGGTCCTTGCCGGGCTGAGACAGTGTCTTATTAGTAGCACGGCCAACTCATCATTGGGATCCAGCTCAGCTTTGGGGGGAACAGGAACCAAACGACGTCAAGATCGAGAACGGGAAGACAAAGAGGAGAAGAAAAAAAAGAGAGCTAGGCCACGCGAGAAGACAAAGAGTAGAGTTCCTACTAGTACCTTATACTAATTAAGGGGAGAGCGCAACCCTCGTGCCTCTTCTTCAACAAGATACGCATTTATACTTGTCGATTCAGATCCGGCACCCACTGCCGCTCATCAGCTTCAGCTCCTCGGAACTCGCCTTCCTTGTCCCGTCTGTGTCGCCATCGACAGATCGGTTGTTGATCAATCTGCAAGCATTGAATCACAGACGCACAGGTACAAGCACGCTGGTACCAGCCTCTGGCATTATTAGACGGGCCTGCCGCTTGTCTCGCCCATCTTCCTACCTCCACCTTTGGCCAATCTCTGTCAAATCTCACAGAATCCCTGCTTTTGGCATCCCTTCGATCCACGTGTTGGAGCGTTCATTTCACTACGCAGTCGGCATATAATTTCGAGCCGCTCTTTTACTACGTACATTCATTCACTCGTTACCCACGACGATACATCCGAAAGGCCATCTCTCAGTAACGACTTCGAGCATCGCCTGACGCGCGCGGCATCGGTTGCGAGCACGACGTCGTCAAGATGGGCAACTTCATCAGTTGGCTCAAGAAGAACTTGGCCCCCGATCAAAACCAGGGGTCTGCGCTGGGAGCTCAGCCAGAGTCGGCATGGGGTGAGTTGGACTCTATCTGAGAATCACTGATCTTGTCGATGGATGGCTGACCGATGTCGTTCTTGACTGCAGGCATGGTCGATACTCTCATTCCCGTACTAGTAGTATCGAGCATCTACATCATCATCTTCTTAATCCTGAGGAGGTCCCAGCGGCGCTTCTATGCGCCACGTACATATCTAGGGTCTTTACGTGAAGAGTGAGTGCTAATCCTCCACATGCGCAACAGTTTCTGTTGTTTGATCAAAGCTGACAGGGCCATAGCGAGCGTACGCCGAGTGTACCAAGCAACTGGCTGACCTGGTTCGCGGACTTCTGGAAGATCCCCGACGCCTACGTTCTCACGCACCAGAGCCTCGACGCCTACCTCTTCCTCCGATTCTTGCGCATCTGCTTCGTCATCTGCCTCGTCAGCCTGCTTATCACCTGGCCCATTCTGTTCCCGATCAATGCCACCGGAGGCAAGCACCTGTCCCAGCTCGAGATCCTGTCCTACAGCGATGTCGACATCAACACGCACAAGAACTATCTGTACGCCCACGCCTTTGTCGGCTGGGCTGTCTACGGCTTCCTCATGTACATGATCACGCGCGAATGCATCTTTTACATCAACTTGCGCCAGGCACACCACATCAACCCTCACAATGCCAAGCGAATCTCCGCGCGCACCGTTCTCTTCACATCGGTCCCGGATGAATATAACAATGAGGAGCGCATCCGAGGCATGTTCAAGGCAGTCAAGAGGGTCTGGGTCTGCGGCAAGACGAAGGAGCTCGACGAGCTGGTGGAGAAGCGAGATGAAGCTGCGATGAAGCTGGAAAAGGGCGAGATCAGCCTCCTGAAGGCAGTCAACAAGGCCCGTACCAAGGCTCTGAAGAAGGGAGAGGTTCAGCCCGACGGCCCCGCCTCTGCCCACGCTGAAGATGGCGATATCGAGACGGGCAACATTGCTTCGCGCTGGATTCCGGACAAGAAACGCCCTCACCACCGCCTCGGTCCCCTTGGTCTCGTTGGCAAAAAGGTCGACACCATTGAATGGAGTCGCGCTGAGCTGCAGCGACTGATTCCCGAGGTGGAAAAGGCGCAGGCTGACTGGAGGGCGGGCAACTATGAAAAAGTCCGCGCCGTCTTTGTCGAGTTCGAGACTCAGGGAGACGCCCAATTTGCATACCAATCCGTTACCCACCACGAGGCCTTGCACATGGACCCCAAGGCCATCGGCGTCCAGCCCAGCGAGGTTGTCTGGAAGAGCTTGTCCCTCCCCTGGTGGCAAGTCATCATCCGCCGCTATGCCGTCTATGCCTTTATTGCTGCGCTCATCATCTTCTGGGCTATCCCCGTCGGTATTGTTGGGTTGATCGCCCAGGTGAACACGCTGAAGAGCATCCCCGGCTTGACCTGGATTGGCGATATTCCCAAGGTAAGTAAAGTCGAGTGATCACTGCAGTCACCGCGACATATCGATGCTAATCGTGCATAGCCCATTCTCGGAGTCATTTCAGGCCTCCTGCCAGCAGTCGCCCTCTCGGTCCTCATGTCGATGGTGCCCGTCATCATGCGCCTCTGCGCTCGATTGGCCGGCGAAGTCTCCCAGTCCCGCGTCGAGCTCTTCACCCAGAACGCCTACTTTTGCTTCCAGCTCATCCAAGTCTTCCTCATCCAGACCTTGGCCAACGCAGCCTCAACTGCCCTCGTCCAGATTGTCCAGCAGCCGGGACAAGTCTTCAACATTCTCTCTTCAGCCCTGCCGACTGCCTCCAATTTCTACATCTCCTATTTCATCGTTCAGGGTCTTACCATTGCCACCAGCGTCGTCACTCAGGTCGTCGGCTTCTTCATCTTCACGCTGCTGTATAAGCTGTTGGCCAAGACGCCCCGAGCCATGTACAAGAAGTGGACCAGCCTCAGCGCTCTTTCTTGGGGCAACCTTCTCCCGGTTTACACCAATATTGCCGTCATTAGTATGTCCCTCTGTTTGCCTCTACGCTAGGTGGTATGTGCTGACAGTTTCCCACAGGCATTACCTACTCAGTCATCGCTCCCCTAATTCTATTCTGGTCCACTATTGGTATGGGCTTGTTCTACCTTGCCTACCGCTATAACATCCTCTTCGTCACGGAGACTCGGATCGACACGCACGGCTTGATCTATCCTCGCGCCCTCAAGCAGCTGTTCGCCGGTATTTACCTGGCCGAAGTCTGCATGGTTGGTCTGTTCATCGTCTCCAAGGCCGCCGGACCCGCCGTCCTCATGGCAATCTTCCTCGTCTTCACCGTCCTGTACCACATCACCCTTTCCAAAACCCTTGACCCTCTCCTCTTTGGCCTGCCCCGGACACTCCAGGCGGAGGAGGAGGCTCTTGAGCAGCGCACTGCTGGCAAAGCTGGAACCAGCATGGAGGAGGGTTTGGCTTCCAACAATGTATCTCACGATGATACCGCCGGCAAGGGATCTGTCCCCAACTTTGCGCCATCAGCATCTGCCAAGCGGGGCAACGTCCTTACCAGATTCCTGAAGCCCTGGATCTACGCGGACTACCACACTCTCCGCGGGCTCTTCCTCAACGAGGAGCACCTTGCCCAGCCGGCTCAGTACGCTGAAGAGATTGAGGCCGAAGCATACCTGCCGCCATCCGTCGCGAGCAAGACGCCCGTTCTTTGGATCCCCGCGGACCCGGCAGGTCTGTCCAAGCAGGAGGTTGCTGCTTCGAGCAAGATTATTCCCATCACGGACGAAGGTGCAGAGCTCGATGAGAAGAACCACGTCAAGTGGGACGCGGAAGGCGCCCGACCACCGATCTGGGAAGAAAAGATTCACTACTAAGACGGTTTGTTACCTACTACTTGATACCCCCCTCACCGGCTTTTGTATTCTATTCTGCCTGCATGCATTTTGTGGTTGGCCTTGCTGTTCTTTCCTGTATCAGATTCTCTTGGTTTGTATCGAGCTGAGAAAGGAGAGGAAATAAAGATAAAAAGAAGGTGTTAGTATGTCTTAATTATGATTTGTATTATGGACAAGCTTCAGCATGAGATTCTTGTAAGAGAAGACGAAACGAGCCAGGCTTCAGGTTTTCATGGCCCAAGAGGAAAGACGAGTTTGTGTTATCAAGAGGGCCAGAACACGCAGGCTGTTTTGCATCTTTTGGGCGATTGCAGTCATTAATGTCTAAGTAAAGAATAGGTGTAAAGAAGACAAATGTCTCGTATGATGCCGTCTATCTGCACTGAATACCTGCCTGACTGTTACAGAGAGCGAACAGTACTACGCCCATTTCCTCTGCCGCCTCTTCCCTGCTAGTCGACGGTGGCCGGCGGTTCTAGGCTCTCGTCATTTCCCAGCTGTGGGGGCTGAGGCGATGGGACGGAGAAAATGCGCGTCAGCAGCAGCTGATATGTATGTATACACGATACGCGTGTATTTGCCTCTTTATCAAGTGGAAGCTGTGGAAAGGGCATGTAGTATAAGGAAAGGATGAGCGTCATATCGAGATGAACATGTCCAATGGGCATCGATCTGAGCTGCATCTCATCCTGCAAGCATTTTTATCCCAGCCTTTGACTTTGAACAGGCGTGGTGGGAAAACACGCCGATTCGTTGAGTGGTGGTGGTTTGCCCAGCCCCCCGGGAAGTCACATGTTGCTTGTTTTTGATAGGTGGCTGGGATGAGGTTTGCCCAAGAAGGCAGTTCGGGGAGACGAACTAGATTTATGTGACGAGCAGACGGCAGAGAGGAGGAGTGCGTGTCATGGAGGCAGCGCATCGTCGTTTCTACGACTAAGCTTCTCACTCATCATTCTCAGCAGCCATAGTAGGAAACAGCACGATAAGCATCTACGCCTACACAATATACTCAAGATAAGTCTTCACAACATGCAGAGGTAGCCGAAGACAGCCACAAGTTGGTAAGATACCCAATTTGGGGGCGCCTGAAGCCACTACTAGGTATAAGAGGGCCTAGTCCCTGCTAAGCCAAACTGGGGAAGCGGAAGAGAGGGCCAAGCTTTGGTTGCTCTGCGCAACGACGGTAGGACAATGTCAACAGATGGGTGGAGTGGGGGAGAATAAGTGATGTGAAAATGGAAATGTGAGCGTTTGTGAAAGTGACAGATTGATGATGTTAAGGGTAATGAAGAGAACTGGATTTGTAGTAGCGAGTATAGCCACTATATCCTTTGAGAATATTGTCTGTTTAAGAAGTTATAGAAGTAATCGCAGCACTACCTATAGAATTGCATGTTTGTTGTTCTTGTAAGTGGAAGTACATACATAGCATCAATACATGCACCTGCCTTGATTGCCAGCGGCTAAAGCCTCGCGCAGGTCCAACCCGCAGCCCACAAACCACGGCAACAACGGCCGGCTGCAGCTGCACATGCTAGCTCTTTCCCTCGCCTCCATCGGGCCCGACTGGCTCCTGCCGCCCCTTGTTGACAGCCTGAGCCCGGATCTGTCAGTCGCCCTGTGCCGCGCCTTCCTCTGCTGCTGTTGACAACTGCAGTGGGCAGGAAGCATTACTGCTCTCGGCCAGCGCTAAAGCCGGGGTCCAGCCCACCGCTTTGTGTGTGTCTCTTCTCGCCTTCAGTTATTCCTGGTCACTCCAACGCTTCAAGGTCCCTGCGTCTCTCTCGCCTTTTGGCCTCTTCCGCGGCCTCTGTTTTTTGTGCTTCTTTTCTTTGTTCCTGAGCCGATCGAGGGCTAGTCATCGGCGGCCGACCTACTCTTGATTGATTGTTTCACTCCTCAGCGTCGCTTCTTGCAGCCGCCTCGTATTGTGAGACCTGCGAGATTGGCTCTCTGCGGGCTTGGGATCCCCGGCTCCAGCTTCGCTTCCACCGCGTGTCCTCGATTCTTTGCGGGGGAGCTTGCAGCAGGGTCACGACTCACTCGGCAGAAGGCGGTGGATGCGATTCTAAGCTGGCGAAAGACGGACGCGAACAGCATCAAGAAGAATCCGAAGAGAGGAGCTCAGCGAGACCGACGCTCACCGTTGCGACAAGGCTGCCAAGATCGACATGCCACGATGATATGATCGACAAGCGACGACAAGGCAGAGATACCTAACAACATACCCAGCGAAACAAAGAGCAACCGCGGCGCGCGAAGCGAGATCTCGGAGCGAACGAACCCGATCAATGGCCGTGTCACCACCAGATCCGTTTGCTCGCGGACGCGCGCACCCGCATCGCGCAACGCCAGGACGTGCGCCGTCGTGTCGCTTCTTGGGGGCCGCGGCGCTGCTGCTGGGAGCTCCGCTGGTGGCCGCTGCGCACAGCTTCCCCTATGTCCCCACGCAGATTCTCGCGCCCGATGCGTGCTTCAACCAGAGCGCGTGCCACGGTCCGGATGTGGCCTACATCTTCACCCAGGACGGCGACGACAATGTGCAGTTCCTGTCGCTCAACATCTCGACCACCGTTGGAGCCGACACCAAGCTGAGCCCCGTTACGACGAGCCTACCTTTCGTGGGCGGGGACAATCCGAAGAACACGGCATTCGGCGCGGTGAGGACAGAAGAAGGCGCGGTGCTGGTTTACGCCGGAGAATGTGACAAAGGGCCGGGAAGCGTGTGGACGTATGGAGAGGGGGCTGCCTCTGGCGGTAGCGGTGATGCGGCTTGGACGAAGCACGCGACAACGCTCGGCAAGTCGCAAAAGGGCACCTCGTCGCGAGGGCCGTACTTCCTCGGGGGGACCATTGCCTTTTCCGCGACACTGGCTCCGCTGCTGGACGAGCCGACGATATACAGCTACGGTGGCATGTGTGATACGCCCTCGGACAGTCCTAAGGATTGGCAGTCGGCGGCCAACTACTCCACGGGCATGCTGACTCTCGCTCCAGCCGACAGCAGCCCATCTTCCAGGTCGTACGCGCAAAGCATCGCCTCGAGCTCTGGTCCTAAGACTCCCATAGCCGGATTCAGTCTTACCGCGCTGCAAAGCTCCATGAGCAACATCTCCGGCACGGTCACACAGCAGACGGCGTACGTCGTCCTCGGTGGCCATACCAAGCAAGCCTTCATCAACATGAGCACCGCTGCCGTGTGGAATCTCCCGGAGGAGTCTTGGTCCTACGTAAACGTTCAGCAATCAACCGACAGTCCCGATGGCGTGGAGAGTCGATCTGGTCATACAGCCGTTTTGAGCCAGGATGGGCGTTCGATTATTGTATTGGGGGGTTGGGTTGGCGATGTGACGAATGCAGCCGAGCCGCAGCTGGCCATCCTGGAAATGAGCCAGGCGTACAGTTCGTGGAGATGGACAATACCGAAGCAACAGCCGGATTTCGCAGATGCCGGCATCTATGGACACGGAGCAGCTATCCTTCCCGGAAACATCATGATGGTGTACGGAGGCTGGAAGATTAGTGATTCCGACTCGTCCAGTAAGATGAAGCGGCAGTCCGGCGTCACCACGGCACCGCAGTTTCTGAACCTGACCGATATGACGTGGTCGACGAGCTACAGCAATCCAACTCCGGCTGAGACTGGCGGCCAGAGCCCGGGAGATGCCCCTGGTAAGACGTCTGATGCAGCCAGGTCAAGAGTGTTGGGATTGAGTCTTGGATTTGGTATTGGTGGTGGTCTGATCCTCTTCATTTTGGCCTTGGTCAGCTTTTTCTGCTGGCGCAAGAAACAACGGAGACGAGCCGCTCGCGACGAGACCATTAGGGCCATGGCCCAAGACGCCAGCATGTTTGTACATGACGGCGTTGTTGACATGTCTGAGCGGCCTGATACTTTCCCTTGGGGCTATCGAAGCTGGTACAATGGAGGGCAGGATCCATACCGAACTAATGGAGATGACCGATCTTCTGGATATGAGAGCATGCGTGGCTCGTATGGCGGCTATGCTCCTGTCGTTCCAGGGGTCGTGAGGAAGCCGGTGGCTAGACAGATTCGTGGCGGTTATGTGCCGGCGAACGCTCAGCTCAACAGCTTTGTTTCTACCCCGGGTCAAATTCACCCCATCATGGAGGATGATGAAGAGGATTTGTCTTACCAACGGGATAAGCCTATCGAGGCCACCACTCCTACGTCGGACGCATATTCCGATCCTTTCATGACGCCAACCGCTGCTGTGGCCTCGGGGGCTCTGCCAGTATTCCAGCCTCCGCCCCCTGGCCAGAGCACGGCTGGTCCCAGCACCGACGGCCCGTTCCAACACGATCCGGATGTGCAAGACTGGGTATCGGACGTTGACGCCGCGGATGCAATGCTGGCGAGGTATAATAGCACTCGCCAACAGGGCCGTTCATCGCCAACGCGGCGAAGCTCTCAGCGCTCCTCCGGGATGCACGAAGACGATCTCCACATGGACTCTGGCCTGTCCGAGTCTACCCGCAGCGCGGGAGACGGTCTAGGTCGGTCCAGCTCCGGCCGATGGTCCGCCATTATGGCTACGGCTGGCCTGTTTGGTGGCAGTTCTGCGCCAACTACCGAGCCGGGCAAGCCTGGCAGCTCCTCGTCGAGCAGCTACAATACGGCAAAGTCGGGATTCGGCGCATTGCAGGCAGAAGGCCCCAACCTGCTGCTCGGCAGAACAGCGCCGGGGAGTCCGTTTGAGGACGACGAACTACAGCAGCCCAGCTCGCCGTCGAAATCCAAGCCCCCTCGGAGAAGCTGGCTAGGCTCATTGAGACGTGTCTTTTCCGGCGCCGAGTCCCCCTCGGGTGATGCCGCAGATAGAGCCGCTCCGCGGGAGATATCGACAGATATGCTGAGCAACGACTATGAGCCCCCGCTCTCGGCCCTGGGCAGCGAGCTACTTAAGAGGAAGCAAGGCCGCCAGGACTGGGAAGGTGGGGAGAGCAGCAGCGCCATGGAGCGAGAAAACGAATGGGATATCGAAAGAGCGGTGGAGAACCGCCTGGTCCAGGTCATGTTCACCGTGCCCAAGGAGCGCCTCCGCGTTGTCAATGCCGACGAGCTCGACGACGGAACGAGTACCGACGAAAGACTGCCTCTCCACATGCCGCAGACGGCAGAGCTTGTAGACATGGACAAGAGATCCTCCATGATGGACGCCTCGCTCCGCAGCGCCAGCAAGCTCAGCTCCCACAACGACGACGAGGGTGGAGGCGTGCCCGTGGACGAAGGCGACCGCGACGACGGCTTCCTGAGGATTGAGCAGGACGACTATGACGACGACGGCGACGATCGGTCGGGGAGGAGGGAGAGGCCGCTGTCGGTGGTGACGGACGTGACGAGGAGCGAGCGGCCCATTTCGATTGCGACGGACGTGTCGTTTGCCCGGTCGGCGAGCGTGTACACGGCCGAGGCCCTGACGTTTGAGCGGCCCAAGACGAAGGTGCTGCAGATGGTGGACCGGATCGAGAGCTTTGGCACCACCGAGAGCAAGGACAGCAGCAGCAGTCCTTCGGTGAGCAGGGCGGGGACGCCCGGGATACGGAGCATCAAGAGCAAGAAGTCTTTGCGGAGTGAAGACTTGCGGCGGCAGTAAACCTGGAAGAAACTCAGTAGTTTAGGGGGGGGGAATAAGAATGGTGGTTGGGATTTGGAATAATGGGATATTGGGGGTCTTTTATTTTTCTAATTTAGGCGGGGTGGTACTGGGATCTATGCATTGGCTGGGTGAATCTCTCGTTTTTTTCTTCTTTTTTGGAATGTAATTGAGCGTTCTTTGTTTGCGTTTGCGTTTGGTTTGGTTTTTTGGTTGGAAGAGTTGGAGAGTCGGAAGGGACGGTTTCTTGTATATAGCCTAGGATAGCATAGGAGGACGTGCGAAGGAGGATATGGTCGGATGGATGGGTGGGTGGGTGGATGGAAAGGGAGGGAAGAGAATGAGAAATGTATGCATGTATGTTGATGGCATATGTGTTGTATGGATAGTATATATACCGTTGTTCAAAAGCCCAGATGCATCTCAAATTCCAGCCATGTTTTCCAACTTCCAGTGGCCTTCCATGCTTCCAGCCAGTATCCGCTTATAGATATCGTACATGTACCAACTATATCAAGAGCAGTATGTAATGTCTAAACGTCCAAGTCAAGTAAACAAAAAAACGCCATTGTATGTCTCAAAGCCAAGAATGGATGCAGTCCAGTATCCCAAACACAAGAGCAGTAGCAGCAGTACGAGCACAGAAAAAGAAAAAAATCACCGCAGCCAAACATTCCACTTCAAAACAGTCTCAATCAGCCTCCTACCCGGAAAATCCACAATCACGACCCCGACCCTCGCCAGGTCGTCGTTGCCCGACGCATCCTCGAGGTACTGCCCCGTCATGTCGTTCATGCCCTGGATCGTCCTGTTCATCGGCCCCGCGGCGGCCTCGATCGGCAGCACGCCCACCGACGCCGACAGGTGCGCCAGATACAGGAACCGGTTGTCGTCCGGCGCCAGGGCCGCGCGCTCCAGGGCGTCGCGGATGGCGGTCCACTTCTCCGAGAGGTGGTACACGTCGGGGATGATCCACAGGTCCTCGAGGACCATCTCGGGGCCTTCCCACTGCAGGCCATAGGGGCCACCGCCGTCCCGCGCGTCAAAGTTTTGCAGGATGAAGATCTTGGAGCGGAGTTGCCCGAGCGTGGGCATCGGCGCGGCGAAGTCGTACTTGTGGAGGTGCTTCGCCGAGCCGGGCGCCGTCGCGGGAGACGACCAGTGGTGGTACCGAAAGGCATCCTCAAACGAAACCGTGTTGTTCTTGCCAATCGGGCCCCCTTCCTCCTTGACGCGCATGACGATGGCCTCCGAGGGATACGCATCCAAGAAGTCAAACACGTCCAGCAGGACCTGCTCGTAGCTGAAGCCCGTGTAGCCGTTGGCATGGTAGATGTGCAGCTCGTCGTCCCTCACCCGCGCCCGGATGTCGAGGTAGCGCAGCCCGCTGTGCAGCTGCGTGCTCAGGTTCCAGTTCTGGCACTGCAGCGTCTGCGACCCGATGTCGTACGTCATGGTGTCGTGCGTGCCCGGGATGCTCAGGCTCGTGAGGTGCACGTCGTCGGGCACCGCGGCCATCCAGTCCGGGCGCGCGGCGTCGCCGGCGTCGAAGCTGTAGGCGGACTGGTAGCCGCGGTAGCACGTCGCGCCGACCATGCAGGGCGCGAGGGCGACGAGGAGGTGCAGCAGGGCCATTGCGCCGAGGAGGCAGGTCGCCGTGAGGATGGCGAGGGAGCGGCGGCGGCTGCGACGACCGGGCGCCGGGGGGTTGACGGGCAGCGAGATGGCGCCCATGGTGAGGGAGAGAGTTGCTTGTGAGATATGTATGGGTTGGGTTATGGTCTAGATGGTGTCGTTCGGAAAGGAATATCGTGTAACGGATGGACGGCGGCCGAGTGTCGTCGGATCGAGGGCAGTGCGAGTCTGTGGACGGCGAGGCTGATGGCGATGGGAGATGCGGTCCAGCTCCGTTTCAGTGCAGCAAGCAGTCACATGCGTGACCCGCATCAACGCTCTTTTCCCTCCCTCTGCGGTTCCTCTTGCACAAAAGGCGGCAGATGCGGGCTTCACAAAATGCTGCTGTGGATGATGATGCTTGTTTGTATGGAACCGGAGCGGTGCGATGCCGCACGTAGCCGGAGGTCACAGGCAAGTCTGGACTTATCGCGACCCGAAGATGCGCCGCTATCTCAGGACTGGCATCAGCTTTCTGGAGCTTCTCCCTCAACACCACGGATAGCAACTATACTTTCAGTAACCTGCCATCTTCAATCGACTCAATGTGTAAAAACAGTCTTCAGTCTTGTCAATCTACTGTTGCGAATACTTCAGTCGACATCGCCAGGGTAGAAGAACAGTGGCTCTTGGAGTCATACAGCTGGCTTATCAGTTCACCAGCCCAACCCACGTGTAACTTTCAACCACGCAAGCCTCCAGAATCAGCCACCCTGCCGTCCAAATCCTTCTGCCATGCGAATCTGGAATCTAGCATCTCCGCCACTTCGTGTCACGCCCATTTCCAAGATGGCAAAGCACCCTTATCATGGCCAACTTACAACAAGCTCAACGCTAAAGCCATCATCGCGGCTCATCAGCCTCACTGTTCCTCTTCCATAGTCTGCTTCTCACCCAGGAGTCACCGTACTCCGAACATCCAGCAGCATCATATGTATCAGATCTCGCTTGCAAAGAACCCCCTTGCCACTTGCTGACACTGACTTGCCCAAAGCACGGCTGACCAGGCTTACGAAGCCCAATTCCCCATCGCAAACGCAGCTGCAGGGTCCTCTGGCTCTCGTTGCCGACAACCTGCCAGCTTCATCCCATCGCAGAGCCACATGCCCGTACGCGTAGATACGGAGTCCGGGGCAAGCAACAGCCGGACAGCTGCGACCGCCTCCGAACCACAGCACTACCGCATCCTAGAGCAGGCCCTTCGCCGTCGATAGCTCAATGCGGCTTGCTCGTATTCGCGGGCGCTGGTTGGCGCGGCGCGGGAAGCTCAGCCCCCTAGCCCCAGAGAGAAAATATCCGTAAAAAAATGTGTTGCCATCTGGGTCGCTTTCCTTTTAAGCTTTCACTTGCCTCGAGGGATGGACCCTGGAGATATCAAGCCATCGCTGGAGACACATGGAGGCCCATTGACTTTGAGAGAATAGGGGGCCGAAAATCTCAATCTCGAAGCGAGCACGAGTATAGTTTCTCGTCGTCTCCGCTGGAGCTGAGGCTGAAGAGCCAAATCCACAAGCTTCAAACATATTCGGTCCACCATGTCAGAACCATGAACATCCATTCTTCCGGGTGAGCGAATAATGAAGTCCAGACACAGGACGAATTCGCTGCAACAACCCCGTCTGTCCTTGTAACTGAACTCATACAAACAGAGCCATGGTAGTAGTATTGGTTCACCCCACGCTCACGGGGCGGCGTAAACTCTCTCTTCATCAAACTCTTGACCGCGAGAAGCCAAGGCCCCAGGCAACGACAAAGCTTGATAATGGACCGATTGACTGACTCGGTGTCTGCGTTCCTTTCGGCAATGGAGTCTCTTCGTTCCTCGTCAATACGGAGCAGCAGCCGCGCTAACATCAATGAGAGCTGCGTGAAGCGCGTTGCATCACTCTCGTATGGCGGTTTGGACACCCAATTGGTCACCGCAATGCATGTTTGTGATGCTGCTAGCAACAACTGCAGCATGGTAGACAGCCATGCACCCTTCGCGTACAGTGAGTAAAGAATATGCCTTGCTGAGATGTATCGGTACGCATAGGGGGGAATCGCTCATGTGAATGGCTCGGCTTCTCTGATCCTCACATGGCAATGGAGAAGAGTAAGTAAGAGCCGTAGGCCGCCAACAGAGGAGAGCCACAAGTCTTGTGCTTGATGAAACACCCGTTCGGCTGCTCCCAATATCCGTGACGATCCATCGTCCTAGTTTGTCGATCCCTCTTGAGCTGGACAGAGATGAGCAAACGAGGCGTCATCTGTGGCGCAGAAGATGGCTGAAGTCTGTTCCGAGCTGCCTCCCTTTGGTTCAACGACGCCCTCGGGACTTTTGCCATCCATTCACATCTCTCTGCTCTTGTAACCTCGGATCAAGTATCTCACCTCTGTAAACCATCCTCTGAGAGCAGCCATGAGCATGCTGGGCAATTGATGCCACAGTCATCTCCCGTACGCGCAGAAACCTCTCCACAGCCTGCCCGGGACATATCCATCGTACGATGAAGCGGTGCGGTGCCGAGTCGACCGCTGGCTGCAGCTTACCAGCGCCGATCCCTCAGAGACCAACGCCGTGACATCCGACACAGAAAGAGGCCAACGAGCATCGCGGTCTCACCACCAAGTGAACACCACTGCTCCGTAGAACATCAGGTTGTTGTCGAGGTTCCGCAAAAGGTCTCGCAATACTTGCATGACGGTGTCCCGGATTTGAGACCTAACCTCTTTTGGCCCTTTGGTTGGCTGCATCATATACGGGAGGCTGGTATGTAAAGAGGCTGGGGTGAGGGGAGACAACGAACCGTGGGGGAGTTCACCTCGCGATTGGCCAATGCAAGGAAGTTGCCCCTCGGACATGATTTCGAGATGGGACTGTGGCTTGTCTGTACGAGTGTGAGGACGCGTGTGTGTGCGAACAGTTTGCGGGGATGGTGCTGTTGATTTTGCCGAAAGCTGATGTCGAATCAGCTTCTGGTTCCATGCGGGGAACAGATGTCGACGTGTTGGTAGCTTGACTTGACATCCTGATCCTTCTGCATCCTGCAGACGACTGACTGCTGCTTCACCTTGTTAGCAGTAGTAGTAGTATGTGTGTACTGGTACTGAACAAGCATTCGTCGCCACTCGCCTAGACATTATGGTTCAGATACAGATCTCATGTGGCTGATGCAAGTATACTGTAAATAGCAGCGCAACAGGTAGAGGCGATTCGTATGTCCTCGTACTGTAGCATTCTAGAAAGGCGATCTGCTTCGTCCACTCGCCTCGCTGAAGAGAGATTCGAAAGGGCTCCCTGTGGCCCACCGCGAGAGCGAAATCAAGGCATTACCAACGCGGACCTTGCTCCGTTGTGGCCAGCAAAAGTACATCTGCATCTGCTTATTGCCTATCAGTATCGTCCAAGGGTCGGCAACTGCATTCAAGGCACGAAACCGCAATGTGGCTGTTCTTTGCCACAGAAGCCATCGACACGGCTAAATCCCACGCACTTATCGTTGTTGTCGATTGCGCATCCCCAACTTGCCTCCAAGTGCCAATTCGAGTCTCTTGCAACTTGCTGGACAGTTCTCACGTAGTAACGTACTTGTATCGAGTACGACTAGTATGTGCCGAAGATGCAGCGGAGCCACGAGTCATCATGTGCTGGGGAGGATTCGATCGGTGATCCGTACCCAGGTACAGGGGCATGTCCAGCACCAAGCACTCGTCGAGGTTTTCTTCTGCGGCAGAAAAAGCAAAGGGCGAATGCCTCGATCCAGCAACGCTGTGAGGGCGGTGCCACATTTTCCCCACTGCTGGCCGCATCCTGGTCCTTGCTCTCCCGTCCGGCCAGATACACAATCGTCACGGACCCAAGAAATCGCTGCTGCCGGTGCGAGGCGAGGACTGAGCTTTTGAGAAACTTGCCCTGACGGTCATGGCCCCGAGATGTCTGTCTCTCGATGGATCCAATTTGAAACATCCAACACGGGCCAAGGGTGCGCTGTTTGTTATCAAAATCGCTCACGGCAACATGGCAGATGCCCACGAGACTAGGGCGGACGTCCTTTGTTAGCGGTAATTGCTCCGTAGTCATCACTCGACAAGCCCGGGATGTGTCCACCGCGTGATCCCGTCCCTCGTATCGCATCTGCTCCGGCGGCTTCCAATCCAACTGCTCGTCAACTCCGTCAATCCCACGATCCCGCCGTACGAGGTATGGAATTCGTGCGCCGAGAGGCATAGCGCAGCGCAGCAGGTGCTTGTACCTGTGCAGACAGCGAGCAAGACAGACAAGCACATGTACTCATACTTGTTGCGCGCGTGGGTGTGGGTGGGCACGTCGTCGACGGTGGAGAATCTGCCCTCTTGAGCCTTGCAAGCTTCGTGGCCACAGCTCGCCATGGGTCGACGGAAAAGCAGTCGGCCCCAATCGTCAAGGTCGAGCGAGCCACACAAACCACGATCCGGGTCGAGGACGGTTACGCCGGACGAGCAGCAGCCCACACACCGTCATCTGCTGCTCGTATTCAGTCGGCCGGCCACAAGCACAAGTTGTAGAGCAGTTTCGTATTGTCTTGCTCTGCGACCTCTTTTTTTGCTCTTACCAGTTGCCTCGTGTGATAAGGCCCGTGTACGAAGGAGTGGTAGCTGGTGACTCTGTGTGGCCATCGTGACCTTTTCTCAGACAATTTTCTCTCTCTTCTTTTGTCTGCATCGTGACCATTTTCTGTGGTGAAGGAGGAGATGAGGAAGAGAAGACTGGAAAATGGGCGGGAGCAGAGAATATCCGCCTGTGGCTCCAATGGCACCTTCCAGTTCGTTCCTGCCCCATTGTGCTCCGTACCGGTACAAACACCAGCGTACGGTAACATGGAACGCCACAAGCCTGGAGCAAGCCCCGGAGGCGGCACTGCTGACGGTACGTACCGAAAGTTGAGCGCCATCGACTCGGTTTGGGCTCCGTTTGATGTCCAGCCTTGATGAGCTGGATATAGATGTCAGTTCGAGTCCGAGTTATCAATCAGCAGTTTCTTTTGCTGGCGAATGTTTAGATGTACTTACAGAGATACCTCCATGCGTTCACGCGACTGTGGTAGCATCGCCTCCTGCTATGAATGATATGCCGGTTGATGCAACGTATTATTGCCAGCACAACGCAGGTCTCTGCCCTCATAGTCGCGTCATAGATGCCAGAATGGGCCACAATGCTGGCAGCATGAATGCATTAAGCCATACACAAGCCTTTCATTGCGTCTCTTCCGCGTATGTACGGAGTACAGGTGTGGTTTCCATGTACATACTGCCGCCTGAGGCGATGCACCAGCCACAGCTCGATCCTGGACGAGAAGCAGTCCTCGTACATGGAGTTGCGCTGGCAGGGCAGGTACCGGTACACGCACCAGCAACCTACAACCTGCAACCACACCGTTCAACCGTACTATTCGATGGTGCAAGGGCTGAGCTTCCACAGATTCTGACGAGATCGATTGCAAACAGAAGCGCAGCATCCCAAGCAGCGATGTCCATGCCTGGAGCGACTCGCAACGCCGCTTAACGAGAAAACATAGCCGACTTAGTACAAACGAGGCACCCACTGTGGCTTGCTTGCGACCTCGAGCGCACGGCGCCTCTAGCGGCCTCTAGCGGGCTCCAGCAGCCCCCCCAGCAGCCCTTGGCCCGCTGGCCAGATGCCGCCATCAGCTGCCCCGTCGCCCGTAGCGCCTCAGTGACGCCATGGTCAGGGGTCAAGCCGGGTTTTAGCGTGGCTGCTTTACGAAGTACCGGTACCGCGGACAGCCACAGGCATCGGCTGGGCAGCTGGATGGACGGACAGAGAACATGGCAGTGAACATCAGGAACGATGCGCGCCTGTTCTATTTTTTGTCGACACCGTTCAATGAGCGGCCATTGATAGCAAATTAGGGACTTGGACGCAAATAACCCGTCGCCATCGAGCGGAAAGAATCGTCTTCTGCCCGCATCGCATGGCCAGCATCTGTAAACTGCAACCCCAGTCACTCCAGGCGTCACCTGTCACTGGCCTGGCAGCGCTCGGGCCTGATCGCCTCCCCGGGACGCTGGGAGCCTGTCCTGTCCAGCAGTACCTCCCCAGAAGCCTGCAGATTCGGCGTGGAAGCGGTCCACGGTACATGCACCGGGACTCGTACCTGTACTTTGGCCGTCCAACCCCAAAGGCTCTGCAAATCTCCAGACTTCTTCCCTTCCTCTCCCGCTTCCTCGCACACACTCTCTCTTGCCATCTTTCGCCTCTCAACCTCCGCCTTGTCGCCTTGTCGCCTTTGTCGCAACACAGCCTGGCCCGACTATAACACGAACTTCCCAAGCAGCGCCAGTGCCGCCCTCGTTCATCAGCCACCAGCACCGTCGCCAGCGCGAACACGCCAGAGTTCACTCGCCATAACATAACACCAACTCGGCTTCCTCTGCCACCAGCCACGCCCGGCCCGTCCGCTCTGTCAATCATCTCCAAAGGCGGTTTGGGCATCTGGGCTGCTCAACAGCCCCGAACCTTGAACAAAAAGGCACCCTCGGCAGCCTTAGTCCAAGACATTTTCTCATCGTCTCCGCTTCCCGGCTGCGCTGTTCCTGGCCGACCACCCCATCCTCCTTTTTTTCTCTTTTTTTGGTTCTATTTCCTTGTTTCTTCATATTATTTTTCTCGTTTGTTTTGGTCCAGTGGTCTTGGGGTTGTTCTTCCTTAGGTTTCCTTGTTGAACTCTTGTGCTCCGAGACAGGCTTCGCGTTCGGTACTGCGAGCGGTTTGTTGTTATTTCCTGCGTTGGATCTTTCAGCTGCTTGCGACACTCGCTTCGGCCTTGTTTGCATCTCGCTGCACATTTCAGTCTACAAGATCGTCCTTTTGCAAAAAGGAAAAGAAAGAAGAAAAAAAAGCTCGAATCACTACGTGTTGAAGATAACGTCACGGTTATTGTCGAGGCATTCCAACATTCGGTTTCTGGCTCATAAGCACCGTTGTGTTGTGTCTCTGATTCCATCGAGACTTTCGCCGGCTCTGCCCAGGCCTCGACCAAGACATTATCCACCCCGACTCAGCTGCTTCACTGCCGCACCGAGCGCGAATTCGAATCATCTTCGAGAAGACCGATTTTGAACGAATTTGAAAAGTCGACTCATTGTTGCGCTGCAAGAATTGCGTCTCGCGATTTCTCTCGTCCAGCCCGTGTGCTGTGAGCTGTTCAAGAGAGGATCAAAGGGACGGCTATGGCTTGTTTCTGAGGGCCTATTCAATCGACGAACAAAGTGAAGGGAACCCTTGGAGGAGAGACAAAAGTCACGTCATCGACACAACCGAGGGAGCGACCATCTCAGACTTTCACGACCCTTTTGAGAATCCGCGCTTAGGACAACAACACCTCCAAACTCTTATTTCCTTCCAACCTCAACCATGCGCTTGTTTAGGACCAGTGCCCTGCAAAAGGGCTGCTTTATCTTTCTAGTATTGGCCTTCTCGACGTTGATTTCTGCCGTCGATGTCAACGTTTGCTCTAGTTTCAACACGGCCGAGACGCCACTGAGTAAGTTTGGCAGCAGCGGAAGTTGAGAGACAGCCATCTAACCTTTGACAGACGTCAGCATATACCAAACGAATGGACTGTGCCAAGGATTTTGTATAAAGAAGAACTACGCCTTGGCCATCACGCAGCAGAACTCGTGCTGGTGCTCCAACTACTATCCCGACAAGGGCTCGACAGTCGACGTCAAGGATTGCAACGTACCTTGCCCTGCCTGGCCTACCGAGTACTGCGGCGGCCAAGGCTTGTTTGGCTATCTCGTTCTTAACGAAGTGGCCCCGTCGGGCACGAAGACGGCGCCGGCTTCCTCCACGACACCCACCCAGGTACGTCCATGATTCTTCTTGTCGCGATGCTCCCACTGTTGCACCTTGAGCCCATTTCCTGAATGTATGGCGCGAGAGCCCAATTGCCACCTGGAGGAACAACGTCTCTGCCCGGCCACCTTGTATAACGCCTCTTTGTCAAAGCCCCATTCTTGTTCTCCTTGGAAACCGGTGGGATCAAAGTACTCCCCTGGCACCCAGCTGAGCACCGTGATCGTGACCGATAGTGTGACTAAGACTGTGGTGCAGAGCACAGCTTCAACCTCCGCTTCGACGTCCTCCAGCTCCATGGCTACCTCCACCTCCGCCTCTTCTACTTCCTCATCTTCTTCCTCTTCCTCTTCCTCCACTTCTTCCACCACTTCTTCCTCCACATCAGAGACGCCGACTACTTCTACAAGTAGCTCATCCTCTGTATGACTTGACTCTTGACTGCGGTTTGCGCCGCGGAAACTCTGAATGCAACTGTGATGCGCGGGATGAGAGCAGAGCTAACATGTGGCACAGTCAACGAGCGATTCAACGACATCTTCCACCACCAGCACACCGCCTCCGACGACGTCGTCGCCGCCGCCGTCGACCACGTCCACCGATGGTAGCGGCAGCAGTGGGAGTAGTAGCAGCACCGGCAGCTCTCCAACACCGACAGAGGATCCAAGCAAAGATCAAAGCGGCGGCGGCAGCACCAGCGATGGGTCGTCCAAAAAGTCGGGTCTGAGCAGCGGTGCCATTGCCGGAATTGCGGTTGGCGTGGTTGGCGGTGTGCTGGCCATTGCCGCTGCTCTCTTGTTCTGGTTCCTGCGACGAAGAAGACAGGGCAAGGACGAGTACCAAAACGACCCGAGCGTACGAGGCAGCTCATCCGGCATGGTGGGAGTCCCCGGAGACTTGACGGGCAACAGCGGCTCGCCGGCCTCGCCCGTTTCGGTTGCCAACAGAAACAGCACGATCCAGATCGATCCCCGAATGGACCCGTTCAAGCAAGGCCTCTACATCCGCGGTAGCCACGAAAGTCTTAACACGCTGCGCGACGACCACGACTATTCGCGACGCATCCAGCCGCCCAAGGTGCTTCGGGCCGTGAACCCGGATCCCGAAGAGCCCTAAGGCAGCCATCGATATGCTTTTTTCCTTTCGACTTTTCTGTGCATAGGTGGCTTTTTGTCTATTATTTCTCCTTTTGCGTTGGATGGTTCCCTTTTGCGGTTTTTAGAACGATCCGAGTGTCATGACCGCGCGCGTATATGAACTTCCGCCGCTCGGGTTCGAATATACACATGACAAAAACAAAAGATTTGGGGTCTTGTCGCTTTTCGAGATACCAGGATGGCGTTGGCAGCTTTTTTGATTTTCAAGGGGGGTGCATGAGGCAAGAAAAGGGGTGGCCGACTGGACGTATGTCGCTTTTGCGGTCGAGATGAGAAGCTCGGCAAAATGAGGCGAGATTACGACCGACGACGGACCCCCGCGACACTTGCACTCGACACGGTACTGGCATGACGCGCGCACGACTTTTTTGGTGCCTCTACGGAGTAGTAATAATCGCGCCTTGGGTCGTTTTGGATTTGAGGAGACAGCAGCCGAGGTTGGCATAGCCGGCTTTGCGATAATGGTTGTGAAAAATTGGCTGGATAGGTGTACATATTGGAACAATGGGCATGAGCAGATATACAGCGTACACGATAGCGGCAGTCTAGCGAGGCGAGATGCTGAGCGGATGCTGCAAGAATATATTGTTTTGAACAAACTCGGAGTGAAGACTATCTGAGCTTGCATCGCGTGCTAACCTGAGATACTCTTCAATGAGCAACGATTTGATGACTCTTCACTATTCGACGTGAATGGCATATACAGTGTTGGCGGATGAGGCAAAGCATTCTACCTTCTATACCATCTTTGAGATTGGCTTGGTTGAGAGCTCACATGGGCGTCGTTGGCATTTATATCATATCCCATTTTCTGTTCAGAAATTATACAGTTCATCATTCAATGTAGCATGCTCTCCAAGGCCAAAACATCACATCACTCACTATCTCTCTCTACGAAATCGAAACCCAAACAAAAAAACAAAAGCCAAAAGAGACCACAAGCATAAACCAGAATAAAAGGAAAGAACAAAAGAAGACAATTCAAAAATGAAGTAAAAAGGGTGAAAAAGGTAAAAAAAGAAAGTGACCCTCGACAGAGACAGGATTCGAACCTGCGAGGCCGAAACCATATGATTTCTAGTCATACCCATTAACCACTCTGGCACTCTGCCTTAATGTGTTCGTTGGAAGATCCGCTCTCTATTTCTTACTATACAGTTAGTACTAACAGCAAAGCCACTGGAAAGCCAATTAGGGAAGTTGTGGGTTCCTTCCTTTCGTCGCGTGGCTATTTATAGCAGCGTCCACATGTTTGCATAACACGTTGGTGCATCGTGGATGTGGGTCTTGGTGGGCCTTTTTGTGGAGTTCCTACTTCGAGTGGCTTGGGCAGGGGTTCGTTTGGAACGCCACTGACGAGAAGAAACAGGAACGAAACAGGCACAGCCATCAAAAGTGACGACCACAGAGATATCGAAAAGGAAGAAAACAAAGATAGAAACACGTACAGAGTGATCTACTATCTCATCATGGCAGGGACAGAGTCGCCATCATATCTTATACGATATATCCAACTTTGCCACATCTCTCTCTTCATTCATTCTTCTTCCTCTTTGTTTCTCTGCGTGCCCAGTCTATGTACAACTCGCCCAGCTCGCTGACCCATGCCCCCCCTCTCGAGCCGAACAACAAATAATCAATTTAAATGAAGGAAGAAAATGAGCAAAGGAAGAACAAAACCATGATAGCCCTCCTCTTCTACCTTTCAGATGTGAGCTCAAAATCTGCGTAACGCAGATACAAAAATCAGTTACATGAAAAAAAAGAAGCAAAACCTTCAGCCACCTGTTGCGCCAAAACAAAAAAAAAAAAAAGGAAAAAAAAAAAAAACCATCAGCCACCTGTACGCCCTCCCTACCGTTGGTATCGTAAACAAGACAGCCGTCGTGATTGTAGTAATGAAACGAAGACTTCATCCTCCTTTTTCTATTCTTATGCTTGGACAGAAATCATCTCTTTCGGATTTTTTTCGTTTTAATTTCTTCAACCTTGTCTCCAATCTCCCTGTCCGTACGGCTCGGACGGCCGCGCTGGTCGTTGTGGGGGCGACTGATCGTATGAGTGGTAGGGTGACTGCGCGTGTGCGGCGCCGCCATAGGGAGGCGGGTCGTATGAATATGCTTGCGCGTGTTGTAGATGGCTCTGGCCGTACGCTGACGGCGGTGACGCGCCCATGCTCGAGTCGGGGTTGGGCTGGGCGTTGTAGATCAGGCCGACTCTCTCGTCGCCAATCGGGGACATGACGCCGCCTCCGCCAACGCCGTGATACGCGGTGGCCGTCGGGTCCTCGAACGCGGGGTTGTATGCGTCCTGGCCGGGCTTGGGCTCGTGCAGGTTGCTCAGGCTCAGCGCCTCCTCGTTGGCGGTGCCCAGCTTGTAGCTGACGTCCTCCTTGCGCCTCTTGATGCCGCAGAAGAGCCAGCGCATGCCGCGGACAAAGGCCTTGACCAGGTCCCACAGGTTCATGGCATCCCACAGGGCCCGCAGGCCGAGGAAGCCGCCGCGGTTGGGCAGAACGGGCTTCTCCAGGCCAATGGTGCCCTTGGACGCGTCGGGGCTCGGGTAGAAGGACGAGGCGGCGCCGCGGCGGTAGACTTGGTAGGGAAAGGCCCAGATGTGCAGCATGGAAAAGATGGCCATTTCCACGCACAGCAGTAGGGCCGGGACGCCCACCTTGAGATCCGGATAGGCGAGGACTTCGCCGGGCTTGACGATTTTCAGCGTCGACGTGCCGACGGAAATGGCCGAGGCCTGCCAGAAGGACAGGAAGACGACGAGCTTGATGGCGAGGATCTTGAGGAACAGCTTGTGCTCGGCCAGGGGCTTGGCGAGCTGGATGTAGAACTGGATGAGGCAGTACATGGCGACGGTGACGGAAAGGGCGTTGATGACGAGGACCTAAATCATGTCAGCTGCATCCAAGGTATTGATATAGCTCGTGTGCTATCAACTATTTTCAAAGATGACTGCAGTAGTTTGTGTGTGCTAGCAACTGTTGAAAGACAAAACGCCGGTTGCTTACCCAGATGTGAGCGAAAATGGGAGAGTTGGAGCTCTCGCAGTAGCGGCCATAGTGCTCGGTCAGCACGGCCGTCACGGTCATGGCAACGCGGATGAAGCAGTACTGGTAGACGCCGATCCAGATGATGTTGAACCAGGTGAGGCCGCTCTTGGGGGTGCGCCACGGGCCTCGGTCACCGCCGCAGCACTTGGCGAACCAGTTGATGGGCATGACCCAGGGATGGACCGGGCGCAGGCCTCGGAAGAACTCCTTTTGCGTGTGCAGGTCGGGCGCGCAGTAATGGCATATCAGGCCGAAGAAGGAGGCGATAGCAAAGGCCTCGTAGCAGTCGGAGATGACGGAGAAGTAGGTGGCGCGCCAGTACCACTGCAGCTGCATGTACGAGGAGATGGCGTAGACGGGGACCATGAAGAGGATGCGGATGATGCTGTCGTCGAGGTTAGCCGGCCGTGGTTCTCTCTCTCGCGTCAAGACGCTTCGGTATTGCTCACTGTCGCTGCTCCTTGGGCTGTGTGTAGTGGGTGGCGTGCATGAAGATGAGATACAGACTCAGCACCACGGCGATGAGGGTGCAGCCGGCGGATATGACGCGGGCGAGGTCGTGGAAGTTGAGAGGCCCGGCGATCTTGATCTCGGATCCCGGAGAGACTGCTGGAGCATTAGCCTTTGTGCAAATGATCCGGGCAGAGGTGGAGGGACGACGGAAGACGCATGGCGGCGCAAGAGAGACATACTCCTCATTTCCTCCAACGTCGAGTTGCACGTGAGATTCATCATGTTGGCGGTTTGGCGTCAGGGCTCGATCGGTCGCGGTTCGGTTAGGAGCCCTCCGAGGGGGGGCAATAGCCAGCTCTGTGGCCAGCGACGTTGCGCGCAGAGTCAACCTGTCGTCTCGATGGATCGTTTTTCGCTCGGCGGCGGGCGTCCAGCGGCGTTGCGAGCGACGACTCTTGGATTCAGAGGTGTGATGTGATGGTTGTCGTCGGCCGTCGTGGGAACAAGGGGCGCAGCTGTGAGTCGTCGGCCGCAAATGCTCTCTCTCTCTCTCTCTCTCCTCCTCCCTGTGCGTCTCGAACGCAGCTCCTCCCTTCTCGGTCGCGGAAACCCCGGGGCTTGGCTTGGCTTGGGTCGATTCGGTCGGATCCAGCCTGGGTCGAGAATTTTGTTCGTATTGGGAACGACGCCAGCCCGTGATGTGATGCCTCGTACGGAAGGTCGTTTGTGGCGGTCCCCTGGCAGAACAGAAGCAGAGGATGAAGAAGGATGAAGCGAGTGGAAGGGCGAAGGCGAAAAGGAAACAAGAGGAAGAGGGAAAAAAGGGAACGGAAAGGAATGTCGCGAGTGGGTAAAGACGGGCAACGAGAGCGATCGACTGGCCTAGAGAAATAAGAATGCAAGCAGAACAAAGTGCGGGCAGGGATCCGGGAGAGAAGAGAAAGTGAAAATGAGGAAAAGAGTTAAAACGTCGGGATGCCGACCAGGGGGGTGAGCAGAGTAAAGATGACCTGAGGTCTAGTCGGGTGCTTCAAGTCGGGGCGTCGGGGGCTTTGGATAGCCGCTGGGAGGGCCGTTTAGCGGGTGGCTTTGGCGGGATGGTGCCTATAACTCAGGGCATGGGACGGGGCTCTGCTGTGCTTCCATGTGATGCACCAGACCTCACTCGTGGAATTCAAGCTGGTGCTACGTAAATTGTGTCCTTCCGCATCTTGCTGCCCATCTCAGCCTTGATCCAATGCACGTATTACTGCAAGGTAAGCTTGAAGACACATGCACTTACTTTCAAAGAGAGCATCATTGATCCTTTAACGGCAGATGCTCTCGTAGGGCTCGTCAAGCCTCTTGCGACTACATCTACCTTACAGAGGGCCGTTTCACATCGACGGCTAACGTAGCCATTAGCCGCTTGGCGATTGTGTGGCAGGGGGAGGCTGAGTCTTGCTTTCCGCCCGCTCTCCCCCAATCAACGCCTCGTTTCACGGCTCTCGTAGAGGCTACGGCCTTCTGTAACACTACCGTTTGAGCGTCTTCTCGCCTATCGCCATGCATGTACTAGTAGGTATGTATGTATTCATGTTCATGAAGGAGGCGGCCTCCCTCCCGCTCTGCTTCTCTCTGCCAAACCCGGACCCCGGAGATCGGAGTGCGGACAAACAGTCCCAACGGAATGGACATGGAAGACCACGCACTCTGTTATTAAGGTATGGAACGCCAAGCCCAGCAACGCGCGTCATGAGATGCACCTCATTTCGACCTTTTCGCCTGCCTGCATTCATTCTCTCACTCACTGACGATGCCCTCAAAACTTCCTTCTTACTCATACTGTCTGTTCCATGATTAGAATTAGAATATCGATCAACACCTCCAAAACCCAGCCCATCCCGCTCCTCTGCAGATCCCCCATCCACAGCAGAACCTGCAATTCGAACACAAAAAGTACAAGTTACCTCGTGCTCCCTCACGCCCATCGTCATGCCGCAGCCCCCTATAACAAGTACCAGACTGCATACCTGTACTATAACTCTGCACCCGAGACTCCCTTTCAGGGGCTGCCCTTCAATAACGATGCGCAAACGGCGTCACGTCACTGTGGGTTTTTTTCAACCTTGTTCCTTTGCCTTTTTGTATTCGGTACGAGTTTCTTCGAATGGGCTCTTAAGCACACGCCCCTCTCTGTTCGTTGCCTTTTACCGCGGCTTTCTTCTACTACCTGAGTAAGTCATCTCATACCAAGCACCACAAAGCAAAAACAACAAAGAATGAATGCCATGGAATGTTCCGAACGCAACCCCAAGCAAACGGCGCAAGAAAACCTGGCAATAAGCAGTCAAATTATTCTCCGCAGAAAATTAAGAGTGCGCTCTTCTTGGGACCCCCAGGACCCTTTCCAACATGGCAAGTTTCGCGTAGCATCCCCGACCCCGAATCCCGGGTTGCCCGCATTGATCAGGCAAATCAAATCCTAATCTCCATTCACAAATCCCAAATAATCATTACCAGATGCTTTAATATGTAATACGACATAACCTTGTACATGCCTACTACTACTACCGAGCACATCCGCTCAGCTAATCAACCTCTTCTGGTTCATACAGATACAGCCATCCATCCACCACCACTCACAAACGTGTCTGTACAAGTACAATATGCCTCCAAAATCTCGTCAAAGATCCCCAGAATACACGTATTACTCACGCACACTCCTTCAAGAATATAAATGGCATCAAACCCCGCCCTTCCTCCCGCTCGGAAAATCGGCAATCTTGCATCAACTGCTGCCAAGATGCTCTTTTGGCTTCCCTTGCGTGAAGCCACAATCTGACACACTTCTTTCTTTCACATGCACACTCCCCCACCTTTGTTTGCCCTGCTCCCTTTCTTGTCCTATCACGGCGGCAAGCACAAGCACGATGATGGCAATGTTTGTCTCTTTGCGTCAGAATAGGCGCGCAGCTGGATCAATCTATAACGTTACGAATGGGTTAGGGATTCATTAATCAGGCCTCTCCCTCTGAGAAGCAAGCCTTCTATCACTGCCTTGTGAGGTGAATACCAGTAAGTTATTATCGAGATTGTCTTACTATTCCGATTTTGCAGCACAGCCACCGATGACAAAGTCACTTTCCAGATCCTGTGTCAGCCGTCTTCACGTCCTTCGTACAGCCACACTCATGCCTCCTCACCTACCAGTGTACATACCACCACCCGCCACAGCTGTTTCTGGTCACGGCATAGGCCCTTATAATATGGAATCTAGGCGAGTAACAAGGCTCTGATGATTCTGTTTGGCCTCTATGATCGTGTATATAGCAGGTGAGAGACTTGAGGGACCCATGACGAGAAATGTCAACCATTACCAGAAACCCCCATGGCGCGCGTTAGGTACCTAACCTCATATATACGCCCTCTCAGTACCACGTCAGGTAAGATGCAAACAACAGAAACAGCAGCCAGATGCAGTCACACATTATTGGCTTCCGCAGCCTTATCTTACTCCGTACGTCGTCATCACTTGGAATTCGATTCCTCCAGGCGAAAACACAACATGAGAGTGCACATCAAATCTCATAATCAGGGTAGGCAAGACTTCATAACCATCCAGCAATACATGCTTCTTCCCCAACGCAAAGGTCTCTCGATAGATAGATGCCTATTCATACAAAAAACCCCATCTGTTCTAGCTTCACTTTTCTTTCCCCTATGCTCCCACTTTTCCTTCTTCTGTTTTTACATATCGTACATAGTTGGCATCATTATTCATCAAAGAACAAAAATAGTACAGAGTCGTAGAAACCATGGCGCAAATAATCGCATCAAATGTCGTCAGGATGCTTCTTCCGCTTCTTCCGCTTCCCCCCCTTTCCTTTGTCCTCTTTATGTTTCTGATTCGCATGTTTTTTTGCACGGGAAGTTGAAGTAGTGTTACACTTATTTTATACACGGGTTGGTTCGAGGTTCGATATTGACTCTCCCCCTCTCTCACGGTAAAAAAGACCGGAAAGGCAGGTTGTATGTATGAGGTGAAAAAGATGACAGATGCGAGTTGCATCATGCTTTGCTGAATCGATCCCATTCGGCGTAGTATCTGTCGTAGAAAAAGACAAAGAATAGATTGTAATAAGACAAGCGTTAAAGAAACATGTAGTAGCTCCGTATCTGACAATTTCTGAAATCGACCGCAGCGTTGGTAATAAAAAAGGGCGAAAGCTCCCATCCTCTCTCAAAAAGACAACAACAAAAGTCTTGATCCAAAGGCCGGTCGTACCAACAATGTCTGACCTCCCTGGCTTCTCCGGGCTACCTAGTCTTTTTCAAGCAAGCCATCTGCTGTTTGGTTTGTCGCTTCCGTTCCGCAGACTCCGGATTACCGTCGTGCTCGCTTCTCACGATCGCTTGACAAGGCTCCGTCGGCTTCTTCGCCTCTTCTCTTGCGCCCTCGGTCATCTCTATGCTCCCTCCGCTGCTCCTCCGTGCGTTGTGTTCCGTCTCTCGTCGTTCCTCGGCTGGTCCTGTTGCCGCTGCGCTCGTCCCCACCCCGGGCTCCCATTCCTCCTCCCTCGCCTCTGTGCCGTGACTCTCGGCCGCTGCTCGGCGCTGCTGGTGCGTCTCTAGAACTGCCGTCTCGGGCCAACCTGCGAGCATCTCTATCCTCTCGGGCCGCGCCCTCCACACCACCGGCCACCGATCGTCGATCCCGGTGCTCGCCATGTTCCTTGCCGTCTCTCTCTCGCTCTCGGCTGCTTCGGCGCGAGGACCGCTTGGACCGGTCGTTCCGGCCGTCACCGCGATCTCTTCGGCTTCGGTCGTGCTCCCCACGTCCTGATCCATCTTCTCCGTTCGGCGGGGGCCCGCTCCGGGCCGAAGAATCATGCCACTGCGCATCTGGACGGTCCGGCGCAGACGGCGTCATGTCTCCTCCCGCCAATACTTGAGCGTCTGAGTGGCCGAGCATCTGTCTGGGAGGGTTGACGCGAGGACCGCTGGGGCGTCCTTCATTCGGCATGGCCGCTTGAGCCTGCTGAAGCATGTTGTTGATGCCTGCCAGCTGTCTTCTCCCACCACCCGATCTCGACGACCTGTCGCCAGCAGAAGCGGGGCCAGTAGGCACAGCAGGCTCCAACGGGAGAGAGCCTGCAGACGACCTAGGCCCCGGCCGCTCTGCGTTGCCAGAGGACATGGAGTGGCGCACAGGTCCGTTGCCATGCCCATATGGCGGAGGCCCCGGGGGTGGAGGAGGCGGAGGCGGAGCGTTGGATCCAGGACCGCCCATCTGAGCAAGTCGATCGGGGTGCACTCCAGCCGATGCCGCTGTGCTGCCGCCTTGGCCAGCAGACGGGTTCTCCTGCGCGCCGCCGCCGCCAAAGTTCCTCATTCTATCGGGATGTGGTCCACCTGGAGCGCCGGAGGGAGCTGCTGGCCCAGTGCTGTTACTGCCGGGCTCGTAACCACGGCGACCACGCCCAGATGCAGGGCCTGAAGGTGGATGCCTTTCTTGCGAGGGTGGTCGAGGCGCCTCGGAAACTCCGTATCGACTGTCGGGCCGGTTCGGCATCACGGGCGACGGCCCCGGGGGGTTGTTTCTTGTTGCGCCTCGGCCTCGTCCCCGCGGACCCAGAGGGATATCTGGAGTAGTAGTAGAGGGCACCGGGTTGAGACGCCCGTAGTTTTGATCTTGGTAGGGCGGCCTGTGCTCAACCTCCTGTCCGAGCGCTGATCTGTGGAAGCCTGCAGAGGAAGAAGAGGCATCTCGCATCTTGTCCATGTGTGCTCTCTCCGCGTCGCGCTCCATCCCCTTACTGCCGCGATAACTCTCTCCGCCGGGTGGTGAGCGGTCGCGGGCAGTTCTTCCAGTAGGAGGACGCATAACGTCTTGTTGGAAGGGATGCCCGTGTCGATCTTCGTAGGGACCAGACGGCGGTCCATGCTCGTGCCCATATCGTCCGCCACTACGCCGAGGAGACTGCGCCCTAGGCCCTCTCTCTCGACCGTCGTCTCTCAACCGCCCGTGCGCAGCAACATCATCGCGGTCATCAATCAATGCAGCGCGCTCAGGGTTGATCGACTCCATCGACTCTTGCGGCCCGGGTCGTCGACCGCGGGCTCCTCGTTCCGGCTCCGGACCTCGTCGCGGCCGGTCCCCGTCATCCTGGGCAAACAGTGCCGCCCTCTGGGGGTTCATGGCTGGCTCGGATGCATCAGCAGGGCCGGAAGGAGCCGAAGGCGTCTGGGAAGGCATATCGCTCAACCGGTCCTGGGGTCTGTTTGCCCAGGAGTCTCTTGGCATCCACTCTCGTTCCTGTTGTCTCGGGCGAGGCGGCAGGTCCGTCGAGCCAGCGTCGCGAGGCGCCATGTCGTTTCCACGGCGGTCCAGGTATTCGCGAGAGCGATCAGGTCTATCCACCTCCATAGCCCGGGACTCACGGGGATCCCTCGTGTCACGATGGTCTTTGCCCTCCCTAGGGTCACGACTCTCCCATGACTCTCGCGGATCTCGGCTATCACGCAGCCTGTGGCTGTCTCTGCCGTCCCTCACGTCGCGACGGTCATGTCCTCGGTTCTGCGGAAAACGTTCAGGGGTGAAGTGACTTGGGATAGGAACATCTGGCCGCGTGGGAAGATTGTGCGCTGGCCTATCGGGAAGAGTGTGGGGGCGAGTGTCATTTCTGGGGCCATGGGGGCCTGAGCCTTGACCGCCCATGGGAGTTGATGAGCGAGGAGGCCCATCTTCCCGAGACATGGAGACGTCTCGTTTAGGACCGGACGGCTTGACAGGCAAGGTGTCCTTTGACGTGGCAGAAGCTGGCTGGGCTTTTCCATCTTGAACCTCACCATCCTCTCTTTCGGCCGTGGGTGGTCTGTTAGCAGGTGATCTAATGAGTTGGCTGTTAGTTGGAGATGAATTCATGGAGAGAAGTGAGTCGAAGTACCTCGTGGTCTGTGGCTGAAAATCCGTAGCCGTGGCACGTAGATTCGATGCGGCCGGTTTATCGGCTTCGGATTGAGGAGCGCCGGCCTTGTTTGGGTCGATAGTTTTAGTCTCTGTGCCTTGCACATGCTGTCCATGTAGAAGGTGAGGACTCACTGCGTTGGGTCGGAAAGCCTGGACCATAACCCATTTCGACTTTCGCTTTTGCAGCTCCGACATGGCTCCTTGGGCTGCCACAGACAAGTCCACTCTGTGGCCCTCCTCATTCTCAGCTGCTGTCTTGGATGCGGCTTCTTGCTTGCTGATCTTTTGAAGCTGTGCCGTGAACTGGGTGGCCATGAAGTCAATGGCAGGGAAGTAATCCAAGACAGCCTTGAGAACGGTCAGAGCGTTCCTGATGTGCATCCACTCCGTGCCAGCCAAGCAACTCTTGAGCGCTGTATTCAAGTTCTTATGCCAGCGGAACAGGAGATCTTTGAACTGAGCATGCTCCATCAAAGTATCCGGTTCTCCGTCCTCCTTGAGACTGACAGCGAATCCGAGATATGGCCGATCACTAGGCCCCTTGCCTTCCTTGTCGTACGCGCCCAGGCGTGGCTGGTCCTTGCTCGGTCTGCCCTTCTCCGTCGGCTCATTCTTGTGCCACCTGGAGAGGTCTCGGAGTATCAGCTTGATGAAACGGCCGAGGTACTCAGCCTCCCTGACAGAGCTGGTAAAGATGAGAGACCGCAGCCGGTTGGCGTTGAAGAGTCGGTCATAGAGGGACATGAGCTTGAAGTTGGGCGCTCTCGATTCATGCAGCATGATGATGAACTTGTAGGTATACTCGGCGTCTGCCGGGGACAAGAGGGCCCTTGGGAGGAAGCATTGCTCCAGCAGGGTGTCGGAAAGGCTATCGGGCTTGACCTTGGGGTCGGGACATAGCGATTGGACCTGCTCGGCTAGGCACTCCATCCATTTGTTTCTCCGCTGGCGGTGTTCCTTGAGCTCCATGGAGAGGCTGAGCTGCTGTTTCAAGAGTTCCTGTCTCTTTTCATTCTTTCGCTCTTGGCCTCTGCGGGACATGTCCGATCGATCCCGGAGGATGGCTTGACCTTCGCTCTCGAGTCGGTCTTTTTCTTCCTTGTACATTTCCTCAGGGCAATACAAATCGCCGAGCTGCAGCGCCCAGAAGACAGCATAGAGTTCGGGGTTGACCTTTTGCCAGACCTCGGGTCGCACGGTCTCTTTCAGCACCTCGACAATGGGCTGCAGAGGCGCGAGTGTCAATGTCGAATCGTCAGGTTTCTGCTTGTGTTTCGCATCAGTTGCCGCACGGGGGCCAGTTGAAGGGTTCTCAATTCCCACCTGCTCATCGTTTGTGGAAGCAGCCACCACACCCGACTTATCCTTGGGTTCATCGCTCATGGATACATCTCCCTCCTTGTCAGTAGCTTCCGGTTGCGTAGACTGAGTGTTGTCTTTCGCGGCGGGTTCTGCCTCTTTCTGACCCCAAGGAAACAATCGGTGGGAAAGGCTGGGTCGTCCAATCAAGAAAGCGATGCTCGTGTCCAATCCATAAGAACTGATCAGCTCATTGATTGAGGGGACCAAAGCGTCGAATGCTGAAGGCTCCAGGTTGCTCCAGATGAAGTCGAGATATAACACCAGTATCTGATGAGAATCATCTACCAGGGCCGACAAGTACTTGATGTGCGCTTCGTCTTCGGGGACCTTGTATATCGCTGACTGGCGATACTGCGCGAGGTTGAGGAGTAGCCGGGCGGCAAGTTTCGAGTCTGTGAGTGCCTGGATGAGTCGCTTCGAGCTCCTAACGCTGTCGAAGCGTTTATCCTGACCACGAATCAGCGTTTGACGCCGTAGTCGTTCTCCGCCAGCCATGGACAGAATCTGGGCGTCGTTGAAGTCCACAGAGTCGACAATGCCGCCCATGGAGTTGACAAACTCCTTCAAGATGATCAAATCAGTGGAGTTGCCGCGCTGGAGCTGGTCATTGACGTATTGGAGAACTGGAATAGGATTGATGGCCGAGTAGCGTTTGAAGATTTTGCCAGAGAATCTCGAAAGGGCCTGAAGCCACTTGCTTGTAGTGAGTGCATGGTCGGCCTGAGTGCGGCTTCGAGACTTGCCAAGGGAGTTCATCAGAGACCAGACCAGAACATCGTAGGAGAGGTCGGTAAAGTATTTGGCGCATTCGACAAAGCCTTCAATCAGGTTGGGGTAAGACTCGAGCTGCTCGAAAGCCACTCGGAACACGACACCAGGAGAGGAATAACTGGTCTTGGCCAGCTGCTTGGCCATCTCGCTGATGTTGGTGAGCGATAATCGCTTCATGGTTCCCCGCGTTTCTGCAGTTGCACGGGCAAACGCTGATCGCATGGCGGGCAGACGAGATATCTGTCCCTCAAACCACTCCGCGTATATCGAATATCGTGTTGTCAGCGGGTATCGGCGGAGTAACTCCCAAACTGCGTTGACCACTGCGACGTTGGCCTTGGTGTGGCTCAGAGCCGGCACGAGGAGTCTGCGCAGGAGGTCATGCCAGCGAGCATAATTCGACTCGGAGGTGTCCTCGCTCAAGCTTTTTGCTCCGATACTGGCCAGCTTGGAGAGCAGAGTTTCGTCTTTGCCAATGTTGACGCCGGAGATGTTGAGGAAAGTGTTGCACAGGGTAAAGATGTCGTCCACGGTTTGACAAACGGGGATGTTATCAGCCCATTCGTCCCAGTAGAATCGATAATTCTGGCTTTCATTGGTGTCAAACTTGTCAGGATAGGGCCATCGCCAGATCTTTTTGACCGGAGGCTTGACGAGCCGGACACTTCCCTTGGCGACACCCGTTTGGTCCGTAGAGAATATTTCCTTGGGTGGACATTCGGCGCCAGCAGCACCAGCAGGCTTTGGGCGACTGTCGCTAAAGACTTTTTCCATGGAGACATGTAATATGCGGTGGATTCGGGAAAGGATGTCTGGGAACGTCTCAGGAATCCACGGGAATTTTCCGAGAATGAACAATGACTCTGGAATGGCGCCAATGGTGAGAAGCTGGTCGAGTAGCCTGACTTTCTGCTCCATGGGCTCCGGAAGAGGCTTCTTGTCCTCGGCCGCGTCTGTGGAGGCTGGCTTCTGCTCGGGTTCTACCTTCTTCGGTAGTTCTCGTCTGGGGACGTTGGAAGACACGGGGTTATCGTCGTCGCCCTGGGGGAGAACGCCGGCCATGAGCAGCGCATTCATAGGGCCGCCCCGCGATGCCCTCTCTTCCTTTTCGAGGACCTTCATCTGCTCCTCGCGAACGCGCTCCATCTGTTCATCAGGAGGGGAAAGGTGAGGGTAGAGGTCGATGAGAGAGATGAAGCCGACTTTGATGAGGAGAGCCGCCAAGTAGAGCAGGTTGGCGGGGAGAACATCGGTCGGGTCTCGTAGATCGCTGTAGTAGAAAAGCAGCTTGAATCCCAGGAGCTGCGCGGCAACCTTGTTGCCTGGTGGGGGAAGAGTCTTGGTGACTTCGATCCATTGCTGCTCAAACTCGGCGGGTAGTTCACTCGAGTTGCCGTTGGCGAGCTTCGGTCGATAGGCCGTCAAGTTGGATGCTTCCCGACCTCCGAGTTCGAAAAATGCTGCCAAATGCACTTCCCGTGCTCGGGCCCAGAAAGCAACGTCTCGGGCAAGTCTGTGCTGGGCATTGATCTCTTCGTCTTCTGCGGTCGTGTTCCAATGGGGATAATCCGGCTGAGCCCAGGTTGGCAGGCCGCCGATGGCAGGGGCCGAAGAGCTGAGGATAAGATGCGAGCGCGGCCACCAAGAACTGATTCGCAGGAACTTGACGAAGAACTTGAATTGCTTAATCAGGACGGCGGCAGCAACGTCGAGAGTGACGTCAAGTACTCGCCCAACGTCCAGGTCAAACGTTCCAATCAGAGCCTTGACCCTCTCAAAGGTTTGTTCTGCAAGATCCGGCGAGGGCGACGGTATGCTGCTGGTGGTGAAGATTTCTGTGACGAGCTTGGAGTATCCTTCCGTCTCCTCCCGCAAAAGGTTATAGTTTGCCTGGCGGTATAGCAGGTTTGTCGCCTGTCTGACACCAAGTCTAGCAAAGGTGTCCCTGATGAGGCCAAGCTGCTGAAGTATAGGCGCATCAAGTACTTGTCGCATCAGCGCGGGAGAGACTTCGGTGGCCATCAGGAAGTTGCGAAGAGCCGGGCGATATAAGTCGGGTTCGTTATCCATGACGATGGCCAGCGAATCGAGGAGCAGCGTATGAGGAGCGACGTAGAAATCCTTAGTAACCTCTGTCGTCTCGTCTCCCAAGATCTCCTTGACACATGTTCCAGCATCTGTGGCGTCCAGCCTGTTCTCGACAACCGCATAGATGAACTCTTGGAACAAGCTGGACAGTTCCGTGATGTCGACGTCTTCTCGCGACTGCACACCATGCCGAACAATCTCTTCTCGCCCTCGTTCAGCCCATGACCGGATCTTTTCCTCTGTGAGATTATCATAGTGATACTTTGATCCTGTAGGAGGGGCGGTTTCTGGTGTAGGTTCGGATGGAGGTGCATTAGTTGGTGGAGGTGAAGCAGGCGGAGGCCGCGAGAAGGCAGGCGGCGGTGGTTTGGCCACTGGAGGGGGATTAGGCGCCCCTCGAGGTGCTGGGGAGGGCTGCGGTGTCGGCTGAGAGGAGAAGGAGCTGGGCCTTCGCGAAGCGGGAGGCTGGTTTTGGTTCTGGGCTTGGGCTTGGTTCGGCATTTGAGCTTGGGGTTGCGATTGGTTCTGGTTCTGCTGGTGGTTGTGAGGACCACCACGACCGTTTTGGCCACGCGACGAGTTTCTCCGGTCGACCCCCCGATGACCTCCCCGGCCTCGACCTCTGCCTTGGCCCTGGCCCTGCCCCTGGCTCATGTGGTTCATGCTGTCGTCTCGTTCGTGGAGCGCAAGAGCTGCGTCGCTTGGATTGTGCGGCGATGGTCTGCCTCCTTCGCCTGATGATCGATCGAGTCGCTTTCGCTTCGCGGGCATGACGCTCGAAGATGCTACGTGGGATGGGGCGCGTGCTATACCATTAGCGGCAGCTTCATCAGACCATCTGCGGGCGGTTGCAAGTAATGCTTTGGCGAGAGAAGAGGCGACCACGCGGCGAGTTGGGCGAGGCTGCGAACGCCGGGAGCTTGGCCGTAGGTGGCTGCGATAAAAATGCTGGGGGCGAAAAAAAAGAGTGAAGGGCCCGGCGAGCAAACAAAGGGTAAACAAGAAATAAGAAGCCCAGAAGACCTGCGGAAAGGCTATTGATCAATGCAGTCAGGGCAAGTCGAGCCAGGTCGAGCTTCCGCGGGTGCGAAAAGTGCCGTATGAAGTCCGGCGTGTCGAGGCTGTGAGACTGACGCTGGAAAAGCTGCAGCGGCGTATCAAAACCGAAGTTTGGAGAGGCTCCGCGTGAAGGTCGTGACGATGCAGAAGCAGCGGTGCACGGACCAGCCAGCCTTGCGCCAGCGACTCAACGTACAGCAGGTACACAGCCTGCAGGCGCGCGATGTAGGGAGCACGAGGTACCCCGAGCTTGATGCTGCGCTGACTCACGTGATGCGAGAGTTAAGGTTATCAAACGCGCTGACTAACGAGTCCTGATCAAAATAGTGATCAAGCGTCTTTGAATGAGCCGGGGGGAAGAATGGCGAAATTTCCATCCTCCACACATGACCTTTGATTCACTTTGCACTCAATCAAAATCTGCGCTGATTCACTCTTTTCACTCGTCATTCAGCTCCTACAGTTGTGCAACCACAAAGCGGTTCGGCTTCAGCCTGTTCGCGGCGCTGTCCTTGCCGTCGTTTCAGTTGCCGGGTATCCCATTCTCACTGTTTGCGCTTCAACTCCGTTCTCGGAGACAAAGTCATTAGCACGCAATTGTCAAGATGAGCGAGACAACAGGCGTCAATGGCGGTGCCAGACAGAAATACGGTCAGTATTTGATGCATTGTTCATTCATGTTTAGACTCATTTCACTTCAATTGGCCTTTGTTTCGATTGGCTTTTATTGATGGGCTCCCATTCCCAACTCCTCCCCTCTACACATCCCGGTCAAGTGGCTCAGCTTGTTGCTATCGAATGCAATTCCATGTCAGATTCGTGACGAGAGTGGTGGCTGAATACCTGCAAGAAAGAATCCAATCGCAACCCGAGAACCCCTTTGCGGCTCTCATCCCCGATCAGCAGATAGCCATTGTGCCCGAGTTCACTCTCGAGTCCGGAGTCACGCTATACAATGTCCCCGTCGCATACACCACGCGAGGGAAACTCTCGCCAAACGGCGACAACGCCATGGTTATCTGCCATGCCCTGACTGGCAGCGCTGATGTGAGCGACTGGTGGGGTCCTCTGCTCGGCGGCCCAGGAAGGGCTTTCGACACGTCGAGGTTCTTCATTGTGTGCATGAACAGCTTGGGAAGCCCCTACGGAACCGCAAGTCCCGTCACGGCCAAGGATGGCGATATACAGAAGGGTCGCTATGGGCCCGAGTTTCCTCTCACGACAATCCGAGACGACGTAAAGTAAGACGCCCCCCTATATCTGCTCCCCTCTCCCCGCCGCCAGTCATCACGGCACAGATGGGCTAACATGCACCCCCAGCCTGCACAAGCTCATTCTAGATGACCTGGGCGTTAAGCAAGTGGCTGCTGTGATCGGTGGTTCGCTCGGAGGCATGTTTGTGCTGGAGTGGGCATACTTTGGCAAGGACTACGTGCGGTGCGTCGTGCCGATTGCCACGTCCAGCCGGCACAGCGCATGGGGCATCAGCTGGGGCGAGGCTCAGCGCCAGAGCATCTACGCCGACCCAAAGTATGACGACGGCTACTACTCGTTTGACGATCCGCCCGTGACTGGCCTCGGTGCGGCTCGCATGTCTGCCCTGCTCACCTACCGCAGCCGGAACTCGTTCGAGTCCCGGTTCGGCCGCAACATTCCCGACCCTTCCAAGGTTCAGACGATCCGAGAGCGCCCGCGTCCAAGCACGCCGTCGGAAGCGCACTTTCACATCCACAACGACGGCCACAACGTCAAGCGCACTTCGGTCTCACGCAAGAACAGCCAGGCCGGCTCCGGGACCAGCAGTCCGGGCTCACGATCAGCCGATAACGCTGACCCGCAGTTCCACGGCCCCGGGAATGACCAGGAGGAAAGCCTGACGGGAGGCGAGAAGATCCCGACGTCGACGTATTTCTCTGCGCAGTCGTATCTGCGCTACCAGGGCAAAAAGTTCGTCAAGCGGTTCGACAGCAACTGCTACATTGCCATGACGCGGAAGCTCGACACGCACGACGTGTCCAGGGACCGCGCGGCGTCCATCCCCGAGGCGCTCGCGCTCATTGAGCAACCCATGCTTGTCCTCGGCATCGAAAGCGACGGGCTCTTCACGTTTGCCGAACAGGAGGAGATTGCGCAGCACGTGAAGAACGCGCGACTGGAGCGGATCGACAGCTCCGAGGGCCACGACGCTTTTTTGCTGCAGTTTGAGCAGGTGAACCGCTACGTGCTGGAATTCCTGAAGGAGATTCTGCCCGACATCATGTCGGTCGAGGGTGCCGCCCCTGAAGAGGTCGGCGTGGGACAGCTGACCAAGTCGAGCACGTTTGGTGAAGCCGAGGTGGAGGACATTACTGCATGGTAACACGGTGGTAAACCTGCAAGATTTGGTGCAGGAGGGCGCCCATGATATGGTACTTGGATTGACCAGAAGCGAAGGACATTTTCTTCTGGCATCATTTCTAAGTCGTGTATATAGGCATTATCTTGGCTAACAATACGTGTACTCGTCGTCATTCTGGTTTCCATTTGATCTTTACACAACATGTGTAAACGCTTGTAGTAGTATATCGATATACAACACCCGTCATGGGCTCGCTCCATGCGGCAACTTAAACAAGGGGGGAGAAGAGAAGCAGCGGAATGATCGAGTCATGGCCGCTTCGTAACCCCATTGACGCCATTCCTAACAGAGAACAGAGCAGGCAGTGGATATCGCGGGTTGTGGTGTGTGGGGGGGCCAGATCTGGAGGAAACTTGGATCGTTGAGCTAGAACGGCTCGCAAAAGGCCGTTGTTTCTTGGAGAATGTTGATGTAGATGCATCGAGGCTTTCTTCAATTGTATATGGGAAAAGTCCTTGAGTGCTTTGATATTGACAGAAAGGAGGATTTGATCTGGTTTTAGGGTAATTTAAGTGGAGTAGAGAGGAATAAGTGAGACATCGTGGAGATGGCGTTTGAAGTTATATCGAGAGATGTGATAGCAACATCAACTACCACTCTCGATTGATTGAGGATTCTCATCATCTGGATATCCGCAAATTCGACATGATAGAACTAGGTCGGGCTTTCATTTGAGCAGATATATTTTCTGTAGCATACGTTTACGGCCGTAGAGTAAACTGCAAGACAAGCATCACGAATACAGGGATAGGGTAAGCGCGGTCGAAGAATGTACGGAACACCAATATGATGTTGCATATAGGTACTCACTACCTAGTAATTATCCAAGTTGTTACAACTTCGCATGACGAGAGGAAGGTGCTTTGTGCTCCTAAGAGCTGTACATCTAGTAGAATAACAGGGCCCCGATTCGATATTGCAGCTGGGGCACAAGTCAGCCTACAGAAAGAACTTGTTGGCCCTGGTTGAGCATGGAGCTTGCGTCTATCCGGTCTGCAAAGACGCCCAGCATGTCCTATAAGTATACACGTAAACTCCAAGGAACCACTTCGGTTCTGTGTATTCTAGTTTGAGATGATAGCCCAGGTCAAGGTCATTACGCAGTCCCAGCTACATCTACGTTCATGCCGTCATTGGCAGATACAACATCATGGCAAGCGGAGTCTGCCGTCGCTAGCCATCGCAGAGGTCTGTGTCTGTGCTCTACCTTGAAGTCGACGGCTGTACGATGATTCAGGTACGGGTACGGATGCCTATATGCTGAGACACTATCTAGTAGACGTGTTGATCCCAAAATGCGCGTTCACCCGCCAGCTCGAGACGGCCGCCCCAGTATTTGCGAGCATCAGCTGAACCGAAGGATTCCAGATGTGATATTATCGAGTTATCGCGGCGTCAGACGTCTGAAACCTTCAGGCTCGGGTTTGAGGGGCCCTGGTCTGAGAGGCGAGAGAGCCGCACGAAACGACCGTGACGCCTTTGCGCTCTGTGGGCTCTGCCAATGGACGTGAATGAGCATCACTTTTGGCAGTCCAATATGGTCTCGAATCACTGAAATGAGCCTCAAGGAGAAAAAACGAAACCTGAGTGGGAGCGGCATCAGTATAGTCTATGACGGGTGCGAAGAGTCAAAGCTCTGCCCCTTGGCCGTTCAATGGCATCCCCACTGGCACATGAGTGCTGAGCAGGCAGGGCATGTCACCGAGGGTTTCATCCCGGACAGCTGGAAGCAATGCGAATGATCCGGAGCTGGAAGCCCCTGATGCAAATGCAGGTGGTCGCCGATACGGATGGCACAGCAGAGAATTCCCGGGCTGATACAAGGTGCTGACGGCCTATGCGGCCACGGACACGACGGGACCCCGGAGCAGACGCTGTGAGGGATGCGCCGCCGTAGCACGATGCGATGCAATGCAGAGCCCTGGAGCTTCGTCGGTAATTGCCATGCTAAGACTCGAGACTCGGGCTGTCGAATCGAAATCGCGATTGCACTCCCCACGCAGCATCTCGCTTCGAGGCTGGCGGCATGCACGCAGCCTGGCGAGATGGCGAGATTCACAAGCCACAGCTGCTCCCACGTGGGGTGCAACCAACGGCCGAATGTCTCTCAGCTGTGTCTCCTCTGTCGCATCTATCCGGGTCCTGGCCCTGGTGAGGAGCTGGCGAAGCGTCGGACGGACACAACGACAAGCAAGCGGGCGTAGGGCGTGGCTAGCAAGGGGGACGATCCTTGCTGTCTGATGGAGAGGTGCATGAACCTATCAGCTCGGGTCAGGGCCGGTCAGGGCAAGGCAGCAAAGTCTCTCAAGGTTGCATCCGGGCATTGGGCAGCAGCTCGAGCTCTTGTCGATGCTGATTCGACCATGGGAAGCTCTTTGCTCTTTGAGGCACAGCTCCATTCGAAGCACATGCAGGAATCCTGCAGGTCGTGACAGCACTGTACATGTACGTACAGTACAGGCACGGAGCCGCTGGCAGCGAGATTGAGTCCGCATCCGGCTCTCTGTGCGAGAAGGTTGATCTATCTCGCGGTATCGGCAGAGATCCTTTGACGCGAGTCGCCTTTGTGACTGACTGGAATTGCATCGTTCTTTGACGACGTCTGGCGGTGTATGGCTTGTGTGGGCATGGATGAAGGAATGCCTGCACCGGCCATTCTCGCAGCATTTAATCTCGCACGTTGCCGCTCCACCTTTTGCTGCGCTTGGCGTGCGCGAGTCAATCCAAGATGGTGTGTTGGTGTACTTTTGCAGGGCCCGGGAATAAAAGCGAGACGCAAAAGAGAAGAAGCGGGAGAAAACGAGGCCGAAAGATAGGGCGAGAGAGAACAAATTCAATTCGACACTGGATCGGACGCGGGTGATGCAAGAGGGCTAGTGGCGAGCCGGCGTCTGATGGGCGCAGAGGCGACGGCACAGAATCGTCAACAGAAGCAAAGAGGGGGTTCCAGCGCGGTTTTAGTGCCTGCTAGCGCTGTGGCCGCGACAGGCACGGGCTTGCAGAGGCTTGCAGAGGCTTGCAGAGGCTTGCTCGGGCGTTCTGGAAGGCCTTCAGAACGGGCTGGCCATGCACGTGCAGCAGTGGAGGCGCTGTATCTGCACCGTAGACGAGCAGATCCACCATCTGGGCCGCTGAGAGCAGGGGCAGCCCGGAAGGAAGCCTCTTCTGCTGAGGAACATGAAGAGGGGACCGGAGGGAGGGGGTGTCGCTCTACGACCACCGTCTGGCTGCTCTCTTCTGCTCTACTACTGTAATACTATTACAGCACTGTTTTATTCGCCTTTCCTCGAGCTGCCTGTCTGCTGCAACGCTGACTGGGTTGGTTGACTGATCCAGCAGCAGGCCCGGATCACACCGGAGACAGAGCCGGACGGACAGACTGACTGACAGACACCGCAAGGCACGACTCGCCTCGTCTGCCTGCCTCCACGCCTCACTTCCCTCCCGCCCGGCGGCTGCTGCTTGTACGTAACCCGATCGTGCTCCTCGTACGAGCCGCTCGCTGACCTGCCAGGCGAGCCCGTTCAGCTGTCGAGCCTTGGCTGGTGGCGGTTCGCTGTGTGGGCTCCCATCCATCCACCCGTCCATGTACATACACTACGAGTCGCCCACCCTCCTCCAGCAAACAACCGACTCTTGCGTTTTGCCTCGTCTCACCCTCCCGGATCCTGAGCGCCTCCGTCCCAGTGGCCAGGCCTTCCTTCTATCGCCCGTCTAGCGCCTGATTCCTGCTTCTGGCCGGTCCATGGCTTACAGGTACGGCGCACTCGTACCTCCAGACTCATCCTGGGCTCGTGCCTACTTGACCGTTGCATTGGCCGCTTGCATCACACATCGCACATCATCCGCACTCCGTCCGTCGCCTTGATAAACCAAGCGCCTCCGCCTACCTTCTCTCAGCCTTACGCCAAGCTCAGGGCACGCGCTGGTCGTACATGCTTGCCTGTGCAGCCTTGAAAGCGGCAAATCTTCCGACGCCCATGCTGCCCATGCCGGCATCTCCCCAGCTGCCCGTCTGTCCTATTCACCAGAACCGCAGCAGACTGTTGCCTGGCTCGACGACAATCGTCTCTACACGGCTGCGAGAGACCGTCGTCATCAGCGCATCGCCCCATCGCTGAGCTCGACAACATTGCCAAGTCCCTCGAATTTCCTTCTCTCGTCGGCGCATGGTCCCCATGTATTCTCCGTAGCCGCAAACGGGGCTCGTCCTTGCTATCAAACCGACTCGTCTCGACACAACTCAGTCGCTCGGCCACAATGCCCAGCTTTCTCGATGGCGAGATGCTGCCGCCGCCGGCAGCATCAATGCGCCGCGATCACCACACCTACGGCGGCAACAACGCGTTCCACAACTTCTACAACGACTATTCACACATCACCGACCCCAACTTGAGGAGGCGTCTGGCCCTTTCCGAGATTGACAAGGTTCCCTTTGGGTTTTACCGTACGTTTGACCGACCCTCTCTGGCACTGGGAGATCCTTTGTTCCTGACTGATTCTAGATGTTCGAGCCGTACTGGTCGCCGGAGCCGGCTTCTTTCTCGATTCCTACGACATCTTTGCCATCAATCTCATCACCACCTTTCTCGGGGTTGTCTTTTACAGCGGAGACAGCCAAATCAACGGCTACGGGGGCAATGGCGGTATTCTGCCCGACCCCGTCAACCAAGCGCTCAAGGCCTCGACCAGTGGCGGTATTGTGCTGGGAATGCTCCTCTTTGGCCTGCTTGCCGAGTAAGTTTCGCTGCGTCAATATGATGGAGACTGCTCCCAGAGACGGCTGTGCTGACAGAATTGTGCGACTTAGTGCGCTTGGTCGTCGCCGCATGTACGGCGTCGAGCTCATCATCATCACCGTTGGCACATTCGGCTGTGCTCTTGCGTCTCCGAGTCCCACGATTAGCGCCGCCGGCCTGCTGGTCTTCTGGCGTGTCATGATGGTATGGAAGCCGCCACCTCTTCTTCCATCCCCTTTCTCCGCGGCATGAGAGAAAACTAACGCGGCTCCAGGGCATCGGTATTGGGGGCGATTACCCCCTTTCTTCGGTCATTACTTCAGAGTACGGAGCTCCTCCGAAATCTCGCTGCTTCCAGCATAATCACTAACTGCGTCTAGGTTTGCGCCGACACGCTGGCGTGGGGCCATGATGGCTGCTGTCTTCTCCATGCAGGGCCTTGGTCAGCTTTTAGCCGCCATTGTTGCGCTTGTCACCACGGTGGCGTTCAAGAGCCATTATATCAACATCTCGACGGAGGGAGCCTGCGATTTGGCCTGCAGGGAGGCCGCGGATCGGTCGTGGCGAATCGTCGTTGGCTTCGGTGCCATCCCTGCCTGCCTGGCCCTGTACTACCGCATCACCATTCCCGAGACGCCTCGGTACACCTTTGATATACAAAACGACATTGAAAAGGCCGATGCCGACATCCGCGCCTACGTGTCGAGCAAGTCAAAGAGCGACTATTCCATCAAGCGCTCCCGCTCGACGACGTTGACTACCGAACAGCCGCTCGACGTGCCCGCCGCTTCATGGCCGGACGTGATGAGCTACTTTGGCACATGGAGGAACTTCAAGGTGCTCCTTGGCACGACCATGTCGTGGTTCTTCCTGGTGCGTCTTTTCTCCATCTACTCCATCCTTGCGCTGAGGGTTGGCCTACTGACATGTATGGACAGGATCTCGCATACTACGGCCTGGGCTTGAACAACTCCCTGGTGCTAAGCGCCATCGGCTATGCTGATGGACACACATTGTATCATAAGCTATACAACCAAGCCGTTGGCATGATTATTCTCGCATGCGCCGGGTCCATCCCGGGCTACTGGGCCGCCGTCTTCACAATCGACAGTGTCGGCCGAAAGCCCCTTCAGTTTATTGGCTTCCTTCTGCTGACTGTCATATTCTGCGTCCTCGGCTTCTGCTTTCACGCCTTGAGCGAGACTGCAATGCTTGTCCTCTACATCGTTGCGCAATTCTTATTCAACGCCGGCCCAAACACGACGACGTTCATCATTCCCGGAGAATGCTTTCCCACGCGATACCGATCGACTGGCCACGGCCTCTCTGCGGCTGCTGGCAAGGTCGGTGCCATTATTGCCCAGGTCATCAGCATTCCGATACTGAACAAGGATGCTCCTGCTAATTGCAAAGGGGGGACCTCGTGCTCATCGCATCTCAACCGCCTCTTGCAGCTGTTTGCGCTCTTCATGTTGCTGGGCACGCTAGTTTCGCTCTTGGTTCCGGAGACCAAGGGGCTGACGCTGGAGGAGCTATCAGGCGAGGCCCGTACCAGCTACAATGCCGGGTGCAACGGCAGCATCAACATTCCCTCGCCCGAGTTGCGGCCGTGGAACCCCTTCAGTGGCGGCCGACCAGCCGGATTCTTTTATCCGCGGGCGCATGGCAGCTCCTTTGCCAACGTTGGCCGACGCTCTCCTCATCCCGGCATCATGGAGTCTCCCGAGATCTTTGCCCAGTCCGATCCCTCCCAACAAAGGACGCGATTCTGGAGAAGAAGATTCAGAAGGTCCCACAGAAGCGAGAGGACCGACGAGATCGCCCTCAGCCGTCGCCCGAGCAGCTTCCACGAAGCTGCCGCCTCGGACGAAATCACGCTGACGGACGGCTTTCTGGCACCGGGGGCGGCGAGCTCGTCGCGGTACCGGCCACACAACACGCAACAAGAACTGCCCAGCTGGGGAGCAGGCTGGGGCCGAATCGACAGGGGAGGGCCTCCGCCCCTGGCGGCATCGATGCAGCTGCAGGATGTCGGCTCTCTGTTGAAAAACTGATAAGACTTGCATCATGGAGGAGACATTGATTCTCTCCATGTGTTTACATCTCCTGGCATCATATCCCACGACACATGTATATATGTACATTCATCGAAGCGATGGGCGTTTTTCTTTCTTTGCTTTCTTCACTCTCCCTTCCTAAAGGGGTTGTACGATTCGACGAAGTTTTATCATCTTCTTTTCCTTGTTTATACTTTCCCTTCCTATCTTTCTTTGCAAAAGGGCCCAGCTGGCCTTTTTGCTTTTCTTTTGGACACATTTGGAATGGATATACCATGAAGAAGTACCTGCACACCCCTTGTATGTGGTAATGATGGCAGCTTCCTTAGAGTTGCAAAGGGCAAAGGCAACGAATTTGCCTACGACATGCGGATGGAACCGGCCAGATGGCTCTTTGCATGGGAGAGGTACTAGACGAGGTGTTTCTTTTGAATACGGCTTTTGCCCGTGGGTTTTTGTTAGACTTAGTGTTTGCTGGATACTAGATTATACTAGTACGTCATGGAAATGATTATTCATGGATGTCTCTGAGTGCTGCTGTTTCGGTGAAGATATCTGTAATTTGAGGCCTATTCATTATCCGCCATGGGGACAGAAGGGATTCGATATTCTACGTGGTAAAGTAAGGGATGCCACATGGTTTGGAGGTTTACATAGGTACGGTGTCTTTCAAGTTACCTACCGAGGCTTTTACATGGATTATCATATCACACAAGGTGTTGTCCCACAGTGCAATAATGGGGAGGGGGTAAGTCATCTTTTATGCTTTAGTTCAATTGGTATTTCACTTCAAGCCTATTTCATACGCCTTCTTTTTATACACTTTAAGCGCTGTGCTTGACGACCTTTTCCTTGAAAGCGATACTACACAAGGCGCACACACTCTTGTTAGCTTCCTTTTTGCCTTTTTATTACAAGAGAAGAATAGAAACAATGACAGAAAAGGAGAGGAAAGAAGAAGAAGACAGAGAGAAAGAAGAGTTTTGGGGGGGGGGGGGGGGGATCGTGTATGAAACTTACCCGTACTTGGCCAGCTCCTTGATGAGAGGATCGTTGATCTTGGGGCTCATGGGGGCGATGACGCCCTTCTCGGAGAGGGTTCCGTCGAGGATCTGCTTGGTGGCTGATTTTACGAAACACAAAAACGATGAGCTTACAGCCTTCTTTTGATTTCTCTTGAGATTTTCCTTGACTTTGAAGAAAAAGAAAACTTACCAACACCGGCGGGCACACCGACCAGTCTCGCCATGGCGGAGTATCCGCCCGAGCCGACGGGGGCGCCGTACTCGGCGAGGGTGGAAGTTCGCGTCTCGCGGGAGCCGTCCTTGTTTTCGATTTCGAACTTGTGCTGGAGCATGACGAAGTCGCGCTCGCCCTCCTCGTACTGCATCTTCTCTTCGAGAGTGGCGCAGAGGGTGTCGAGGGGGTTGCCGCGGGGGGTGATGGTTGCGTCGGAGAAGATGCCGACTGTTGCGTGCGTGCCCGAGTGTTAGCCGTCTTTCCATTTTGATGATTTTGGCGTGTGCCAGGTTCACATACTCCACTTAAGGCCATCGATCAGACGAGCCTTCTCCTCGTCATCCTTGAAGGTCGCCTTGGACGAGACGGCGGCGATGAGGTCGGCCTCGCTGGATGAAGGGGCGTTGAGCAGCTTCTGGGTGGCCTCCTTCCAGGGGATGGGCTGCTTGAAGTAGTCCTGCTCCTCGTCGTTGAGGAAGCCGGTGTCGACGAGGACCTTGATGAACTCGGGGAATCCGGCATATCGCAGAGTCTGAAGAAAACATGTGAGTGCCTTGATATTGCTTGTCTTGTGTGGATTGAATGCTTACTCCACGGATAATGGTGTGTGCCTCGGGGATGTTGTAGCGCTCCTTGTAGACGCTGGAGTCGCGGTTGGGGTATGCGACGAAGGCGTAGCCTGAGGGACGGTTAGAGGGAGTTTAGGGGTTTGGGTTGTCAGGTGTACGCACCGGGGTAGATGTGGTAAGGCTTGGCAGTGGCCATCAGATCTATGAGACATGTTAGAGTTTCTGGTTCGTCCATGGGGAAATGCCATGGGTTCGGGTTACTTACCAGGACCGGCAACGTTGACGAGCTTTCCGTCCTCGTAAAAGGTGGCAGCGTTTCGCAGGGCAAGCAGGACGCCTCGGGATCTGTTGAACGATTTAGAAAGAGTATCGAGAGTACCGCAGCCACTGCATGCGCAAAACGACGGCTCGAGTGAACTTTCACAAGGCCGCCCCCCGCTTGTATCGAAGGAAGGGTTTGCGGATCACTTACGACCAGGAGAACCTGAAGGGGCACAACGTTAGCGAATGCCCAGCTATTGGAGACCTATGCCTTGCTTACTTGTATCCAAGAGGGTTGTCCGAGTTCTCAGGGGCCGGCAGTCCGCCGCAGAATGACTTGAAGGACAGAATCTTGCCTCCAGCAGCGTGGACGTTGGAGATGGTCTCGACGGCACTGAGGTGGTCGATACCAGGATCAAGCTATACATTTCTCTCGCTTAGCATCGCCCGCTCTCCCAAAAAAACACACCAAGGCAACGGGAAACAGCAGCTTCTTCTTTCCCACTTACTCCAATCTCGTTCATGACGGTGATGCCGGCATCCTTGGCCTGCTGGTCGAGCTCCATCATGGCGGGAGAGACGTAGCTGGTGGTGACGACATTCTTCTTGTTGCGGATGGCGGACTTGATGACGGCGGCGTGGTAGGTGTAGGGGATGAGGCTGATGACGACGTCGTGCTGGGCGACGGCGGCGTCGAGGGCCTTGTCGTCGTTGACGTCGAGGGAGATGGGCGTGGCCAGCTTGACGCCCGCGGAGAGCTTCTTTGCGCTTTCGAGGGTTCGGCAGGCTGGGTGGGAGGAGAGATGTTATTAGCTGGGCGGTTCCGAGGAGGTTGAGAAGGGGATCGGGAGAGGCCCAAGGCTCTCTTCGGAGACGAATTGAAGAGGCTTGGGTCCTCTCGGGGTTGTTGAGTGCTCACCAACGGAAACTTCAACGCCGGCGTCGTTGAGAATGTCGAGCGTGGGCTTGGTCACGAAGCCGGAGCCGCTATCGTGAAGAGAGATGTTAGTGGGGGAGGGGCAGCATCTTGGTGGGATTTTTTCTCTCTATTTTTTCTCGTCTGTAGGGAAGAGTGCACTTACAGCATCAAAGCACGTTGGGGAGCCATGTTTGCAGCTGTGGACGGTCAATTGGCGATACAAGTGTCCTGTATCTGCTCGAGAGCTATGGCAAGATCTAGTTGGAGAGGGAGAGAAAAAAAAGTCTGATGGAGCTGTTTGTTATATGACGCTGTTGGTGGCGTCTGTCAAGCTAAGAGGCTGCATGCAGTTATTACTGGAGTCACCGGCGAGCACGTTTGTGGAGGGGCAGGCCGGAGTCGGAGCGGCGCTTCTTAACTGGGTTTATTCGCTGGCCTACCCTGGAGCGGATATCGACAGTGTACAGAATCACGGTCTGATGGGCATTACACGGGTTGAAGGAGTGAGTTTCTACTCGGATGAGGTGATACGCCGGATGATTCATGGTTTTGAAAATGGATGAGGTGGTACGCCGGATGATTCATGGTCCTGCAGATGCGTGGATGCAGGAGAACATGCGGTCGATGTCGGAGGAGGGTCGATACACGATGAGCATCATTCCTGCCGAGAGCATTTGTTGCATATCAAACTCTGTAGTAAGCAGTCATCAAACGAGAGACTTTTGACGATCACAACCTCTATGGAACCTTTGCTTTGATATGGAGTACCCTGACATGGATTAGTCACCTTGGTTTTTCGACTGTTCAGGTTGTCTTCGTCCTGTAGTGGCCACCCCTGAGGTCAGGCGAGTGACACAACGGTTTAAGGGCAGTCTTTTCGAATAACGAGATGATTGCATTTGAGCTATATCCTATGGTTCAGAGGAAGTAACCTGTCTGGGTTTTCTTTATCAACTCGTGTATGAGCTATTGCCGTTCTATAAGCGGGTAGATATTCTTGTGAACTCAAGAGTTCTTATTCTACTCGCGCCAGCAGCAACGTTCTCGATTCTCGAGAGCTATCAAATCATTGGCCAACCAGAGACTTCTCCCTGGAAATCTATACGTCAATGGATGACATAGAGAGCAACTTCAGCCGTTTGGTCACTCTCAGATAGTCCAGTTGCCTCCGGGTGGTTACTGATCTTGACTGTCAGTCTTATGTCCAGTGCTTCTGACTTGTCCCCGGTAAATCCGTAAACTTGGTGTAAGGATCGTCGTCTTGGACTTCCTTCAATACCCAGTCGAATATCAGCAGCCGAAGGATTCACTATCGCCGAAATCACCCCTGCAACTCAGACATTGTCAGATGGGTTCGACCCCAATTTGCTCCATCACGGGGCTCGGGGTAGATTCAGCGTACCCCAAGTGCATGGGTGTTGAAGACTGTAAGTCCAAGTGTTGCTCAGGGAATATTCGAATATAAAAGGGCAAGAGCAATACGAAGCAAACAAATCAATCAATGCCATCTTTGCACCTTTTCAAGGTCTATATTACTATTTCATGCTTTTCACAATGGCTCTCCGATCCGTCGCCTTGTTCGCTCTCTGTGGCGTTTCCCTAGCCTCACCATCGGCACCACCACTTAGACCCGTCAGCACTCTATACGAGTTCCCCAATCCCTCCTACATTGAGAATCTCGCAGTTCGAAGCAACGGCCAGATCCTCATCTCCGGCATCAGCACTCCCCAGCTCGTCCTCTTCGACCCTTCACCCTCTGGGCCAAAGAAGCCTGTGCCTGTTCACAACTTCACCGAGTCTCTCGCTCTAGCCGGCATTGCAGAGTACCAGCCAGACGTATTTGCCGTCATTTCAGGCAACTCTTCCTTCACAAGTGATGCGTCAAGTGCTGGGACGTGGATCGTCTGGAGCGTCGACCTGCGCGGTGTCGACATCTCCTCAAAGCATGGCCAAGTGGGACTCACATCGCCGCCCGTGGTGAAGAAGATTGCGCATGTCGAGCCGGCTCAGTTCCTCAACGGCATCTCAGTTCTCTCAGAAAAGGACCAGACGCTCCTCGTCGGCGATGTCAACGGCGGCGTCATCTGGCGCTTGGACGTCAAGACAGGGCATTACGAGGTCGTCATCAACAACACGTACACCCAGCTCTACCCGTCGCCACCCTTTTCGGCGTCGGGAGTCGACGGCGTCCACGTCCGCGACGGCTCGGTGTACTTTACAAACTTTGGCAACGGCACGTTCAACAAGATGCCCATCCACTCGGATGGAACGCCTGCAGGGCCGGTGACGACGCTTTCCCATAACCACGGGCCGCTTCATGAGTATGATGACTTTACGTTTGACTGTGACGGAAACGCGTTCTTGGTTACGGGAGGCGAAAACACCATTGAGATGATCTCGGCGGATGGAAAGCGCCAGGTGACGGTTGCTGGCAACCTCAATTCCACTGCGATTGCTGAGCCGACCTCTTGTGCTTTTGGTCGTGGCCCGCACGACAAGAACATCCTCTATGTTGTTACTGCGGGCGGAATGCAGACGCCGGTGAACGGAGATGTTGTTATTGGTGGACAACTGGTTGCGGTTGACACGACGTCGAGGGGTTCAGCTTGCTGAGTCCAAATAGGTCCTGTGCCGTGTAATACGGCGGGCTTCGAAGTTGATATTGGGATGTATATGTAATGATAGTGTCATCTGTCACTAAATAAAGCCGTGCTCTTCAGTTTCATGTCCTATTGCTCCAGTTCATCTGCCTCCCCAGGGCGTGAGCTACGCCTCGCACTCGACCAGGGCCGCGGATATGGAGTACTGAAGCTATTGAAACGGGCAATTTGAACCACTATCGCATGTCAGCTGAAGCAAAACTCCTAGAAGGTGTCTGGAGAGGAAGTATAATGAGATTGTTAAGTGGCGTTGCCTGAAGCCTTGGAATGATGGCTTGCGAAGCCCTTTGACACATCCAAGGGTTGGAATGTAATTTAAATCAAAGCTGTTGCCTCACATCAATATTAATCGAAGTGGCTTTCTTTTACTTATGACCTAAAGAGCTCTAAAAATGTGAGTGAAAGCCCAGCTGAGCGACTAACGAAGCAACACGCAGGGCGACGACATAAGGGAAGTTAATCATATCAAGCTTATTCCACATCAAAGCCTCCTTCGTGAGATTAGTTACCCTTAAAAAGCTGAAGAAGACTGATCTCGATTGTCGTCATGAACGTCAGTTGTCAACTCGGTTACCTCCTCCAAGTTCAGCGCCATCTGCTGTATCCCAGTTTGCGAGCATCTCGTCCAGTCCTTTGCTACCATCATGTTCAGCTGGGCTATAACATTTGCTCTCGAGCAGCCACTTCCTTACGCTAGAATGCCATTGCCATTCGTACTCAATCTCTCTGTCGATAGGCTTGATTTTCCTTTCCTGCCGCAAGCCGCCTTTCCCCAGCTTTTACTACCTCTACAAATAAGGTTATTTCAGCTTCCATCTCGCTATTTCGGTGAAATATTTCGGAAAGTGTGGCTCGGTTCTTCGTCATAGCTGATGGCTACCATGTAAGTTGCGTTTCCAAAAACAGCCCCGTCAGATCAAAGGATGGCCATATAATGGGACAGCGAGCTGAACATTTCTCAGGTGATGGAAGAGGTGCCCTTCTAGAAGAAGGGAGTAGTCTCCTTCCTTTTCATCATCAGTTGGAGTATGTCAAAATCACAGCCCTGAGAGCCACAACGCAAACACTTAATTTACCGCTTGAGAATGTCTGAAGTCACCAATCGCAACGAGGTTCGGGCAATCACCGCAGCTGGCGGCTGGACCATCGTCTACGGCGATCTCATTAATGAAATCGACGTAATTGAGCTAGTCATCTCCGTTCCCACTGGCACTGTCGCTGGTTGGGTCTCTAGCCAGGTCGATGCCCAAGTCAAAAAGTTCAACCAAAGCCTGGCCACCGTCTCCGATGATGTCGTCAAAGAAGCAACGCAGTATCTCAAGGGTCTACTGCAGAACAAGACTTCTGGAGAGCGAGACATCAACGGACTTGGAGTCAAGGCTGGCATCGTCACGTACCACCGCAAGCTCAAGACGCCACTTGGCTCTGTGCCGCTGGCAGACAACTACCAGCCATATATTGGTATTCGGATCACCAAGCCCCTTCCACCAAAGGGGGAGCCGACTTCCATTCAAATACCGCCAGGGGTACAGCCAACCGCGCCGCCAAACCCGGCACATGATGGCTTGGACAGAAGATTGTGGTACCGAATCAAGAATCCGGCGAAGCCCGGCATGGCCATTGACGTCGTGAACGACGGTAACCAGCAACAGGACGGTCAAGTGCAAATGGCCGCAGAAGGCAATTTCAGCGGCCAACACTGGCAGCTTCGCCCATCCAGAACCGACCCCGGAGCGTACAATCTTTGTAACATGTGGCTTGGAGCGAACAAGTGCTTGGACGTGTACGGCAATGACAAGACCAAGCCGCATGTGGCCACTGCTGGTAACTACTCGGGACAGCAGTGGAGGGTTGAAGAGCAGGGCTATGGGACTTGGAAGCTGTCGAACTCGTATTCTGGGCCACTGGTGCTGTTGGCGGATGCCTCTGGAGGGGGAGTGTCGCTCAAAGACGCCCAGGTTTCTTCTCCTGCAATGTGGACTTTGCAGCCTATCAAGTCAATCACGGAGACTGGATTCTAATGATTGGCTACAGTATCTTGAACTGAAATGAACTTGTTTCCATTATCAAGTAAGAATTGGTTAGTGGATCACGATCACATGCATCTCCATCTCCCCATGGCTTGTAGAAAGCAGCGAGTCTTCAATCCCTCCGTCACAAGCCGAGCAGCTCTATAATACGGAGTTCGTTTGCCTGGTTGCTTGGGTTCGCCGACCCACAATTTGGCACCAAAAGTAATGGTCCATTGCGCGCTCCCATTGGCCAGCGATAACCCGATAACAACATCCCTGCCAAAAAGTTTCCGTCCCAGTTCCCAAAGAAAAAGTTGCGACCATCATCAGTTCAATCGCTGGCATTGAAGCGGAACTGCGCACCAGATCTTTTATACCCGAAGCAGCATACTCATCCAGACCTTCACAATGGACAAGCGAAAGGGAGGAAAGAAGACTGGCGGTGCAGCTCCAGCGCCAATCTCCGACGAGCGATTCGCCAGCTTCCAGACCGATCCTCGATTCCGGCTGCCGTCGAGGAAGCACACCAAGACGACCGTCGACAAGCGATTCGCGCGCATTCTCAAGGACGACGAGTTCACGGCCACGGCCAAGGTGGACAAGTATGGACGCAAGATCAAGTCGGACTCTAAGAAGAAGGCTCTGCAAAGGCTGTACCAGCTCGACGAGGACGAGGAAGACAAAGAGGCCGACTCCGACGATGAGGCCGACAAGCCAGTCAAGGGCAAGAAGGCTGATGAAGAGGAACAAAGCGATGATGAAGACGAGAGCGAAGAAGACGAAGAAGAGGACATTGAGGTCGAGGATGACGAGGTCGTGGAGAGAGAGCTTCTCGCTGCTTCGAGGTCTCGAAAGTATGACCCCGCCCGAGAGGGAGGCTTCTCCTCTTCCGAAGACGAAGACTCCTCGGACGAAGACTCTGACGACGAAGTGCTGGACCTGGCTACCGGTGGCGACATGCAGCGGTTAGAGCAGGAGGAGATCAAGACCGGAGAAGTCACGACTCGGATAGCCGTCGTCAACCTGGACTGGGACCACGTCAAGTCGACAGACCTGATGGCTCTCTTCTCCAGCTTCATCCCCGCCAACGACGGCGGAAAGGTTCTCAACGTTGCCATATACCCAAGCGAGTTCGGAAAGGAGCGCATGCAGCAAGAAGAGCTGGAAGGGCCGCCCAGGCAGCTGTTCAAGAAGGGCAAGAAAGACGAGGAATCCGACGACGAGAGCGCATCCGACAGCGAGGCCGAAGAGGCCGCCATCAAGAAGAAGCTGATCCAGGAGGGCGACGATCAAGATTTCGACAGCGACGCCCTGAGGGCCTACCAGCTCGACAGGTTACGGTACTACTATGCCGTAATGACGTGCTCAAGTAAGAGCACTGCACAGGCCATCTACGAAGCGACAGACGGAACCGAGTACCAGGCCTCATCCAACTTTATCGATCTGCGCTTCGTTCCGGACGACGTCACCTTTGACGACGAGCCCAGAGACCAGTGCGACAAGGTCCCCGAGTCATACAAGCCCATCGAGTTCGTCACCAATGCGCTGCAAAGCTCAAAGGTGAAGCTCACCTGGGACATGCACCCCGAAGAGATCAACCGGAAAGAGTCCATCAAGCGGGCCTTCAAGGGGAGCAGAGCAGAGATCGACGAGCAGGACCTGAAAGCCTACCTCGCCGGTGACAGCGACAGCGACGAGGACGAGGACGACGATGCCGAGGCGGCGACCGGCGACGCAGCTGCTGCTGCCGCCGATGGCGAACCCAAACTGAGCAAGAAGGAACTGGCTCGGAGAAAGATGCGCGAGGCCCTCGGTCTCGCGGCCGAACCAGAGCCCGCCAAGAAAACCAAGGATGCCCCCGTGGGCGAAATGGAGGTGACCTTCACTCCAGCCCTGTCAGGCGGAAAGGCCAAGGAGGAAGAGAGGGAAGAGACGACCATCGAAAAGTACGCCCGCAAAGAGCGCGAGCGGAAAGAAAAGAAGCGCCAAGCCGCCAAAGCCAGACGCGAGGCGGCCCTCAACGGCGACAAGGGCGCTGAAAGCGATGATGATGACATCCAGGTTGTTCACGGCGGTGATGACCACGACGACGATGGCGAGGATCTCGGCTTCAACGACCCCTTCTTCACAACCGCAGACCCCGCCCCCGCAACGAAATCCTCCATCCGCAAAGAGGAGCGCCGCAAGAAGCGCGAAGCCCGCGAAGCCGCAGCCGCGCTCGACGCCCAGGAAAAGGCCCACCTGGCCAAGGTCATGGCCGAGGACAAGGACGACAACCGGGCGGAGCACCTCGACCACTTTGACATGAACGAGATTCTGCGCGCCGAGAAGCAAAAGGGCAAGAAGGCGAAGTACCAGAAGAAGAAGAAGAACAAGGGGGATGTGGCGGGCCTGCAGGAGGACTTTGAGATTGACGTCAAGGACGAGCGGTTCAAGGCCGTGTTTGACAGCCACGAGTTTGCGATTGACCCTTCGAATCCCAAGTTCAAGGCTACGGAGGGGATGAAGAAGTTGTTGGAGGAGGGGAGGAAGAAGAGGAAGATGGCGGTTGGGGGAGAGGAGGAGGAGGATGGGTCGCGGGAGAAGAAGAGTAAGAAGGGGCGGCGGTGAAGATGTCATATGGGGAAGGGAAGATAATCATGGTGTCAAGAAAGAAGAGGAAGTTTGATTTTGCATTCGATTGCATGTACAAGTCATGTCTATACAGGAGCATATAGTCAAGGATGAAAAGAATTCTAGTTGTAATTCCATAATTCCACAACACTTTGAAGCCAATCTCACAATGCTTTGAAGCCAATCTGTACGCATCAAACAACCGCAAACTCCGGAGCATTTAGTCTCTGACAAGAAGAAGAAGACGAGGAAAAGCAAAAAGAATTTGGCCACACGCCTCCATTAACGCCCCGAGTCGTCTTTCCAGCGAAACGCCGAGTCAATCCGCATCATACGGCTTCTGCCCACTCCAAAAGTGCATCTTGCCGTACGCGTGGACGGTGGGATCGCGCATGGCTTGGCGACACTGCATGAAGAAGATTTCCATCTCCGTCTTCTCCCATCCGAGCATGGGGAAGTGGATGGCCCCCATAGCAGGGAAGAACTCTTCACAGGCAGTGCGGTAATACATGCCGACCAGTCGCATGATTCTTCGAGGCCAAAGTCAACAACTGGTGTCCAGGGAAGGAGGGGAGACTCAGCTCACTTGTCTTTCGGCCATGTGCCATAAGGGAGCTTGATATAGTTGTGCTGAATGTTGACAAAACCTGCCTCTGCCAAGTACTGCCCTCCGAACACAGCAGCATGGGCATTGGTGCCAAACTTGGCAAAAGCCTCAAGCATGACCTCAGTGAAGCGCTTTAGAGGCCAGTCGTCCGGGACCGTATCATCGTCAGTGTGGACGTCTCCGTCCACGTCCTGTATCTCGACCCAGCCACCGGGCTTGATATTGCTAAGATTATACCAGAGTCAGTTGTTGTCCCAATCATCCACCTCCGACGAGCTTTGTGCAATATCGCGGCTTACTCGTATGCTTGCTTGAGCAGCGCAACGGGATCTTTCATCACCGGTATCATGTTGCGCAAGTGGACAAAGTCCCAGTTATCGCCGTTGAGCCACTCAGCCTCCACATCGTCAATGAGAAACTTGACATTGGGAGGCACCCAGGACGGCTGGATGGGACTCAAGTCAAGCCCTAGGACTTCAGCACTCGGATATCTGTCGCCCACTACCACCCCATGTTATTACCTGTTCACATTTCAGACAACATGATGTTGACTCACTCTCAATGGCCCATAATCCGGTGCCAGTGCCCAGATCCAAGATCTTCTGCGGATGGTCTCCAATCGGGGCGTAGAATAGCTTGCCGTCGGTTGCCTCCAGCATCATGGTATGCAGCATGTCTTCGCGGTTTTGTTCCGCCTCATCATTGGGAATCGGATATCTGCCGTGCCGATAGCGATGATAGCGTCTGCCATTGACATAACTGTGGTCATAGATGCTCGACCCCAACGATGTAGAGTCAGATTGGTCGCTTATGGACGCGGAATCGTATTCACTGGGTGAAAATTCGCCCTCTTCGTCACTGCCGCCGGGTTCGATGACGGCGTCGCCATGCAACAGCCCCAGGTGTTCTTGTGCAGGCGCCTCATCTAAATAGCAAGAGTGTCAACCACTTATGCCACTGTATGGATACAATAAGTCTCTTTTAAGAAAGATGTGTTTCACAGCTGGGCGTCTTCTGGTATATGAGAAAAGGTACATCACGACGGTTCGGCGAACTCGCTCGTTGACAATGAGAGCATGAGAGGGCGGGTTACACTATCACTTACCTGTAATGCCTGGAGGGCTCAACTTGCCAACGGGGCTCGATCGAGGAGCAGCCCCAGCCATGGAGTCGCTCCGGCTGGATCTTTTGCTCCCTGCAGGACTCCCCGCAGAGCTTCCCATGGCTTTTCTGGTGCCTTAGAATTCCCAATGCGCGCCAAATGGCTCCTGTAACCCAGGAGAGAGTGTTCTGGATAACGACGATCACGCGACTTGGAATTGTGACAGTAGCGGGGATATGTGACAGCGGCCCGAGCGAGAACGAATCGGCCATGAGAGCACAGGGCCGAATCAATGCGGCCAACTGGCGAGGCCAACAGGACAGTACAAGCAGCGCCGAGGATGGCCGTCCTCAACACATTAACATGCGAATCGATGTGTGAGAGAGGGCGAGAGGGGGGAGAGAAGAGGAGGGCTGGTTCCTCCAGAGCTGAGGCCGGGGTCGCAGGAGTTCGCTGTGTTTGCGTCGCCTCATTGGACTTTCGTTGGCAACCCTGCATGCAATATGCATATCGCATGCATGTGAGGTTGTACCGCGAGCGAGTGGCTTTTTCAACGCAGTTGCAGCCGCGGTGCCATTACACCAATCCCGAGTCGCTTGGGCAGTCCGTTGACTCCATTCCGGAGGCCATAGGGCAGACTCCGAATCGATCGATTTCCTTGAGGGAGACGCTACCAAGAAAGCAGCTGTCCTCCAAGCTCCGGGCTGTAGGTGACAGCGAGGACGTGATGCAGGGAACGAAATGAGACAACAACTCAGCCGCGTTTCCCGCTTATTACTCGGATGCCTCGATTCGGCGACAGCATTGGCATCAACTTGTAACGGTCTGTCGACACTTGCAGAGTCGGTCAGTCACTAAATCTTCTGCGGCATCAAATGCTCATCGATCAATGAATCGGGTTCCTTTTGTCGGCACATATGTAAGAGGGCAAGCAGCAGCAGGGCGTCGTACCGCCAACTGCAGCCTCCATATCAGCGCTGAATGTGACTGGTGACTCGATCTGCAACCCAGCTCCAAGACAACACCAGGTTACCCTGGAGTCATCTTCTTGTTGTCGACTTGGAGTGTTTGATGAGCTGTTGGTGATGATATCCGGAGATGACTTGATGGAATATCACGGAAGAAGGAAAGATAAGATAAAGGACGGCTGCGAAGTGATGAGTCATGTTATGATGTCGAAGGAGGCAGGAGAGAGGCAGTCTATTATACATGTATAAGGAAGGAGAATGACAAAGCATTGCCGCACTTTATCGAGAAGAACTACAACTTCAAACCTCCGTCATTCACACATCTTGTCAAGAAACAAGGAACTCGGTATGTCACCCATTCCGTCCTGGATCTCGTGAGCTTCCAAGTCTTGCGCTTTTGCCTGAAGCAGAGCTTATTTGGGCATTTCCACGCATAGGCGCAGCTTCAACGTCTTCCTTCCTCTCTGCGAAGCAACCGGAGTGTACAAGCTGAATACGAAGCACTATTCTTGCTGATACGGTGCAAAGCCTCGATATCTTGAAGGGCCATCTCTGGGCGAACAAACAAAGGGGCTGTCGGAGGCCTGTGGCCCGAAGGAACTCGCCGAAAGGACCTGCCTTGCTGTTGGTACGTTGGCCAGCCTGTGGTCCGTGATGGACCTCGAGTTGCTTTTTGCGGATATAAATGAGTGGCCACTACTTCTAGAGCATGTTCATTTGCTCTCGGAGCTCACAATAGCATTGCATCGGTGTTGTCCGTCTTCTTTTTATTTCGTGTTCGGATCCATTCCGCTGACCCATTTCATCGCGATAGCAGTACATACCCAACGCACGCGCCCATTTCCCTCTTTCTACATCGATTTGCCACGAGCACTGCCACGCGAGCGTCGAGATTGTCGAGTTGTCCAAAGCATTTGAATTATCCATCACCAACCCTGACGTTTTATTCTCACCTCCCGGACTACCCACTTGGAAGCCCCAGCAAAACTGCCAAAATATCCCACACTTTGTGTGACTTCTACCTCTTCAGCGGTTGAGGTGAACCTTGTCTACGTTCCCCTTGTCTCATGTCTCATCGAGAACAACAAGATGGCTCTTGGAGTCGCTGCATACACAAATGCCTAACGCAGGCCATCATCTCAGGATGGGCGACACACATCAGACGCTCCATTGGCATTTGGGATACTACTCATGACTCCGCACCCAACGCACACCACTTGTGATGGAGAGCTCATCATTGGGCCTGTTTTGAGCTATGAAACAAGCATTGTGAAGTGGCCAATGTCGTCTGGTTCTTCTAACAAACTGCCTCGCCCCCCTTAGCGAGTGGCAGAAAAACTCTTGCTATTTCTCTGTACATCCATCTCAGACATCTAGGCTCAAAAGGCTAACCTGGCATTGTCTGGATAGAAGTTTCACTCCAATTCACATGACGACACTGCATGGTCATGGATATCTCTGATGATCATGGACTTAGTAGTAGGCTTTGCCAGAGGCCCGAAATGGCCAAGACCATGCAGTGATGAACGAGTTTCGGTGAGGCGTTGCGCTAGTTTGATACTCTGCGTCGCTCATCACACGAGACATAACATTTATCACAATGCAGAGTCTCCCTTGCTTCAACGGTTCCGGCGTTAAAGGGCCGCCATGTCCAATCAAGAGGCTCTCTTCTAACTGCATCTGAGACGGCCCAACCGTATATCAAGCCTTGAGCCGAATGATAAATGATGTATCTGGCGACCCTCACCATGGCATTCGTGACAACTGACGAACTTGGACAGCAACGGCCCGCGCGCATAGCGTCTTCTTCTGCTGTCCTTCGGCGTGTTGCTCATGCGTACTTGTACGGCTGAGATTCTTTCCGACGCGCCTAATGCGACCTGTCATGACATGGTTGCTTTCCTGACACCACGAACGCCGTCGTGAATATGGAAGGGGGGTTTGCAAGTGAAGGATACCACCGCTGTTCTCGCGGTGCAACGCTGGGGAACATATCTCAGGTCACCCGAGTAAGAGAGACGCTGGCTGAAGAAAGGTCGCTCAAATGAACCTGACCACGGATGCCTGACCCTTGTCGAGCATCTTGCGAGTGACGTTGGGTGATGATCAGGCAATTTGAAGCATCAACGGCGCCGCCATGTTGGAGTCCTCTTGCGATTCTAGTTTGCTCGCCGAAAACTGCCCGCCAGAACCACAAACACAGAACCAGGCTTCTCCCGACAACAGCGGAGTGGCTTGCGTCCCGGTCCATGGCAACCGCGGCTTGGCAGGGATTAGCTGCAGAAGTGAATGGTAGCCGGAGAGAGCATGGGTCATGACATTGGGTTGTAAGGAGCTGAGAACACCTCCACAGAGCGCCTCCACCGCGCAGTCGGCCGTCGGCATCGGCCGCAATGGTACCCAAGCTGGCCTACAGGCCATCAAAGCTAGGGGCGATGCTCCAGCTCAACCACGATCGGACGCATCAGAGATTGCCAGTCAATCAAACCGTAATGAAAAACGACGTCCGGGCCTGTTCGTTCATCTGAGGGAGTGGCAGGAAGAGGAGCGATTGGCTCTGAGACTCCTTGTTCAGCATCACAAGGTGCTGCAAGGGCGATACGGTGGCACATCGAAAGCAGGGAGGTGACGCAAAATAAGAACATCGCGTACGGCTACCCTGATTGCAGTTGAAAGCCACAATTGAGTCAAGTTGCTGCAAATATTCGCCTTCTCTATGCGCGGGCGTGGATTTCACCTCATGCAAAGCCGTCGATGACTTGCTCTGGGCAATCGCTCTCTCGATAAAGAGAAAGACACGGAAGGAAAATATCCAGGCCCCGGGAGACCCTCAGACGCATGCGTCTATCGCCTATCTGACTCGGAGCAGTGCCTGTAAACACTTGCTCCAGACAGGCGGGCGATGCTAGCGTCGGCGTACGGGCGCGGTGGAAAGCTAGACGAGCGAGGCTGAAGAGGCCCTGTCAGACAATCTCCACAGGGGTGCTTCCGGAGGGAGATCGATGTCATTCATTACTTCCCATCACTTCCCGGTCAACTATATACGACTACTATTGAGATCAACCTTATCTCTTCCTTGGCCGAGAGAGAAATGAAAAATAGCGTCACGACACATCTCGTATACGCATGGCCGGCTCCCACTGTTCAACTTGAGCTGGATGGTTGGCTTGGCGGACACACGGCCCGCCCTGTCACACCGCGGCCATGGCATCTGCCCGGCGGCTCATGGCTTTCACACCTGCGCTAAGGTGAGGATATCCTTGCTAGCTGCCATTGCTGCGAGCTCTTGCAGGCCAGGCACGGAGGATTTTGCGTATGGGTTAACCAGATCGGGCTTCCAGGTCCCGTCAACTCATGGGTCTCTAATGACATCGCCCCGGCTTCGATTTGGCTTCGTGGAGCACGCTAGGAGTAGCCGGCGAGCCTGTCTGGACGATCGGAAAGTCAGACTGCCGCCTTGCTCAGAGGAGAATTGTGCCTTGGAAAAAGCATGCCGCCATCTGTGGAAACAACATAAGCTGGCTTGGACTTCAGACCTTTGCTAGTTCGCCTCCCATGTCAGCACTGCTAGACAAGCGAGGGCATGTCGACTAGACGACGAGGCCATGGCAACAAGGCCTGTCCAGGATACTACTACTGTACTACTTACATGTGCACCCTTGCTGTGTCTCACAGCTGGTGGCTGATCGATATCCTGGGCGCTCCAAGTCGTGAGCAGCAACTGCCTCGACTCGTGTGGTCTGAATCAACGAAGACCACAGCGCGTGTATGAGCTTGACTGACGAGTGGAACGTTGAGTCGCTACCAATCATTGTTGCGTCTCCTCTCATCACCGCGTTCTAGACACACATACGCTGCGCAGGGGCCGGTAAAAGGAAGAGACTGACGCAAGGAGCAAGTCTGCAGCTGTGCGTCAAGACCCCCTCGGAACTGCTACGGAGCATGTGTTGGCTCCATGCGTGACCCTTGCTAAGGGAACCGCCTCTGCTCGGAAGGGATGGGGGGGACGTCGACGGTGCTCGCACTTTGCTTTTCCACTCTTCCCGGTTGCTCAATTTGCTTCCTTTTTTCCTCTCCTCACCTTGCTCTCACGTCGGCCGACTCAACCCTCGACTCCCTTTCCGTTCTGCCCCAGACGCTATACTCCGTTCCCATCATGATCGACATAAACGTGTGAAATGGCGTTGGTTACTACCCGCGATTAGTTCGATGAGATTTAATATCACACGTGTCGGAAGCTTTCCTCGAACCCAGGGAGACAGGAACCCTAGACTTGTACTCGGCAACCCCTTGGTGTTATTTGACTTACTCCTCCACTAGCCACGAGATTTTCATGTTGCTCTTTGATCTTCAACCCTCGTCATCTCCCACTACTTAATCTGTTGGCTTCCCTTCTTGCCCCTTTCTTGGTTGGAAAGTTATTCATTCCCTTTCTTCATAGCATCTATTACCTTCCCGCTCCTGCCGTCTCTTCAATATTGTTGTACTTTTCCCCTCTATTTGTCTCATAGCCTTGTTATTGATGTCTTTTCTATAACCGCTACCACAGACAAAACTCCAGAATGGGTACCGAGTTTGGTATCAACAAAGATACCAAGCCCGAGCTTCGTCTCGGAGCTGTGGGTATCTTCTTCCTCGTCTTTGCTGCATTATGGACGGCTATACTCTTTGCCGGGATGGCATTCCTCTGGGTCCGGCGCGAGATGCCCATTCTTAGGATCCGAGGCTTGCCGCTGTCCTTTGCCGCGATCACTTTCATGCACACGTACTGGCTTGCTGTCCAGCTGGCCTACTGGTATGGCGCGCTGATGCCCGAGGTCGCCGAGTTTTGGATCATGGGCGTCTGGTTTCCCTTTGGAATCGCCCTTTTTCACGCCTCCAACAGCAGGTTCCTGTATGTTGCCGATGGCCAAAGAAAGTTCCTCCAGAGATCCGATGCTCCGTCTGCGCCCGCTGGACAAGGAAGCTTACTGGGTCGATGGCGGAAGATGGATTACAATCGTCGTTCTCTCATCCTGATCTTTACCTGCATGGGTCTCCAGGTAAGTTCGACTTAATGGTCTTATGCTTTGAAGGAATCGATGAGCTAACAGCGGATCTAGCTCGCTCTGACAGTCATTGTGTTCCTCGTGTCTCGAAAATTTCACAGCTCATTCGGCATCCCTGGCACTGAAGTCCATGGCAGCTTCATGGAACAAAAAGTGGCCCAAGGCCGCGGATGGGAGTGGTTAGTCTCGCCAAGATTCCAACATGGTCGTAACGAGCTAATGATTGTATAGGGTTCCCTCCATCTTCTGGCAGATGTTCTGGGCATGGATCTTTGCTCCCTATATCCTCTTCCGCGCGCGCAAACTCCGAGACACACAAGGATGGAGGTTCCAAACCATTGCCTGCTGCATCTCCAAGTATGTCGTACCTATCAAAATAGCTGGACTTGTCACTAACGCCTACTGTAGTCTTCACGCCGCCCCAATGTGGCTGATTGCTTTGTATGTTCCCGGGATGGAGACAATCAACACGTACTTTATCCCTCCGCAATGGTGAGTGTCTGCTACTTGACAAGTATCATGGAATTGTATCTGACTTGGCCAATGCAGGATCGCCGTTTCCGTCATGCTCCTCGAAATTTTCACCGTCTTCGTACCCATCGTCGAGGTCTGGAAGCACAAAGCTCTCACTCAGGAGACGCTCAACTCCATTGCGCGCTGGGAGTCCCAGAAGAAGGGATTCAACGGCGGCAACAAGTCCATTCACTCAGACTCTACGAGGTCGTCATGGGGAGGAAGAGTCGGAAGAACGTCGTCTGTACACACAAGCACCTCTGGCGGAAGCATTCTGACCATGGAGGCCCTGGAGCACACTCTGTCAAAGAACCCCGAGCCACTGCAGCAGTTCTCCGCACTTCGAGACTTTTCTGGAGAGAATATTGCGTTCCTCACAGCGGTCAAGGAATGGAAGGCTACCTACTTCCCCACCGCTGCGAAAGAATCAGAGAAGGAGGATGGCGCGGTAAAGGAGCTGCCTCGCGAGTGTTTCGACGGCGCGCTCAAGATCTACGTTGACTACATCAGCGCGACCTATGCTGATTTCCAGATCAACCTCTCCTCGACAGACTTCAAGGCCCTGCAATCCATCTTTGAGCACGCCGCGAGCGTCATCTGCGGCAGAGAGCGCAGCAGTCCGGACCCTTGCACGCCCTTTGCCGACATCCCCCACAACGACTCTGAGAGCACCCTTGACGTCGTCCGCTACGAGGGCGATGTTCCTGCCGAGTTTGACGAGCATGTCTTTGACGATGCGGAGATGAGCATCAAGTACCTGGTGTTGACGAACACGTGGCCCAAGTTTATCAAGGAGCGGCGGTCGTTTGACATGGCGAGCGCTGCTGAGGCTGGGCATAACTGAACAAACATACGATATCTTATAAAAACGGCTCTACACAAACGGCAAAATTCTATCCGAGGCTTCATATACCCTACCCTTCCAGGTGAAAAAAGTATTATTGTTATGGATTGAGTATACGGAGGCAGGGAGGCCTTTGGACATTCAGATACGGCGACACGTTGTATCTACATGGTCTACTTGAAACGGGACGCTGTAGCGATCAATTCTTATGATGGCTTGCGGATATGACATGGAGGAATTACTTGATGACGGACCGACAAAGTATCTTTACAATACAATAGAGTAGTATAATATTAGTTACAAGAGAAAATGACGATGAGTTGACTTTCCAAATTGGTGTTCACGATGGGGAGCTGAAAGATCCTGGCTCACATGATCTTCACTCACCGCAGACTGTGGATTGAATCCTTGTACAGCTGAGGAACCCTGCACACTTTGCGCAAGCTTGAAGGACAAGCATGTCACGGTCAATCCCACTGAGTGCCTGGTCAAGCGGAAATCACGGTCCGCAAATCTCTACTTTGAAATATCTATACTATCTGCATGAGGGTGGATTGGATGGACAAGCTCCCTTGTCCTGTTGCTGCTTCAACGAGTCAGGGAACTGCATTTGCCTCGGCTTGTGGGTGGCTGGGAGATGGTGGGAGATGCCGATTAGACGATCAGATGCGATTTTCCGATTTGTGATGACTGGCTGCGTTATCACGATCGCGAGTAATGGAACCTAATTGATCGGCGATAGGGGACTTGGTTCAGGGTTGTATGTACGTATTGTGCAGAATACAGCTGTATGGCGACAAACTGCGACCACGGCACGATGTTGACGATGATGATTTCTGTCTGTTCTCCAGGTTGACAACATCTACCCAGCTATATGGGCATAAAGCCCGGCCACAGGGCATCCTCAAACTCATACTCCTGCCAAAACACCACATCCGGATCCTGCAGCGTCGTCTCCCCACCAGCACCACCAGGACCACCACCACCTATATCACCAGGCAACTGAGCTTCCGGCTGCTGCTGCTGCTGCTCCTGGGGAACCCGCGAGAGATACCACTGCCGGATCCAGCGAAGCTTGAAGCTCAGCCTGCAAAACTGCGCGCCGCCCGCGTCCAGCAAGCGACGTCTGCGGCCGGCTTCCTTGGCCCAGGTGTCTGCGTCCTCGAAGCGATCGCCAAGACGCTTCGTCAAGTCTGCAAAGTCGAGCTTTCTGCGGGCCATGGCGGGCTGCCAGTCGATTGACGGCTCCATGACGAGCAGGCGCGAGGAGGTAACTATGGCAAAAGCAAGGAGGCCCGTGACGAATGTGGGGAGGCCGGGGAGCTGGTTGGGATGATAGGAGAGGAGGATGTCGAAGAAGTCGATGGCGGAGAGGAGGCATTTCCAGAGGGTGTCGAAGCGTTGCAATGGGTCGGGGGGGTTGAGGGTGGCGAGTGCTTCGGAGGAGGAGGGGGTTGATGATGGGATGGGGATTGCGGGCTCGGCGAAGCGCATGAGTGTGACTTGGTAGTATGCCTTGAATAGGCCTTTTGGTTGACATTTGTGTTAGTGATGAGGCAGTGCTTATGTTGGAGAGAGAAAAGGGGGAGAAGGGGGGTTTTGATTTGTGACTTACTCTTCCTTTTGACGCATTCAGGCTGGATGCTCATCAGATCGTGGAGTTCTCGGCGGACGTTGTTGATGACCATGTCCATTGGCGACAGATGTGCGCTCAGAGTCGTGTCGACGACGTCAAAGCCCGGAAGCATGCTGTTGGCTCGATCGGCAACACGCTGCATCTTGACCAGAGCGACGAGGAACAGGTCTGATTCCAGGGGAGACTCGGCCAGCGATTCGCAGCAGTGAGAGAGGTAGTTGTTCCAAGGAAAGTGATTGCCTCGCTTGAACAGAGCAGAGATGCTGCAAAAAGGGTTTTTTTTCGTCAGGTTATCGATCCCTCAACAGGGTACTTGAGGAGAGAGGGGGTGAAGACGGGTTGTTCTCACAGTGATGTGGCATGATAGAGCCCCAGGACGGCTCGCTTCTCGTCGGCGGTATGAGGCTTCTGCTTCGAGGCACCCTTGTTGATGGTCGCCCAGGCCTCACCCACAAGAGATCTGGGATGCATATGAGTGGCGTCTGGGGATCTGTCCAGCTTGAGATCGAGAGCCATGGCCACAGCCAGATGAAGAAAGTTTGTCGCTTCTGTATTCATATAGAAATGGAAATCCCCCCTATTTGCCCCCCCACCCTCCTTTTTAGTAAACGACACCCTCGCACATGATGATGGGTATAGAAAGAGAGAAAGGCTCACCAAGCCAAGTGAAGCAGTAGAGCCTGCAATATCCCCAAGTTCCTTTCCTGCTTAACAACCATCCGGTCCGCGATATACTGGCGAAACCAATTCTCGACGCTTTGCTGCGTAGCCGACGACTGCGGCGCAACAGCCGCCATGACTGTCCAAAAGAGACATCGCGACGAAGCGTACAGCGACCGAGGATCCAAGTCTTCCGGCACGATGACGAAGGGGTAGTTGGGCATGAACTCGCGCCGGTAAATGGCAAAGTACGAGACCACTTCCTCGAGGTTAAAGCTGAAGCCCGGGATCAACTGAAACGTCGTTGCCGGCTCGGATGGGATGGGAAGGGGGATTTGGGGGGCTTCTTCACGGACGCTGACTCGGTTGGGTTGGGGTAGGGCGGAAATGGCGTCTTGCAGCGGCCTTGAGGTTGGTGCTTTCGATACCCCTCGGCCTGACGCTGCTATCCCTGTATCGTGGCTCTCCGGGGTCAACGGAGGTGTTCCGGAGGCTTGTATATGCTGTCCTGATGCAAGCATGGACACCAAGCCGTCAATCTTCTTCTCCAGCTGGGCAACGCGCCTGTTTGAACCAAGAACATGCACCTATGTCAGTAGAGGCACTTACACCGGCAGTGCTCACATCCGCAGGTTCACGAAAAGGACGGGCTGACATACGTCGATTTGCCTCGTTTCTTCCTCTGCACAGGTGCGGGCACATGACACGAAATCTTCATGCGAGCACATCTAAAGGGGGGGGAGGTCCAATCCCAAGTCAGCATCGAAGATAGCATCATATAGCCGATACAATGGATAAAGAAGACGCACCTAATGCAGCCTCCCTCGTCCTGGCCGGCCCCAGGAACCGGCCATCGACACTTCATCTTGAGCCGGGCACAGTTGGCACAGGCCCGGCTTTTGATGGCCTCCGGAGCCGTGAGGCCCTCTCCGGAAGCATCCATGTCTCCGGTGGTGGTCATGTTGGCTGCATGGACTTCTGCATCGCCATCCATGGCTGCTGTTGCGCGCACACGGGTCGGATAATAAATAGTGAGGACTTGGGATGTGCTTCAGATTGAGAAAGTGTCCGGACGCAAAGAGAAAAAGAAATCTTGTAAATTCCCATCAGACCCTACACAGTTGTCTTCTGTTACAAGTTCCTGTGGTTGTGAGCTTCTTTCGAGGAGGAAAGTTGCCGGAGATCCGGGCCTCATTTTAGTGTCCGGAGCCGGATATCTTGCCTGATTTGGCAAACACGTGCAGCGGCGTACGGAGCCGGGGATTATGTTAACGGCCGGTGCCGGATCGACCCTCCATTGTGCTTCAGATATACGGTGAGTCGGTTGTTTCGTTGTTGGCCGTCACCATCATCATCATCATCTTCTTCTTCTCTTACTTCTTCTCTTATGGCAGTAAGATCTCTCTTCTATCTTTGGTGATGCGATGCAACTATCACTGCTTCAACATTGGCTGAAGGCAGATCAAACTCCATTGCCGTTGTCATGGATACCGCCGTGTACATCATGCGACTCGACCTGGGCCTCGGATAACGGCGTCGTTCTTGAAAGACATGGTTTCAAGCCTCTCAAAGACGGTAACTGCAATTATTCTCAGCCTGTAGGGCACCGTGGCATCGGTTATCGATGATGAATGTCTTCACACGTGAGCCATGATTGCATTAGACTCAGCGCTGGGTTTGTCATTTCAACAACCCCTCGGCCATATATCTGTACCGACGCTGGGCCAAACCATCTTATTAGATCTGTGTATCGCGTTCTGGTTTATACTGGCAGCTCTGCATCGATAACTGAGTATCAACGATGAAGAGGAGCTCAGTGGCATTGAGCAGAAACCCAATCCCAAGCACAAGTAGCCATGTGTCTGTACTATACAAGTACTGAGGAAAAATACCACAGATTCACGGCTTGAACAACCAAGCCAAGCACCAGTCATATTCATTCATCATCTCTCTGTGTGATGGACACTGCCCACTTCCAAAGCTCCCCAGTAAGTCATCAAGTGATCATTTGGTTCATCGACAGCGCCATGAATGTCTCACTTGACTTGCCTATTGTCTACGTATGTACAAAGTGATACTCTTGACCTCCTCTTGGAGTTGATCGGATGCCGCTTGACTTGCTCCCAATGTGACAGAACCTACAAGCCACAACTGAGATCGTAGCCGTCAGGTGAGCAGGCCTTGAGGCTATTCCCAGTACCTTGTCAAGCATCCCTTGTCCATCAGGAGGGGGGGTGATATGGATACGATACGATCATGACGCCCTTTACACACGCACATCACCTGGCAGCCCGTGATCAACGAACTACGTATGATGATGAGTAGTTTTCGCTCGCGATCCACCATTGTATCGGGGGTACCGGTCGACTTCGGAATAGTATTAACAATATGCTCAATAGTCGCTCGTCCGTCCAAAACAATGTTCACTAGTGGTACTATCCCAAGATCTACAGCCCCTAAAAGCCCACCCCTATGTAGTCCGACCATCACACTTCGTCTCTCAACCATACACACACTCCCCGTAAACTAGCCAAGATCCTCCCGTCACTCCATAAAACTTGCCAAGAACCAATTCTCCGCAAATCCACATCTGCCCGCAAAGACAACATGAGACGAGAATCATCACGCTCAGCTGAGCTGAGTATTTTTTCTTAGGTCTTCAATCCTTGACCATTTGCTCCCTCCCCCGCGAGTCATGCATCCTCCCGGCGCTACGGGAACAAACATACCCACGCCCTATTCACAATCCTTGTCCACGATCCAGTTGATTGGCACACCAACAAATTCTACGAACCAAAGATTCAAAAATGTCCTTGTTCAAGCGACACAAAACCCTACGGAACAGCAAATCCAGATTAACTACTCTAGGTGCTTGCGGATTCATATCCTTGTGCCCTTCAAGCCTCCAGGTCCACTCCAGAACCGCCACTCTCGTCCCGATCCGTCTCCCTACAGACAAACAAGGCAGACAAAGTGGACATTGCAAACAAAAGCATACTACTACAAGCAACTCCTCAAACATATGGCCCCAGCAAAAGACCCTCCCCTCCGTCATACACACATGCATGGTTCATACATCCGCGCCCGGGTATGCGTGGCCATCCGCCCACGTGTTCCTTTTGCTTTCCCCCCTTCAGGTATCCTTTTTCCTTCAAACAATTGCAGCTTCACCCCCGCCCAATATGCATCATCATACTCGAGGTTTGGGATAAAGGTGAAAGGCAAACAAGCGGAAGCGTGCAAGCGGTGCCATCCCTGTAAGTGGTACATAGAAGGGCTGAACCACCAAGTCTCATCCCCACCATCATCCTTCATCATTCTCCAACCTGAGGGCGAACACACGTAGTTCAAGGAATAATGCCTACCCAATTCTCACTGAGTGCCAAGTCTGCAATGACGAGCCTCATCATCAATATACGGGTTCCCGTACCACGGCAATAGGCCGACGACGGCCGACGATCGGCCTCAACCGATCACCATTCTCTTTTTTTCAGGGGAGCGTGTGGGGCGCCTTCAACTCGACAAGGGGCAGCTCCCTGTCAAATCTTCCGAATGGCGGACTGCAAAGAGACTTTGTGGCACGGTGTCGATGCCGTGATCGATATACTGGGCGGCTGGGGCCGCGACTTGCACGATCTTGCATCTTGGCTGCTGCACGAATAAATCAATCATTAGCCCCAATGTCACGATGCACCATGTCACTAATCAAGGGACCAATGAAGTCCGGTTAAGTGTAACTCGCAAGTAAATTCAGGAAAGCAACTCCATAGCTACATGTACCAACTATTTTTTGCGCAGTAAAAAAGCATACGAAATAGCCCACAAGGCTAGCCAAGAAGTGAGGCACAAAGGCCTCCTTGTCAGCCGTAAAAGATTGCGTGCCTCCCGTTCCCCTTGACGAAAAGACACAACCTCCCGCAAATACTCGGAAACTCCAAATGGGAAAAAAAAAATAACAGAAATAAATCAGAGACGAAAAACCGGCAGAAGATCAGCCAAGGAAAGAGAAGCAGAAGATATATAGAGGAAGAAAAAAAGGGGAAAATATAGTGCAGTGAATGTAAGAATATTAATACCAGAGAAAAAGGGAGAAGAGACATGGCAAGACACCACATTTCTTCGAAAGACGAGACACGCATAGAGTAGGCGCCTTTTCTCAACTGTCCCAGATGGCCCCGTAAGCAGGGATGCCACGAGTTTCCAGCCCATATACCACCTTTTTGGTAATCTTCTCGTTGGCAATGATGATGACGGCCTCGGCGCCAAAGTCCTTGGCCATGTTGTAGCCCATGCGCACAAGGTCAGGCCGTCCCTGAGTACGAGTGTCGTGAATGACAGCACCGGGGATTGACTCCTTGATAGTATTGATGATTCTCTTGCCGAATGTCTTTTCAGGGGAGGGAGTTGACCAGATGAGCTGAGTGGGACAGCTCGGTGTTGCAATGTGGCCCAGCATGGGGCCAATGCCAGATCCTGTAGCAATCACCACCACGCGATTGAACAGTGTCGCGATGCGCATGACACCACAGGCCGGAAGACCACGGACCCAAAGGCTTGTAGGTGGGTTCTGGATGCACGCCTTGGTCCAATCGCCAGCGTTGGATACCACGAGAGAGTATCCTGATGCGATGCCGTTTTCGACGTCAGGCTGCGGCGCTGGGATTGTCGCAAACGAGTGCCACTCAAGGAGCGGGCGGTGGGAGACACGAGTGAAGCTGCCGTTGACAGGGACGGTGTAGTCAAAATGCAGGCGGATAGCGTGGTCAGACAGTGGCTCCGCGTTGACCTTGACTTTGCGGAGAAAGACCCAGGAGGAGGCAACGCTGCATGTAGCCACGCCGAGCATCCAAAAGGACGGTGTCTTGACAAGCGCCAGCCCGAGGTCCTCTCCAGCCGGGGTAGAGTCGTACACAGAGACAACAGTCTTGGCCCAGAACAGTGCAAGTGTGGTCCATCCCATGAAGCGGTGCATCTTCTCAAACATGTTGTGCTTGGCTTTGCGAAACACAGGTAAGGCCGAGGCGAGGATACCGAAACAGAGCGCACAGAGCAGCCACGACACCACCAGGTTGGCCAGAGAGGCTCCCGATGGTCGTCCGTGGAGCTGAAACCGGGCAACTGTAGCTTGGATAGTAGACGCCAGCAGCCAGGCGGTGGCACAGATACCAGCACCAGAATGAACACCACCGAGATGGTAAATCTTGGCACACCGGCGGCGGATCCAGAAGGGGAAGAATTTGGGAACGGAGCAGAAAAGGGTGTAGAGGACGTTGATGACAGCATCCTGTCTAATGAGCACACCAGTGACAAGGTTCGCTGCTGTAATGGTTGCGAGCCACTCGACGCCAGGGTGGAGAAGAAGGACAGCGACGAGGACTCCGATGTTGACAAGGCCCACGAAGCTCATCAGGACGCGGTATACAATAAGAACACGTTTGAGAAGGCCTCTCCAGGGCTTGGGCCACTTTTTCTCGGGAATCGCCGCTGATAAGTCGATCTTCTCGTTGGTCTTGTCTTCTTCTCCCTTATGGAAAGCGGCCGTAAGAGTCGATGATGAAGAAACAGATCGAAGGCCGGCCAGCGAGTCAGAAGTGGCACTATCCTTCCTCGGAAGAACAGCCGATTGGAACGTGGAACTGAAAACGGTCGAAGACTCGGAGATTGCAGGAGAGGCAGGGACGGTAGCCAGCAGACGGAGTGCCTTCTTGTCTATCTTGCCATTGGCGGTCGTAGGGAACTCGTCCAGGAGATGAAGGCTGGACGGCACAGCATAGTAGGGCTGAAGTCTGCGAGTGTGCTCCAGAATGGCTCCAGAATCCTGGTTAGAAGGAACGGCAAAGCCGTGGATTTCTCCATCAATAAGGAGTGCGCAGGCGCGGGTGACACCAGGCGCTGAGGCCATCGACGAGGAGACACCATCCAGCTCGACGCGGAAACCCTAGTTACCAAGCATATTAGACCCCGTTCGTCAAACGAACACTTGGAAAACAAGCCTTAGAGGTAGACCTGTGCAGAAATAGAGTACTCACCTTGACCTTGACTTGGTCATCGACACGGCCGAGAATCTCAATGGAGCCGTCGGGTCGCCATCGACCCAAATCGCCGGTGCAGTACATTTTGGTTCTATTTTGTAAGACACAATAAGTGCGTTAGTCATGTTCCTACACCTTCCAAGGATCTGAGGGGGCAGGGTCACAGCTGAGAGAAAGCTCTCACTCCCTTAGCAGAACTCACCCATCGTTAGCAAAGGGATCTGGAATGTAAGACTCCTTTGTCTTGGCCTCGAGGCCAACGTAGCCGCGAGACACGCCGCTTCCGCCGGCCCACATGGTACCAGGCTCACCTGCCGGTACCGGGTTCAGGTTGTCGTCAAGGATATAGACGTTGTTATTGGGAGTAGGGGAGCCGATAGACAGGCCGTCTCCAACAACGTGTTTCTGCATAGTGTTGACAATGGTTGTTTCCGTAGGACCACAGCAATTCCAGTAGGTTGCATGCTTAGCCCACAGATCAGCCAGGCTAAGGAAGGGGTAGGTTAGAAGACAGACCTGGAAGAGGACCAACAAGGGGGGCGATGAGGACTTTTGACTTACTCTTGTGAAGTTGGCTCGCCAGCCGTAGCAACAACTTTGATCTTGGGATACTTGGTGGGAGGGTACTTGGACAGAATAGTTGGTGTGCAGATCAGTGTATCGACCTAAATCGGTCATTTTCGTTCAATATTAGCCCATGTTTACCACCAGGTGTAACGATGTGTTGTAGCCCCCTCGTCGTGAACTCTTGCTCCCCTCTTCCTCTTGGACAACTCACCAGCTCGATGGCGGGTTCCCACTTAGAACCCCGGATGACAAGGGTGCCACCGTTACACAGGCACGCAAAGATCTCCCAGGCGGCTGTCACTCGATTATTAGTAATGTGAACTCCTTTATCCACAGCGGAATCCAGTCAAGGGATGGAAAAGTCATCTCCAAAACATACCCATGTCGAAGCTGATGTTAAGAACCTGTCCCACCCGATTGCCCGGTCGAATGCCCAAGTTCCCGGGAGACATACAGACAAGATTGGAGACATTCTTGTGTGTCACGTCGACGCCTTTGGGCTTGCCAGTTGTCCCTATTTGGAAGTGTCAGATTTCAGCTGCGTGCTAGAAGGGAGGGTGCATGAAGCAATCGCTGTTGGTGAGACCTCTCAGTAATGTACTCACCGGATGTGTAAATGATGTAGCATCCACCATCAGAACTAGCCAGGTCTGTCCACCTCTCATCCTGTGTCTGGCCCTCGAGCTGCTGCTGTTCAATAATGACAGGGGTGGCGCCGGGGCAGAGGTCGCGGATGCGATGAACCGTGGATGGTAGACAGCAAACGATGCTGCCTCCCGACTGCTCAAAGACGTGGCGGATGGTTGAGTCTGGTACGACACCTCCATCAAGGGGCACATATTGAGCGCCACAAGACAGAATGGCCCATATGCCAACCACCATCTCGGCGCTCCTCTTCACAACAAGAGGGATTCTCTGGTTAGGAAGGACACCAAGGCCACGAAGCTGGGCGGCGAGTGCCTGAGCCCGAGCGGCCAGCTGACGGTATGTGATGAGTCGGGTGGTTTCACCAGACAGATCATGGAGGGCCACATTGTCCGGGAATGATCTGGCATAATGGTAGAATGCTGCTGTGACAGTTGGAAAGGGACATGGAATCTTTGGGCCATACTGCATGGCAGTGTAGTCCCAGCTAGGACTTGACGTTGCCATGATATCGGCCAATATCTGCGTACAGATGGGTGAATGGGTAGCCGGATGGATGGATGGATGGATGGATGGATGGATGGAGCTGCGGATGAGGCAGTATGAATTGGGGAGACGAGAGCTGTGTAATGAAGAAGACAATGAAGCCGGTGTGTGTTACTGTCGTCCAACCTGACGGAGAGGCCGAGTAGGCCGCGATATATATACTCGAGAGGATAGATTAGTCCCTCCTCCTCCTCGTCTGCCCCCCTCTTTGAACGGCGAACGTCTCGCGGAGCCCTGTCTAGGAAGGGTTCCGTCCATGGTGGATAATGAACCATGTATCGTAGCCCTGGCTTCAACCGGATCATGACGGATGGAAGGTTTTCAGCATATACGCAGTCGGCTTCTGACAGCGGCGACTACCGCGGCCGCTCGCAGATGAATTGTGTGTGACTGGTCTTGGGCAAAAGACCCATCGAGATACCGATGTCCGATACAAAGACACCCGTGCTCATACGCGTGGAGGCTGAGACCAGCTAGGGTCAAGGGCAGGAACTGCAACATCGAGAGATACAAAAGAGGGAGTGGAGGCGGAGGAGGGACGGGCAGGGCCTGGGGGGGTAGACGAGGCCGAAGGTGATATGGTACGAAGCGGCATACCAGGATCTTGACGTACCTCTTGTGAGTATGAAGCGGATGGGAGGTACGCAAAGCGGATGTAATTGGATAGGCTCCCGCATAGACGAGCCGGGTCCAGACATGATGCGGCCGAAAAGTCAACATCCACCTGGCCAGTATCCGACTGCTATCATACCGGTACTGACCACAAAGCTCCTACTAGGGCTACTCCTCGCCTCGTCAACTCTCCCGTTTCTCCTCTTCCTGTTCCCCTCATCTTCATAGCAAAGTGGAGAAATATGATAATCAGATGTTATTAACTATATGGTGCAGAAAGGAGGGACGTGAGGGCCGGTCGGGTTACCGTCACATTTCGAGGAGACAGGAAGAAGGATAAGACGCCACAACGGTGAGTTGTTAAACAGACGAGCTCAGGAGAGGGAGAGACATGGCGCTATGAGGGATAGAGGGATGAACAGAGGGAGATTGAGGTTATCAAGACGATGTCTGCTCACCATGTCACTGAAAAATTTGTCCAAGCAAGCATTTCGGAAGGATAGGTATTGAAGCGTAACAAGTACCTTATCACCTACCCGCACGGATACACATAGAATTACATCTCGAGAGGCGAACCAGGAACTGGGTCCGCGTAGCTCGGTACTAGTGGGCGAGAGACACGGCCGGCTGATGAGGAAAGTGGACAAGAGAGGGACAGGAAAGACAGAGACAAAGGCGGAAGCGGAGGAATGCCACGGTTGGTCACTGCGGACGAAAAGGGAACCGAACAATATAGCGCGCAGCCCAGTCGGGTGATCCCCGTCCAAGGTCAAATCATGGCCTCGAGAGCCAGGCTTGGCTGAGACAATTGCGTCTGCCCATAGATGATGGTGCATGTCTCTGGCGCCTGAAGGCTCAGCAGGGAAGAGGGGATTTTGTCGATGGGCCGGACCCCTGTTGTTTGTCGTGGAGCGGCACTGGGGAGATGCAGCTATGCTGCTCTGCAGCCGCTGTCAACGCTTTGCCGGCCGCCATGGGCACCACCAATTGCCTGTCCGTCTTCAATGCGCACGCCTGCAGTGCCCGGCGACTCTGCACCAACCGAGACACTGACCTGTCTGCTCTGTCCGTCCCATGCCATTGGGAAGGGGTTCGAAAGCGGAGGGAGTCGAAAAAAGGTACCACCCCACAGCCGTACGCACACGCCCCGGGAAAAAGCGCAGACTGTGAGGGGAGGTACTTCGTGCTCGTGCGACTCGAGACTCGAAGCGTGCAGAATTATGCAGCGCCCTCCATGATGGCATGGCAGATCCACTACCCCGGTAACCCACGGCGGCGGATGCGGATGAAAGTGGTAGGTGGTGCAGCGAGGCGGCCGCAGTGATTGGCCGCAGAGCTGGCGATGGAGATATGCCGGTGATGCTGCTCGCTGCTGGTGGTGGCTGCTGTGGCGGCTGCTGTGGTGGCAGCGCATGCTGGTGTTAGTGGTGGTGCTGGGACGTTTGCCTCGTGTCGAGGATGATTTGAGATACTGTTTGTATCTCTTCACGAGTCGAAGACGGCGGAAGTGGGATGAAGACGAAGGCGAAGGTCAAGGTGAAGAGAGACAAGAGGAGTGGCAATGGAAATGGACACCTGAGGCCCCTCGAGGAACTTTTTTCCCCCTTCCAGTTCTGGACCTTGATGGCCGTGGAAGGTGCGCCGAAACAGGCAGTACCTCTACCTCTACCGGGCAGATTCTGCCAATTGTGCGCGGAAGGAAGCTTCAACAACAGCGACTTCCTGTTTCTTTTCTGCCGCTTTTGCCCTGTTTTGCCATGGCCTCCTCTGTCCACACCGCCCTCACGGCTGTCTCTGGGTGATCTTACTTCCACCAAATCACATCGCGGCTTCAGCCTGCACATCACCAAAGCTTGGGCCGTCTGCTCCCCTCGGGCCTCACCAATCCGCTGCTTGCGCCACAGCACACAGCGGATGCCTGTCCGGCTGATCCCAGACCCGTCCGCTTGGGGTGCATCATGACTCCCCGTCCCCGCCAGGGCAGCTGGGGAATGACGATAATAACACAAGGAAATTACCAAGCGCCGGTGAGCTGGGCTCGTGCGCTCTCTGCCGCCCTTCGACGCTCCGCGAGGGCTTCGTTCTGATGTGATATGTTACAGGCATCGTGCAAGAGACGCCCAGATGACAGCATCAACTGAGCTAGTCGAGCAAGTGCTTGATAGTGCAGTTCAGCATCGCGCCTTTTGCCATCGATCACGATATCCTTGCTTCCAGATTCATCATGCCGTCACTTACAGCGTCGACCAACCAGCCGCCCTCCCACCCTCGCTCCGACTGTCAATTGGGTATAATCCAGAGGGCGAATCGGGTCTCCTATTGGCAAGCCGCTGCACGCCATGCACGCATACCACGTATGCTACGTCTTTATCTCTCCGGGGTAAAGCTAGCCGAGGAGACGGTGGCAAAGGGAAGCACACAAATCGAGAGCTCGCGGCACAGCTATGCAGAGCTGCCGACCTATCAGTGGAGTCCAGCGCGTGATGTGCTCGGAATACTACCTTGCCATTCGTGTTCTCTGTGTGTATGGCCCTATATAGCACCGTTTCCGCCAGCTTCGTCTTCCTCGCAGCCCAATCGCCGAATCCCAAATCCCTATCATACTCCCCTCGACTCGCCTTTTCTCCTCGCTCTTGCGCCAGCGACCTCTCCAGCTCAATCTTTTGGGTATCATTTTACAAGGTTCCCGGCTAAAGCGGACTGATCGGCAATCTCGTCAAAATGTCCGGATCTGCATCTGCTCTCGGAAAACTCATCCAGACCTCCTCCCCCGTCAATGGTGTCAGGGTCATCACTTTCAACAGACCTCAGAAGCGCAATGCCCTCTCCACGGAGCTATTGGCTGAGTTTCTCACGGAGCTCTCCGCTGCTTCTAAAGATGCGGCAGTCAAGGTCATTGTACTCGCTGGCTCTGGGGGGTTCTTTTGCGGTGAGTTCCAACTTTGATGATGCCACGACAACTGTAGGCCTATGAGAGGCATGAGACCTGTTATTACCTCTTGTTCTCTGTCTTTCTATTTGGCCCCTCGCCCCTCTCCCATGTGATTCAGGGACCCGCTGGAGATGAACCCCAGCTGATGATTACCGGGGCCCCTGGCCTCTGCATAATAGCCGGCGCTGATCTCCAGGATATCGCCGCGCTGGACGCGGCTGGTGCCCGATCCTGTCGATATCTCGAGGACCTCTGCCATGGCATGGCGTCTGTACGCAAGCCACTTCTGGCAGCTGTTGAAGGACCTGCAGTACGCATGACACCCCGCCAAAAAAATTTCCTTGACCCTCCACATATCTGAAGACATGCTGATATACGATGGTTCTTTTGGTGGAGCAGCTTGGGGGTGGGTTCGAGGTCGCCCTCATGGTGAGTAGCATTGCATTTTTTTTTTCTGCTGTATGCTCTTCGTTTGCATGTGAAAATCTACGTCGGACACCACTCGGCCTTCCTATCTCAGTGTTTACGCCGGCACCCTCACAACCTTCTGCGTCGTTTCTAAACATACAGATATGCATAGCATTACGAGTATCTGGATTCAGCCAATGGGCATGATTTGCAATGCTAACCTATGAGCGTCTGCAGTGTGATTTGATATTCGCATCCCAGACACGGACTTATTTTGCATTGCCCGAAGTCAAGCGCGGGCTGATTCCGGGAGCCGGAGGAACCCAGCGCCTCACGGCGGCGCTCGGCAAGTTCAAGGTATGACTTCACCAGCATCTTTAAAAGATTTCTCATCCATTCAGTTTTCTTTTCTTCTTATCTTGCTTTTCTTTGGTGTGGTTCCTGTTTCATCGCAGAACTCGTGGTACTTTTGCTGCCACGCAGGATAATACCTCGAGTGTGGTATGCCGGAACTATTGTCGTCAACCTTGGCCGAACCGGGCACGTTCATGTGTTTGACCTATGCAACACCGCTCACATCAACACAGGCGATGCGGACGATTCTCCTGGGCAAGCCCATCACTGCCGAGGAAGGGCTTTCACATGGCCTTGTTTGCGAACTGTTTGAGGACGGAACCGTCCTTGACAATACTGTCAAAGTGGCCGCCGACCTGGCCGCCAATGCAACCGAAGCGATGCAGCTTGCTAAAGAGGCCATTTGTCGAGGTGAGAAACGTCCTGACTATCTCTCGAACTTTTGTCATGATCATCATCTTTGTTATCGCTGACGCAACGCTCTGTCTTGTTTCTCCATCAATAGCTGATAGCCTTGGGCGTGATGACGAGTTCGAAAGGACTCTCTACTACGTTACTTTCGGCACCGAAGAAAAGAAGAAAGGTGTCAATGGATTCCTCAAGAAGCCTTAGGCTTTTCGTGGAAATCTCGTCTATGGTCGATCAAGGGCTTTGTTCGTCTCAAAGACCCGATGAACACCGGAGAGCCCAAGTACACATGATGTGCTCGGGAGGATTAGCACACAAAGTCAAGCCATTCTGTTCCCAATATGACATATGTTTTATGCAAAAGAAGCCCGAATATACGCTAGGGGTTTATATCCTTTCAAAGTGCGCTCATAGCTTGTCCCTGCGTCTTTGGTGTTTAATGCTGTTTGATATACCCTTTGTACTACCACCTCTACTTTTCTATCAAGCATGGGTGCCCGCGGTGCGACAATACCTCAGCCTAAGCGTATACTCAGCTTCTTGGCTTCTACTTCACATATGGATATTGCCATTTCACTGTTTGTTCAAAGACTCACGTGGTATCCTATAGTGTCGTCGACGGAAAATATCCCGATGGTTCACACCTTTTGCCGGAGTGAGGCAACACTGAGGCGACTCTGCAAACACTTCAGAGCAAAGAAGCACCCCACAGTAAGTGAGACTCTCGTATACCGACAAATGACAACGAAGCTTTCTCTCCATGAGTACTGATGTGTTTCACTCCCGGTTTGTAGCTACATACTAGTGATCGTACCGGGCCATGGCAGACGGCAAAAGACGGCATGGCAGGTTCCCGCAGCACGAGTCGAGACGGCGATACATCCATCGGGCCATGTGCCGGATGGCTCTGGAGAACAGGTCCAAGAAAAGCCTACAGTGTGCTGCTGCCGGTGTGCCGGTGAGTTGAGGCCCGAGACACGCATCTGCAACCCGCAGCGAGAATGGCGAGCGACATATTTGACAGACTCTCGCGTATATGCCACGACGTCCTACAGATGGCAACTTACAGCACACAGCCATAAGTGGCATTTAGGCAGCACGAGGATGTGGTGTGGACCAGATGCCCCGATGAGCAGATTGGCTATGAGATTGTACCACCATCCATCTCAACTCACGCACCCAACAAGAACCTGGTACACGACAGCTTGCTCCAATGGCCATCAGGCTCACTACATCCTGCCCACACTGAATGCTGGGCGAGACATGCAGATCACATGATAGTGCGACACCGCATCTGTGTCTATCATTTTGTGGCTGCTGTATGTATTAGCCTGCCGCATCTGCATCGCTGCAGGTCGGACATGGCAAGGCCTGGGTTCTATATTTGTTAGCCTTGTTACCACAAGAGCCTTCCAAGCCCAAATCTGGAGACCGGAAGCCACAGGGTCTTCCCCGTACGGAGCCTTGACGGCTCTAGACATCGTACCACGGCCACATTCCTCCGCCGCCCTTGATCTGAGACAGTTGACCCAGACACCACCTCCCGGCCGTCAGTTGAGCGGCCAACCTGCACATGTCACTGCTGGCATCCCTTCTACACCCTCTCCCGCGCTTCTCTGGCTATTGTGTACCAATCTACCCCCTCCCCTTGCCACCACGATCCACCTTATCCCGGGGATGGTCGTTCCGCATGGGCAGCCCAAGCAGCCCACCATGAGGAGAATTTGGTCCCCGAACCAGATCAGCGCGGCAAATGCGCCTCAGACACATCACATTCCCGCACCATGATTTGCTAAGACACTCGAAATTGCCCACGAGCACTCTGGAGGGCAAGTATTGCTCGCACTACCACTACTACCACTCGTCACCCCCCAGTGGGTGGCACACCCTTCAGGGGTTGATCCCCGATGTTTGCATCCCATGATTAGTGCTACCAGGAACTTGGGAATTGTTCCGTTCCTTTGTCCGGCGGGATATCACGACGACATGTGCACGCTTGGTCGCCTTTTGGGCCGCGGAGCTGAGACGATTCCGTACACCTGGTATTGGGGATATCGCTTGTGATAGCAAGCGACGCCGTCGACTGCTAGTGATGCAGGAGCCTGACTAGATGCATCTGCAACTTGTTGAAGCAACGAAATGCCGGCAGCAACACAGCCCTGGATGGGCATCAGGTATCATGCCAAGCAAACAATGATACAGATGGTCCCCATGCCGGAAGCTTTTACGCAAAGTACCGGAAGCACAGGGGGGTTTTGCTCACTAGGGATCCTCCTCTACGCTGCTTGAACCCCCCCTCTCGAGGCAATGCAAGCGAGATTCTTTTCCCTTCTCCGTCGTTCTTTGGGTTGAGAGAGCGTGCAGATGAAGAACATCAGGTGATTATTTTTTTTTCCTTGCCCGTGAGCGACTGGCTTCTGGAATTTGACTGAGACAAATAGACAAGGGCGGCTTTTTGCTGGGATCTCGCGATTCGGAGCGCGAGCCGCCTTTTTCGGCCGCACCTGGTTTCATGGCAAAGGTGATGAATCTTGCGTGATGCCTACCTACATCGCGAAGATGACGAGACACCCTATAGCTTGCGGATACGGCTTGTATGCCAGCGTACTCATGAAGGAAGCAGTATTTGATTGGTATGTATGAATGCTTCTCGGATTGTCGAAACCCACAGATCCTGACGGTTGCGATATACCATGCAATGAGTGACTGTTGGATTGTCATGATAGACTTAAACATATCTCTTCTCATTTAAGCCCATAGCCTAGCTACGATGCCACCCTATCCCTTTCCCCCTTTTACCAGAAGATCCTTTTACCAAGCCTCCGGTCCGCCACCAATACCACCCCCGGGAGTCACTCCGTATATCGAAGCCAAGAAGTCCAAAAAACCCGGCTCAGCATCCGGCACGGCACAGCGACGCTAAACAAGTCACGGCCGCAAGGGAAACGGCGTGCTTGTTAGACCAAATCTACATAACATTGCATCTGATACATCATATCAAGGGCGGGTTTTTGCACCTTTCTTTTTCTTGCTCTGTGAAAAAGCTTCCGGAACTTTTCTTTTTCTTACGCGGTGGAGACATGTGTGGTCCGTCCTTTGACACATTACCATCCCTTGGGATGGCATGTTGGGGGAGAACAACGCTTATACGAGTACGCTCCTTGGTTCTGGGATCTTGTTTTTCTTTTCCCGTCATGGTTGGTTGAATTATTTGCCTCCCTTTGGCAGGGTCGTCTTTAGCTTCATGTTGGGGAAATGAAAGCTTTTCTAGATTTCATGGAAGGACTTGGGTTCCCGTATGCTGGTATGTGGCGAGGTCGCAGAGCACAGAGCTTTTGTGTCTCGCAAGTATGATGGAAGGCGAAGCCCCAAGGAAAACAAGAGTGAAGGACAATCATCATGCATTTCGCTAATAGCGGCCCCGTCCGTGTGTAGGCACCTACGGAGCAGATTTCCTGTCAAGTTCTCCATCTCACAGCTCCCAGGCTACTTTGAACTACTATCTCTTGCCCCCCTTTCTTTTTCTTGTGTTTTTTTTTTTTTTTTTTTTTTTTTTTTTTTTTTTTTTTTTTTTTACTTTTTCTTGGCTTGTGTGCACGGATAGAAAGACGAATAAGAGGATGTTTCCGGGGAATTTAAAGTGCCTGCATTGCAATTCTCCCTTCTTTGTCGATCGTTTCTGTGGAGGGGATGGGAGGGGGATCCATGGCCGCGGCACGGGGACGAGATTCTTCTCTGCTTGCTTTTTCTTTCCTTTTTTTTTTTTTTTCCGGAGGGAGTGAATGGTCCGAGAACTTGGATGCAGATGAATTGGGGATGGCTTGGGTTGTCTTGGTTATGAAGTCGTTGGGGTCTGTGGCGGCACCAGTTGTGATGCCGTCTTACTTACCCTGGAGTGTAGTGTTTGCAACATATGGGAGCTTAAGAAGTCGCTCAAGAGTGTGTAGATTTGATGTCTTTCATAAGGTCATAGAGACTACTGTCTGAGCAGTGAATATGAGATGTTGTCACTGCAGCCATAGGCCAAATTCTCTGTTATACTCCTTCGTGAATACCTCTTTTGCGATCAAGGCGGTTCGGATCCCGTGCCTTGGTGATTTCTTCACTCACCATGTCATATTCAAGCTGATTGCTCTCTTGTCATCTTTATATGAGGCCGCCATTTCCACTCCTCTCGGTATACCTTGTCCAATGATCTACTCGAGGCGAATCTCATCTCATCGTGCCTTGACGCGTACATCTCGACAGGGATACTACCTTACCTCTTGCAAGGCTTCTAGCCAATACCCCACGTTTTCCCCCACCAACCTTTTTTCCCCAACATCATCTCGTCACATCCACATGTCAGCACTCTATTCGACTACACGCACAACACCTTGAACGCAATAAAGGCTTCAATTTCTTCATCTTTTTCTTTTATTTTCATATACTTCTCTAAACAGGCTATAAACGCATTCGAAAAATGGCATCGCAACGGAAAGCCCTGCGCGACTGGCTCTACCTCTTCATCATCAGCACCCAGCTCTTTAGCATGCTAGGTCCGTAAAACCTCAGCCTCACCCTCTTTTACATGATATCCTCTTCAAACTGACAAGACATGTAACACACAAAAAAACAGCCCTCGACCTCGTCGCCTTCTACCCAAAAGCCCTCTACCAACCCCCCTCCTCCCCGCTCCACTTCCTCCTCGCCCTCCGCAAGTTCTACGTCTCCTCCACCGGCGACCCCTTCTTCTCCGCCCAAAAGCAGCAGCAGCAGCCCTGGTTCGAAATCTTCCTCTACATCGAAGCCCTCGTCCAGCTCCCCCTCGCAGCCTACCTCGTCTCCCAGCTGTCCTCCAAGAAGCCGACTTCCGGCCCGGCGGAACTCGCCGGGCTGGCGTTTGGCTGCGTCACCTTCATGGGTGCTGCGGCGTGCTGCTTTGAGCTGTGGCACATGGGCGAGGACGTGCTGAGCGCGCAGAAGAAGGGGGCGTTGCTGTACGGGACGTATCTCCCGTTTGCTGTCATCCGTAAGTTCTTTTTGTTCTTTGTCCCATCTTTTCCTTTTCGTTCGTTCTGCTTGTCGAGAGTGAGGCTAAGAGTGTGGATTTGTGTAGCTGCTTTGCTGGCTGTGGACATGTATCTGCGGCTGCTGCCTCGGGTGCAACAATCTGATGCCAAGGCAAAGACGCAGTAATGATGCTCCAAAGACTTCAGCTTATTTGAATCTTTGGCAGGATAATACTTTGCAAAAGATGGAGGACAAACACAGAGTCAGAACAGGAATACATCGCATTGGAAGCCAAACCGAGGAGTTGATCAAGCCTCCCCCCTTTTCTCTAACGCGAAAGCCACCCAAACTCCAGTCACCCGGTCACCTCTTACAAGTACATGCCCATATCCGTACACACAAATTTCAAGAAAGACCCTAGTCCTTCCTCTTGGAGTATCCCCAGCCATTGCCCACTCCGTATCCCAGAGGCGTAGCTCCGCCCATGGACCGTCCCTTGAGCCTCCTCGGCAGAATGACGCCCATGGTGTACATGCCGGCCACCAGCATGCCGGCGATAAACGAGACGAGGCTGTAGAAGACGGTGCTGGCGTAAATGTGCCCGCCCAAGCCCTGCCACTCCACCTTGCCCTCCGTCTTGGGCAGCATCGGCGTCGGGAACCAGCGCACGGAGAAGCTCAGCGGCAGCGGGTCGCCAATGACGAGCTTCTTGGTGAAGGACCCCGTCATGTGGCTCAGCGGGCTGGTGCTGTACGAGACGGCCGAGTCCAGCACGCCGCTGTCGTGGTGGTGCGGGTGGTGCTTGGGCATGCTGTGCAGCAGCACGTTCATGTGGGTGCTGATGTGCATGTGGCTCAGCTGCAGGGTGCCGGCGAGGGCGAAGATGAGGGGGATGTACTCCTGCTCGGGCAGCTTCTCGCCGACGACCTCGACGTGGGCGGGCGGGCGGGCGGGCAGGCGGCAGGACAGGGGCGCGTCGCTGTGGATGTAGAACTCGAGCAGGTGGAAGAAGGGGTCGGTGATGAGGGGGATGGTGCAGTTGAGCTCGCCCTCGACGCCGTACTGGAACTGCAGCGGCTCGCCCGTCTCGTTGCAGGTCGGGAAGGGGATCCATTGCAGCTGGTGGTTGGCCAGCTCGACGTGTTCGCCCGTGTCACTTCAAGGAGTCAGCGAGGGGCTTCTCTTGTCTTTGTCGTCCACCGCTTGTCGTGAGGCCATCGCCACATGTAGAAGCGCGCAATTCTCTGGGTCTGTAGCTATAGCAGGGGGAAACTCACGAGCTTCGGTTCATGCACTCGACGTGGATCGGGGCGCCATAGTGGTATGAGGGCAGCGTGCCCGGCAGGTTGGCCGCGGCAAGCGACGTCAGGCCGCCGACGAGCGTCGCGACCACGGCAAAGAGCATGGCGACGGAGGTTTGAAGCGATCGAGGCGAGGTCGAGGTGAAGATGGGAGATGTGGGACGACAATCTCCCTCTGTGATCCCCCCTCCCTGACTATGTCTCGTCGTCACTTCTCGTGTTCGTTCTTCGGATCAATCACCAAGCCCGCCAGTTCAAATCACGCTGCGATCCATCTGCGACGTGGCCAGAGTGCGACGGACGGGAGATGCTGCAACTCGATGTAATTGATGCGTGGCCACACAGAGATAAGACAAGCTGCAACTGCGACACCAAAATACTACAACAGCGAAGAATGCGCCAAGTCAACTTCAGCGCTGCGCCACAGTTTTCTGCTGTGGCTGGTGCACATGAGTTCCATCGTCTCACATGCAAATATCCTACAAACACCATGACGACCATCACAACTACAGAATAGGGTACTTTTAGCTGCCATTGATGTGGGTGGCTAGACTGCCCTCACTTACTCACAGTCGCCGTCATGGTAATCACCCGCCACCCAATGCTCCAGCCGTGCCCCCCATACTTGTCCTCGAGATGCCTCTTGACCAGCCCCCTGACCTCATCCACCGAATGCTTTTCCCTCACCTCGTCGCTCCAGAAAGTGTTCATCATCCACGGCACCATCATCGAAAACGTCGCCATGAACTCGTCCGCGCTCGCAAACCTGTACCTGCTGCCGCTCTCCCTTACGGACACGTTCGTCAGCCCCAGGTCCCGCGCGAGATGCGTCTCGACCCAGGCGGCGTCGTCCCAGTGGCCCGAGTGGTGCATCTGCATGGGGATCGCCGGCAGCGGCGGCGCGTCAAAGGGGAGGGACTCGAGGGCGGTGCGCATGTCGGGGATCCAGAACATGTCGGCGTTGGCCTTGGGCCATGTCGAGGCGCCAAAGGTGCCGCCTGGCTTGAGGATCCTGATGCAGTCTGGGGGGCTTGGTAAGTATACCCGTGTCCGGTGTCTTTTCATGGAGTGATGCTGGTATGATTACCTTTGACGACGGCGTCTGGGTCGGGGGTGAGATGCAGTGCCAGAGCAACACCCACATGGCTGAAAGTGTTGTCCGGGAGCCCAGTGTTCTGGATATCAAATCACAACACCAATCAGCCACAGCAAGGAAGCAAGTAGTATAGTATATGAATAAGTATACACTCACCATGGCATCAAGAACCCTTGCCTCGGTATTCACCCACTTCTCATCCACAATCCTCCTCTTGACCAAATCCACCATTCCCACCGCATTGTCCGCGCAGGTAAACGAGCTCGCTGCGAGAACCTCATCCGACAGCGCGGCCTGCACCTCCTGCGTCAGCACGCCCGATCCGCACGCGCTGTCCAGCAGGACGACCGGCTCGGCGACTGTCTTGTAAAAGCCCATGTGGTTGACGAGCGGCTCGACGATGATCTTCATGATGCCGTGCGAGAGCCGGATGAAGTCCTGCTCGAACGAGTCTTGCGCCTGGGCCGCGTCTTTGAGGTGCTCCGACATGGACTTTGCCATGGCTTCGACGTCGTTTCCGGAAGTCATTTCGGTGAATGAGGATGTCAGATAATACTGGGTGGAATGATGAGAGAAAATCCTTTTTTTGTTTCCTTTACTGTACCGAATTCATGAGATATCTAGGCACGTCTCTCTCATATACTCTCGCGCAAGTGTCCGAGAAGTCGCCGTGTGTTACAATCTCGTGCTTTGTTTCCTCCCTGTTTGCAGTCCAACGTCTTACAGAACCTCACACAACTCACCCAAATCACATCACAACACCACGGGGTTTGAAGCCAAATGAGAAATTTGTTTCACTGATACTGGAAAAGAAATCACTGCAGCCATATCCGCCATCCATCCACCTTCCCCCCCGCCGCCACCCTGCCTCCCATCCTCATCCAGCACAGCGAAACAAATTCGCATGTCCCAACGCAGGGGATGAGTTTCAAGACCGATGCATAACCGCCTCAACCTGAAGCCATCGTCGGCTTCTTCTTCTTTCTCATCCTATACATGAAGCCATTAACCAGTATGTTTGTGGTGGGACTTTGGCTGTCCAGCCTACGGGAGACCTGGCGGACATGCTTCAAAGCCCCCAAAAGTACCCCCCCCCCCCCCCCCCCCCCCCCCACTTTCAAGCGAACAAATGCCCAGTACAACAATTAATGTTCTCAGCCCCATCTCGCAAAACGTTCCGAAGACGGTGTCGCTACCAAGCCTCGGTCGGGGGAGGGAGGGTTATATATATATAAACGTGAATGTTGTTCGGTTCGATCGTGCCGACTTGCTCAGGGCAAAAGAGGATCGGAGCCGAAAAAAGTGGGTGGGGGCCGGCGGAGACGGACGAGGTGCCGGCCAGGAACGTAAGGGATTTCGGCATCAGCCAGTCAGAGAGAAGTGACTTGAACTGATGCCTCCGTGAAAATTATAAGATGTTGTATAGTTGCATCCTCGAATGCGGGTATATCGTAAACAGGAAAGTTGGTGGAAATATTGCTCCAATGCTGGGAGGTAGCTCTCCCTGAACACAAAAAGGCATGCAGTATAGTGATAAGCGTTATAAGGTAGTATCAAAGAAAATGAATGTAAAGGTCCAGTCCAGCTGGCCCCGAGACTCCTAAGAAAGAACAACACATTCCATCCTCTGCTCCAAACAAACAATAGCAAGAGCCCCAAGACAAGAAAAGAACATACAACACGCAAAAGAAAAAAAGCGTAATTCCAACGTCCCTCCCCCCTCGTCTTATACTCGCAAACCCGTACCTGATCCCTCACCTTACCTAACCCTTCCTCCCATCCATCCATCCATCCCCCTCCCCATATCCACAAACAGATGCGGATAGCAGTAACGAACTTTCCTACCTAACGCAAAAAGCTACATATGCAAGCTGAACTCTTCAACGCAACAGAAAAAAACCCCTGTCAGAAATGTAGGTACCTGCAGCTTGGCCGACTCAAGCCATGCCACGTAAACACCCCCATCATCCCAAAATGGGTAAACAAGACGCTTACACAGCACAAACGACTCCTCCTCGTCTGCATCCACGCCCCAAAACAGGTTACATACATGATATCGTTTACGGCAAAAAGTGACGGATTCTCCAGGAATCAAAGAGAGATAACTGGAGATGAATACTTGTACACTTAGTAACGAGGCGGTCTGAGTTCCTCCGTTGCTGCATTACACGTGAACTACTGTAGGCCTTTTGCTACAGCCGGGAATCCCCTCTCCTTTGCAAGCATGATCCCCCCCATTCTACCTAAGGTACGAACAGCCAGCAACGCTTGCAAAGATCCGCCTCACCGGAAAACGACATCCCCGTACTCCATACAGACGAAGCTTCCCACTTTCCCCTAATTCGCTCTCTCACGACTCCCCAGGTGACCCAATCGACGCCTGAACCTCCCTTCAAGACGCGCCTCCGTCGTGTCCTACTGGTCATATTCTTTCGTCTCCCTCGTCATGCTGGTCCTGAATTGGACTGAAATTCCTCCCTTGGGCAACTTCACATCTCGTCTGTTCAACCAACCAAACAGACGCTGCATAAGCCACACCAACATGGCATCCGATAGAGTCCAGGCATACTACTTCTTTCATCACACGTTAGGTATCAGAGGGAAATATCCACGCTCTTTGAATACCCTCGCATACAAACATTTCTACATGTGTACCACAAAAGAAGCCTTTACCTACCTTACCTAGAATAGGTACCCAAATGCATCGAAGCTGTGGTCTGCAAACCTTTACGTACCTTATCCACGCCTATCCGCATACTCCTATGATACGTACGGCCCTTGCCATGAGTATTTTTGTGTGTGTTTGCTTCGTGTTGGTTGTTGTTGCTGTTCTCTTTCTTGCTCTCTTTCTTTCTTATACAAATAATTCATCAAAGACTTGGACCCCCCCTTCGCCCGTTTTCCACAAAACCAGAAGTTGCATATGTCGTTTCTTCCCTTCCCTTCGTCTTCCATTTCCTCCTCTCCCCGGTTTCCATCCACCTTTGTTTGCTGTTTTGTGCTTTTATTTCTTCTCTTCTTTGGACGTGGCTTGGAACCAGGACACCAAGACACCTGGAATGATAAAGAGAAAAAAAAATAACAGGACACAATGATTACCATCTTCCCTCTCCCTTCCTCCAACGTAGCTACATAAACAAACAGAGTATAAGAAATTAGAAGATGAAAACGAAAAAGAAAAAAAAAAAAAAGTCCACCGGGTCCGCTCTCACATCTCGCATCTCGCATCTCACATAAACCTCATGCTCGCCGTCGGCAACCGCTCCACCAGCCCGGCCACCTCTCTCCGCAGCATCCTCAGCACCCGTCGCACGTCCGCCAGATCCGCGCCGCCGTTGTTATAGCCCTGGCCCGGCAGCGGCAGAGCTGCCTCGCAACGCTGCAGGAGGTCGCTGACCGAAGGCCCGAGCGAGCCTCCCTTGGCCACGTCGCCGTACTTCGGCCACCCAATCGCTGACCACGTAGACGATGATCTCGATGACGCGGTTGCGCACCATGCCGCTAAAGCCATAGTCCTGCGTGTCGAATATGCTCTCCAGCACGCGCACAATCATGTCATGCGACACGCCCAGCGACAGGAAGAGCTGCACCGGCCACGTAGGGTCGGCGCCAATCGTCGCGTCTTGCTGGCAGGTCACGGCGTACCGGCAGAGCTGTGGCAGAAGCGTCTGGATCGGAAAGACGAAGCTGTCGAGCGATGTGTGGTGAGCAATGTTCTGAATCTTGCTCGTCAGGGCCTCGTATGGCATGGGCGGTGGTTGCATGCCCGCGTCTGCCGCCTCGTGCCGCGCCATGACCTCGTCGTGTGTCTGCTGGATCAGGTTCTCCCATGTCGCCGAGATGGTCGTCGGGTTGCGGTAGTTTGCCGTGTGGTAGATCAGCAGGCACAGATCGTAGTATCCGGCCTGATCGGCGTAGTCGTTGAAGAGCTGCAGAAGAGCACTCGTTAGCATATGGAGACAAAAGATAGATTCTGAAGAAACACTCGACGCATTTCTGAAGTAAATGCTCATCCGCGTTCCTTACCTCTGACAGACTGATGATCCTGCCATCGAGAGCCTTTTCAATCTCAACCTTTCTCTCTGCGTCAATCCTGTCGTCCGCCATCAAGCGGCCTAAAAGATCATCCTGGATGTTGGCCACCTCGAGCAGATCCGTCACCTCGTGGTTGAGCCTCTGCTGCTGTTGCCGGCTGATGCCGACGGTTGCTACGTTGGCATTGGCCTTTGCCAAGCTGAGCAGCCGCAGCCTGTCCTTGATGCCAAGCGGAACGTCGGAGCTCGCCAGCTCAGCCTGAACTTCGGCCGCGTCGAAGAAGCGGCTTCGATTGGTGTAGAAGCGGCACAGGAGGTCGGCATGCTCCACATTCGTGCTCGCCAGCCGCTGCAGGAAGGTTACAACGTGCGGAGAGTCGATGCCCAGTATCCGTTCGGTCCACCCCTGCTCAATGTACCACTCGTACAAGTCAAAGTGGAACACTTCGTCGTCAGACCCGTTGACGACCTCGTACGCCTCGATTCTCTTCGTCGCGATGAGCGTCGGCCGTCCATCAACCGTGAGCGGCTCGAGGCTGGCGGCGGCGTCCAGCTGCCGCAGAACCTCGTGCACAAGGTCGTAGACTCGCCTCCTCTCGTTGAAGGCGTTAGCGCGGGGATCTCCCGAAGGCTTGCCGTCGTTGATCCACGACAAGGCAGCGTTGCCTCTGTCCTTCTCCCGGGCAACGTAGAGACACAGCTGCACCGCGCCAGCATAGTACTTCAGGTCAATGTACTGGGCCACAGCATTCTGCAGGTTCCCAAACGTCAGGCTGCCAGCTACTTTCTGGAAAAGTGTCAAACTCTCGTTGAGGAGGATCCTGGACTGGTTGGTGTTGAGGGGCTGCTCCGAGGCTCTCTTGAGCGACTCCTGGGCCTTGAAGATGACTACATCATCTGGGCTGCAGAAGCTGCCGCACCTCCGCCTCAGCGCATCCGCCACCGTCTCAACGTTCGAGCCGCTCTCAATGTTGCGGTTGACAATGGCCTTGACCAGCAGCTTGGCCAGGTCCCTGCCGTCCGCCTGCGAAAACAGCTTCTCATAGGTCAACTCCTTGAGGTGCTGCCGAGACGTGTCATCCAGTCTGGCGTAAATGTCCGACACACGCTCGTCGAACAGCATTAGCACAAACGAGATGCCCTCCGAGATGCTCTCCATCAGCTTCTGCAGGGCATGCAGCGCCTGGTGTTCAGCCTGCAATGCCACCTCTTCCTGTCTGCTGGAAACTCGCTGCAAGTCCGAAGGGCCTGACATTCCCTGGATGAGGCCCTTGTTCGAATCGATGAATCTCCTGAGACGCTCAAGGTTCTCCTGCGTGGCCATGAGCTTGGACTGGGGGATCGTTGAGGAAACGGAAATCGTCCCGTTGGGCGCAACGGTTGACTTGATTACGGGGGCTTTCCAGAGCTTTCGGATCAGTCTCGACAGGTAGAGCGCCAGTGCATCGTGCCGGGACGATAGCTTGATTGAATCGATCGTGAGTGATGTCGGATCTGTCTCTGCTACTGTAGGTTGGCCGCCAAAGTCGACGAATAACGCCCTTGCTCGGTCCACCGTTACTTGGTCAATGGCCTTGACGGACCCTGGTCTAGAGTCTCCGCCGTGACCACAGGCCACTGCCAGAGCTGTCGAGACCGTCTCCACGCGGCCATAGAGAGAAATGAGACGACGGCACATGAGATCCAAAGCCTCGTCTCCCGGCGCATCCCGGATGGCTGCCGCAAAGGTATCCACCAACCGCCGCCTTCGGATGACGTGGACGCCCGTATTGGTGAGAACGGCGAATTCGCTGGGTGGTTCGTCGAATTGGACGGCAAGTTCGTTGCCGAACCCAATCGGCTGGCTAGCAGCCGCAAATGGTTTCGTTATCAAACCAACGGCCTCCGCTCGGCTGCCGATGTCGATCCAGCTTGCTTGCTCAAAGTATCTCAGGGGGGTGTTGGGCGAGATCCTCTTGATTCTTCCCGTCTCGGGACCAGCCACAAACAGCGAATCACAGTTGGGATCCTCCTTCTTGCTCACAAAGTCTAAGAAAAAGCCGGGTGGGAATCGGGCGCCCTGCCTGCTGGATACCAGCATGGTAGAGTCGAGGTCAACCACGGCCTCTCCCGAAGGTTGCCCGTTCAGCCCAATCTGAGTGGAACGCCGGGCAACCGCCGAAGGAGGGAACTTGATGAACTGAACCTGCATGCTCTGGGGGGCCAGGTTTGCTTGGGAGCCGTATAGGTAAGAAGACGCATTCGTGGCGCTGAAGAAGAGACGGCAGCCAGTGTCCGTCAGTGCCATGAGATGCAGCTTCGAGGCCTCTTGCTTTGAGATGGGGCTGATGGACACAATGTTGGTTCGGTCGGTCAAGAGCTTGGACTGCGTAATCATGTGCGCAATATCTCGCAGGCAGTGAATCTTTGTCTTCTCAATCACCTTGTTCAGCCGTTCGGGAGTCTCCATGTGATATGTTCGAATCGTCGATGCGCTGGAGAGGGTATAGACCAGCTTTCTCGTGTCGTCGATGACAATGTCCACCAGGTGCTCGGGATCCCTCTGAGGCCAGAGGCCAGCCTGCAAGCTCACGACGGAGGACCAGCCAGGGTTCGAGTGGTTGATCTTACCACACCGACTCGAGAACCACTTTTCTTCAGCCTGGTAGTAAAGCTCGTTGATGTCGACGTCGCTGCACCCGCCAAAGAAGATGCGTCCATCGGCGGAGCCGGTGATGACGCGAATGTCGTTGCCGCGAGTGGGCAGGACCATCTTGGTCTGATACAGAGTGACCGTCTTCGTTCCAGCAGAGGTATCCGCGGCAGACAGGCCGAGCAGGATGATTTCGGATGACGTCGCCACGACCAGGATATGCGTGATCGTGCTGACGAAAATGCCAGGCTTCGGAGGCACGAGCGCAACGGCGTGGATTGTGTGAGGCTGGTCTTCAAAGCCAATGAGCTCGGGGTCGGAATGGGTATAGTCCCAGAGGAAGAGCGAGTTGTCAATCACCACCCAGGCGTGGTTGATCTCAGCAAAGAGGCCCATGAGGGTCTGCAGCTGGCCGGAGTTGTAGTGGTCAAAGACCTGGTTCGGGATCGGGTACATGTTGGTCTTCTGGAAGGGAGCCCAGGCAGAGTCGGCGCCGGGCAGCTCATAGTCGGACGAAGCTCCCTCTGAGCATTGAAAAGCTTGGTTAGTCTACCCCGTCGGCCCAGTCTAGTGATGAACCACCTCAACACTTACGTCTGCAGTAGGAGTCCAGATCGGGAAAGTTCTCGTCGGACTGCAAAAAGGTGTTGATGGCCTTGGCGGCCTTGAGGACGGGCGGCATGTTTTCGACGCGTGGGGGCGGCATTGGGGTCAGCGAAGCCAGGCCTGCCCCCTCTGCGTGTGGCTCCGCCGTCACCGCAGTTGACGCTGTCGTCGCTACCGTGCCATGAGAAGCTGCCGTCGTGGCGACGGACGTCTGAGGATTCTGGGCTTCCGAGCTGAACAGCGTCCGGCGGACGGGGTCGTGCGACGAGGTCTGGTAGCGCGAGACGACGGCCGGCGTGTTGACAAATGCGCCCGGCACGGGGCGCAGCGGCGTGGCTGGAGGGAATGACATGGCGGACAGCTCGAGGGACCGTGCCGTGGCGTGGCAGAAGCTGCGTCAAAGCCCCGGGTGGCCTTGGATCGTGACCTTGACCAGAGCCGCGGAGTGGGAGCAACGCGCTGGTCAGACCATCCAGGACGAGCCGGGCGTGCTGCTGGGGCGGGCGCAAGCGGGAGCTGCGCGTCTGGGTCGGAAGCTCGTTGCCGCGATCGCTAATTGAGTGGCGGCGTCGAGGGCGGGCGGAAGGGACGATGGCGATGGGCGGCCAGAGCAAAAAGATTGAACAAGTTGGATTTATTTTGTAGCACTGCTCTGGGAGGTTGGTACAGCTCTGTATTTTTCGTGCCTGGGCGTGCAAGCGCGCTAATCCGGATCCGGGCTTGGAGCGGTCGCCGAACGGCTTTGAGCCGTTACGTAATCAGTCAACTTTCTGTGATATCACCAGCCAGGCGTGCAGTCTTTACGAGATGTTTGCTTTGTGTACCCCGATGTCATATGGTCTTTGCCTTCATCTCGAGTAGATTGCCAGGAAATCTCTGCTTACATCGTCAAACCTGAGCTCGCTACGTAACACCAGAGACTAATGTCCTTGATACGCTTCATCAGCCCGTGCACGGTCAAAACATGCACTCCGCCCATCACGATTCACCATCCGCTCACTTACTTGGTTTCCTTTCTCGCTGCTCACCTTGACATGTATGTCAACTACCTATTCAGTACCCTCCGGATTTATGTGACAGCGAATTAGTTACTATGTATTCTATCTTCCTCACAAGCAAGTAATATTGTGCCCTTGACCACCATGGGATTCCAGCGCTTCAACATATCGTAGCGCGCCAAGGCTCTCTTGTCAAGCTTGTCAGAGCTAAATCTCCTCTTCCATTAGCTACACCAGTCTTCAAGTGCAGTAACCCTTTATGCTGCCACGCCCCAATGCCGACCTGAAGCCTTTACTGCTTCTTGGCCTCGCGGGCCTGCTTACGAAGAGCGCGCCGGCGAATGTCAACGTGCATCTTCTTGTTGTACCAGATCGTCAAAGGGCTGTTGACGCCCGCGACATTCTCAATCACCCACAGCATGAATGCGTGGCTCCACCATGGTGTGTACGTGTTGGGCGCAGTCTGGTAACCGCCGAGTCCAACCTTGCCCAGCGCAGCCTTGACGAATCCGCGCGGGTTAGGGACAAGCAGGCTGGTGCGGCGAACCTTGCTCATGGCGGTGGTGACGAGATGGCTGAGGACCAGGTAGACATCGACGTTGTAATCGGACAGCTCAGAAGCCAAGGCATTGCTCCACTGCTGGAGGAAAGCCTTGCTGCCGGAGTAGGTCGCCAGGTACGGAGTAGGAGTCCAGCCGCCGAACGAGCCCATGGTGAGGATCAAGCCGCGCTTGCGCTTCTGGAGAATGGGAGCGACAATCTGCGTAACCTTCAATGTTCCAAGGCAGTTGATGGTGACAATGTTCTGCAGCTCCTCCTTGGGCGTTTCCAAGAAGGGCACGGGGATGCTGTGGCTCTGGCCGACGTTGTTGATCAGGATGCCCACGTCCAGGTCCTGGACAAGCTCCCGCAGCCTCTCGTAGTCCGCATCGTTGTCTTGGGCAAAGTCCATGGCAAGCGTCTTGATCTGCAGGCCCTTGCCCGTGAATTTCTGTTCAAGGTCCTTGGCGAGGGCATCGAGCTTCGACTGGGTCCGGGAAACGAGGACGAGGTTGAAGCCCTTGGCGGCGAGCTGCGTGGCGTATTCCTTGCCGAGGCCATCGGAGGCACCGGTGACAACCGCCCAGGTGCCGGGCTTTCCATACTTTCGAAGCTGCCTTGCAAGTCAGTAACACGGCGGGTAACCGCCAATTCAATTGAAACTGGTGGACGCGTGAGGAGGGTCATATCTTACGTTGGTGCCCGGAAGCAGAAACGAGCTCAGGACCAGCTGCAGATAGCTGAAGAACTTGGAGCCGAGGTAAAGAGCGCCAATTCCAGCCAGCGCCAACTGCACGGGCTGCGGCACTTTCTCGAGGAAGCTCGTGATGGACTCCATGATGGCGCGGGTGTCTGCTGTGAAGGATCGAAGGAGGAGGAGAGGGAGGAGATTTTGTTGGGAGCTTGCCTACCGGGTATTAGTGGGCGAGCTCATCGACGCCACTTGGCCAATGGCAAAGTCACAGCAGCTCCCGGTTAGCCATGGACGGCTTAGCCCAAAGGTAAATGACAGGTCCCGGAGGCATGAGGCCACGATGAAATCCATAAGATAATGTGATTACGGGTCCAGTTATTTTGCCATTGAGACTGTTATAGTTCAGAGGGATCAATCTCACTTGGTGCTGCAAATTTTGCAAGATTTACCGGTGATACACGCCTGGTATTACTGCCGCTTGGCTACCACAAATGTACTGAGTTGAGAACAGCCCACCATCTAGTACGGGTACCTCTAAGAAGAACCAACTCCGTCCGGCCGTGACGCAGTTCTGCTCTTCCAACCTCCAGCCCAGATCCTCCCAATTCGTCCGCCATGGACCTCAAGTCGATTCTGCCGCCAGCCAAGGGCATTCTGCCCTACTACATGCTCATCGTACGTTGACCGATCTGCAATCCCCCGCGCAACCGCTGACAAGGTGTTCAACCCCTCCAGCTCTCCGTCGTGTCCATCGGCAACTCCCTCCAGGCATACGCGACGCTGCACTTCTCGCGGCGCGTCTACAACGGCCGCTTCATCCGAAACCCGAAGCTGCCGCCCGCCTCCGCCAAGTTCGACCCCGAGGACTCGCCCAACAAGCTGGTGCACGCCCAGAACGACCCTAAGGCCACCGACCAGCTGACGCCCCTCGCCGGCCGGCTCTTCGGGACGTGGACGCTCATCACCTGCATTGTGCGCTGCTACGCGGCGTACCACCTGGACCTTGGGCCCGTGTACAATATCGCCATCTGGACGTACGTTGTGGCGCTGGGACACTTTGCCAGCGAGCTGTTTGTGTTTAGGAGCATGACCTTTGGCCTGCCTCAAATCTTTCCGTTTACGCTGGCTACGACGGCGCTCATCTGGATGCCCATGGTCCGGAGCCACTACGTCGAGTTTGAGTAGATATGATGGTGGGTCCATGGTGCCGAACGGACATGTAGCAATAGTGCATTGGGGGAAAAGTGAAGAGTTAAAGGTTTATATCCTATAATCTAGCCGAAATATCTAGTTCAACTTGTTCCGGTACAGCTCCCCATCGCATGCTCGCAGGCGAGTCGTTGCTTGCTCCGGCGTAATGTCCCGCTGAGGTTCTGCCATAAGCTCGAATCCAACGAGGAACTTCTTGACCGTTGCGGATCGCAGCAGCGGGGGGTAAAAGTGCATGTGGAAATAGGCATTCTCAATCTCTTCTGGCGTTCCGTCCAGAGGAGCCTGGTGGATGCCCGAGCTATAGGGGAAGTGGCAGTCAAACAGGTTGTCATATCTCCGAGTGACCTCTTGAATGGCCTCTGCAAGCTGCAGCCGCTCATCGGACGTCAAGTCGACGAGGGCACGTATGTGGCGTTTGGGGAGAACGAGGACCTCGAATGGCCAGATCGCCCACCACGGGCACACCACGACAAAGGAGTCGTTTTGCCATACCACGCGCTCCTCCTTGGCGAGCTCCAGCTTGATGTAGTCCGCAAGCAGATGACGCCCGTGCTGCTGACGGTACTTTGTCATCTGCGTCAGCTCTTTGCCCGGCTCCTCGGGCATGGTCGACGTCGTCCAGGCCTGGCAGTGAGGGTGCGGGTTGGAGCAGCCCATTGCAGCGCCCTTGTTCTCGAAAATCTGCATGTAGCGGTAGTTGTCCTTGGGAACAGGAGCCTCTTCCTTGGAGATGGGAAGCTCAAGCTGTGCCGCCACTGCCGAGAGCGGATTTGCCGGCGACAGATGGTTGGCGTAGAGCCGGGTCCAGTGATTGATGGTGGGAAGAATGTCCTTGGCCGACATGTCGGCGAGCGTGACGTTGTGCTTGGGCGAGAAGGTCAGGACATAGCACACGCCTTTGACGCCCTGAGCGCGCAGCAGAAGCGACTCGAGGTCTGCAAGCCGTGGGTTAGCACGCAACGAGGGGTATGTAGGCGGGACATGAGGGGCTCACCATCTGACGACTGGTCGACCTCGTAGTCGGGCTGCTGCTCCTTGACGGCGCTGTAGTCGTTTACAAACGCAAACGTCTGCTCATAGTTGGGGTTCTTGTCGCCAGCAGCGCGAGAATTGCCGGGGCAGAGGTAGCACTTTGGTGAGTTGTCAGATGCATCCAGGTCTACCGTGACTGAAACCCGCATGAGCCACTTACCTTGGGATCGTACTCGGGCAGCGTCGTCACAGCAGCACCCTCTTGCTGGCCCCTACATAGCAAGCAAAATTCAGTATACTATAAGAGCGCAAATCAAGAGGTTACATGGGTAGTCATCGGTCTTCTTACTGCCAGGGCCGCTTCGTTCGGTGAGGGGAGACGAGCAGCCAGCTGTCTGTGAGTGGGTTGTATCTCCGGTGGGAGATGTCATCAAGGATCTTGTCAGGCATGGCGGCGAGTTATCGGGGTGCTTCCAAGAAAGCCAAAAACGATCCGACGGGAAGAATAGTTGAGCAAGGAACTCTAGGAGAATAGATTTGGATAGAGGGATTAATAAGACTCTACTGAGGTATGTCGTTCTCGGAGAATATCTTATTAAAGCTAAAGCTAAGCCGGAGGATCATGTCGGGGGGGTTCCATCCAAGGACCAAAACTCGGGCTAATACCCGTTTGACGTCAATTTAGAGCTGGGCTGCCTTTGAAAGGGCCGAGTATATGGCGAGCGGGTCGGGGGGGTATAAGCGCGCCAACGGAGAGCCTGTTGACGACTGGATTCTCTTGCTTTTTGGTTGAAGTGACAATTTGTTGGAGTACCGTATGGAATGGTTTCCCTTTACCATCTACTCGCTTATGGGGTTGTGCATTATGACATGTTACCAGCACTTTGGATCGAGTCTAGGTTACCTCTACCCAGTAATAGGTGATGCGCCATTTCTGGCCAGGCACATACGTCGAGGGATCGATCACATGGAGGCTTTCACATGCTTGAGATATTGGTGGTTACGGCGACGGGAGGTGGCCGTCAGTAGGTACCCTAGATGTTATGCAAGTTCAGTCAGTTGCTGCATCTGGTCTCTGTCAAGTGCTACCTCATTGTACTGAGCAGGTACAAGCGAGACCGTAAACTAGCATCCTTTAAAGTGTGGAATCTCCAATCATGGCTCAGGGAGATGAGACAAACAATCAAGCTGTCTCTAAGAATAGTGCAGAGTACCTTAGGTACTGCAATATTGACTGGTTGGATGCAAACATCAGTACCTAGAATCACGGCTGCTGTCCAGTCTGTTTCCCCTTCTACAGCTCCTACAGCTCGAGCTCAGTGTCATGTGCCATCCCACGTGACACTATCCGTCCCGCACTCCTGCCTCGCCGCCTCTGCCTTATCGGCTCAAGCTCCAGCGAATTTCACGGGCCATCAACCGCGGCTCCACCGGATCGCGACATCCCAACATCATCCGCCCGCGATCGCTCCCCTTGTTTTCCATCGACCGCAACCGCAACGCCGCGAAATCCATCAAAACAACCACATCGCTCACGTCTCCTGAACGCGCGCTTTCTCCAGACTCCCTTTTCGACGCTCTACCTCGTCTGCTGCCCCCCTCACGGCTGCCGCTGTTTTTCCGGCCCGCTCCACCAATCCTAGGCGGGCAGGCATCGCGCCAGACGCCGTGGTGCTGCGACGCTCTCCGCGACCGAGATGGGCGTCATCCGCAAGAAGACGGCGACTAGGGGAGGCGAAGGCGGTGTCAAGTACGTATGCGACGTCTGCTCGTGCGACATTACATCGACGGTAAGTGATTGATTGCCACCTGCAGCGCCAATTGGGCGTGATGCCCGCTTCGTGTCATTGGTCCGGCCCGCTGAGCTGACAATCAAAGGTCCGCATTCGATGCGCCGACCCTGCATGCTCCGACTTCGACCTCTGCGTGCCGTGCTTCGGCAAGGGCGAGTCTCGCAACGCCCACGATCCCGCAACGCACTCCTTCCGGGTCATCGAGCAGAATTCGTTTCCCATCTTTGACCGCGAATGGGGCGCCGACGAGGAGCTGCTGCTGCTGGAGGGCGCGGAGATATACGGCCTGGGCTCGTGGGCGGACATTGCCGACCACATCGGAGGCTTCCGCGAGAAGGACGAGGTGCGCGACCACTACCTCAAGACATATATCGAGTCGCCCAACTTTCCGCTGCCCGAGCGATGCAGCCCCCATAACAACGAGCTCGCCAACGAAATTCCGCGGGAAGAGTTCCAGGCTCGCAAGAAGCGGCGAATCGAAGAGCGGAGAGAGGCATCCAAAAATGCGCCCGCCCTGCAGCCCAAGACCAAGCCAACGGCTAGTGTGCCTAGCTGCCACGAGATTCAGGGCTACATGCCTGGTCGTCTTGAGTTTGAGACGGAGTATGCCAACGAGGCTGAAGAGGCGGTGCAGCTCATGCAGTTTGATCCTGGCGACGGACTGAACCCCAGAACGGGGGAGCTCGAGCCCGAGATGGAACTGAAACTGACAGTCATGGAAATCTACAACTGCAGGCTGACGCAGCGTGTAGAGCGTAAAAAGGTCATCTTTGAGCACAATCTACTGGATTATCGGGAAAACACAAAGCAAGAGAAGAGAAAGACCAAGGAAGAGAGAGACTTGCTCCAGAGGGCGAAGCCGTTTGCTCGCATCATGAATCACAAAGATTTCGAAGACTTCACCCAGGGCTTACAAGATGAGCTGAACCTCAGACAGGCCATCGCTCAGCTGCAAGAATGGCGCAGCATGAAGATTGGAGACCTCCGAAGCGGAGAAAAGTACGAAGCGGAGAAGGCGGCCCGGATACAGAAGGCTATACCCATGGGATCTATGGACAGGGAGCGACTGGCAAGCAGCCAGCGCTCAAAGGCGCAACCTCCCCCGGAGCCTCCAAGTGGAGCATCTCTTCTCGTCGCCCCTGAGCTGCCCATCCGCCCGGCTCAGGCCAATGGAGAGACCAACGGAGAAGACGCCAAGGCGTTGACAAATGGCCAAGCCAACGGGGTGAATGGCGTCAACGGGATCAACGGCCACAGTCCAGCCAAACAAAAGTACGTTCCACAGCCCATCTCGGGTGTGCCGCCATTGCAGTTGACGCAGGAGAACGCGCCCGACTACCACCTCCTTACACCGGAGGAGGCGAAGCTGTGCGAGGTGGTGCGGCTGCAGCCCAAGCCGTACCTGATGATCAAGGAGCAGATCATCAAAGAGGCCATCAAGGGCAACGGAACACTCAAGAAGAAGCAGGCCAAGGAGATATGCCGTCTGGACTCTCAAAAGGGGGCCAGACTGTTTGACTTTTTCAGCAACGCAGGGTGGGTTGGCAAGGCATGAACTGGATTCATGAGGAGTTTCTGGGGCGTACGAGGGCGTGCCAAATTTTTGTTCGTTTCTGGGGAGGCTACTTGCTCTGCTTTTTTCCGATTGCTTCCACATGCTGCGACCCTGCTGTCTACTAACGAGTGAAATTGTGCTGCTTGTTATTCATTGAATTTTTGTCCACTGCTATATCATTTTGTTTTATATAGCTACAAGGGAACGGAGTAGAGGGGGTTTGAAGCAGAGAAATACCCTGGAACTAAGCATCGCAATATATCCTTTATTTATCTGTTATTATGGTACCGTCTCTGTCTTTGTCCACTTCTGCCCAACCCTATCGAAAACTGTGTCCTGTGTAATCAACCCTATCATCGTGACACGACCTCGTTGGCAATTCGAGTCACCTGGGCTTGAACAAACATCCCAAATTGGCCTCAAAAATAGCAACGCAAACTCCTAATAAGCAACGGACAAATCCGTCGACCTGGCGAGCTGCGATTGGACGCGCAGCCCCCACTGCCCGCCACGTCTGCCATTCTTTTCCTTTCCTTTTCGCTCTTCTTTCTTGATACTTACTACACGGGAATCTCGCACGGCTTGCATGGCCCGGCTTATAGATATGGCTTGGCTTTTAGGTTCGTTTTAGGCCTCTGCGTATAATCCACTATATTTTCTCGACTCTTTCAACCAACTTCGACTTTGAAAGGCTCGGTGACTTTCTCAACTCGCCCCCATCATTTTCATTAGACTACTCTTTCATCTTTCTTTCTCAAAAGAGGCATTTCTCTTTTCTGTTATCGATTTCAGAGGATAGAGAGCACAAAAGCGTATGCGCCCTTTTCAGCTTCTTTCGCAAACGAGAGGCCTTTCCAGCACAAACATGCCGACTGTTACTGTTGCCTCGCTCAAGAGGGTGTCTGCAAAGGCGCTCTCTGAGAAGATCCTTGCGGAGGCGGAGCAGGCCGAGCCGAGTCTTGCGGTGATTGATGTTCGGGATGTCGGTGAGTTCTTGTCTAAACTCTCACCCTTCTTTCTCTTTCACGGACTTCATTCTACTTCATCCCGCTCTAGGGTGATAATGAGAATGGATGCCACTTCTGACGAGAACATGTCCCCCAAAACATCCAAGATTTGCTAACGGTAGCTACCTTGCAAAACAGACTACATTGGCGGCCACATCAAAGGCTCAACAAACATCCCCTGCAACCAGCTCGACGCGCTCATGCCCACGCTCATCCGCAAGCTCAAGGACAAGAAGACGGTCGTCTTCCACTGCGCGCTGAGCCAGCAGCGGGGGCCCCTCGCGGCGCTCAAGTATCTCCGCGAGAGGGACGGCCTGCTGGCCGCGCTGGGCGAGGCGCCGCTGGCGGAGAAGCAGGAGGTGTTTCTGCTGGAGAGGGGCTTTACGGGGTGGCAGGAGGAGTATGGGGAGGATGAGAGGTTGACGGAGGGGTTTCGGAGGGAGATTTGGAGGTGAATTTCGCTTGATGTTGGGAGAGCTGGCGTTGTGATGCACTTGGAGAGCTTATGGTTGTTGTTGAGAAGTTGAGATCTTTGGGGAGTTTAGCGAGACGGTGTGGATGGCTTTTTACAGGCATAAAGCATGATTCTTTTTTCATCATGATGAAGTTGTTGACCAAGGTGGAAGCCCGCTCGGTCTACCTTGAAACTCCAGAGCTTCAGTCTTCAGCAAGCTTGGCCTTTCTGTATCTCGAGCTATCCCACATGGGCGAAAGGGTTCAATCCAAAAGTTACAGACTACGTCAAAGAAGGCTTCGACTCTTCTCAGACGGAGACTCTTAAACTTTGGGCAGCTTCCATGGCGAGCTTTAAGAACCTTATTGCCCAAGCCTCAATTGTCCGTCCCAACAAAGAAGCCGCAGCCTCCCTATATAATGGTCTCCTCTGAACAGAAGCTGCGACGCAGATCTCTTGTTCTCAACAAAAGCACAAACACTCTGGGCCTCCAGTTTCCATCTTCTCTGCCTTGTATCTTTCCACATCATCATACTTTATACCACAAATCCCTCTGTAAGTGTCCGCGTTCAGTTACGAAATTCGTCCCAAGGCGTATCATTGCCAAACTGACTTGCATCACAAGACACCGACGATTCGACGACGCCGCCATGAGCCCCTTTGACTGGCTCGCAGCGTAAGCCTGTGCCCTCGTCTCTCGATCGCGCTCTCGGAAGAAACGCCACAGCTAACGTCGTTGCAAACTCGTAGCCAAGACGAGGGGGTCGTGATCGCTGTGATCATGGCCGTCGTGATCGCGCTGGTCCTTGTTCTCCCGTTCGTCGTGACGGGAACATGCCATTACGTCGACCGGGGAGCCAGGGTGGCGTTGAAAAGCTGCCGCTCGCTGTGGAGGAGTTATCGTGCTGTGGCCGACCTGGACGTGGTGGCCATGAAGACAGTGGATGACCGGCCCCGACGAGCTGCACCAGCTGTGGCATCGATTTCGACGCAGGGACAACTCCCGGTATACTACGTGACGGAACCACAAGGAGCGACGGAACCACCGCGGATGTATAGGCCGGTAGAGACACCAGGCATCCATCAGGCGTTCATGCCGGTCGAGACACCAATCATGCAGCATGCATTCACATCGATAGAGACACCAATCATCCAGCCACTCCCACGAGTGTTTATACCGGCAGAGATGCGAGACCTTCTGGGGCCACCACGTACGCCGCCGCCGCAGCCTTTCCTGTCTCCTCCTCCACCAGTACGGTTGAGACCCGTCGTGTGCTGCTCTGAAGTTCCCAAGCTTCCAGAGAACCGACCTGCAAGGCGCTTGGCAGTTGAGCCATAGAGAAGTGAAAAGTACCATGCACGAGTGCACAGTCGGCTACTTTCATTGACGGACGGGAGCGAGAGGACTCTTACAGCCACGGACGATAATATGAGTCTCACATCCACCGAAGAAGACATTGATCTATCCATGGAGGTGGAGGCTACTTCTTCCACAGACGAGGGAATGAGTGCGGCATCCACAGATGAGGGCATGCATACAGTATCCACAGACGAAGATGTCGCACCGCCTATGGAAGTGAAGTTTGCATCACCTGTGGCGGACAAGTCTGGACCCTATATCATGCTCCGTGAGGCTTCGCCCTCCATACACGAGACGGTAGCCGACTCGACGGAAAAGACCTCCTCGGATGAGGGTTCACCTCCTCACACCAACACGACACGGGCGACGACACCCGAATCTGAAGTTGACAGACATAACCGGATCCATGAGGACGCAAAAAGACGCTCGTGGGAGGCACCTCGTCCAAGGACGCCGCTGTGGAGGGTACCACTGAGATTACACCGGGTTTCGGAGCAGAGCAGCAGCAGCTCGGAAACAGATTGAGACTTGGATCGACCGAGTCCATTGACAGCATTCATATGTTTGTCTAGTTGTGGATTCGAGATTCTTGCCTTTCAGATGGGTTTTCAGCTCGGCATGTCCTGGGTTGGCGTTGTAGCAAAGCCGTGTCTGCTCTATGGATCTTGTGTGAGGCTGACCTTGCTTGAGAAGACGGAGTGCTTGGCATGTCTGAAGCGCACGATGAAGCTCGTATTGGTGGTTTTGGGCCGTGTTGCTCGTCAGCTGGCAGGCGTTTGGCGTTTGGGGTTACTAGTATTTCAGATGAACCGTCAGGTAGCGCCATTACAATGCTATGATGAATAGTGACACTCCTTTACGGCTTTATCTCGTCTCGGTGGGATTCGATATATCATTCTCTGGAACTATCATGTTCAAGTTGTTGTTGCTCCTAAAGGAGGTATTACTATAACGTACCAAGTCCGAGTCCCTGCTATCCTTTACGACTTGCCTAATCGATAGTCGGGCCCACTCCTGGCTACTGACGGTCCCGGCGGGAAAGAGCCCAAGGGCGGCGGCTTCCGGACGCGATGCTGATAACAGATTCTGAGCTTTTCCTCCCGCTCTCTTGCTCTGATTTTTTCTTCTTCATCCCTGTTATTTCTATCCTCAATTGAGAAATAACTTCATTCTCCGTTATTTACTTCTCCTTTCTGTGCAATCACTCTCTCTCAGCGCACATCCGATTCCAGCCTCGTCCCGCTCTGCCGCCTCGAACCCCGCGACAAAAAGATTGCCGATAACAAACGAACAGGAACCCTGACGGCGAGCGAGAAACGACGATAGATAAACAAAGCAACAACATAAAATTCTGCATCATGGGCTCACGAGAAGAGACGCCGAATGGCGCAAAAGCTGCCGATGCCGTTGCCAGTGCGTCTCGACCCTTTGTGCTTCCCGCATCTCCAGGTATCGACCATGTATAGCTGACAGGCGACGCAGATCTTGGCTTTGCACCGGCCGTGAAGCTGTCCGGGGAGTGGTCTGTCAAGCGAGTGTTGGAGGAGATCCCCGACCAGGCGCCTGTCGAGGGGTCAAGCTCCCCGATTCCCTTTTTTCACATGCTCTCTCGACTCAAGACGACGAAGCGCGAGGGGTGGCGGCGGTTTGGCATCGAGAGGTGAGTTGACTGGGAGGCAATGCGAGGAGCGGTTACTGGCGCACAATGGCTGACTGGAGGTTTTCGTTTGTTGCAGGGGCGAGTCGATTTCAGATCACATGTACCGCATGTCCCTCATCACCATGTTTGCGCCGCCTGCGCTGGCCAAGAGGCTGGATCTCCCCAAGTGCATGCGGATGGCGCTGATCCACGACATGGCCGAGCTCCTGGTGGGCGACATTACACCCGTTGACGGCGTCCCCAAGACGGAGAAGAACCGGCGCGAGGCGGAGACGATGGACTTTTTGACCAAGAACCTGCTGCGCGGCGTTGCAGGAGGCGACGTCGGGGCCGAGATCAGGGCGATATGGCAGGAGTACGAGGACTCGAAGACGCTCGACAGCCACTTCGTGCACGACGTGGATAAGATTGAGCTGATGCTGCAGATGGTCGAGTACGAGAAGCAGGGCAAGGGACAGGTGGACCTGGGCGAGTTTGCGTACGTCGCCCGAAAGGTGACACTGCCCGAGATGAAGGAGTGGGCAGAGGAGCTGCTCCGGGAGAGGGATGCCTTTTGGCAGAATAGGGAGCATGTTCACGGCGAGAAGGGCACAGAGGGGGGTGTTTCTGCGGAGACGAGCCGCGGGCAGGAGGAGTACTATGATCGGGGATGATGTGCGAATTACGAAGCCGTGCGATGCTTTGTGACACGTTTTCTACTTGCTTCTTGATTTCTGTGGGCGTCTATAGGAAGACTGGGCGAATTCACATTCGGGATTGGAAGCATAGAGAGCTATAGAGGGTTGATGCGTGCTGTTTGCGATTTGTGTAGGTTGTCAATACGACTATCACCGACAATGACACTAAGCTCTGTTGATTCTTCACATGCATATGGAATCCCTCGCACTCTGATGGAGCTCCCAACCGTCTTGACCACAGTCACCGCAACCTCTCTCGTGATTGCCCCTGGCAACAAATAGCGGGCTGGTGGTGCCTGGTGACCCCAACGACGGCGGCTCGGGTCAGTGCATAGTGCAGCGGTGATGTGTGTGCTTGTGGGGGGGAGAGAGGAGAGCGACGCCCTATTTTCTCCGCCAAAACACTACATACAGTACATACCTACAGAAACACCGACGGAGCAGGGCGAACCGGATTGGCTTCCGTTTGGCTGCCGTTGTTGCGCACATGCACAGTCGAGAGCGGGCTAGAGCAGGTAATGGTAGTAGTTGTGTTGATTGAGTGTGTGGGTGAACTGTGTAGCTGTGAATTTTGTGAGTCTGTCTTGCATCAATTGCCGTCTGTCTGTCTCTCTGTCTGTCACAGGTAGTATTAGTAGCGGAATCCTAACAAAGGCCGGTCCGTCAATGCAGAGTAACCAGGGCCAAAAGGCAAGGAAAACTGCGGAGGCTGGGAAAAGCAAAGGCAAAAGCGGGCTCAACTCTCAACTCACACTTGGACCATTTTTGGCGCAAGCAAAAAACCCACTTTGGGGTCTGTCCATATTAGCCGGTTCCGAGTTGTGTCTGTCTCTCTGTGTTGCATTTTCCTACTTACTGCTTTCTGCTCACCGCTGCTGCAAACTGCTCTTGCTGAGGTTCGTGCATCATTCAAGCAAAACTGAGGGGAAACGAACGACGTGAAGCAGAGGAAGGGGAATTGTTGATTCGAGATAATACTGGTATATATCACTCGTGGGAATTCCCCCTATTCTCTTCTTTGTTTATTTGATTGTTTTTTTTTCTACACCTTCTCGAGCTGCAGGAACTCGGGCTGTCATACCTATTGCTAAGCTACAGCTACAGCTACAGCTACAGCCACAGCTACCGTGCAGCTTAGGTACCTTGTGGGCGGGCTGGTGCTGCAAGCTGCTGCAACGGAAGAGGAGCCTCACAGATCACCGGGTCCCGTTTTTTTGGCGATTGCAGTCTTTCCGAGTCCCTCGCCATCCCTGTTTCTCTTGTTCCTACTACTTACTACCTACCTACCTACTCTACCACTTACTACTCGTTTCTCCTCCTCATTGTCTCTCAGCGCCGCCACACTCCGCATTCCAAAGGCGCAGCCGCGGAACAAGAAAAAAGTCAGCCGAAAAGAGGGTGTGTGTGTGACGAAAGGGAAAAACAGCCATCTCTGCGAACAGTGGGAGGGTCACGAGGCGGGAGGCGATAAAGGAATAGCGAGTCAGCCAACGGGGGAGCAGGCAGGGAACAAGGAACAAGGAAAAAGCAAGACACTTTTTTCTTCTTCGGGGGGCGGTCACTTATTATCAGGCAGCACAATCAGTTCGGGGACGAAGCCAGAAACGTGTGCCCTTCCTTGGGCCAAGCGAGACGAGAGAGAGGCAGAGACAGAGACAGACGGGAGAGCAAAGTCGAGGGCACCACCACCATCATCGCCGGGTTACGTCGCAGGAACTTGGAGCAGCGGCGCGTCAGCTGGGCAGCGTCCATCCATTCACTCGCACAAGCTCGCTGCCTGTCTGCCCTTTACGCTTGTCTTCTCCCTTTTGCTGCAGCTTGGCGAAGCTCAGCTCAGCTCAGCTAGACTCGGGGCGTCTCGAGTTGAGCGAGTCCTTGCGGTGAATCATTGGCCAGCGACATAGAGGCAGCAGATTCCAGCATACATTCATTCCGCAGCAGCGACAGCGAGCCCGATCCCGATCCCGATCCACAGACACCGAGACAGAGAGACAGAGGCCGACCGGCAATACGGGGAAGAAAGACAGAGACAGAAAGAACAGAAGCTATACTACGTACTAGAAGACGAAGCCTGGCTCAGCTCAGCTCCGAAATGACATTCCCTTCGCACTTCCACATGTCCGGCACGTTCCACGACGGCGTCCATCCCGGCCTGTTTCGCCCGCCCGTCTCGCCCAGCTCCAGCACTGACTACCTCCCGTCGTCGTCGTCGGCCTTTGCCGCCGAGTCGTCCAAGCGCAAATGGAGCCGCAGCAGCGTGCCGCGCGTCCAGACCGGCAGCTTCTTCCACGACGTCTACATGGAGAGCGACCCGGCTGCCGGTGCTGCTGCGAGGGCACAGTCGAGGTCCTACGCGCTGGCCGGCCAGCTTCACACACCCGTCATCGGCGCGGGCTCGGAGGACATGGACGGAGACGGCGATGGCGATGCTGATACCGCCATGGGCGAGAGCATGTACTCCGACTCCGACTACAGACGGGCCCTCGGCACCAAGCGATCGCGCGAGGACATGTACGACAGCGCCAGCGGGCCGACGCCGCTCTTCAGCCAGCCCGAGCCTTTACAGACTTCGCAATCGGGCATCTGGGGGACGTTTTCCCTGTCGACCATTGGCGACGTCGTTGGGCGTGTGTGGGAGTTTTGCAAGGCCGGCGCTTTCAAGGGCTTTTATGCGGGAGGCGGTGCGGCGTACAAGATGACGACTGCGGGCGTCAGCGTGGACGAGACGGGGTCCAGCGGGGATCAGACATTTTACTTTCAAGGCAGCGACCAGCAGGAGCAGCAGCAGCAGCAGCAGCAGCATCTTCCTCATTATTATCATCAGCAGCAGCAACAGCTGCCAAGACGGCATCATCAACACCAGCAACGCCGGGGGGACAGACCACGGCATGCGCAGGACCAGCTCCCCAGGCGGAACCACTACGGCACCGGCACCTACAATGTCGGCTACGACGCTGCCTTTGACAGCCGCACGTCGACGCCCACCGGCCCGGCGCCCAAGAAGCGCAGACACACAGAGAGCGGCAGCGAGCTGGGCGCGAGCTGGGTCATGATCCAGGAGCCCAGCCGCGAGCCCGAAGCGAGGACGCCGCGGAAGACGCCTACCTCGTCCCGCGTGTCGCCTCGCCATCGGGCGCAGCAGACGCCTGTGGTGGCGGATCATCGCATGGGCCCTCCCAGCAGCTTCGCGACGCCCGCAACAACCTCCAGCCCTGCTCCTCTGCGCCCGGCCAGTCGCGCCGCGAACCGTCCGGGCAGCCGGATGTCGGATGCGGCCGGCCTTTTCCGGACCCAGCAGCCGGCTTCGGCGGCTTCCTTTGCGTCCTTCAAAGCCCCGGCGGCGGCGGCGACCGCCGTGAGCAGCGCCCCCAAGTCGCCAGCGCCCAGCAGGATCCCCGTCAAGGCCAACTCTTCGGCGGTGGTCGCATCGTCGGCCGCGCTCTCCACCTTTGAGCAGGGCAAGAGACGCCGACACACCATCGCGCCGGCGGTGGCCGAGCCGTCGACCCTGTCAGGGCGTCGTCGACGCGACAGCGTGGCTTCTGTGGCCACCACGAGCAAACCCACGGAGGTTGATGCGAGCCCGCGGCTGGATGCCGAGGCGAGGAAGCTGGCCGCTCGTCGCCAGATGGAAGAGGACGATACCGATAAGCGCATGGCGGCGTTTAACAAGCAACTGCAAGACATGATCCGACAGGGCAGAGCAGCGCTGGGGACGACTGTGGAGGTTGACGCTGGCTGGGAAGATGCTCTTTGAGCGAAGATGCTCATTGAAGCTATGATTGTCTCGAGCTTCCCTCTCTTCATCTCTTCATTCTTCGACATGACGATACCTTTTTTTTCTTCTTCTTTATCTTCTACTCTTTTTTATCACGTCTATCCATTGTTGATAAATCTTTTCTTCACTCTTCTTCTACTTCTTCCTCTCCTTTGTTTCGCCGACATGGCGCTTATGACATTATGAGGATATCTAGAGGCGGAAAACGTTTTGGACGAGCTACACAGGATCTGCGTGTTTGTTGATTGATTTGGCGGCTTTACTGCATTTTGGGTTCTGATCCTGTTATCTTTCTGTGAGGATCTGGGATGGTTGAATATTTACTTTTGCAATGCGTGGCAGAATAAGAGAACACGTGTTCGCTTGACCATCTCAGAGCCCCTTGACGACTATTTTTCTTTTCTTTTGCTATAATGATTGTTATGAGGATGAGCAAGTGAAGGAGGCGTGGAGGAGGGAACTGGACCTGACCATCGTTTGTCCCTTTTTTGGTGATAGTCTAGCGGTTTTAGCATGAATGAATGAAAGTAACAGTCGTTTTTTTTTTTTTTTTTTGGAACGGCATGCCATTTCACGACTAGTTTCACTGGGAGTTTGAAAGAATTGGTGATGGGAAGCTGGGCTCATGTTGGTCGTAGTAATACGAGGCAATGTCGGCGGATGAATCGATCCGGGAGGGAAAAGGGCCTGGGTTAGTGGAAAGGGAGCGAAGGGACTTGAAGGGGACGGGGATGTGACGGGGTGGCCACTTTGCGAGAAAAGCTGAAGTCAGACAAAAGAAATACGCGAGATGAGGAGTCTGGATGCATGGGAATTTGCGTGCCTCGTGCCTCGCGCCTTTTAGCTTGGGTTTACGGTTTCCTTGCTGTTATAGCAAGCCACGCCAGTGCTGGTTACCTTGATCAAGGGAAGTAATAGTATGTAGTACAGTAGTACTAGGCTGTAAAATGATTTGTATGACACGATATGGAACGATGGATGGTTGGATGGATGGATGGATGTGTTCAGTGTGGGTATAATAATAGAATGGAAATGAGACTTGTGAGTGTTGGGGAAAGGGAGCTGTGACGGTGATGAGTGGCGTATTACAGGTAAGGTAGGATCCTGATGAGGGTTGGAAATGGTTCGGGGGATTCCGACCTGTCCTACTCTGTTTTGCTGCCGCCTCGATCTATACAATTTGTCTATACAAACTGTTGAGTTGGGCAATCAACGTTTGCTATATATACCGAAATCAGTGATCCGCCTCAGCACTATCAGCAGCACAATGCCCAAAACATGAGCTACCTTACGTATAATGAAGAATTGGCGACTGACACCACCCCGGAAAGAGACGGATGTCACCTCCGAACTTCCAAGACATTCTGCTTTCCCATCGTTTTTTGCCTCGTGTTACGAGGTGCAGCATCTAGAACGAAAAAGCAAAGAGACTCGTTTTTGACTGGGATTGGGATGGGAGATGGGGGGAAGAGATCTCTGAGTGCGGTATGGCATGACTTCGGTGGGAGCCAGAAATATTCTCCCTTGCGTTGGGACTTTTTCTTTTCGCTTCGGTCGTCCGCTTTTTGTCTCTCATCGTGATCTACGAAGTACGCTTAACCATGCAGCTAGCAACTACTATTCCGGCAATAGAAAGCCCGAATTTTAGGAATGAGAAGAGAGGGGATAGTGTTGCTAGTTAGTTCTAAGGATAGAAGAAAGAGAGAGAGAGAGAGAGAGAGAGACAAGTTGTCCAGCTCAGCGGACCCAAGCCTCGGCCGTCTTTCACGATAGTAGTGCCAAGGGGACCCGACGAAAGGGGGAGAGGGGAGGCGGTGGCGTTCTGAGACATTTCCCTTCCAAAAAAAGCAGCTGTTAATACAAGCTGATAATGGGAAACCAAGAAATCTTGGTAAGAGGTTTTGACTTGCGAATGAGACTGGATACTACTTCTAAGACTACTTTACTTACCTACCTGGTGCTTCGAAAAGGGCGTGTGCGGGAAAAGCGAAATCTGAGTACTTGCATAAAAAGGGGGCGTTGAGGCCGCCACTCCCCCCGGATTTTCTTTGATTGACTTGCTATATCATCATCCTTTTTAATTCAGATCTTGCTTCTTTGATCGTCGATCGGAAAAGCAACATTGGTGTACATACAAAGGCGAAGATCTTGCCTTTTTGTCTTCACCCGGCTGTTGTTTGATCTTCCACTTGCGTTTGCCGGCGTGATCAACCCATCACACGTTTAAGCCACAAGATTCAAATTGGCAACAAATCCGACCATGAAGGTAAACAGAATCACACATTCCAACACACACTCCTCCAGACAAACAAAAGCGAACGAAAAGCTGACAACTTTCGTCACAAATAGTGCACATCTCTGCTCCTCACGCTCCTCCCATCCATCGCTTCCGTCGCCCTCGCCCTCGCCCTCCCAGCGGAGCAGGCGCAGAACTCGGGCATCGATCCGAACCGCAGGTTCACGTGCCCGGCCAAGGTCCAGGACTTTTGCTCCGCGTCCAACATTCACTCGGGGTGCACTGCGGATGGGAGGTTTACGTCGAGCGCGATGGACACGTGCGGTGAATGTAGATGCTCTTGAAGGAGGAGGTGGATGATGATGATGATGGGGGGTTTTGGGAGTGGTGGATGGGTGAAGGATACACGAGAGGCTTGCGTTGTCTTTTGTTATTCGCGTTTTGTTTGTTTCGCTTGGGGATGGAATTGTGCTTGCTTTTGGTTTACGTTTTGTTTGTTTGGGGATGTCATCGTGATTCTTTGGTATTCGTTGCTTGAGAGGTAGACGGTTAGCTTTTTTGGGATTGACGTGTGTAAATTGAACATCAGTCTATCGGGATGGATCTATATCCATTGAACGCAGTCTCTACGTATCGTTCAACGCAAGAAATGGGTCAACAGCTTCCCGATATCCATCAGTCTATCGATCTCTTCAATTGCGAAACAGCACATTCCCCGAAGCGAGCTCCGACATGAGGAAATTCCCTCAGTTTCTCAATATTTTGAGTGCCTGGGTCAGCGACTCAATTTCCTTTTCGAGCCTCTCTCGCTGCTCCTTGACGGCCAGGTCCTCCCCGGCGATGCGTTCGAGCAGCTCTGCCGACATGTTGAGGACAACCTTGTCTGAGAGCACCTCGAGTGGGCCCTTGTCTGCGTATAGCAGAAAGTGGTCAATCGCTTGCTGGCAGACAACGTCGACGAAGCGGTCCCGGGCAACGTCGTAGTACGCTTGCAACACGTTGTGAATAGTCAGTCCCATCTCTTCAAGAGACGACTTGGCTAAGCATCCCAGAGAATCCTCCTCCGAGTCGAGCTTCAGCTGGTTGAACTTTTCCTCAAAACGAGCATTGTAGGTGATGGTTTTGTTCTGAAACTCGAGATTGAGCAGAAATTCTACCTGCTCCATCGCTCGCGCGTACCGCTTGAGAAGGCCCTCGTGATGCTCTTGGCCATCTTCGCCGTCGTGGCCGTCCAAGAGAAACGCCCAGAGCTCATCGCAAACGGCGGCATCAGGGCAGCTCTCTTCCAGGATCTGGAGTATGAATTGGTGAACGATCAGTATGGCATTCGAGATATGCGCACGCGTGATGGGTCGCCATTTGCTCCCTTGCTCCTTGAAGGTGTGAGGCAGCATTTCATTGTTGAACTATGCGATCATGTTAATAACCCGGTATGCATGCTTCACCCCGATAGTGGGCGGGAAAAGACTTACGGTACCAATCTCGTATCCCCGTGATCCGAGATACTGCTTTTGAATATGGTCCAACATACCGCCGACTATTGGCTCCGGACACCAATAGGAGTCAGCCAAAAGGTCGCTCAGATCATCCTCTCCGTCCCGTGGGATTTTGAAGTGAACCTTACGGCGATAGAGTAAAGATCGATTTCCGAGGAGTGAAGAATCAAGAGGTTCAGCGAATCTCTTGCGTGGCTCTTGTGCTTCAGTTTTCTGGTCGATGAAGAATTCTCTGGTATGACCCTTCTCACGCATGATATAGGCATAAGCTTCATTGATTGCTCGCATCCTCGTAATCAGTCGCGTTTCGGGATTTGAAAAGAACTCGTGGCGAGTGTAATAGGCATCCAGGCCATAGTTTTTGAGCCTCGTAAACTTGGAAGCAACTTTGCCCACATATGCTCGTTGCTGATCGGTGGTGCTTCGCGACTCGCCCAAGTCAGCCCGAAGCTCCTGATACTTCTTGAGCTTCTGCATGACTTCATTCTTGACATGGGGGAACTCTGCACGAGTTCGGTCCATAAGAAGGTGGCGGATGCGAGTCTGGAGCGCGGCGATGCCCACCCTGTCAGAGGGGAGAGTGTTCCAAGGAGCCTGTCCAAATAGAGACTGTTCCTGTTGGTTACGACTGTGTATGTTGCCATACACATCGTCTGCGCCGAGATTTTTGACCACGCAGTAGCCAAGAAGCAGGTCACGACGCTTGCCGTTGACTAGATCGCAGACAACGGCCTTGGTTGCATTCTCAATGCAAAGGTCGGGCTTGGTGAGGACTCCCAACGTTCGTTTGCCCTGAGGATCGGCCTCTGCTGCAAGGCGAAGGATCTTCTGGTTGGCAATATCCACGATGCAGGGAACCACGGCCAGGATGATGGTTCGACTCTCTTCAATGTATCGCTTGACCATGTTCTTCACCAGGTCAATGTCGGACTCCGTCGTGACTCCAGGAGTTACAGTCTCAAACATGCCAGGGACGTCAATGACGGTGAGGTGGTCGGCATTGGGGCCGCTGATTTCAACCTTGAGGACATCAAGACTGAAAGCGCTGCCTCCGCCGCTGTCATTCTCTGACAGCTTAATGCCCATGACCTTGGCAGCCTGCATAATTCATGTTAGCTAAGACTCTTTACGTGACGGAGGAGCGATAGGAGCGGTGGAGATGGTACTAACGTCTTCAAAAATCTTGGGAAAGTCATCCGAGACAATCTTGTCCGTAGATCGTCGGAAGCCCCTGACGAGCTTTTCCCGCTCGGGAGACGGATTGTGTGGGATGATGGACACGACGACGCTCTCGGTGGGCTCTCGTCGGCAGACGATTTCTGTGGCATGGCGAGTGCATAGAGTGGCGGCACGGGGGAACTGGAATCCGGTCAAGGACTCGAGGACGCTCGATTTACCGGAGCTTTGGTCTCCTACGACGACCATCTGTAGACGAGTCAGCGAGTGCTCGGCCGCAGATTCTTGCGCGGTGGCTGACCTGAGGCAGAGGCACGAGGTGAGAGATTCCGAGCTCGCGAAGCTTGTCGACTTTGTCCAGAAGGGCTCGGTTCCCCAGGCCTTGGCCTGAGTGGCCGTTGCTTTTAGAACCCATGACGAAGCGTGATGCTGCAAACGAGCACTGAGTTCACCAAAGAAGCGCGAGTAGACGGGTTGAAGAAGGCAAAAGAAAATTGATGGGCAGAAGAATCAGATTTATGCTCGAGGACTGATTCTCTGTTTGCCTCATATCCACTCTGTGCTTTGCCATTGGAAAACCTCGAATCAGGCTCCATCTCGTTCCAGCTGGTAGAGTAGGATCGGACAGCTGCAAAGCGGGAGGCCAGCTGCATGGTGGGAGGCCTACAATCCAGCTGGCAGTTCTCATTGGCGAGCGATGCAAGGGTTGGAATGAAACAGCACCGCCTATCATGTACAGAATACAGTGGCAGATAAGTAGTGTTTCCTTTCCACTGCATGGGATGTAGTCAAGAACGGGAGAGAGCATCAGTAAACCGGGCTGGCACGTCTAGGTGAATAATTGCCCTCGAGATTGTCTCGCAGCTCTTCACTGGATTGCTCTTTCAAGACGGATGCAGGAGGTCTCTTGCATTACCATGGCCGAGGATCCCTCGGCCTTGAGCACGTTGTGGTTATGCCATCGCTTCTTCGAGCCTGCAACGGATCATCGCTGAAGCCTTCTGAAGGCGTGATGGGAAGTTGCATGGACGATGATAGAGAGATGCTGGACTTGCCTCAGTTTTTGAACACGAAGGAAGGCAGACACACTCGATCTCGAGCTCACATCTTGATATCCTTCTCTATTCAGAGAAATACCTTTGTGCTTGTTGGCTTGTCATTCATCGGTTGAGACAGCGTTGGCCGCTGAAAAGAGATCATCACATCACAAGATTGATATATACGCTGTCGATAGCCGGAAGTGGGCGGGAGATTACATCTGCCAGCAAAGAGACAGAATTAGGTTGCTGTACCTTGGCCTCTGACGTATGATGACAGGTCAAATGGCCACGTCCTCGTCATATTGATACAGGTTGAGTCCGTAGGTGAGGTAAAATGGATGTTCCATAGATTGGATAGCAGGGGTACACCTATCGAACGAACTGACCTCCTTCGGTAAGGCAGCTACTCGTCACAGATAAAGGCATGCGGGTATCGAGACTTTGCGTGCTGAGCTCTTGAATGCGCTTTCAATCGAAGAAGTCTGGTGTTGGTTTTGCTGTCCTCATCGTATAAGGACAGGGTAGGAGTAGGTCAGATGGTGATGCAACAACCGTCCGCGCAATGCGGTAGGCGGTAAAGAAGCCGAGTGGGTCACCCTCCGGCAGAATCCAAAATATTTTGGAAGAATTGATGCTTCGGCATTCGGACCGCATAGGCATATCCAGCAACAAACACATCCACCATGTCGTATCAGGAGCGAGAAGCAAAGGTATGAGTCGACGAACATCTTATATGCTTCTGTATTCCAATCTCATGCTAAGTTGTTCTCCAGAAGCGCAAAACCGCGCACAATGGCGGTTCACAGCAGTCATTCAGCCAGAGCGCCGCCGTGCCCGCCTCCGAGGGAAGAGAATGGACCGTCTCTGTGGCATTCCCCAGCAGCACCATCGCAACGTATGGCATTCAATCCCTGGCTCCTTCTACTGTAAGATGGAAAGGAAAAGCTCACAAGGTAATCACAGCCTAGCCACGGCCGAACAGCGCATCGCCGTCCCGAGCCGCATCGCGCGCGCCCTCGCCATCTTCTCCGTCGACGAAGTCATCGTCTACGACGACTCCCCCGTCAAGACGCGCCCGCACAAGACGGACAAGTCCGTCTACACGGGCGACACGGACCCGTGCCACTTCCTGACGCACGTGCTGTCGTACCTCGAGGCGCCGCCGTTTATGCGCAAGGCGCTGTTCCCGCTGCACCCGAACCTGCGGATGACGTCTTCGCTGCCGGGCCTGGACACGCCGCATCACCCGCACATCAAGGAGTGGATGATGTACAGGGAGGGCGTGACGATTGCGGGCATGACGAGGTCCGGCGAGGGCACGCTGGTGGACGTCGGGCTGGAGAAGCCCGTCGAGATCAAGGAGGACATTCCGCCCAAGACGAGGGTCACGCTCAAGATTGCGGAGGAGGAGGGCCAGCCGGCGCAGTGCGTGCATCCGCATGCGCCGCGCACGGAGGCCGGGTATTACTGGGGTTATACGGTGCGGCAGGCGAATTCCCTATCGGCGGTCTTTACGGAGTCGCCGTACGAGAACGGGTACGATCTGAGTATTGGTACGTCGGAGCGGGGGTCGCCTGTTTCCAAGGAGTTTCCCGCTTCGAAGAGGGTGCAGTTTAACCATGTGCTCATTGTGTTTGGCGGGCCGAGGGGCATCGAGTATGCGGCGATGAATGACGAGGAGCTGGGCGGGATGGGCATCCAGGGGGGCAAGACCAGGGAGCTGTTTGATCATTGGGTGGACGTCATGCCGAATCAGGGGAGCAGGACGATTCGGACGGAGGAGGCCGTGTTCATTGGGTTGATGGCGTTGAAGAGGATATGGGAGAATGAGTGAAAGGCGGGTGGGGATAGAGTTGATACCCTGTCTCTATACGAATTTTGATGCTTGGTTATAGTACTGTGGTTTCTTATTTTCTGGGAGGAATGATGTGTATATATTATGAACCTCCGTTCCGCCGTGCAGCATATAGTTACGATGCAGCATATTGTCACGACATCTATCAGAGCCATTGTTGAAGACTCTTTCGCTGTTCCATCGTTGAATCATGAACCTCTCTAACAGGAATCCAGCCTTGCAATTGCAAAAACGCCCATATACCCAAACCAAATAGATTTGTAAGCTCTTTTCCTTCTCTCGTCGACACCTCATCAACGTGTCGCTTCGCCTTCGACACCTCATCAACATGTCACTACGCCTTCGTCGCATCCAACGCCACCGCCTTCCCCAGCCCCTCGCTCGCAACAGCGGCCGCCTTGTCGCCGGCCCTCTTCCGCAGCACGTTTTCGATAAAGGCCTCGCCGGCCTTGTAGGACGACCGCACGAGGGGCCCGCTCGCGCAGTAGAGGAAGCCCATGTCGAGGGCTCGCTGGCGCCACATCTCGAACTCGTCGGGGGTGACGTACTTTTCGACCTTGAGGTGGCGCTTGGTCGGGCGCATGTACTGGCCAAAGGTGACGACGTCGACGTTGGCTTTTCGCAGCTCTGCGTTGTTTGTGTTAGCTAAACCATCTTATGTTTCCGCTTTTGCTGATTGTTCGATATGGGGAAGGGTTTTGTGTGTGTGCGTACCTCTCAGAGCATCCATGAGTTCGTGCTCCTGCTCGCCCAGACCGAGCATGATGCTCGTCTTGGTGATGATGCCCTCGTTGCCGCGCACCTCCTTGACGTGGTTGAGCACCTTCAAGCTCTGCCGGAACGTCGCCCTCCTGTCGCGCACATACGGCGTCAGGCCCTCGACGGTCTCGACATTGTGCGCATACACATCCAGCCCGCTCTCCGCCACGATCTTGACCATGTCCAAGTCGCCCCCGAAGTCGCCCGTCAAGGCCTCCACCAGCAACGACGGCTTCTTGTGCTTGATCTTGCGGATCGTCTCGGCAAAGTGCCGCGCGCCGCCGTCGACGAGGTCGTCGCGGTCCACGCTCGTCAGCACCACGTAGCCCAGCCCCCAGCGCGCGAGGGCCTCGGCCGTGTGCTCGGGCTCGTGGGGGTCCAGCGGGGCGGGAGCGCGGCTCGTCTTGACGCTGCAGAAGCGGCAGCCGCGGGTGCAGGTGTCGCCCATGAGCATGATGGTGGCCGTGGCGGCGCTCTTGTCGGAGCCGCCCCAGCACTCGGAGATGTTGGGGCAGCGGGCCTCCTCGCAGACGGTGTGCAGGCCCAGGCCGCGCAGGTCCGACTTGATCTTCTTGTAGTTGTCGTTGCCGGCGGGGATGGACGTCTTGAGCCATTCAGGCAGGCGGGTGATTGTGCGCTTCTTGCCCGCGGGGCCGACCTCGGCCGTCTTGAGCTCGTAGGCGTCGCTGGGCGAGAGCGCCTGCGCGGGGGACGAGGTCGCGACGAAGTCGGAGAAGTCGCCGACGGCCTTGTCCTTGAAGTACGTCCGCGGGCGCGACGATGACGACGACGGCTGCTTGACGGCTTCGCTGGGGTCGGCGGGATGAGGCGGGAGCGTGGCGAGGGAGCGGAGGGCGGGCGAGGCGGCGAGGGCCCTTCGCACGGGCATCTGCGCGCGCTGCAGCGACGGGGCGAGAGAGGCCATTCTGGCGATTTGTGCGCGAGATGTCGTGATCTTCACGGCGCTGTGGTTGAGGAGATGCGAGGCTGTCCTTCCCGAGAATCCCGCCTGGTTTGTTGGTGGGATTTGTTGGGCTTGGGAGGTTGATAAGCAAGAGATTGTGAAGCTCTGGGAAAAAAGTTGGAGAGCCGATGGGACCCGCAGCCGTGGCGCCGCAAGCCGGAGCTGAGATGGCGCCAATTGGGCCAGCCTCTTTATTCAGCAAACATTGGGGGAGATGGCTTGACTCAGCAGATGGATGACCGCGAGATTTAATAATCGAAGGAGTTGTAGGTTGGTCGTCTTGTGTCGTTTTGCGCCCTATTGAGGCATGGCGATGTCGAGACTTGGCTATCTGAACTGCCATGATGCGGATGTGATGGCGTATAGAGGCGGGTATAAGAACTCCCGATAGTATCAACATTTGTGTCAGACTTGGATGTCAAGGGATTACTCAACATATACTCGAATCACACGTAAATCACACTGAATACATCATCAAGTATACAGACAACATGTATTGTACAGCCTAGTTAACAGAATCCATCCAGGCAACACATCACCGCATGTTGATCCCCAGCAACACCAAGCCTCCTCTGTCCGAAACTCCAGCATCCGAATGAAGCCCCAGAGAACATGCGCCAAGACTACAAGCCGTCAGGTCGCGGACTGGACTCGGCCGTGCAAGCCTCGTCAAGCCCTCGACCCTCCATCACCAACATAAAAAGGGGTATCACCAACAGAAGCGAAAAAGCCCGTTCCCCCGCGAAGTAAAAAGTACATCAGCATGCTGAATGTATGCCCGTGGTATCAGATCCAAAGATTTTTGAATGAAGAATCGCCTAGTATAAGGTGTTTGGTAGGAACAAAATGGTAGAATATAAGATGAATGAATTGAAGCTCAGACTCCAGCCGGCGTGTTTGCACGCACCGGGTGCTGCTCCAGGTCGTATGAAGAGTTGAGACGAGGCAAGTGCCAGCGTCCATCTCATCCAGAGGCTGAAACGGCGGAGTAGTCAAGATGTCCGAGAAAGGAAGCATCAAGACATGAATGAGCCCAGCAGCGCCGTTGGCGCGCATAAATAAAGAATCGAATGAGACCGCCAGGCCTTTGTGGACGAAAAGGGGCCGTCCCTTTTTCAGCCAAGCACGTTTTGAAGTCGTCGGCAGGTCGTGAAAGGTCGTAGCTTGTCATACAACAGAAAGGGTTTTTTATGTTCAAGATGACAAAGGAAAAGAAACCAGGAAGGAAGAAGTCAAAGATGGCTGTCGATGGATCCAAAAGTAACCCACGTCACCCGCTCTCGAAAATTCGCACTCCAGTGCCTGGATTTACATCAGAGCGACCATGATCATGCCAGCAACACCGGCCAGGGCGACCTTGCTGGCCTCAAGGGCAACACCAGCGTTCTGGGGGCCCTTGGTGGCAGTAGCGGAGGCAACGGGCGCACCGGTGCTGGACACGACGCCGGTAGGCTGGAAATAGGTCGCGCTGCTGACGGCGGTGCCGACCAGGTGGTGGTGCGACGAGGTGGTGGCAGCGGCATGGGTGGTGGTGGCATTGTGAGACGAGGAGATGGAGGTGACGGTGTGAACCTTCTTGAGCGTGACCGTCTTGGTCAGGACGGTGGTCGACGTCTCAGTGGTGGTCGACTGGGCGAGGGCAAGAGCCGGCAGAGCGGCGATGGCGAACAGGGAGAACTTCATCTTGATTCTTGGGCTGGGTGTTGCGGTATTTGGTGCAAGTTTGCGGACGAGCTATCCAAGCGTCGCGTAGAGATGCGTGAGATGGAAAAGGTGAGAGTGAGGCTGCAAGTATGGCGGTGGACTCAAGCAAGATGGTGGATATCTGCAGTGATTTGCTGGTCCTTTTCGAGATACTGCGCGCCATCAGCAATCAGAATCCTCCAGAGCCCCCAGCGAGCGTCCATGCGGATTCCTCTTCTTACCTTGAGACTAATTGGATGCGCGAAAAGCAGCGGATGGTATGTGCCTTGTTGTTGTGCGTGGTGCAAAAGAACGTGTGAGGAGGGTATAATGTGCAATGGACAGTCGATATCCAAGAGTTGCGTCGGGTGAAGGAATGGACAAGACTTTGCCAACGAAGTCTTTTGTTTGCTGATTGTGAAACGGAGGAGCCGGTGAGGAGGAGGAGGAGGAGGAGGAGAGAAGAGGAGCGAGAAGGCGAAACAAAGGCCTTGCCGTGAGAAATACTCGGCCAAGGCGCCATCGCAGGGCGGAGTGACTCGAGGGCAGACGCCAGGATACACCAGCCAATGGTGGCGTCAAGGTGCTCCCCAAACAAAAACGGGGCCGGCCTCGAGGGCTGCCGGGGTAGGAGGGACCTTTGCATTGTATGGCTGCTCGGGGGCAGACGCAGGTACTCGGGACCTGGGCATTACGCGCGCACGCAAGGGGACGAGATTAACGTGTGTCAGACCGGGTACAAGTTGAAGTTGAAGACAATTTAGTGCCAGGCCCGAGCCAAGCCCAAATCTGCTGCTGTCGACGCCAGGCGTGTCGCAGCTTCAGCACTTTATGCGCGTTTGATTCGACGTTTGTTTCACGCTTCCTCTTCTGTTGACGGTTCATCGTCGTCCCATGTCATCAATCCGAATCAGCAGCTGCTTCTCTGCTCCCTGCTGCAGACATCATTTACCGTCGTTTGATGAGTCTGAGTCGCTCCCAATCGTTGGGCAGCCCAAAACACCACGCCCAGGCCAATCGTCGCCCAACTTCGGCCGCCGCAGCCGCCTCGTCCTCTCGTCGAATCATGCCCAATACGGGCTGACAGGGCAAATCGTCGCTCCCTCTAGCTGAAGATGGTCGGATCTGCACCTCAACGGTCGAAAGCGAGCCCCTCCTCCGCACGTTTTCTCGTACCAGAACCGATCTTAACCCCGACTTGTCCACAGGGGTCTCGAAGAAACAGAGAGCATAGAGACGAAGAATGGGCGCTGCTGACTCGCTGCAATTCATGCCCTCGCGGGCCCGTGCTGGACCCCTTGCACCGTCGATGCTTAGCATCTCCACCTACAAATGATGCTCACAGCAAGCGACGACAATTGTGATTCCATCAGGGGCTGTTGCGGCTGCTCCGTTGGTGCGCACCTCTGAATGCCCTCATTTCCGAGCAGCCGCTGATTGGTGGCCGTTGATTTCGTTCCTGCATGGTTCCTGGCACTTGGCCGCTTAGCGGGAACGCTAATCTGTTAGCACTGCTCTAGTGCTGCCAGGGCGCCCTGATGGCGATTTGCCGGTGCCTGCAGGTGCCCTGAGAGCGCTGAAGCGACGCAAGCACGATGTGAGCCAGGCTCCCTGCAGGTGACTTCATGTTCGTGGGAGGCATCGCAAACCTCCATTCAGGGTTTCCAGTTTGCCGTTTTTCCTGGTTGAATGCCGACTGACTGACCCTGGCCAGGTTGACAGACTGCGCACGTTCGCAAAATGCAACCGCAGTCTCACCTTTCTGCCAAGTACTCGTGCCCGTTGCTCGGTCTGAACCGTCTCGGTCAAATCTGAGTAATAATGCATGCTACTCATATGATATGAAGGCTTCAGCACCGCCATGTCGCACCACGTTGCTCTTGAAACCCAGCACCAGAGCCTGAACCATCTCGCGTCCAAGCACTTCATCAGCTTCCAGCGTTATAGTCTAGCGGCATCCTCCGCGATCTCGCGTGGAAACATCGGCTGCCGGCATCATATTGACGAATTACGGCGGTGTTACAGAGTGTTAGCACAACCACTAACACCAACAGAGTGCTGACCTGCGCTCCTAAGGAGATCCCGGCATTGCCATCGAAGATCTGAAGGATCATCAATCCGCGATTGCAACGGCTTCTCTTGCTCTCTGAAAGTGCAACTTCCCATATCACGGTGATTACAGACTCGGGTGGTCACAGTACAGTGAATCGACAAAGTGCTGAAAGGGTGCAAACCAAGCAAATGGTCGATTAACTATCTCAATATCAAGATTGCTCCCGTCGTCTGGCCTACCCAGGTATATCAACAAAAGGATCATCATACTACAGGACATTCTTCTGTTCATGCCTCAACTCTCCCCCAAGCACCCCCTCCGGGCGTCTGAATCACTATGCTGTCTCCAGGATTCAGCCTTGTGGTAGCCTTGGCCCCCATATTGATGACTCTCTTCAGTCCTGTTGCTGGATCCGTAACCTTGATGCAGTTCAGACCAGCCGCGCCGTCGCCTCCACCCTCCATACCGTAAGGGCGACGCGATCTCCTCTCGCTGAGAATGGAGCACTGCACGGGCACGCGGAACTCAATCTCTCTCACGGTTCCGTCACCGCCTCTGTTGCGGCCCTTTCCTCCCGAGCCTTTGCGTAGCTCAAAGCGCCGCAGAATGCACGGATATCTCTTTTCGAACACCTCGGGATCAGTAATTCGAGTGTTTGTCATGTGCGTGTGGACGCCGCTCTGGCCAACCCAGTTGGGGCCGGCACCAGAGCCTCCGGCGATAGTTTCGTAGTAGCCAAAGCCCTCCTTGTGCTCTCCCGTGATCGGATCCTTGCCGCCAGTGCCAAAGGTGAGGTTGTTGCAGCAGCCTTGACTGGCAGCACAGGCGTTGAACGCGCGGAGGACAACGTCTGTTACACGCTGCGACGTCAACACATTGCCGCCGACAACAGCGAGGCCGTCTCCTGGATTCAAAAGAGTGCCTTCCGGAATGACAATCTTGATGGGTGTTAGACAGCCTTGGTTGAGAGGGACAGAAGACGACACAAGGCAGCGAAGGCAGTAGATGATGGCCGAGTGCGTAATGGCAATGGGGGCATTCGTGTTACCCAGGACGTGAGGGCCAGTGCCAGTAAAGTCAAAGACGGCGGATCCATCAGGCGAAATGCTAATGGAGAGAGCGATAGGGGTTCCGTCGTCCATATACTCAGTCGCGACAAGGGGCTCCGGGCCGTATTTCTCACGGGTTGCCTTCAACAAGGCTCGCACGGCATCCTCCGCGGTGTGCTGGATGGCGTACATGTACCTGTGCACGGAGGCCAAGCCGAACTCTTCGATGAGGCCTTTGATCAGCGAGATGCCCTTGGCGTTGGCTGCGATCTGGGCTTTCAGGTCCGAGATGTTGTCCTGCAATCTCCGGGTGCCCGAGCAGCCCTCATACTGCGCGGGTTCTTCAAGGAGCAGTCTGACTACCTCTGCCTCGTCGAAGCGGCCTTGGCTGACGAGCTTGGTAGACTTGATCGAAGCGCCTTCCTGCCACAACGCTGACGAAGTAGGGGGCATCGAGCCTGGGAGAATGCCGCCGATATCAGCGTGATGACCGCGAGAGGCAACGTAAAAGGCAAGTTCTTCTCCGTCAAAGACGGGAGTGATGACCGTGATATCAGGCAGATGAGTGCCGCCGCACGAAGGGTGGTTCGACATGAGGACATCGCCGTCGCGGAGCTTGCCTTCCCAGAGGCGATGCTGGTACTGGACTGCAAACTGCATGGATCCCAGGTGGACGGGAACGTGCGGTGCGTTGGCGACGAGGCCGCCGTCGGGGCTGAAGATGGCGCATGAGAAGTCGAGGCGCTCCTTGATGTTGGTCGACACGGCGGTTCGTCTGAGTGTGCGGCCCATCTGCTCTGCGATGCCCATGAAGCGGTGGCCAAAGACTGTGAGCTGGATGGGGCTGAACTCTTCCTGCTCGCCGTTGTTCCTGGACTTTGTGGAGTTAAGCGCGCCGTCGATGACCACGTAGCTGTCCAGGATGGTGGCTGTAGTTCCGGGAGCGACGACGATGGTCTGGGTGTTGTCGATGATGAGTGCCGGGCCTGCAATCTGCGATGCCTCTGCGAGCTTCTGAAGCTCATAGATGGGCGTGTCGACACGTCCGGCGCCTTCGAAATACACAGGGTTTGTACCATCCGCTCTTGGTGAAGGAACGCTGACGCTTTGAATCTTCTTCATCTGAGCATATGGAGTCTTGGTCTGCTTCGCGCCGGTGCCGCCAACGGCTCGGATGCGGATGTCGTCGACGATGATGTCCTTTTCTGGGAAGTGGAAACCAAAGCTGCGCTTGTGAGCCTCTTCAAACTCACGCTTGAAGTCCCAGTCGCGGCCCTTGAGGATCATGAGCGAGCTACTTGAGCCGACATATCGCATGCTGAGGTACGAGTTGTGCGAGATTTGGTCCACCGAGAATCCCTGACTCACAAGCGCGTCGGTGGCCTGCTGGGCGAGGCTCTCCAGCTGAGACCGGATCTCAGTCTCCGTCTCCGGGCTGTAGACGATGGCGGCGGGGCGTTGCGTCTCGTGAACGACATCAGCCAAGGAGATGCCGTACGCAGACAGAATGGAGGAGTACTTGTGCATGATGATGCGGGAGATGCCCAGGACGTTGGCCACGGCACAAGCGTGCTGTCCGCCCGCACCGCCAAAGCAAGCCAGATGGTGGTCGGCGGCATCGTAGCCGCGAGCCTCTGTGAGAGCGCGGATCGGTCCGGCCATGCCCTCGTTGGCGACTTTCAGGAAGCCGAGGGCCACCTCTTCTGGCGAGAACAGGGACAGTCCAGCGGCCTTTCTGTCCTTGTTGATGTCGTCTGTGAGCTCGGCAAATTTGCGCTCGACGATTTCACGGTTCAACGGCTCGTTCTCTTTGGGACCAAACACCTTGGGGAAGTACTCCGGTAAGATCCTGCCGAGGAAGAGGTTTGCGTCCGTGATGGTCAACGGGCCGCCTTTTCGGTAACAGGCTGGGCCCGGGTGGGCAGATGCGGACTCTGGTCCCACGTTGAAGAGGCCGTTTCTCCAGGAGAGGATAGAGCCGCCTCCCGCTGCGACTGTGTGGATATCCAGCTGCGGCGACTGGATGGAGATGCCGGCCGTCGTGGTCTCGAAAACGTGGTCGTAGACACCTGCATATCGCGACACGTCCGTTGATGTGCCGCCCATGTCGAAGCCGATGATGGGCCGCCTCTCCTCGTCGTCCCACGACGTCTGGGCGTAGCCGACGACGCCGCCCGCAGGACCCGAGAGAATGGCCTTGAGGCCGCTGAACTTGCGGTAATCAGCCAGGCCGCCATCTGACTGCATGAATTCGATCCTGGTGTCTGCGGAAGAGAATCCGCCGCGGAAGTTTGCCTCGATGGAGCTGATGTACTTTCGGATGATGGGGGTGAGGTAGGCGTCTGCAACGGCGGACGTTCCGCGGGGAACCACGTTGATCATGGGCTGCAGCTCTGATGACAATGTGACAGAGAATCCCATCTCGAGAGCGAGCTTGCCGACGAGAAGCTCGTGATTGGGGTAGGCGTAGGAGTGGATGAAGACTACGGCGATGGAGCGGAAGCCCTGGTTCCATACTTCTGCGAGCTGTTTCTGGACGACGTCGAGGTCGGGTTCCTGCAGGATGCGGATGGTCTCGCCTGTGACTGCGGCGACGAGCTGTGCGTCTTGCGCTGTGGGTGTGGTTTTTACAGAGTCTGGATCCTCGGTGTAATCTTCCATGGTGACGCGCTCCTCTACTTCGACCACATGGTCGTAGAGAACCTCTGGCCGCGACACTGACAAGTCAAAGATCTGAGGCCGCGACTGGTTCCCTATGGCCAAGAGGTCACGGAAGCCCTTTGTCGTGACGAGGGCGACTCTCTCGCCCTTGCGCTCCAGGAGGGCGTTTGTGGCGACGGTTGTGCCCATGCGGATGGACTCGAAGTGGAAGAGGTCGAGGGGCTGGCCGCGGGGCAGCTGCTCGCCCGTGACGAGCTCGAGGATCCTCCGGATGCCTTCTGTCGGGGCATCTTGGTAGTTGGCCGGATCGACGGAGAGGAGCTTGAGGATGATGTCGTCCCTGCCGGGGATGGAGGCGTGGACGTCTGTGAAGGTGCCGCCTCGGTCGATGGAGACTCTGATGCGGAGGGACTTGATGGCCATTGCTGGGGAGGGAGGTTGTTTTTTTGGGGGAGGGGGTATACGGGTGTTGTGTTGATGTGTTCTATCAGCAACGACAGCCCAGCTGAGAGGCCCTTTCTTTATACAAGGTTGGATCGAAGCTCGCCTTGCTTCTGACGAGGAGGTGAGGAGGCAAAAAGATTGACAAATGGAGCAAAGAGAAAAGAAGAGCGGAAGCACAGCATTTCCCCGTCACGTCTCCATCTTCTCCATCTTCAGTTCCGCACCGGCCTCGGACACCTTCTCCCCTCCTCTCTTCCCCCGCTGAAAGAACCATGATGGATTCAATGCTCTGGGTTCCCGACGGTTTGCGAGTTCTTGCGGCGGCACAGAATCCCGCGGGGCTGCCGGTGTGGGTCCCCGCAAACCGAGACGCAGGGCCGGGGGATGACGCCCAGCAGCTGGTCTAAGCCAGGAAGAGGCTAATGGGGAGGAGTTTTGCTTGTCGGGGTCGATTCCCGACGGCCAAGTGGGAGGTGGATGCTTACTAAATGGGGCCACAGGCTGCAGGAATGGGGTTCCGATGTTGGAGAATGGGAAGCGGAGGTTGGATTTGGGGCGGGCTGGCTGGGGGGTGCGGAAGCCGAGATTTGAGGCTGTCTTTCATGTTGCATTTTCGAGATCAGCTGCTGAGGCTGATATCGACGACGGCTGATACGGGGCTGAGAGCAGATGCTGCAGACTGCCATTATCTTCTTGTAAGGGACAGAGAGGGCTGAAATTTCATATCAGCAAAAAGTAGGGCTGAAGCGGCTGTGCAGCAGACAGGCAGCTCTACGCAGGGCTGACTGTCCATTTCGACGTCGGGATAGCAGCCCGCAGCTCAAATCGCCTGCAGCCCTTTCGCGATCCTCCAAGGCTCCCTTCGCGAAGGGCCATGTTGAGGCTCTTGAGCGTCCTATCGCTGCTTTGGCCTGGGTCCGGAAACATCAAATACGACGCAGAGACGGGGTCGGTCCCTCTCCATGGCCCACATCTCGCAGGGTTCTCCGAGTCGAAAGAGTTTCACGACAGGTGATACTGCCGTTCCATAGGCTCGTGGCATCATCGTCACTTGGCATAACGAGATGGAAAGGATGACTTCTCCTGAGGGTTCCGCTGGACAGGCTGCGGAGCAGTTTACCTCGAGGCCGGTCGCGTAAGTTTTCTCGCGTTGCAAACTGACTCAGATATGACTTGGGTTATCGTATACTTATATGTGTGTTGTTCTTCTGCCTAGATGTATGAACTGCCGTCAGAGGCGCTCGTATTGTTCCAAGGAGAAGCCTACTTGTTCGAGATGTCGTGATTCTCGACTTACGTGCATTTACGAGGGGGCCAGGAAGATTCTTGTGAATGAGTCGTACCTGCGTGAGCTTGAGGCGAAAGCAAAGGCTTTAGACAGTAAGTAAAAGGCTCTACCCAGTATCCGACCAGGAGGAGCTTCGATGTGCTAAACAGCGTTGATGCAGGTATGCAGCCTGGCGGTTCGATCGCTGCGCATCGCCACCGCAATAACGACGAAGATGACGATTTCGAGGATGAGCAGCCGCTGCTTGAGCCTTTTACGCAGCTCAGTCTGGACAACGTATCTACGAGTAAGCCTCTGCTGCAACACTTAGATGCTACATTTTCTGATGTTTCTTCAGGCTTCCAAGGCCCCGCGTCGGCGGACAACTTCCTTCGCAATGTGAGAAAGCTATCGGGCTTCCAAGGGGACGATGGGAGCCTTGATCTAGTCTCCAACTTCTACGAGCCCGATGCCCTGCCATCAAGGCGACAGGTTGTGTTCGGTATACGCTCGCGATTGCCACCCATTGACATGGCACGGAGGCTCTTTGCAGCACAGTACATGTACATTGGCACCATCTTTGCCTTTACCGACCCCCGCGAGTCGTTTGAACGCTTGCTTCTCGAGGCATACGGCGGGTTGCCGGATCCCGCTGATAAGACGGCGTGCCTGGAGTATGCCAAGGTGCTCATCGTCTTGGCCTTTGGGCAGCTGTACTCGGTGAATCAGTGGGTGGACTTTCGAGGACCGCCGGGCTTCGATTACTTTCGCGATGCGCTGAACCTCCTCCCTGAGACTCACGAGGAGGGCTCCATTCTGTGTGTCGAGACGCTGGCGCTTGCGGGATACTTTATGCAGAATATGAATCGCCGCGATGCTGCGTTCCAGTACATCGGCAAGGCTTTGCGCATGGCCATCTCGCTTGGCTTGCACCAAGAGGTCAACCCTCATTACAGCTCTCAGCAGGGCCCGGTTCTGGATAAAGCGGAGAGGGAGCATCGACGACGGGTCTGGTGGTCCATATACAGCCTGGACAGGATCCTGTGCGTCAAGTCCGGCAATCCCATCACCATCCAGGACGAGGACATTGGCGTCGACATGCCGTCGCCGCTGCCCGGAGACCCCAAGTATTGCCCGGCCGTGGTGTTGCGCCACTACACCGAGCTGTCTCGGATCCTCGGCCGGATTCACATGACAATCTACCGCCGATCGAACAAGGCTGCGCCAAAGTCCGGCAAGAGCCTCATGGCGTCGGTGCAGAGCATCATCCTCTCGCTGTCCAAGTGGAATCGCGAGCTGCCCGATGAGCTGCGCTTCGACCCTTTGCGGCTGACGTTTAGCCGCGAGAGCGTGGGGGCCTTTGCGCATTACTATCAGTGCATTAACATGACGGTCAGGCCGCTGCTCTTCCATGTGGTGCAGAAGCGGCTGAAGGCGATCCGGGGCGGCGATGGGGCGGCGGAGAAGGAGCGCGACTGGAAGGAAGGGCTTTCGCAGACGACGGTGAGAGTCATTGAGATGTGTATTGCGGCGGCGCAGGATGTCATCAACATGATGGCCATTACAGCGCAGCAGGACATGGTTGGTGAGTTGCCCCCCCTTAGTGATGATTTTGACAGTCTCACGAGATGACGGCTAACAGCAACGGGCATAGCAACGTATGGCTACATGGACGGGGAACATATCTTTTCGGCCACCATTGTGCTCGTCATGGTTTGCACGGCGTTTCCTGACAATGCTGCCAATACCTTGGCCATGGAAGCTGGGCTTGCCTTGTTGCGGAACATGGGCGAGCGCGGAAACAGCCACATGGGCGCTCGCTACGAGTTGCTGGCCGGCATTCGCTCGAGCTCCTCGAGTCTCGCGTCTCCCGCTGCGGCTCCTCGCCAACATTTCAACATGATGCCGTCCGGGTTCCAGCCCGGAGGCGCTCCGATGGGGATCAATAAGGGCAAGGGGATTGTTACGCCGCACATGCCGATGGCACCACCTTACCCTATCGGCGCGTACAACAACAACACGGCCGCGAGCAGTGGAGGCGGGCAGTTCAACTTCCCGGCCGTGGACAATGATGCGCTGAACGAGCCGTTTTACGACGAGAGCGTGAGCACGGGGATGGACTTTGGGCTGTGGGAGGAAGGGTTTGCGTATCCTAACACGATGGATCTGGATTTGGACTTTGGGCAGCGGTCTTGTGCGACGGGGGGAGCTGGGGGGACGGATATTCGGGAGTGGATGTTTGATTTCATGGGGCAGGGCGGTTCTTCTGTTTGAGTGTGTTATCGAGGAGGTGAGCGATGTACACAGTCTGGATAGATGAGGAGAGACTACAGTAGATGAGTTGATGAGTAGAAGCTGAAGATAGAGAGATGTTTGCTGGGTTTACAAGATCTTCTTCTCCACATCATCGTATATACATATCTTGCAGGGTTCATCTTTGTCTTGCTCTTGTGTTTATCGTGAATCCACAGAGTCGGTATCTAAACGAGATGCTCCTCGATTTCATACTACTACTACTACCAAATCTACACGGTCACTGAATCCAGGCAAGATGCAATGCAACATCATGATTGCCACATCCCCCCACTCCCACTCCTACGCCATGACGACGCCGTCACTGAACATCCTCGTTTTACATGTCATTCAATCCGAACAAGCAGAAATTCTCCATCTCCATCAAGAACTTCTCCATCGCCTTCCCCGCACAAAGCTAGCCCTCCCTAGTTCGAACGCCACAACGAGAAAGAAGAAGAAGCCCCGGAATCGTCCTCCATAACAGGAGAAAAGAAGAATTACATAGCAGGGAAAGTTCCCCAATCGCCACTTTTGCTTCCAGGGGTCGGTGAGGGTCTCCGATCTTTGAGCCCCACAAAGCTATTTTGCGGTACTTGATAGCGTGTGTGTACGGCTAATGTCCTATCACTCCCAAGACGAAAGAGAGAGAGACTTTGTTGCGTATTATCGGGCGGGCGCGGGATGGGGGGACTTGGATTTCTGGGGCTTCTTGGACGATAATTATGGATGAGAGTTTTGAGATCGGTTGATATGCTCTTACTGTACTGTTCTTGCTTTTGGACTTTTTTTCATTTTCGGACTGGAGGCTCCGTTGGAAGACATCCCTGGCATGATTGTTTGTTTAAATGGGATGGGATCCGACCCTCTCTCCACTTGACGGTTGCATTTGAAGCAGATTCCCCACGGGGTTGTTTTGTGATCACTTGTTTTATAACAGGGCCCGGGAACTTTGATACTACATACCTATTATTTCTTTTTTCATCTCCTTTCCTCTGTTTGTCTTGGAGTTTGTCATTGTCAACTCTCCCCATGACTGCAACATGGCGTCGAACCCAGACCTCGACGAAAAGCGCCCCTCCTCTCGCGATGTCTCCTCCCAAGACATCGACGAGTCGGCCTCCTCCATCCCGCTCATCGACCCCCATGCCGAGAAGCGCCTCCTGCTCAAGCTGGACATGTACTTTGTCCCCATCATCATGCTCGTCTACCTGACGTGCTTCCTCGACCGCAGCAACATCGGCAACGTCAAGGTCGCCGGCATGCCCGACGACATCGGCGCCAGCGCAAAGGAGTTTTCGACGGCCGTGTCCATCTTCTACGCCACGTACGTGGCCTTTGAGCCGCCGTGGAGCGTCATGATGAAGTGGATGACGCCCCGGATCCTGCTGACGGGCCTCTGCGCGGTGTGGTCCGTGACGACCATCTGCACGGGCTTCATCCATAACGTCGCTGGGCTGTATGCGGTGAGGCTGGTGCTGGGGGCGTGCGAGGCGGGACTGTTCCCCGTGATGAACTTGTACCTCACCATGGTGTACAAGCGCCATGAGCAGGGCATCAGGGTGTCGTACCTCTTTGTGTGCACGGCGATTTCGGGCGCCTTTGGGGGGCTGCTGGCGTTTTGCATTCTCAAGATGGATGGCGTTGCCGGGTACGCGGGCTGGAGGTGGGTGTACATCATCGAGGGCATTTGCAGCTTCGTGATTGCGCCCATTATCTGGTTCGGACTGCCGAATGACCCTTCCAATGCGTACTTTTTGACCGAGGAGGAGAAGGCTATGATGAAGGTGCGGGAGGCGCAGAGGGCGCAGTACATGGGCAGCGAGGAGTTTAGCTGGGAGGAGATTTGGATCAGTCTCAAGGATCCGAAGCTGTATCTCAGGTATGATCCCTCATATTGACCCCCCTTAACGGAGAGATCTGTTGCTTACATATTCGGCTTCTGCAGCGGCTGCATCCAGTTCTGTCAGGACATTCTCCTATACGGCTTCAGCACGTTCCTCCCCTCCATCATCGTCAGCATGGGCTACACCTCCATCGAGGCGCAGTACCTCAGCATTCCCGTGTACATCTTTGGCGGCCTGTGCTTCCTCGCCCTCGCCTTCGTCTCCGACCGAACGTGCATCCGCGGGCCGTTCCTCTGGCTCTCCAACATTCCCGGCATCGTGGGCTACATCCTCATCCTGGCGCCCACCAGCAACGCCGTCAAGTTCCTCGGCACCTTCTTCTGCGCCGCGTCGACGTACTGCGGCCCTGGGCTGAACCTGACGTGGCTCAATGTCAACGTTGCGCCGCACTATCGGCGTGCTACGGCGATTGGGGTGCAGCTGAGCATGGGGAACACGGCGGGCGTTGTGGCGGGCCAGATCTACAGGGCGTCGCCGTATGTGCTGGGGAATGCATTTTCGGTTGGGGCTTTGGGGTTGGCGCAGCTGATTATTGCTGCCAAGTGGTTTTATCTGCGGAGCCAGAATGATGAGAAGGAGAAGATTGCGAGTGGGCAGGTGGAGGATAGGAGAAAGATTCAGAGCGGTGACCGGGCTGTGGATTTCAAGTATCATCTATGAGCGGTTGCTAATGGGGCAAAGATCGAGCTGGAACATTTTGATACAGTTGTTTCTAAACGAAGAATGATGACTAGACTAAGATGTGAGAGCAAATTTAGTATAATAATGACACCTGAGTCCAGCGAGCTAACACGGGTGAAGATGCATGGTCTACTATTTCCATTGGATACTGCTCCTTACTACCCAGGTTGACGGCTATAGCCATGTGTAGCTTGCAACCTCAATTCACCAGGACGGCGAATATTTGATTCCAAATAAGAACGACTGAGTATAGACTCATGCCAATGCTTCAGCACTCACTGGCGAGCTGTATTATTGAGACAGCTCGCCTCGCTCGCCTAAGTCGCCCTTGAAGCAGTTCGGGTTCGTTCAACTCACGATGTCTTCATATGCAGTAAGCACTACTGGCCTAATTCGGAATATGCTGCCCTTTAGTATGCATGACCCTGGACTAGAAGCCTGAAGACCAAGGAAGCATTAGTCACTGCAACTATTACAATGATCGCAAGTAGACGTTGCTACAACATCTTCTTGGAGTAGAGAATATGGCATGTATATAAACTGAAAGTATGCTGCCATACTGCACAATCGTCTATACACCAATCGTCCAACAAGCAACATACCCTCGCTCTGCTCACGATGGCGGAATTAGCATACCAAATCCTCCCCGCCGTCCATACAGTCGAGGTCGGCAACTACTCAGTCTTTTACCGGGAAGCAGGGCCACCTGATGCTCCAACTCTGCTACTGCTTCACGGCTTTCCCTCGTCCTCGTTTCTCTTCCGACACTTGATTCCCGCCCTTGCTTTAACCTACCACGTTGTCGCTCCCGACTTCCCCGGCTTCGGCTTCACCAAGATCCCTACCCAGTTCCCCCACACCTTTGACAACATTGCCGATGTTATGGAAGGGTTTCTGGATGCATTGAATATCCAAGAATTCGCAGAGTACATCATCGACTATGGCGCTCCTGTTGGGCTGCGACTGGCGGTTCGGCGCCCGCATGCAGTCAAGGCCATTGTCTCGCAGAATGGAAATGCTTATGTGGAGGGACTTGGGCCAGGTTTCGATGCTATACGAACATACTGGGCATCAGGGAGTCAAGCGTAAGTCGCCAGATGCTGTTTGGGTTGTCGTATAAGATGGGTTGTTGGCCAACCATGTTAGTGACCGCGATGCATTGATTCCCTTCTTCACACTGAACGCAACCGCGTCGCAATACACCACCGGAACAAAGCTCCCCCAGTCTCTGGAACCTGAATCATGGTGGCTTGACTATGCACTCATGAATGACCAGCCTGGAAACACCGACGTTCAGCTGGACTATTTCTTCGACTACCGCAACAATGTGGCGCAATACCCGCAGTACCAGGAGTATTTCCGCCAATCTCAGGTGCCGCTGCTTGCTGTCTGGGGAGAGAATGACCAATTGTAAGTTTTAGTTGACTGTGGCTTCTGCTCACCAAAGAATGTTGACGCTGAGTTTGTTAACTGTGATGTTAGCTTCATTCCTGCTGGCGCAATGGCGTATAAGCGAGATCTGCCTCATGCTGAGATTCATCTCATTGATGCTGGCCATTTCGCTTTGGTTAGCAATGCTAAGGACATTCTGCACTATATGTTGCCGTTTTTGCAAAGGAATTTGGGGAAAGGACAGCATTAGTAGAGAAGATGTGATTCCGTGCAAGGGTGGAGAAGCTGCTTGATCGCGTAAACGAGCGGCGGCGGTGGCGGTATAAAGTCCGCAAGGATTGCTTCCCTTCATATTGCAGAAGAGATAGAAGTAGAAATCATATTGAGAGAGCGTTTACATAAACCAATGAAGAACAATCCTCTCGAATAGCTGATATCTTTCCTTGAGCTTCATCATATAATACTAGCAAATGCTTCATCCGGCAGTCCAAGCAAATCCGCCGGTGCATGCCGGCAAGCCCGCAGCTCCTCTAACATGGCGCCGGAGTTTAGAAGCTCAGCAGCCTATGAAATCCCTGGACGTCAGTGTCTTGCTTCCTCTACCTAAGGTAGCATCGATGCTCCCCCACCCGACCAAAGAACGGGCTGTACCGCCCCTTTTGCTCCTCCGTTCAACCTCGAATAAAGAGAGAAAGTTACTTCAGCCCTAATTTGCCTTGCTCTGTGTCACCGAAAGAAGCAATACATGCCATGACTTCATCCCAGCATCTCAGCGAGCTCGACCGCACGTTTGTGAACCTGACCGATGATCCCGCGCAGGGCCGCGGCGCAAGGCGCACGTACATTCGGCGCGCGGTCATGAAGAACTTCCACAAGCGGCGGAACCAAAAGAAGAAGGCCTCGCGGCATGAGGCCGAGATAGCGGCAGGCAGCCGCGAGAACGCATCAAAAGCGGCGATGACGCCGAATCGCCCGGTTAGCTCGCGGCTGAGTCCGCAGATGTGTGCCCTGGTTAGTTGCCATGATGAATTCACTCTCTAAAGACGGTCATCTTAACATGTGACTTGCAATCAAGATACCCAAGTTCGACCTCTTCGAACAGCGACAATTCTCAGAGCCGTCACTGATGCAGATGAGCAATTCTGTACTGAGGTATTTGTGTGGCCAAGCATCGAAAGTGGCTCACGATCTGTCCCTTGTGGCCTTCCTTCATCCTTCCTCTGAGCAAGAGCTTCAGAGCGGCTCTGCATCTCCCAGCTCGAAGCCGAGTCCTCTCAAGACATGCCAGAACTTGTTGCGGGCATATGGCTCGTGTAAAAGTGAAACTCTTGGGTTGTCTGTCGATAGAGAGCCGCTGTGGGAGATGATCCATCAGCATCAGGAATGGATATACGCAAAGGCAAGACAGTTATCTTTCTTCTGTGACTTTGAGTTACTATCATGACTGACTTTAACCAGGTCGGCACGCTTTGTAAATGGGAGCTGCTGTCCGCGGCACAAGCTGTCTCAGTGTACGTACTTTTGAGAATAAAGCTGGGGAGAAACAATGCAGCCTTTCCGAATGGAGATATTGCGCTTCTCTATACTCTCGGAGTGAGTTGCCCTCCGCTCCCATCTTTGACTTGTGTCGTTGACTGTGGATGGAAAGCTGACTCTTACATACAGTCCATTTTTAGACGTCTTCAAGTGGAGGGCACATTGGATGTTTCTCAGCATCCGCAGGAGGACTGGAAGCAATGGGTGTTTTGCGAATCCTTCGTCCGTGTCGCCACCATCTACTTCACCCTAAACGCCGTGCTCTCCATGGAGATCGGACTGCCATGCAATAGCCCGCTGGACTGGGATACCGAGGGCATGCTGCTCCCGGCTTCCAAAGCTTCATGGTCTGCCCAGAACATTGACGACTGGAAGAAACTGACAAGCACCTGGTTGCCGTACAAGCAGCTGAAGTGGAGAGACTTGCTCGATCCGACACCTTTTGGCGACTCACCGGTGGACGAGTGGAGGGAAAGCTCGGATGAACTGGGCTTGTTGGTCACAATGGCGATGACGATAAGAGCTCAGCTGTTGCGCGAGGCAATGCAAGCCGGCAGCATCCCTTCCAGGGAATCCTCTGCGAGTTGTCCCGTATGAACGTGGGGTTGGTTCCAAACGAGGGCTTTCCCTGCGATGTCTCGAGCTCAAGTTGGAGGATCGAGTATGAGGTGGGCCTAGACAAGCGCCGGCAAACCCATGCTCTCCAGATCATTCCGCGTTTGCAATGACGTATACGAGGATGCTGAGATGTCGCTCTTCGAGTAGTCCGACAGCAACCAATATGCTGGAGGAGCGCTCACAGCTCAGAGTGGACTTGACTATACCGATGGCCGCCCTCCAACATGAGTGGCATGGCCTAGTCGCCTCACTGTCGAGAATAATGCTGGATCGTACTCTTCTATACCATGGCCACATGCTACCCGGCGTCCTGTCTAGCTCGATGAAAAATCGTGTCGTTAAAAGGACTAGGCGGGTGAATCTATTCACAGCAATACATGCATGATGGCATTCGCAATCTATGTATACCTAGAATTTCCTCCACGCGTGATGTCTGAGAACGCATCTGTCAGTTCCGCACAAAGTGCAACTCAAAAGAAGCACTGGGCTTGAAATCAAACTCTTCGAATTTCCTTTTCTACGCTACCATGCTGAGAAACTTGCTATGCCAGATGTCGAGCATCTAAGCTAACAAAAAGAAACAAAGCTCTATGAGTGTCCCTGGTACGTGTACTCAAGAGACGTGTGCCAGGGGTTGGGGCTGGTGCCCTTGGCAATGACCCAAGCAGCATCGAGAGCCTTGACAACGTCCTCGGGCAAAGGGCCCTTCTGCAGGTCCGCAACGTTCTGGTCCAGCTGGGATATCTTGCTGATTCCGAAGATGACGCCGTCGTTTCCTCCGTCCTTGGCAAATTTCAGGGCAGAGTGGTGGACGAGCCAGCGGATGGCGACTTCGGGCATGGTCAGCTTGTGGCTCTCGGCCGCAAGGCGGAGAATGTCGAGGGCCTTGAACAGGCTCTCGTTGAAGTACATGGAGCGCATAATGGGACCCAGGAACGTGTTCTTGCTGAAGCGGCCCTGCTGGTCGTCGTCATCGGGCGACTTGTAGCGCCCGGTCAGGAGACCTCCCCCGAGCGGAGTGAAGACCACGACTTCCAGTCCAAAGCGGCGACAGGCAGGGATTACTTCTGTTTCCAAATTTCGGGCTACAAGATGTATTGTTAGTTCCGTCTCTCCATGCGGTTCAACAACTGGGCTGGGAAAAACTCCTTACTGATGGCGTTGTAAAGCCCCTGGTAGATGGTGGGCTGCACCCAGCCTCGGTATTGGCACAGCATGACAATCTCCGCGACCTCGTACGCCGTGAAGTTGCTAAGGCCAAGCTGCTTGAACTTGCCCTCCTTGTACAGCGTGTTCGCGGCTTCCAAAGTCTCAGTAAAGGGGACGGAGCGGTCGGCCGAGTGCAGGTAGAAGATGTCTACACAGGTGGTGCCCAGCGCGGCGAGAGACGTCTCCAAGTCCTTGCGGAGGTTCGCCGCCGTGTGCTGTCCGGGAACAAGAGGATAGCTCTTGGTGGCAATCTTGAAGCCACGCTCTTTGTATCCCGCCTTTGCGGTAAAGGCCTCCTGCTCGCCGCCGGAGTAGATGCGGGCTGTGTCGAGTTCGTTGTAGCCGTGCTTTTGGAAGGCGTCGAGGTGAGCCTGCATCTCTTCGATGGTTGTTACGCGGTTGTCTGGGGAGGTTGGGGGGCCGTAGGTCATGAGGCCGAGGATAGCTCTGGGCTTTGAGGAGGCCATTTTTGTTGTCGTGATGCTGGAATCTGAGGCTGGATTTGAAGGTTATGCGTGTAAGTCAGACTCTGTCTGTGGCGGCTGTTATTTTGATGAGGATGGTAATATGGCAGCTCATGCGGAATCAACATGCTTTTATAGTTCTATCTCTCTTCTAACCCTTTACTCCAGTTTGCCCTTATTATGTCTTCAATACCACAAAGCATTTACTGCAAGCTATGTAAAGCCTCATTCGTATAATACTGCTCCTGTCGATATGCCCGATTTGGTATGTCAGAACAGGCGACTAAACCCCATGAGGCAATACAGGGTATTCCTCCGCCAGCTGACTATTGGTCGATCAACTCCAGCCAACCTCGAACAAGAAAGACAACGAGAAGGCAGACTTTGCAGAGTAGTCTGTTGGATGAGCTGAGTGGAAATTTAATCAGGACATACACGAGAGGCAATTGTGCTTGCTGCTGTTTTGAACCGTAAATACGGAGCAGGCGGAATTTACTGTGCGGAGATTCAACAGACGCGCTCAGACTCTTGGTTTCCCTTTTTCCACTTCGATGTGTAAGGCTGGTTGCGGATTAATTACAAAATATTCCCCGTATGGCAATTAGTTGGTCTTTACAAGCTACAGAAGACTAATGTTTTTCGATACACCAATGGAAGCTCACCATTGTTCCATGGTAAAGCGGCTCAACATTGCTTAGCGTCTAGATAGCCATGCGGACATCTAGGCATACGACGTTTCGATGTCTTGCCCGATTTGACAACTAGGAGGAAGACAACACTGGTAAGCAGTTGCTGCTACATCACTTCAGTTGCCATTTATGCTAAGGAGTGATTGTATTGCTGAATTGGGCGTCGTCAAGTTCGTCAAACTCGTTAGCTTAGGCGATTCTCATCTGTGGTGGCATTCACTTGTCCTTTTCCCACCCCATCAAAGAGTCTTCCTCAGGTATCAATGGCTGGTGACAAATCTGTAATCTATTACGGCTACTGAGTTTCGTACTTGAGGTTATCGCCAAAGCACTCCGGCTTAGTAGGTGAAGGCAAGTGTCAGAGCTTATTGATAAGCAACTTCGCATAGCTATTATTTTCCAATACATGTTTTAGACAAGTCCTTGGAGGCAGCTGAACATTACTGCCCAGACCTAATACCTCAGGTATTATAGAAGCAAAGCTCCAATAAGCCCGTCAAATATATAACGTATGGTTCGTGGTTCGCACACAGTGCGGCAGATGTCCTAGCCTTGAGAGACGCCATCGTATTGCCATTAGCTATCAATCGCCGAGGGACACTTCAAAGCATTCAATAGGAGGTTCTCATTGTATAGGTAGCTTCCATAAGTATCTCTATCGTCTTGTGTACCGCTCGCTGATTCATTGATACAGTTTCAACCCGCATCTACTCCACGACCTTTTTCAAAACGCCCGTATCAGTATCATGAGTCCAGCCCGTCACCCGCACCTTCTTCCAAGCGAGAGGATGATTGCGAAGATACTCAACTTCCTCCTTCGTAGACTTCTCCAAATCAAAGAAAGTAAGCACCTCAAAGTTACCCACCTCCTTTGACTCGGCCAAACCCAGGTTCTTCTTCATGACACCATGCACAACGTCCTCTGGGACGCCCAGGAGCCCGCATCGAGTATGCTTGATGAGAAGCACTTCTTGGGCACCGAGTACATGAGTCACGAGTAGGACGGAGCGAGCGGCGTCGCGGCCGGATGCTCCTGCGTTGCGGATGGTGGTGACTTCGCCTAGTTCGAAGCCGTAGGCGGACTTTGGGTCGAGACGACAGTCCATGCATGTGACTGAGATAAAAGGTCAAGTTGGATGCTTGTAAGAGAGCTTGGCTGAGGAGTGAGGGGGTTTACCGATGACTGCTTTGAGTAGAGGAGGGCATTCGAGGCCGCTGTGCTTGTAGGTGCTGGCGTATTTGGCGTTGGCCTCGAGGACTTGGGATTCAAATGGAGTGGACATTTTGATCAATGGGAAGGGTAGGGATATTGTAGAACAAAATTGATGAGATGAGAGCTGATGAAGAGGTTGGGCTGATGCGTACAGAGCATTCAGCTGTTCATGATGAAAGGACTGCCAGGACTAGGTACTTATAGGAGAGCCGAACGATGATATGAAGCATTCGACACCATCATCATTGCCGCAGAGTACAATTCAACAGGACCCCAACACAGCACAAGCGGCAATATTACAAATGTACTCTGCAGCACTATTAGAGAAATAGTCGAAGCGTCACAGCGTTTCCTCCGGTCATAGCGGCCAGCAATGTGCACCTGGATCATGATGCGACAAGACATGCAATGCTTTCTCACTTCGTCGTGGTGTTTAATTCTACGTAAGCAGTATGTCTTGCAGCGTTTACCAGAAAAGATCATCCCGGTCAGCCGCTGACGCGGTACAAGCCGTTCATGCGGGCTGAAGTTGGGCATTGTCCGAATCCGTAACTGGGGCGATCTCTTGAGTTACCGAATTTATAATCAAGAGATCTCAAGATCCGGGGGCAGATAGTATTCTGATGTATTATCCCCCCTAGCATTCACATCAGATTAGTCACATCAGAATAGTCTAAGAGGTATTTTCGAATATAGTCATTAACGTAACTCTCATCTGCATCGTAGCCGGTGAGTGGGTATCCAAGGCAGAGCTGTCGCCCCTCCTCTTTTCAGATAGCCTTTATATACAGGAACTCAATTGGCTATAGAAACAACACAAACGTCTCTCAACTTCTCTATGCCACCCAGAACCATATCTTCTGCAGCAAGTTCTTGGGCACAGGCGGCTGGTCCATGGCCTCCATCTCGTCCATCTCCTTCTTGCCCGTGATGACGTCCACTTCAGACGTCTTAATGCAGAAGGGCGTCCGCTTCCAGATCTTGTGGCCGATGTACAGAACAAGAAAGATGGGCAGTGTGATGTAGGCGGCAAGGAAGTCGCTCACGTTCCAGTTATCGCCGATGAAGATCTGGAAGCCGTTGGTGAGGGTGAGGAGAGAAATGACGAAGAGCGCAGCATACGTGCCGTATGGCTGCAAGGGCGTCTTGTACGGCATCTCTCCCCAGAGGTTGTTGAAGAACATGGCCTTGCGGAAGCGAAGATAGGTGATCATGATGATGATCCAAGCCAGGAAACCAGAAATGGTCGAAATGTTGACGAACCAGTTGAAGACGGTGGCGCCGGAGTTGTTGACGTTGAGGAAAGCGAGGAGGGAGAAGGCCCATGTGAACAGAACGGCAACCCACGGGACACCCAGGCGGTTGGTGTGGGCAAACCACTTGGGAGCCTGGCCGTTGATGGCCATGGAGTACAGAACTCGGCTGGCGGAGTAGAGGAAGGAGTTTCCGGCCGACCAGGCAGAGGTGAGAATGACGGCGTTGATGATGTGGTTTAGGACGGGAATGCCCGCATTCTGGATGCCGATGACGAAGGGCGAGGCGCTGGCGTTGGAGGCTCCCAGCAGTCTAGGGTCGTTTGAAGGGACAATGATGCCGATGATGAGAGACGAGACGCCGTAGAAGAGGGCCAGACGGAAGGTGAATCGGCGGGCTGCCTTCTTCAAGTTTCGGCGGGGAGAAACGGCCTCGCCGGCGGCGATGGCGATCAGTTCGGGGCTGGTAATGAAGGCAAAACCTGTACAAGAGATGCGTCAGCTTCACACGCGCATGGACTCGAGGCAGTTCGCGTAGAAAACGAGTCAATGGGGGGGCTGATCAAACATACCGGCCTTGACAAAGGCGTGCCAGTAGCCCAAGAACTTGCCCGTGTTTCCCTTGGCATTGTATTCCACAAAGGCGCCCGGGTCATTCCAGTAGTGGAAGCCGAGGACGTGATGCTGATTCGGGCCACCGCCGAAGAACAAGACGATGCCGATGATGCAAAGGACAAACAAGGCAATCAGCTTGATCGACGCGAAAATGAACTCGGCCTCGCCAAAGATGGCAGCGGCAAACAAGTTGAGCGCCAGCAGGACAATGAGAACAATGGCAATCCAGACAGCAACGTTGACGTGGGCTTTCCAGTAGTCGAGAACAATGGCAGCTGCCGAGGCCTCGGCGGCGACCAGCATCGTGTAGGCGTACCAGTAGTTCCAACCCGCAGCGAAGCCCAGGCTGGGATCGACGAAGCGGCTGACGTAGTACGGAATGGTGACACCTCGGAACGGAAGGTAGACGGTCATTTCTGCCAGGACGTTCATGACAATGTAGACAATCATGGACATGGAGAGGTAAGCCATGAAGAGCGGCGCAGGCCCGGTGTCCGCCAGGATGCCACCGGATCCGACAAAGAGACCGGTTCCAATGGCTCCTCCGAGGGCCAGGAACTGCAGGTGTCGACTCTTGAGGCCTCGCTTGAGCTGCTCGCCATCGTGGGCAAACGTGAAGTCGGTGGTCTCACCCGGCCGGGCGGCCTCGATGTTGACGTCGAAGGCCTCGTCGGCTCCGGAGCTGCTCTTTTTCTCCATGATGAGTTCCGTCCGGCTGATGAAGACAAAGATGAGAGAGACGGGAGAGACTTGGAGCAGGACAGAGAGGAAGGAGAAAAAGACAAGGCAGCAGGGTCTGCCTTTATAGAGATCCCTGCTTGTCCCTCCCAGGAAGAAGGCTGTTTATCGTCTGCTCCAGCGTCTCCAAGGCCCTAAAGGCGCCCTAAAGAGAAGATCCCCGGCACATTGACGCCTCTTTAGCTGTTTTCAGCTTGGTTTGCTGCGGAGAGGGGACAGGGTTCAAGGCACGGACGGTTGGAGTGGAGGTACCGATACTTGTTGGAGGAAAAGTCGTCCGGTCCAAGGATCTGCTACTGAGTCGGTTATCACGAGAATGGGGGCCCGATAACAGTGACTCGGATGAGCGAGATTTTGGTCAAGATAAGGCTGATCTCCCTCAGTATTCCCATTGTTGACTTGTTACCAAATGTCTCACATAGATAGCCGCAGTTCGTCATATCTTTGAATATCTTCACCCTCTCCACTTGGAGAAGAAGCGGTAGGATTGCGGCGTACAGGTACCGACTACATACATGTAGTGGCGTCGGCATTCAAGCCCCGAACCCAATTTGCTTATGGGTTTAAGGCTCAAGCCTCTTTTTCTCTTCCCTTCGCCTCGCTTGTCCCGCCCGCCTCGAGCAAACTCTAGGGCTAACAAGAAGCGGGAATGTTCCAGAATGCGTCCATTCGGAGAAAAACAAAGTGAGAAGCTTCTTCGATGACACTTTGATGCTCTCGTGCCTGCATTTGGGTGCATTAGTGCTTCGTTTCTTTTGCATGAGAGAGTTTCATCCCGGACGCGTACAGATACATCTCACGGGTTCTGGACGGCCTGGCCTCTCCACAGACAAAGGCTGCAAATCCTTATCTTTTCCCGCCTGTCTTTGTTGCGACCGAGGATGGGGAAGTGGAGGCGTGGGAAGGATTAGTTGACTGGGGTTGGGAGAGACACGATTCAGTTGCGCAAAACATCCACCCTTCAGCTGTTACGTACAAAGATGGGCACCACCTGTGAGCACTTGAGGCTTGTGCCACCCGCTAGAAAGAACGGCAGAACGGGTTGGAAGCAAGAGCGAAGAAGTGGCTTGCTCCTTGCGATTCTGCTTGATGCGACGGGGAATGTTGGCTGAGTTAGGCTCTCGATTGAGTGGCATCATGGGTTTGCAGAAAAATCAACAGCAGTCTCTTCGCGAAAGGCCTCATGCAACGGACATGGGAAACTGCAGGCAAACCGAGTCTGCGAAACAATCAGCAGAGCCAATGTTCATGCTTGCTTCCTCTGGATAAGAGCGTCGGGAGTGGAAGCAAACTCGATGGACAAACTCCACAACACTCCGATCATACGTCGAAAGCTGCCCAAGGCTCATCAACGGCTCGCATTGAGCAATCAATCAAAGCGTCAAGCAATTCGCCAACAAGCCGATGAAAGCCGCCGGCCCAGCGTCACCTTCGTATCGTCCCTCGATAGGGCGCGTGCACCGCTTGTTGGCCATAGATTCTACAGTAAGCCGGGCTAGTCGTTGGGCGCCAACAGCCACTGGTACTATTCCGTTGCCCGCCATCATGGTTCACATGACGGACCGTTCGTCGGACGAGGAAAGGTTCCAGAAGCTTGGCACTACATTACTCGTGCATCCGTGCTAACAGGCGGTGATTCCACCGCCTCCAAAGGGCCCCCTCATTCTCCCCCAGGTTTCCCCAACTCTGAGAACGGAGAACTCGATCAACTCTAAACCAAATTCTGGGCCAAAGCCGGGGAAGGTTGGAATCAATAACCCATGAACCCAGTATTCTGCTCCTATGTGCTGTAACCTCAAGAGGAGAACAAATGCCTCGTTATGTGTGGCGTGAACCGGAGGATACCGAGTGTTGAGACTCCAGCTCGTCTTGTCAGTCAGCACCTTATTCGCGTTTCGCCTGGATGTTCATGTACATGCCAGTACCTGTGCCTGCGATTTCCGCGAAGAATGTTGATAGATAAGAGATGGATCGATCATACGATTCATCGGGCAATCCGTCCGACTCTCTGTTCATGCGTGACTGGTCTTCGTTCCTCACTAGTTTGAGCAGGTATACAGCACACCCAAGTGTACATCATACTGCACTTGTTTCTTCAAAAGCACATACTTCCATGGAGGATGAGTTCCGTGACTGACAATTTACTGGGTGAGGATCAAGAATCGAGCCTTTCTTGCTTCAATTGCTCTTCGAAAGCCGTGGACAGCCGTAGACAGCCGTAGTGGACATCCACAATGCTGCCACAACTTACATCCAGCTTCTAGTAGCACCTTTTCCTCCTTCTAGACGACCAAGTATTGCAGCTCGGCCCCATTACGACGGACGCTTGTACTGACGCCACTAAGTACGTAAAGCCCCACAACTGACTGGAGCAACGAAGCCGGGGAACACGCCTCCGTAAGAGCTAGATGGCTTACTATGGAAGAAAGATGATGATACTGGTACATCTACGCAGCAGCTGTGGATCGAAATGGGTAACATCACATGTGCCACATCGCTGGCCATTCTATCTTCTACGTGTAAGCAATTGGATCCAGGAAATACTCACCATGCTGATGTGGTTTGATACAGGTTTCCGCTCTCAAAAGAAGGAGGAGGATAATATCACATACTTAGGCAAACGGTAAGCTGAAGCCTCAATGATAGGCAATACTTGGCAAATAACAGATGCGACAAGACGCATGGGGTCCTTGGAATGATCTCTTTTACCGTTTTGACATAGTTCAATAGTAACGTCGCCGAGAAGATCAATACCGTCTCCGGATTTGGGAGATGTAAAGTTATGGAATGGCTAGACTGAGCGACTCAGCAGAAGAGGATTAAGGCCGGCGTGACAGAAGGCCATATTCATGCTGCACCCGATTGCCTATTTGAGAGCCGCTGTCATATAGTTGTGATACGAGCTGCAATGGCTTTGATTCGAGCCGGTCCATCCGTAGCCGAGGCGAAAGGACGAAGTTCACTACTCGGCTACTGGGAAAGTCGGATTCTGCCTGAGCTCATGGTGCGCATGAGAAAGTAGGCTGATAGCGAAGCCATTCCAAGGGTGGGAATGAGGAGAAAGGCCTCAACAATAAGGTATCTAGCCAGACTGGACTCCTGTTAGACTTGTCAATTAGTTCATGTGATGTAGCTTCCACAAGTAGGTTGTCAATGAGACCTCCATTGATAGTGCTGGTATACAATAGAGAGAAACAGAAGGGCCAATCAGACAGAGTGCGGCATTCTAATCAGTCCGCCTTCACAGGTTGGGCCAACTGAACAATGAATTTTGGAAACTTCAGAAGGAACGACGAGGGATGTAGAGATCACTATCATGAGAGGAGATGGCGTCGGTGCGAAGGTAGTGTGGAATATCAATTCACTGAGACGAAATGCTTCCGACCAGGAGGCACTATCTCACAACGTTGTGCCATATCAATCTTGGATCACTGTAACTATAAAAGAGAGCAGTTGCTGTGACTTACCAATGAGCTATCACAAGGTACTGCGTACGAACAACAGAGATGCATTATGGAGGATTGCATGTAGACATCCGCCTGCCATAGGGCCCAACACGGCTAACAATCGCCGGATCTTTCGAAAATTTAGCTTTCAGAGCCGGAGAATAGCGAGAAAACTTGATCCAGAAAATAGGTTCCGGAAAATATGTTGTTGTCGGTGCCATATGTTATTCCCAGAGGGTTAAAATCCAGTAGTAGACTTGTGTAGTTGCGGGTGTGATATCTTATTACCTCCCACAGTTCACGTCGGTATGAACCGGAGCCGGTAAGTGAGAAGAAAACTCTTCTACATCCTGATGAAGTGTTGGTTGGTTTAGTTGAAGATCTGTGGTAGAAAAGAGAAGTTGCCGTTCATTACTGGGTTAGAAAACAGGGTAGCAGTGCCTCATTGCATGGTTTTGTATATCACCAAAAGCATCATGAAGCACAATATCGCAACTGAACGCGATAACTGGGGATAGAACAAAGTATTAAAGTGGTGTGAGAATTGAGTTTCATTGGGTTCTTTCACATTTTGATATCACGAGACAACTGCAGTTTCCACAGTATGCTGGTCTCGACTCTTATGATTCGTCCAACGTGCTATTGGTTGAAGCTCTCAGCGAGGCTGGATGCGGCGTGTTTAGAGAATCGTCTCCCCGCAGCTGGTAATAACAATCTCCGGGGGCTGTCAGCGTTTTCATCTCCGAGAGCTTCATCATATGACAGGTCTCGATATTCAATTGAAGTTGCAGTAAAACGACAGATTGCATCGCGTCGGCAAACGCGGGTTGTTATCAAGTCGGAAATATCTGCACGAACCAAATCGCGTGGATAGTTTTCGACAGGGCTTCCAAGATCATTATGATATCACGACGCAGGCCATGGAATCAAGAGATTCAGACATCTCACCGCTTAATATGACGTCACGAAGGCTTGAGACCACTGGAAACTCCATAGAAATAAAGTTGCAATTTCTCAGCTGTTTTATAAGAGGTCGCGCTCCTCCATAAGGCGGAACGCGTAGAGCGGATGCACCGCCCGGCTTCATCCAAGAACCATAGCAGAACCCAAGGACCACTATGGACCTCTCGGACTTTGAAGATCTCGGCATCATTTCCGATCCCGAGGAAGATCGAGAAGAAGGAGATGAAGAGCTTATAATGACGCCAGCTATGGCTGCAAAGGCCTGCAGAGAAGGAGATGGGCCTCATCCGCCTTGGGAGGGCCATCGGGACAAGCTGGTCGGCATCGTGGATATGGGAAGGCGAGCCATTCTAATCTAACAAGCACAACCAACCGCTTCTGGGTTCCCTTATTGCTAACCAAGTTGATGCGCAACCAGCAATGGGATTCGCTTCTCCATCACGGACCTGTCTGATGATAGGGCGCGTATCCTGCCGACGGTGTTGGCTTACCGGTCCGGCATATCGCTCTACGACGCGCAGTTTGATCCCGAAACTGGGGAACAAATTCCCATCCCGGATCATGTTATCGATCGCATTGTGACAGTCTTCAACGGCTTTCTCATCGTGTGTGATGATATGAAGGTCCAGAGGAAGAATATCCATGTTGTCGCAACAGAGGCAACACGCAAGGCCATCAATTCAGCCAAATTCCTGGAAATTATCAAGAAACAGACGGGCCTCTCCGTTGAGGTATTGGCCAGCGAGGTCGAGGGCCAAGTCGGAGCATTGGGCATCGCGAGCGGGTTTGATACTATATCTGGCCTTGTGATGGACCTGGGAGGCGGCAGTACGCAGATTACCTGGATGATCAGCCAAGGAGGGTACGTCAGAATCAGTCCCATGGGCAGCTTCAGCTTTCCATACGGAGCGGCGGCTTTGTCGAGGCAACTTCGTGAGCTGCGAAAAGGGAAGAAGAAGGATGAGGGGGAAGCGGCCGTCGCACAACTTCGTCAGGAGATGATTGAGAAGTTCCGGTCCGCGTACAACCACTTGCAAATCCCGGACAGCATGATTGAAAAGGCCGAGCGGGAGGGAGGCTTCCGCATCTATCTGTCAGGTGGCGGATTCCGCGGCTGGGGCTATCTGCTGCTGTATCTCAACCAGTCCCGCGGCAAGCATTATCCAATCTCCATCATCAACGGATATACCGTCGGACGAGACCAATTCGAAGATACAGACACCGTCAAGGAGATTGCAAAGGCAGCAAAGGACGTCTTCCGAGTCTCGGACCGCCGTCGCTCACAAGTTCCAGCAGTGGCCTTCTTGGTCAACGTCCTGGCCAAGGCCATTCCCCACGGCATCAGGGAGGCTCACTTTTGCCAGGGCGGCGTGCGAGAAGGATACCTCTTCCGCACTCTGCCGCCCGAGATCAGACAGCTATCGCCGTTGGAAGTGGCAACGCAGAATCTCGCGCCGACATCCTATCGTACCATACAGGAGATGATCAAGAGGGCCATTCCAAACCCGTCGAAGCACCAGACGAGGAGGTTTCCGGATGAATTCGGAGAACACGTTATCAATTCGTTCGCTAATACACTGTATGTTCACATGTTCATGTCCAAGGAGACGGCATCGACAGCTGCGCTCTATTCAACGAGCGTGGGGATGATGTCTTCTACGCATGGAGTGTCCCACCAGGACCGCGCCCGGCTCGCGCTGATGCTCGAATCGCGATACCGAGGCGAACTACCACCGCGAGAGATGGAATTTCGGGAGGCTCTGCGCTCCCTCATAACGCCGGAGGAGGTGTGGTGGACTACGTATCTAGGCAGAGTCGGGTACCTGATCACACGACTGTATCCATCCGGAGAGATCGACACCGCCAAGCCCAGGGTTGTGTTTTCCTCCGAATGGTCGTGGACGTTGGGCAAGAAGAAGAATAAGGAGGGCTTGGTTTTGACCTTGTCGGTGCAGAAGAAGAAGCACGATCCCGCAAAGTTGAAGCATGCGCTGGAGGACAATGTCAAGCGGATCCAAAAAGTCGGGAAAAAGAATCATTGGATTGGAAAGGAGGATCCCTGGGGAATGAAGGTCAAGGTAGTGGTTGTTGAAGAGGGCATACTGGAATCGTCAGATTGATATGGGGGAACTTGCAAGGACTGCATATCCTAGTGGTCAATTCTATATACAATCATGGGGTCACACATATTCACACATATTGATAGCACAATAGGTAGTTGAACAGCAAAAATTGAATAAGTCTAATCTAACAGACTATGGGTTGTTGAGAACCCAGGATTCAGTCGACTATATACGAAGTAGTGAAATAGAAATAACAGAGTGTTGAAACTCAGATGTGAGGAAAGGAAATGAATGAAACTATACAAAGAGACGAGAAAAGAAATACATGCGAGAAATATAATGAAAAAAAAAAAAAAAGGTTAAGAAACACCGAATCCCCTCAAATCCAGACTCAAAGATTCTCAACCATGACGCTGGAAAGTGTCCGCCCGACGAGGCTTAGCAAAGCCATCAGTAGACGTCTGGATGAAGCCAACCTTGACAAGATAGCGCATGCTCATCTTGACAGCCATATGCCACTGCTCATGCTCACTGCCCTCAGCCTCAATGTCTCGCGCAGACCGAGGAGAGCCAAGGTTGCCAAGGAAGTGCTGTACCGGCCACAGAGGATGCTTGTCGCCGACTTGGTTCATCGACTCCAAAGCACGGTGAGTCCATTCGTCCAAGGACAAAGGTTCGCAGGGAACGTCGAGCTCCTTGTTGATGAGATCCCAGAAGACTGTTGCCGGCATGCCACCCGTGACATTGACGAAGGGAGCGATGCCCTCCGTAGTGTAGAGTTGGCTGAGCACGGATGATGCCACGGTATCGACGTCGGAGATGTAGACCCAATGCTCTTCAGGCTCGGCAGGATAAACGCCGAGAGAAGCGGCGGTGGAAACGATTCGCCACAGCACATCGTCCACGTTGGCCACGCCTGTTTCGGGAGATCCGATGATGCGACCAGGCTTGAGAGTGGAAATGCGGTTCTGGTTGGCCGGGAGGGTGTTGATGACCTCCTGGATGATGCCCTCGGAGACGAACTTGGTCTGGATGTAACCAGTGGAGTTGTTGAGGTACTGGCCCAGAGCCGTGCGATCGGTGGTGGGATCAGACTTGATACCGCCAGAGACGAAGACGAACTTGGGAGAGGCGGGTGAGGTGACGGCAGCCTTGAGAATGTCTACCGTAGAATCGACGTTGGCAGCACGCATCTTGTCGTAGTCGGCGTTCCAGTTGACGATGGCACCGTTGTGGACGATGGCATCGACGTTGTCATTTGAAAGGCCGGCCAGACGAGCCCATTGAGAGTTGCTCAGGCCCATGCGCTTCTTGCTCAAGTCACCGCGCCAGATCTCAATCTTGCTCGTGTACTCCTCGCGCCACCAGCCGGCAATCTTGGCAGTCTCGCGGATACGGTCCATGCCGTGGTCGACAGACTTGCATCGGACGAGGGCAATGGTGGAGGCGATGGAGTCGTTGCAGAGGAGCTGCCTGAGGATCTCTTGACCGAGGAAGCCGGTGGCACCGGTGAGGAAGACGATGGCCCGCTCAGGCAGCTGGGTCTTGGGGTTCGCAACGATATCGAGATCACTGGAAGCCAGAACAGAGCGCGCGAGAGAAGAAATCTCGCTGTTGATGTCGACGAGTCCTAGTGCTTCAGCATCTTGTCCACTGTGTTCGCCGTCGATGTGTTTGGCCATGTTTGCAATCGTGGTATGCTTCGAGTTGAGCAGAGACATTCCGAGTGAAACACCATACTGGTTGAGGATAGCCTTGGAAATGGTGACAATGCGAATCGAATCACCACCGAGGCTATAGAAGTTGTCATCCAGTCCGATAGTCTCGGCGGGAAGGTCAAGCGTAGAGGCCCATTGGGCACGGAGCCAGAATTCGACATCGGTAGAGCAGTCGCGGAAGGGCAAACGCTGGCCAGCGAGGTAGTTTGAGAGCTCGTCCGGCCTGAGGTTGGCAATGGATGCGAGAAGCATCTTTCGGTCTAGTTTGCCGGCAGCGTTGTGAGGCATGTGGTCGACGGGGATGAGATACTTAGGGACCATGTGGCTGGGCAGAGCAGAGGCGACGGTTGTAGCAATGTCGGAGAACATCTCGCGCAGTTCGTTGGTGACGTCCGTGAGACGAACCTCCTTGGAAGCACTCTCCGTCTCTTGATGCGAGCTGAAGCACACAAAGGCGAGGAGAGACTCGCGGCCGGCCGTTCGAGTAATATCGACGACGACGTGTTCAATAGAAGCGTTGGCGCGCTTGACGTGGTATTCGATTTCGCCGAGCTCGATGCGCTGGCCGCGGATCTTGACTTGCGTGTCCTTTCGGCTGACATACTCGATCGATCCATCGGGAGTGTAGCGGACCAGGTCACCGGTCTTGTAGAAGCGGCGTTCACCAATGTTGATACTCGATGGCAGCCACTCAACTTCATCGATGAATGACTGTCTCGACTTGTCCTCGTCGTTGATGTAGCCGCGTGCCAGAGATGAACCCTGCAGCAGCAACTCACCGACACAGCCGATAGGCATGAGGCGGTTATGGTCATCGGGGTCGACGATCCAGAGGCCGTGGGTAAAGCTGCGACCGACATTGGTAACTGAAACCTTGACTGACGACGAATACGTGTTGTTCGTCGAACCGACGCAACCTTCTGCCGGACCATAACCGTTGTGAAGGTCAATCTCGTCCGCCCAGGTGTCGATGATTCCTCGAGAGGGTGCTTCACCCATAAGGATGACAGTCTTCATGTCGGGAATCTGCTCTGGAGAAAGAGTCTTGATAAAGGTCGGCGTCAGGAAGGCGTGGTTTACACGAGCCTCACGGATGAAAGCTGCAGTGTTGTGAACACGTTCATGCTCTGTTGGCACGCAGACGGTAGCACCGACCACCAGCGAAGTGAAGATTTCGGCGATACAGGCGTCGAAGACGAAGTTGGCGAATTGTAACGTCCTTGTGTCGTCGTTGAACGAAAAGGCCTCGCGTTGTCTGAGGAGCGCTGCGGAGATGGCCTTGTGGTCGATGATGACGCCCTTTGGCTTACCGGTTGAACCGGATGTAAACAGGACATAGGCGGCATTGTTGGGGCCCGACTTGATCAACGATTGTTGGGCGATACTGATCGTAGAGACGCGGGAAATTAGAGATGGCGACAGCTCAATCAGGTTGCGGACCATGCCCTGAGAGTCAGGGGCGGTTGTCGGTGACACAATCATGAATTGGGCGTTGACTTCGTCTATCAAAGCCTGGCGGCGGCTTGCTGGGTAAGACGGATCCAAAGGCATGAAAACACCACCGGCTTTGAGGATGCCCATCATCGCAACGATAGCCCAGATGGACTTTTCGAAGCAGAAGGGCACGATGGTCTCGGGTCGAACACCAAGGCCGCTGAGGTAGACTGCAAGCTGAGTTGTCAATTGATCAAGCTCGCTGTAAGTCATGCTTCCCTCACTGCTGTACAGAGCCTGATGCTCAGGTCTGCGAGCAGCTTGCTTCGAGAAGAGCTCCTGGAGAGTGGTATCCGAGGGGCCATAGATTTCGTGGTTCCACTCGAGCTGCTTCTGCAGGTCCCATGAGCCAGCTACCTTTACATCACCAATTGACGTCTCATCTTGGGCAACGAGTTGTCTGGCAACGTTGCCGAATTGCTCAGAGATGGCTGTGGCATGAAATTCTGTCAGAGCATTGGTGTCGTAGATCAGCAGCAGCTCGATGTGACTCTCCATGATGGCAATTTGAAGAACCAAGGGGTAGTTGGCAAAGTTTTGCATTGATTGCTCAGCCGAGTTCTCAGAGTCGCCAGGCGATAGGATAATGTCTGTGCTAGCCATGGCTTTATCGTCTGCAACCTGCTGCTGGGCAGGCTGGATGACCAGCAAGCTTGAAAAGTCGCATGCTTGTTTGGCCTCGGGACTCAGCGTTGCAATGTTCTGGAGACCAAATTGCTCATAGGCAACCATCTCGGAAGCCTGAATCTGGACGTCTTGCAAGAACCGTGATGTTGGCTGGTCTTGATCCAGACGGATTCGGACAGGAACAGTGGCAAGCATAGGGCCAGGCATAGAATCTAATCCGGGAACTGGCGCGTGACGGCCTGAGAGTGTAGTACCGAAGCACACGTCGTCAACTCCGCAGTACTGGGCCAAGACGATGGACCAGGCTGCCCTCATGATGGTGGCCTTGGTGATCGATGTGTTTGTCAGGCGTGGGAAATCGACAGTCTTTCTCAATATCCGGGTCACATCGGCCTTGCTCTTTGAAGGAGTCAACTGCTGGTCAACAGCAGGGAATGAAGCCGGAGTGGCATCGTGAAGTTGGCGTCTCCAGTACTCTGCAGCATCGTGTTGGTTGATGCTCGTCGTGTACTTGACGAAGCGAGCAAAAGGCTGCAAAGGAGGCATTTCAGTGCCGAAGTAAGCGGCGTAGAGCGTGCCCATGATGAGCGGGTGAGTCCAGCCGTCATACACCGAATGGTGAATATGCCACGCGAAATAAGTGCTGCCGCCCTCTTCAATCAGAGCATAACGGCAGAGGCGAGAGCCATAGCCCATGTTGAAGGATTCAATTGCGTTCCTCATGTAGGACTGCAGGGAAACACCTGTGGTAGGCTCCCACAGTGACTTTGAAGTGTCCTTGATGACGGCTTGGAAGGTGGTGTAGCCAACAAGAACAATCGATGTTCGAAGGTTGTGGCAGACTTCAACTGTCTTGTCCCAAGCAGCCTTGAATCGCTCAGCGTCGACGTGATCAGGAATTTGGTACACATAACGGGCCGTGTAAGAGCCTGGCTGCTTGACGGACAAGGCCATGAGACCTTCCTGCAACTTGGTTGTTGGGTAAGCATCCTCAATCGACTGGCCAGCAGAAAGGTCGCACTGCTGTCCAATCTCGCGAGTAATGGCGTCGCTCTCAGAAGGCTGGATCATGCTGAAGGGCTCAGCCTCGTAGGCATCGCTAACATCGCCGAGATGGGCCGATGCAGCAACTGAAGCCAGTCTCGGATCGGCAAAGATGGTAGCCACAGTGAGTGAGATACCATGTTCTTGAGCCAGGGTAACAAAGTGAATGGCTGAGATGGAATCACCTCCAATTTGCAGGAAGCTGTCGTTCTTGCCAATCTCTTCCGCCGGGATTCCAAGGATCTGGGACCAGAGGTCGCGCAGCTTGAATTCCATATCGGTTGTCGGCTCAATCTTGTCTGCTTTGCTGGGAGCAAAAGTGGCGAGCTCCTCAAGAGACAGAGAGCTTGCGAGAGTCCGAAGCTGCTTCCTATCGAGCTTCATTGATGTGATGAATGGCATGTTTCGGATGGGCAAGACCAGGCTAGGCATCATGAAAGCAGGGAGCACGGCCTTGAGGTTGTCGAGAAGGGTGACAATGGCAGAACGAAGACTGTCACTTGGCTGGATGAGGTTATCAGAGAAGCTGGTAGTCTCCTCGTCATCGTAAGTGCCTGCAAACGACACAAAGGCAACGAGGGCTTGTCCTGATTCTCGTGTGATGATATCCACAGCTGCATGCTCAATGTCCGGAAGAGCGCGCTGGACATGGTATTCGACTTCGCCGAGCTCGATACGTTGGCCACGGAGCTTGACTTGGGTATCCTTGCGGCCGAGGTATTCGAGGGAGCCGTCGCTGCAGTATCTCACCAAATCACCAGTCAAGTAGAAGCGCTGAGGGCCAGCGATGGCCGACGACAGGGAAGCGATCTCGGTAACAAAGGAGCTCCTGGTTCTCTCTGAATCGTTGATGTATCCACGGGCAAGGACATGGCCCTGAATGGCGAGTTCACCAACACATCCGACTGGAGTGAGTACATGGTGGTTGTTAGGCTCGACAACCCAGCAAGAACTGTTAAACGCCTTTCCGATGACACGAGGTGAGTCTTGACTGGAGGCGAATGGGTGCCATGTCGCGTAGTTGCAGGCCTCGGCAGGTCCGTATCCATTGATGAGCTTCACGCGATCGCACCAAGCATCGAGAATGTCCCTACCGGCAGGCTCGCCACCGAGGACCAACGTCTTGAGACCGGGGACCTGGTCAGGCGTAAATGTGCGGACAAACGAAGGCGTTAACATGGCGGTGTTGATTCGAGCCTTGCGTACGAAGCCTGGAGCATCCTGCAGACGTTCAACTTCGTCTGGGATACAGACGGTACCGCCAAAGGTCAGCGTTGCGAGGATCTCACCCAAGCTGCCGTCAAAGATGTAGTTGGAGAACTGGAACACGCGGGATGCAGGGCTGAGCTCGTAGACGCGGCCGTAGCCGATCGTGCTTGTTGTCAGAGCAGAGTGTTCCATAACCACACCCTTTGGTTTGCCGGTTGACCCAGAAGTGAAGAGCACGTAAGCTGCATTGGATGGGCTGGGACGCTTGGGGTCGACGAGGGTCTGGTTTGGAGCAGAGAGACGAGCCATGAAGTCGGACGAAAGCTCGACAATGCGAGGAGCCATGCCAGCGCACGAGGCGGCGGCTGACTCGGATGCAATGATGATCTGGGCGCCAACTTCCTTGACGAGGGCTTCACGGCGGTTGACCGGATGCGAGGGGTCCAGGGGAACAAAGACGCCTCCCGCCTTGAGGATGCCAACAATCGCAATGACAGCCCACATGGATTTTTCGAAGCAGAAGGGAACAATTGTCTCGGGACCGACGCCCAGCTGGCACAGATGGCTAGCTAACACGTCGGTTAACCGGTCAAGAGCAGCATAAGTCATGCTACCCTCCGACGAAAAGATTGCTTCGTGGTCCGGATCGCGCTGGGCATTGTCGGAAATCAGATCGTGGACACAGGCCTCGATAAGTTCCGGAGCATTGGCATTCCAGCCGAGGACTTGCTCAAGGTCCCAAGAGCCTGCAAGTGATACGCTGCTGAGTGATTCTTCACCCTGCGTCAGCAGCTGCTGCACGACGTGATCGTACTGCTGTGAGATGGCCTGGAGTTGGTGCTCAGACAAGACGCTGGGGTCGTAGATGAACATCAAATTGACCATGTCATCGTATACGTGACACTGAACAACCAGGGGGTAGTTGAAGTAATTCTGCAGCATCTCTTCGGCGCGAAGGAGTTCAGAATCGGCAGAGACTAGGAGGGCTTCCTCCGAGCTGTCGCCAGTCGATCCAATGTGCTGTATAGGCTGAACAGCCAACAAGCTGCTGAAGTCAACAGCGTCCTTGTATTCCGCGCCCATCTTGGAAATGTTCTGGAGGCCGAATTGTTCATACTCAACCATTTCTGAGGCTTGAACCTGCACGTCATGGAGGAGTTTGGCGACCGATTGCTGTGCCTCAAGGCGGACACGGACAGGCACAGTCGCAACGACCAAACCTGTGGTAGCCTCAAGGCCAGGGACGGAAGCATGGCGGCCAGACACGGTTGTGCCAAAGCAGATGTCTTCCGAGTCGGAGTATCGAGCCAGAACAATGGCCCATGCGGTCCGAAGGATAGTCGCCTTGGTGATGGATGACTTTGTCGAGCGAGGGAACTCAATGACCTTGTTCAGGAACTGAGATGCGGGCTTGACAGAATCGGGGCCGATGACATCTGTGGTGACTGGGAATGCAGCCTTCTTAGCTCCAGAGAGCTGCTTGGTCCAATAGTTGACAGCAGCCGTCTCATCGAGGTCAAGGGTGTACTTGACAAAGCCAGAGTAAGGCTGCAGAGCTGGAACCTCAGTATCGCGGTAGAAAGCATTCAGCGTGCCGAGGATAAGAGGCAAGCTCCAACCATCGAATATTGTGTGGTGCACGCTGAGGGAGAAGAAGTTGTCGCCGGTCTCCTCGTCTTGGATGAGCGCATATCGGCAGAGACGTGATCCATACTTCATCTCGAGGGTCTGGGAAGCGCGGATGTAAGACTCAAGGTCGTGACCCAGGCTAGCGTCCCAGGAAATGTCATCCTTGACAACGACTTGAACGTGCCTGTTGTCGACAAGAATGATGCGAGTACGCAGGTTGCCGCAAGCCTCGACAGTGCGTTCCCAAGAGGTCTTGAAGCGAGCAACATCGACATGAGGGGGCAACTGATAGACGTGCTTGGCGATGTAGGATCCAGGTTGCATGATTGCAATCGCCATCAAACCCTCCTGAAGGCTTGTGCAAGGGTAGGCATCCTCCAGAGCAAAGTAGTTCGGCAGATTGCATTTCGCTTGGGCCATCGTGGTGAGTTCTTCAATGCTAATGCCGGGTAGCATGCTAAACGGCTTCACATCGAAGCTCTTCGCGACATATCCGACCTTGGCCGAAGCTGCTAGAGATGAAAGTCGGGAATCGGCAAAAATACTTGCGACAGTAATGCTGATTCCGGCTTGCTGTGCAGCAGTCACGAGATGGATAGCTGAGATCGAGTCACCGCCAATCTCTAGGAAGGCATCGTTACGCCCTATTTCGCCGGTCTCGAGCTTAAGCACTTGTGCCCACAGATCACGGAGCTTGAATTCAAGCTCAGACGTAGGCTCGACCTTTTCTCTCTTGGATGCCGAGTAAGCAGCGATGTCTTCGATAGAGAGACTGTGGGCAAGAGAAAGAAGTTGCTTCTTGTCAAGCTTCATGGACGTAATGAAAGGCATGCAGCGAAGCGGGAGGATAATGCTTGGGACCATGTAGCCAGGCAGAGAGGCTTTCAGGCTCTCTCTCAGACTATCGAGCAGGGATCTCATGGACTCATCAGACGCAAGGAGGTTGAGAAGCAGACTATCCGAATCCCACTGGGCCCTTGCGTTATCAGAGAACGAGATGAACGCGACCAGCAAGTCACCGGTGTCTTTGTGAATGACATCAACGGCAACGTCTCGCACGCTCTTGAGTGACTGGGTGATGTTGTATTCGATCTCACCCAGTTCCAGACGCTGACCACGCAGTTTGACTTGGGAGTCCTTTCGTCCCAGGTATTCAAGCTCACCCGCAGAGTTGTAGCGGACCAAGTCTCCGGTAAGGTAGAATCGCTTAGGCTCATGCAGGAGAGAAAGCGGAAGAGAACCAATTTCGCCAACAAACGACTGCTCCGTCTTAGCCTTGTCATTGAGATAGCCACGAGCCAAAGCGTGGCCTTGGAGAACCAGCTCGCCTGTGCAACCCATAGGCGCAAGCTTGCTGTGGTTATCAGGTTCAACAACCCAGCAGGCACCATTGAATCCGGATCCAATAATCCGAGGAGACTCTGAACTCGACTTGAAAACGTGTGTAGTCGCGTAGTTACAAGCTTCAGCTGGTCCGTATCCGTTGTACAGAGTGACACGGTTAACCCACATCTCCAAGGTGCTCTTGGAAGCAGCTTCGCCGCCGAGAACAAGAGTCTTGAGATGCGGCACCTGGTCGGGCGTAAAGGTCCGCACAAAGGATGGGGTTAACATGGCTGTGTTGACCTTTGCCATGTTCATGAAACCAGGGGCACTCCCCAGGCGTTCATCTTCACTGGGTATGCAAATCGTTCCACCAAAGGCCAATGGGCCAAAGATTTCGCCCAAGCTACCATCAAAGATATAGTTGGAGAATTGGAAGACTCTCGACAACGGCGACAGGCTATACACCTTGCCATATCCGATAGTAGTCGAACTGAAAGAGCCGTGCTGCATAACAACACCCTTGGGCTTGCCTGTCGATCCAGAGGTGAACAGGACATATGCCGTGTTCCTTGGTCCAACCTTTGGCAAGATCTTAGGGGTTACAGAGGCAGCCAGCCTAGCCATAACACTGGGTGACAGCTCAACAACGTGCTCAGCCATTCCTTCGCATGAAGTGATGGCGTTGGAAGAAGCCACGAGCACGCGAGCACTGACTTCCTTGACCAATGCCTCGCGACGGCTGGTTGGATGCGAAGGGTCAAGGGGCACAAATGCAGCGCCGGCCTTGAGAATTGACAAGATCGCAACCACCGCCCACATCGATTTCTCGAAGCAGAAGGGCACCACTGTTTCGGGGCCTGCGCCTAACGAGCTCAAATATGTGGCGAGGATATCGGTAAGGTGATCAAGTTCACCGTAGGTAAGGCTGCCTTCGGTTGAGTAAATGGCCTCGTGGTGTGGGGAATTCGAAGCATGCTGGGAGAAGATATCATGAAGACAAGTGTGAATCAACTCGGGTTCCCTGCTGTTCAGCTGCAGAGCTTGTTGGAGATCCCAAGGTCCTGAGATACTGACATCACCCAATGGCTCATCGCTCTGGGCAAGTAGCTGTTGGACAACATGATCAAATTGGTGCATGAGTGCATTCAGCTGTGTCTCTTCGAGGACATCGGTATCGTAGACAAGAACCAAGTTGACGTGGTTATCGAAGAGGTGGCACTGGATAACCAATGGGTAAGAGAAGTAGTTCTGCAGCATGTCTTCAGCCTTGACATTAGGAGAAGCCGCAGGAACGACAATGGCACCATGATCAGCAGGGTTGCTGCTGTCTGCGCTCATATGCTGGACAGGTTGGATAGCCAAAAGAGAGGTAAAGTCGCAAGCGTCCTTTGCATCGGAGCCAAGTCTGGAGATGTTTTGGATGCCAAATTGCTCGTAATCAACCATGTCGTTGGCCTGTGTCTGAACATCCTGAAGGAAGCCAGACAGAGGCTTTTGCTTGTCGAGGCGAATACGAACAGGAACAGTGGCGACCACCAGACCAGGCATGGCCTCGAGACCGGCCACATTGGCATGACGACCAGAGACGGTTGTGCCGAAGCAGACATCATCGCTGTCAGAGTAGCGGGCCAAGACAATGGCCCAAGCAGCGCGTAGAATAGAGGCCTTTGTGATGGAGGTCTTTGACTTCGGGAAATCAATAGTCTTGTTCACAACGCGCGTTTGAGAAGATCCTGCTTTATCGCTAGGTGCCGGGAAGCTTGTGCGCTTGGCACCCTTGAGTTGCTTCTCCCAATAGCCGGAGGCGGCGCTGTGATCGAGTTCCATCGTGTACTTGACGAAAGCTGCATATGACTGTAGAGAAGGAAGCTCAAGATCGTAATAAGCCGCAGACAAGGTACCCATCACCAATGGGAGTGACCAGCCATCAAAGACTGTGTGGTGGATGCTAAAGGCAAAGTAATTACCAGTCTCTTCCTCAATGAGGGCATAGCGGCACAGGCGCTGGGCATAGCCCATTTCCATATGGAGCGTTGAGCGAGCATAACTCTCGAGCGAAGCGTTGGCAGTATCATCCCAGGCAATATCATCCTTTAGCAGAACTTGGATAGTGATGCCGTCGACGAGAATCATGCGTGTGCGGAGGTTGGCACAGCTTTGGACGGTACGCTCCCAGGCAGTGCGGAATCGGGAAACATCGACGTAGTCGGGAAGTTGATACACATACTTGGCAATGTATGATCCGGGTTGCTTGATTGCGAGGGCCATGAGACCTTCCTGTAGCTTTGTGCAAGGATAGGCATCGTCAAGCAGATCATTCCCAGAGAGATTGCATTGCTCCTTGGCAGCCTTCGTGACAAGATCCTTGGTAAGAGACTCTCCAAGCAGGCTGAAGGGTTCAACTATCGAGGACGCATTGCTGTGGTCAGAGTTGGCTTCAGCTACCAGGGCAAGCTTCGAAAGGCGAGGGTCGTCAAAGATATCCTTGACTGCAATCGACAGACCAGCCTCACGAGCATTGGTAACGAGCTGGATAGCGGTAATGGAATCACCACCAATCTGCAGAAAGCTTTCATCACAGCCAATCTCTTCCTTGGGCATGTGCAACACGACAGACCAAAGCTCCTGCATACGAGCCTCCATTTCAGTGTCAGGCATACGCTTGACGCCGTTGCTCAAGGAATACACAGCATGGTCTTCTTGGCTGAGCTCGGAAACAAGCTTCTTCAACAGGTTTCTATCAAGCTTGGTAGACGTGATGAAGGGCATGTAGCGGCATGGAATGAAGAGCGACGGGACCATGTAGTGAGGCAGCGTGACATTCAGCTGGCTGACCATGCTGGTGAGCTGTCTCTGAAGCTCTTCTGTCACAGGCAAGAAGATGCCTTCGTCATCTGACTGAGAATTGCCGGCAGTGCGCGTTTCATCAGAGAAACAGAAGTACGCAATAAGTCTTGTGCCGGCATCGGTCCTGAAAACGTCGACAGCAACTTGGCGAGCGTCTGTGAGGCTGCTACGGACGTGATGCTCGATTTCTCCGAGCTCAACACGTAGACCGCGGATCTTGACTTGGGTATCCTTTCTGCTAGCGAATTCGAGGGTACCGTCGGGGTTGTATGAAGCCAGATCACCGGACTTGAAGAATCGTGACCAAGGAGCCTGGTCTCGGTTCGGGGCCCAGGCAGGTAGCTCATACACCGTGGAGGCCTTGGTGCGTTCGACATCGGCAAGGTACTCCCTCAAGATCGTTGGGCTTTGGATGACAACTTCGCCAACAGTGCCGATAGGCGCAAGCCTTGAATGGTCCGTAGGGTCTACAATCCAGCAGAACCCTCCAATAGGACGACCGATCGTTAACGGCGACTCATCTAGGCTGGTAAATTGGTGCAAGGAGCTGACGACGCAAGTCTCAGCAGGTCCCCAACCGTTCCATAAGCGGACCTTGGTGCACCAAGTGGTGAACACGTCGCGTGGAATAGCTTCACCAGCCAAGAACACGAAGTCAACCGTAGGCACTTGCTCTGGACTGAGGGTCCGGATGAAGGAGGGCGTCAGCCACAGGGAGTTGATCTTGTGCTCGGCAATGAATTCCTTCAGGCCGTTCATCCTGGTGTGCTCGGACGGAATGAAAATGCAGGCGCCAGAAATAAGCTGTACGAAGCCTTCGCCGACGGACATGTCAAAGACGTACGAAGCAAACTGGAGGGCCCTGGTGTTTGTATTAGGCCCAAGCCTCTTCTTGATGGCCGTCTGACTCGTTGTGAAGGCACCGTGTGTCATCACCAGACCCTTGGGCGTACCCGTGGATCCAGAGGTGAAGAGCACATACGCAGCGTTGCTGGCTGAGACCGAGACCTGGGGCTCCTTCTCGCCAAGTCGGACATCAATCTGCTCGAACAATGTAGGAGAAACTTCGACCACTCGCTCGATGATATCAGAGACAAGGTGTCTTGTCGTATCCGATGCCAGAGCCAGCGTAGATCGAGTCTGGGAGGCAACCTGGCGAAGGCGCTGCTCAGGGTGCGATGGATCTAGAGGAACCCACACGGCTCCAGCCTTGTTGATAGCAAGCACGGAGACCCAGTGCCAAACCGACTTTTCGAAGCAGACGTGGACGAGATCTTCAACCTGGACATTGTGGTCGCTGATGAGATAGTGGGCTAACCGATTGGCCGCTTCGTTCAGCTGGCGATAAGTTAATTGCCCATCCCAGGCCCAGACCGCTGGTAAGTCAGGAGTTTCTCTGGCTTGAGCTTCAATGAGGTGATGGATGCAAGTATCCATGATTACCGGGACTTCAGGGTTAAAGTCCTTGGCTCGTTGAAGATCCCAGTCAGAAGCAACGGTCAAGTCGCCCAGTGTACGTCCCTCGTCGGCGAATAGCTGCGAAGCGATATGATCGAACTGATGGCACATGGCTTCCATGGATGCCTCAGAGAGCACAGAAGCATCATAGGTGATGACCAGCCCGATGGAATCACTCATGAGGTGTCCTTGGATAACAAGAGGGTACGAAAAGTATCCTTGCATCAATTCTTCAGTAGAACTGCCTTCGATATTTGCAGGCGCAAGCAGAGCAGCCGATGAAGCGTCGGAGTCAGTAGTCGTGCCGCTGGTTCGAGCATCCAAGTGCGTTCGAGGCTGAACAACCAGCAAGCTCGTAAAGTCACAGGTATCCCTAAAGTCGGGGCTGATCTTTCCAATGTTGGTCAAACCATACTGCTCGTATGGCACCATCTCGTGAGCCTGACTCTGGATAGCCTGGAGGTACTTGCTAATCGGCTGGGTTCGATCCAGACGAACACGCACGGGAACAGTCGCGACCACAGGGCCGGGCATATCCATCAGACCAGCTACTGCAGCCTGTCGGCCGGAAATCGACGTACCGAAGGTGACATCGTCAGTATCGCAGTAGCGGGCCAGCAGAATGGCCCAAGTCGCCCGCATAATTGTGGCCTTTGTGATGGCAGCGTTGGCCGAGGCGGGAGCTGCGATTGTCTTGGTGATGAGTCGAGTAACTGACTCGGACGCTGATGTCGGCTTCGATGGGGGATAAGACGCCTTGCTTGCACCTTGCAGCTGCTGAGTCCAGTAGTTGATGGTCTCATCAGGCTTGATAGCTCCCAGATACTGGATGAAACCGGAGTACGGCTTCAGAGGAGGTAACTCAAGGTTGTTGTAGGCATTCTGCAAGGTGGACATAATAAGACGAACCGTCCATCCATCATGAACCGCGTGATGAACTGTCCAGAGGAAGTAATTGTCCCCGTTTGCATCATGGGCCAGGATAGACTGAGAAAGGTGAGAGCCATATGTCATCTCGGCCGTTTGAGCGGCCTGAATGGCAACATGAACGTCCGTGTGTTCCTGAGACTGCCAACCGGTCTCTCCCTTGATGACTACCTGCGTGCATTTACCGTTGAGAAGAACGAGACGAGTGCGCATAGTCGGGCACAATGAAACAGTGGTCTCCCAAGCGGCCTTGAAGCGAGCAACATCGACGTGCTCAGACAGCTTATATGCATATTTGGCAATGTAGGAGCCCGGCTGCTTCACTGAAAGAGCCATGAGGCCCTCCTGGAACATCGTTACCGGATAAGCATCTTCGACTTCTTCGCTGTTTGTCAAGCTGCAGACGCGTCGAACTTCATCTCCAATGGCCAGCTGGCGGATGGAATCATCAACTAAATAGAAGGGAGTAGCATCGACGGATGAAGTCTGCTCGTCTTGTCCGATCTCACGAGCCTTGCTTGCAACGGCCGACAATCGCGGATCGTCAAAGATTTCCTTGACTGCAAGCGAGACACCGGAATCCCTAGCAGCGCTTACCATGTGGATGGCAGTAATGGAATCACCACCAAGGCCCAGGAAGCTATCATCTCGACCGATGGATTCGACCGGGACACCAAGTAGGTCAGACCACAGCTTTTGCAAAAAAACCTCCATTGGCGTTTCCGGCGAGCGTTTCTTGCCGCCCAGAAGTGAGTACTGGGCTATTTGGGCCTTGTCCAATGAGCTTGTGAGCTTCTTCAGCTCATTGCGGTCAAGCTTTGTCGAGGTGATGAAGGGCATGTAGCTGCAGGGGATGAACATGGTCGGAATCATATACCGAGGCAAAGAAATGCTGAGCTGGCCAACAACGGCTGCCAGCGTCAATTGCAGATCTTCGCCGAGCGGCAAGAATGGACCGTCAGATGCGCCGCTGCTGATGCCAACCGTCCGGGTGTCCTCGCTGAAGCACAGATAGGCGACGAGGTTGGTACCGTTTTCGCCCTTGTACACGTCGACGGCAACTTGCCTGGCTGAAGGTAGTGCCTGTTGGATATGGTGTTGGACTTCTCCAAGCTCCACACGTAAGCCACGGATCTTGATTTGCGTGTCTTTACGAGTCGAGAATTCGATCGTGCCATCTTGGTTGTAATAACACAGATCGCCGGACTTGTAGAACTTATTCCAGTGTCTGGAGTCAGGGCGAGGTGCCCACTTGGGAAGGTCGTACACTGTAGAGGCCTGTGTTCGTTGAGGATCAGAGAGATACTCCCGTAACAATGTCGGACCCTGTATGACAACCTCTCCGAGCGTTCCAGTCGGGGCTAGGCGATGAGGATCTTCCGGATCAACGACCCAGCAGAAACCACCGACAGGCTTACCAACCGTAAGGGGCGACTCGTTGACTGACTGCCACTCATGGAGCGTTGAGAAAACACACGTCTCGGCAGGCCCCCAACCATTGATCAAACGGACCTTGCCAAACCAGGTGGTCAAGACGTCCCGAGGGACAGCCTCGCCAGCTAACAAGACAAGATCCAGGCCGGGAACTTCAGCAGGGTTGATTGTCCGGATGAATGAGGGTGTAAGGAACGCCCAATTGATGCCTGTATCCCTGATATACTGGGTAAGGCCATTCATCCTCGTATGGTCTGACGGGATGCACAAACAGGCACCTGTAATAAGCGGTGCGATGATCTCTCCAATCGAAAGGTCGAACACAAAGGCTGCGAATTGTAACATGCGTACGTCAGGGGTTAGGCCTAGCCGCTTGACAATAGCCGTTTGAGAGGTAGCCACCGAGCCGTGCTGCATAACAAGGCCTTTGGGTGTACCAGTCGACCCGGATGTGAATAGAACGTAGACAGCATTGTCTGAAGACACACTTGTCACCGGGCCCGTCTGGCTGTATTCCTCAACCTTGGACAGTTCCGCATCAAGCTCGGAGTCTACAGTAACAACAGACTCAACTAAGCTGGCAACCAGATCACGGTTCGTCGACGAAGTAAGTGCTAGCCTGGCACGCGTTTGAGACACAACTTGTCGAAGTCGCTGTTCTGGGTGAGAGGGGTCGAGGGGCACCCAAGCAGCACCCGCCTTGTTGATGGCCAGGATAGACACAAAGAACCAAGCGGACTTCTCGAAGCAGACGTGGACCAGCTCATCCGGCTTTATGTCGTATGAAGCCATTAGATGGTTGGCAAGGCGGTTCGCAGCACGGTTGAAATCGCGATACGTCAACTCGGCGTCCCATGCCTTGATTGCCATTGCGTTAGGGCGGATTTCAGCTTGCCTCTCAATTAGCTGATGAACACAAGAATCGACAATCTCTGGGATTTCAGAGTTGAACTTGAGAGACTGTGCAACGTCCCAGTCAGAAGCGACGGAGAGCGATCCAAGGCTGAGCTGAGGTTCCATCACGAGCTGCTCGACGACGTGCTTGAATTGCTGAGACAGAGCAAACAGCTGGGCTTCTGGAAGCGCCAAGGAATTGTAAATCAACACCAGGCTGATGTGATCGTCATGTAAGTGGGCTTGTATGACCAATGGATATGAGAAGTAATTCTGCATCACCTCTTCCTTGGTGTCAGCAGCAGCCTCAGAAGCAGCCAGTAGAGTCTGTTCGTCGTCGTTATTGTAAATAAGAGACTGCAAAGGTTGGATAACCAGAAGTGACGAAAAGTCACACGCGTCCCTTGCGTCGGGACTCAGCTTGCCGATGCTCTGAAGACCGAATTGCTCGTAGGCAACCATCTCGGTAGCTTGGTCTTGCACACCTTGAAGGAAGTCGTCAACGGTCTTTTGTCGATCCAGACGAACCCGGATTGGCACAGTCGCGATGACTGGACCAGGCATCTCCATCAGCCCGGCAACAGGGGCTTGTCTTCCTGAAATTGTCGTTCCGAAGCAGACATCATCGGTATCGCAGTAGCGGGCCAGAACCACAGCCCAAGCGGCACGAAGGATAGTGGCTTTAGTGACACCGACGCCGTTCTGGGGCAGGTCGATCCTGGTCTCCATGAATTTCGTTACATCGCCCTTGTCAGAGGCATCAATGGAGACAGATGAGGGGAAAGTGGCCTTCTTCACATCGTGAAGCTCCCTCATCCAATATTCGCTGGCATCCTGGTAGTCAATGTCCATCGTGTACTTGATGAACCTGGCGTAGTTTTCAATCTTGGGCATCTCCAGGCCTCTATAGGCGCTGTGTAAAGCGCTCAAGATGATGGGCGTCGTCCAACCGTCGAAAACGGCGTGGTGAATGCTCCACACGAACTGGACATCCTGGCCGTCCTCTTCGATCAAGGCGTAACGGCAGAGACGAGAGCCGTAACCCATCTCTGTCTGCTGGGTGGCATGTACATATGACATAAGAGTCATACCGGTAGTGTCCTCCCAGGCGACGTCGTTTTTAATGACCGTCTGGATTGTCATACCGCCAACGCTGATGATGCGAGTACGCATGTTGGCACACATCTCAACGGTCTTTTCCCAGGCCCGTTTGAACCGGGCTACGTCAACGTGGGATGGCAAGCGGTAATGGTACTTGGCAATGTACGAGCCAGGTTGCTTCACAGCCAAGGCCATCAGACCTTCCTGGAGCTTCGAACAAGGGAAGGCATCTTCGATTTCCATATCGGCTGACAAATGCAGACCAGAGGAGTTGCTGAGGACCATGGAATGGTGAGCCTCATCAATAAGAGTGAATGGCTCAATTGGAACAGCCTCCTCAATGTCTTCGCCCGCCAAGCTGGTAGCTTTGGCCGCGATAGCAAGGAGGCGAGGGTCGCTGAAGATGTCGTTAACACTGAGAGATATGCCGCTCTCACGAGCTTTGGCAACGAGACGGATAGCAGCGATAGAATCACCGCCAATTCGCAGGAAACTGTCATCGCGACCGATCGAGGAAGCAGGCATATTCAGTAGAGTAGCCCACAGTTCTCTCAGGCGGTACTCCATCTCAGTCTCGGGCTCCCTCTTATCACCGCCAGTAAGCGCATATGCTTCAAGCTGCTCTTTCTCAAGCGAAGCAGTAAGCTTCAGCAAAAGCTTCCTATCAAGCTTGCCAGAAGTGACAAGCGGCATGGCCTCAAAGGGGATGAACAGCGTGGGAATCATGTACCCAGGCAAGAGGACATTAAGGCGACCCAGGAGGCTGTTGATACTCTCCTTGAGGTCCTCCGTCAAGGGCAGGATGATATCCGTGCTGGTGATGTCGCCAGTCATGCTGGCTGGGAGGGTATCGTTGTTAAAGCACACGAACGAGACGAGATTAACACCGGCATCAGTCTTGAACACATCCACAGCAACCTGTTGGACGGCATCAAGATTCTGACGTACGTGGTGTTCAACTTCTCCCAATTCCACCCTCAAACCTCGGATCTTAACCTGTGTGTCCTTGCGGCTGTAGTACTGAATGGTTCCATCCGGGTTGTACATCGCCAGATCGCCCGTCTTATAGAAGCGGTTCCAATGGCGCGAATGCCTGTTAGGAGCCCATTCAGGAAGGACAGTAACAGTTGATGAAGCCGTCTTGGCCTCATCGGCGAGATATTCGCGAAGCAGGTTGGGTCCTTGGATAACAACCTCACCAAAGGTGCCTGTAGGGGCTAACTTCTGCGGATCTTCAGGGTCGACAATCCAGCAGTACCCGCCGACTGGCTGACCGATGGTCATCTGAGATTCTTCGATGGACTGCCATTCATGCAGAGCACCAAAGACACACGTTTCCGTAGGACCCCAACCATTAAGTAGACGCAGCTTGCCGAACCACAGCTCGAACACGTCGCGGCTGACAGCCTCGCCGATAAGAATCAGGAGCTCCAAGCAAGGTACCTCGCTGGGATCCATGGTACGGGCAAACGACGGTGTGAGCATTGCCCAAGTAACGTTCTTCTCGCGAATGTAGCTCGTCAGCGAGTTCATCTGCGTCTCCCATGACGGAATGCAGACACAGGCGCCTGAAATCAGCGGTGCAATTATCTCGCCAATACATGCGTCAAAGACGAACGAGGCAAATTGAAGCATCCGCACACCAGGAGCATAGCCAAGTCGCTTGCTGATGGATGTCTGACTACTACAGAGAGCTCCGTGCTCCATGACAACGCCCTTAGGAACACCGGTGGATCCGGACGTAAACAGGATGTAGGCCACATCTTGAGGAGTGACGCTGGTAACCGGCCTTGTGTCGTTGCCTTGCGTTTCCAGGTTATCGAGAAGCTCTCTCGTCACCTCCAGAACGTTGGATACAAGGTCGGCACACTTGGCAGCATTTGCGGACGATGTGAGGGCCAGTCTGGACTGAGTTTGCCCAACAACTTGCTGATGGCGTTCGGCAGGGTGTGACGGGTCAAGCGGAATCCACGCCGCGCCAGCTTTGTTGATGGCCAAGATCGAGACAACATACCAAGCCGATTTCTCGAAGACAACGTGAACCAAGTCGCCGACTTGAACGCCCATTGACTGGATCAGATAGTTTGCCAGTATATTGGCAGACCGGTCCAACTCGGCATACGTAAAGCGGGCATCCCAAGCACTGACAGCTTCGGCGTCGGGGCTCATCAGGGCTCGTTGCTCAATCATGTTGTGAATGCAGTCATCAACAACAGCAGGCTCATCGTGGTTAGATGCCCTTGCAAATTCAAGGTCCCATTCACTTGCTACTGAAACAGCAGATAGAGAGCCGTCTTGGCTGAGAAGCTGGGAAACCACATGCTCGAACTGGTGGGACAAGCCAATGAGTTGATGCTCAGCAATGACATCGCTGTCATAGACGAGGACAAGCTCGACGTGGTCATCAAGCAAGTGGCACTGTAAAACCAATGGATAGTTGAAGTAGTTGTCCAACATTTCATCAGCACCAACGTCCGTTGAAGCAGCAGTAAGAAGGGCTTCTTCATTGGCGCTTCCTGTGGAAGTGATGTGCTGGGTCGGTTGTACGACCAACAAGCTGGTGAAATCGCAAGCTTCCTTAGCCTGAGCGTTCAACTTGGATATATTCTGAATGCCGAATTGCTCAAAAGCGACCATCTCAGAGGCTTGCGACTGGATACCTTCCAGGAAGCTCTCCAGAGGCTGCTTCTGATCCAGCTTGACGCGAACCGGGACAGTTGCGACCACAAGGCCGGGCATTCTCTCGATTCCAGGCACAGGGGCATGACGGCCAGAAACTGTAGTTCCGAAGCAAACATCGTCAGAATCATTATACCGTGCAAGCACAATGGCCCAGGCAGCTCGAAGGACAGAGGCTTTCGTAATCGACGTGTTAGTCGACCGTGGGAATTGAACCGTGTTGTGCATGACCCGAGTCGACATCTCCGATTTCTTCGTCTTGACAGCCTCAGCGCCAGGGGGGAAAGTTGCCTTCTTGGCGCCTTGAAGCTGTTGAGTCCAATACTCACTGGCAGCCGCAAAGTCCATTTCCATCACATACTTGACGAAGCCAGCATATGGGAGAAGTGAGGGGGCATCAGTGCCACTGTAGAAAGCATGGAGGGTGCCCATGATAAGCGGTAGAGTCCAACCGTCAAAGATCGTGTGATGGATGTTCCAAGCAAAGTACTTCTCCCCGTTCTCCTCAATAAGCGCGTATCGACAGAGGGGGGTGCCATAGTCCATGTGAGAATTCTCCGGAGACATGGCGAATGAACGAATGTCGGATGCTGTCTGCCACTTCACCGAGTCTTTGATGACGGCTTGATAGGCTGAGCCATCAACAAGGACAAAACGCGTCCTCAAAGCTGCACAGGCTTCGACGGTCTGATCCCAGGCATTCTTGAATCGCTCGACGTCGATGTTGTCAGAAAGACGGTATACATGCTTGGCCACGTATGACCCAGGTTGCTTAACCGCCAGAATCATCAACCCTTCTTGTAGTCGAGTGCAAGGATAAGCATCCTCAATGACGGCGGTCTCGGATAGATCGTCACATTGAGAGCGCACTTCAGCGAGAACCTCATCCATGGCGGAAGCCGGGATGATACTGAATGGCTTCGTCTCATACTCGGGCATAATCTCGTCAACATTTGCAGCCTCAGCCATGTGAGCTAAGCGAGGATCGTTGAAGATGGTAGCCACCGTAAGGCCAATGTTATTCTGCTGGGCCAAAGAGACGAGTTGGATCGCGCTGATAGAGTCACCTCCAATGCGCAGGAAGCTGTCATTCTTTCCAATCGACTCGGCATCAATCTGTAACACCTGTGCCCAAAGGTCCCTAAGCTTGAACTCCATAGGGGTGCTCGGTGGCTCACTCTTGCCAACAACAGGTGCGAATCGCAGACGATCCTGCGTCGACAGGTTCTGGGCGTGAGAAAGCAGGGCTTTGCGGTTGACTTTGCCGTTGACGGTCTGTTCAGGCTTGCCCTCAAATACCAGATAACACGAGGGAATCATGTATGAAGGCAGCACCATTTCGAGTGAAGAGTCAACGTGTGAAATCATCACACGTGCCTCATCCGTGACAACCTCCATAAGATGGGCGGCAGATCGAGAGGCAACATCCCCTTCAGTGTACCACAGGAAAGCAAGCAAGCTGTCATGGTCGTTTTCATCCTTGACAACAGCGACGATAGCAGCCATGTTGCTTGGGAGGAATTCATGGATGCGCGCTTCGATTTCGCCAAGCTCAACACGTTGACCATGGAGCTTGACTTGAGTGTCCTTGCGGCCCATGAATTCAAACGTTCCATCAGCGTTGCGACGGACCAAATCGCCCGTCCTGTAGACTCTCTTCTTGTCGCTTCCAGGGAGCCAGTCGACGTTCTCCATCCAGTTGGAAGCAACGTCAGCGCTGACGTTAAGGTACCCTCGAGCAAGCATTGGTCCTTCAATCAAGAGCTCACCAATGCAACCAACAGGGACAAGTCGCTTGTGGTTATTGGGCTCGACCACCCAGAAGGCTGAGGATATCGGCCTTCCAAGGTTAGTCGACCGCCCAGACCTGCCCACAAGAGGGTTCCAAGCACAGATAGAAGCCTCGGCAGGACCATAAAGGCCATGGAGCTCAGTATAATTAACCCAGCGGTCCGCACATTTCTTGCTGATGGCTTCACCACCTAAGCAGAGAACCTTGAGATAAGGAACGTCTGCCGGCGAGAGAAGATCCGCAACCGTTGGTGTAAGGAACACCCAGTTGGCCTTGTGTGTAGTCATTGCCCCAGCCAGATCGTTCATACGAGCATGGTCTGAAGGAATGCAAATCGTGGCACCACGCATGAGAGAAACGAGACAGTCAAGTACACCAACGTCGAATGTGTAGGCAGAGAATTGGAAGACGCGCGTTCCAGGTCCGATGTTTAGGTCCTCGCCGTACGCATTTCCAGATGAGCATAAGCTGTTATGCTGGATGACCATTCCCTTGGGCTTTCCAGTCGATCCGGAAGTGAATAGCACTACACTTGCGTTCTTTGGCCGAGCCTTTGACTGAATGTCTTCCACGGGGTCGGACAGCTCAAGCAGTAGAGCCTCGTCGACGGCCAACACCTCGATGCCGATCTCAGAAAGAGTAGCCTGGCATGACGGGCTGGCGACTGCGAAAGTCGACTTGGTATCTTCAATGATACCACGAAGACGGGCAACAGGCGCTTTAGGATCAAGGGGAACAAAAGCACCACCAGCCATCTCAATTGCGACCATTGCGACGACTGCCCAAGTAGACTTGGGGAAGCACAGTGGAACGAGGGATTCAGGTCCAACACCGAGGCTTTGGAGCTTCCACGCCAGACGAGATGCAAGTGCGCCCAGTTCCTCATACGTGAGATCGCCATCCCAAGAAGCAATGGCGGGATCGTTGGGCTGCTTCTCAATGCGCTCTTGGATAAGCCAGTGCGTGCAGGACTCGGTTGAAGGCTTCAGTCGACTTGATTCAACAGCGTGTTGGGCGTCCCAGTCGCTGACGAGGTCAATGTTGTCGAGAGCGTCATCAGCTGATGCCGAGAGCTGCTCAACAACATGGCCAAGGTGCTGCGATAGCGCGGATACTCGAGCCTCGTCCAGAACGGCTGGGTTGTAAAAGAACCGCTGCAGGATGTGATCCTCAAAGGTGTTCATGATGATGACGAGAGGATAGTTGAAGTAGTTCTGCATGGCATCATCAGTGTGGCTCTGTTCCGCATCACCATAGACCAAGATATTGGTCTTGGAGTCGTCCTCTGAAATGGTGGTCGCAGGGGGCTGGATAACGAGCAAGCTCGAGAAATCGCAAGTATCCCTAGCATCTTGGCTCAACTTCGAGATGTTTTGAAGACCAAACTGTTCGAAAGGAACCATCTCGTGGGCCTGGTTTTGGACCTTTACAAGGAACTGCGACTTGGTGGAAGCGCGATCCAGGTGAACGCGAACGGGAACAGTCGCAATCATCGGACCGGGCATGGTCTCGAGGCCAGCCACAGGGGCGTTACGACCCGACACAGTTGTTCCAAAGCTCACATCGTCGGTATCACAGTATCTCGCAAGCACAATCGCCCAAGCAGCCCTCAGGATGGAGGCCTTTGTGATATTGCTCTGCTTGGGTTGTCCAACGCTAATGGTGGACTTGAACATCTGCGTTGACGATGATGAACTGGCCGGGGGTTGTCGGGCTGGGAAAGCAGCCCTCTTGGAGCCAGATAACTCCTCCCGCCAGAAGTTGGCTGAAGCAGCATTGTCCAGCTCCAGATTGTACCTAATGAAGCCAGAATACGGCTGCAAAGGTGTAATTTCCGCGCCGTGATACGCGGTGTATAGGGTAGTCAGCAGGATGCGCATCACCCAGCCATCATAGATGGAATGGTGAGCTGACCACACCAGATAATGGGCATTGTTCTCTTCGAGGATTCCGTACCAGCAAAGAGGCGACCCATAGCCCATCAGCAGGTCGCGAGAAGAGTTTGTGACTGAGGCAAGTGTCTCTGTCTCCAGGGATTGCCACTGGCTGTCCTCCTTAAGGAGCAGCTGGATCGGTGAACCATTCAGCAGAACGATTCGCGTCCGCATGTTACCGCAAAGCTCAACAGTGCGGCTCCAGGCAGCTTTGAGTCGATCCAGGTCGACGAAGGGCGCAAGCTTGTACACATACTTGGCAACGTACGAGCCCGGCTGCTTCACGGTCAAGGCCATCAGACCTTCCTGCAGTGAAGTGCAAGGATAAGCATCTTCAATGATCTGGTCTTCAGTGAGGCCGCAGAGCTTGCGGACCTCGCCGCCAAGGACCAGCGCACGAGTCTGCTCGTTCAAGAGGCTGAAGGGTACAGCGGGCTCCTGGTCCTCCGGAGCGTATTCTGCGAAGACGGCCTTGGAAGCAACGGCAAGTAGACGCGAGTCTTCAAAGACGTCCTTCACAACAAGGGAGATGCCGGCTTCACGGGCCTTTGAGACCAGGTATATCGCAGTGATAGAATCGCCTCCAATCTGGAGGAAGCCATCGTCACGACCAATAGAGTCGATGGGAAGACCAAGGATGTCGGCCCAGATAGCCTGGAGGCGAGTTTCCATCTCAGTCTCGGGGGCCCGCTTCTTGCTATCAATCAGAGAGTAGTGCGCTAGTTGATCCCTATCCAGAGAAGCTGTCATTGCCTTCAGTGTCTTCCTGTCTAACTTGGTAGACGTGATGACGGGCATGAATTTGCAGGGAATAAACAGCGTGGGAATCATATACCGTGGCAGGGTCACACTAAGCTCTCCGACCATGGCAGTAATGCGAGTCTGGATATCAGAATCAAGGGGCAGGTAGATGTTGCTTGCTTGGAGCTCTGACGAGACGGGCTGAGAATCGTCATTGAAGCAGAGGTATGAGACCAGGTTAGTACCTGTTTCCGACTTCAACACATCCACAGCAACCTGTCGGACACCTTCGAGCGATTCCCGAATGTGGTGTTCGACCTCGCCCAATTCAACACGAAGGCCACGAATCTTGACCTGGGTATCTTTGCGGCTGTAAAATTCGATCGTGCCGTCAGGGTTGTAGTGGCACAAGTCACCGGACTTGTAAAAGCGGCTCCAAGGCCGGCTGTCTTGCTTCGGCGCCCATGACGGCAACGAGGTGATGATGGCCTCTTTGCTCCTCTGGGGATCAGCAAGGTATTCGCGAAGCAGTGTCGGGCCCTGAAGAACGACTTCACCCAAGCAGCCGATTGGCGCCAGTCTACTGGAATCTTCGGCATCCACGATCCAGCAGTGCCCTCCGACAGGTGTTCCGACAGTCAACGGAGACTCGTCAATGGAAGCCCACTCATGTAAGGTGGAAAAGACACACGTTTCAGCAGGACCCCAGCCATTGACCAAGCGTACCTTACCGAACCATGTGTCAAGGATGTCTCTTCCAACGGCCTCGCCTGCAAGGAGCAAGAGATCGAGGCCAGGTACGTCTTCAGGCCGCAGCGTTCGAACAAAGGAAGGCGTCAAAAATGCCCAGTTGATGGATGTGTCCTGGATGAACTCTCTGAGACCGTTCATTCTCATCTCTTCTGATGGCACGCATACACAAGCTCCGTGGATCAAGGGAGCAACAATCTCTCCGATTGACAGATCAAAGACGTATGCGGCAAATTGGAGGATTCTGACATTAGGCGTCAGACGAAGCCTCTTCGCGATCGCGGTCTGACTCGTACAGACGGCTTGGTGCTGCATAACGAGACCCTTTGGCGTTCCCGTGCTGCCTGAAGTGAAAAGGACGTACGCAGCGTTGCTTGACGGTACGTTGAGGGCAGGACCGTTGACACCATCGTAGGGAATGTTGTCGAGAAGGCTTTGCGACACTTCGATGACGTTCTTGACAAGACTTCCACAAAGAGCAGCATTGGTAGGGGAAGACAGCGCAAACTCGGCACGGGTCTGGCTCACGACTTGACGCAGGCGCTGCTCAGGGTGAGATGAATCAAGCGGAACCCAGGTTGCGCCCACCTTGTTGATTGCAACGATGGAAACGAAGAACCACAGAGACTTCTCGAAGCAAACGTGCACCAAGTCCTCAGACTTGACGCCTGCGTTGAGAATGTGATGGGCCAGCTTATTGGCAGCGACGTTCAGTTGGCTGTAGCTCATCTCACCGTCCCAAGCACAGATAGCTGGTGCGTCTGGTCTAATGCGAGCTTGTTCCTCGATGAGGCTGTGGATGCATGTGTCGAGGATGTCAGGATTCTCAACATTCCACTTCTTAGCTTGCTCGAGATCCCATTCACCGGAGACGGTGACGGAACCAAGAGGGTCGTTGGACTCCTTGACCAGCTGGTTAGAGACGACGTCGAATTGATGGCAAAGAGCTTCCATTTCAACCTCCGATAGAATGGTTGAATCATAGGTCAAAATAAGCTCAATGGAATCGTCGAAAACGTGGCCTTGGATCACAAGAGGGTAAGTGAAGTAGTTTTGCATCAGCTGTTCAGCGCCTCTTGCTGCCAACGAAGTCGTCATCAAAGGATCTGAAGCTTCCTTGCCTTCAATTTCATCCAGATGAGTTCGAGGCTGAATGACGAGAAGAGAAGAAAAGTCACAAGCATCCTTGGCGTCAGCACCCAGCTTGATAATATTCTGCAGACCGAATTGCTCAAAAGCAATCATGTCAGTAGCTTGTGACTGTATGTTGCTCAGGAAGCGAGACACTGGCTGGCTGGCATCAATGCGAACACGAATGGGGACCGTTGCAACGACCGGACCTGGCATTTCCGTGAGGCCCGGCACAGGAGCTTGACGGCCAGAGATTGTGGTTCCGAACGTGATGTCGTCGGTATCACAGTAACGGGCCAGGAGAATGGCCCAGGCAGCGCGGAGAATGGTAGCCTTCGTGGTGGTTGTCTTGACAGATGGAGGGAAGGAAATGGTCATGTTCATCATGCGAGTAATACCAGTATGGGATTCAATACGGGGCATCGGGGGGTACGTCGCACGCTTCGCGTTCCTCAACTGCTCGCTCCAGAAGACGTTGGCTTCTTCCGTATCGATGTTGACCGTGTAGCGGATAAAAGCGGAATATGGGAGAAGACGAGGAGCCTCCTGGGTCAGATACACGCCGTACAAAGTGTTCAACACAATCCGAAGGGTCCAACCATCGTGGACGGCGTGGTGTGACGACCAGATAAAGTGGTTGCCAAACTCGGGATCCTGAACCAGTGCATAGCGGTTAAGATGGGAACCGTAAGTCATCGCAGCGCCAGTAGCATCAAGAGTGCTCTTCAAGTCCGTTGAGGACTTGTCTTCCCACTCCGCCGGACCATCGATTAGTAGTTGAACGCAGGTGCCTTCAAGCATGACGATACGAGTGCGCAGGTTCTCACAGAGCTGGAGGGTCTTCTCCCAAGCAGCCTTGAATCGACCGAGGTCAATGCTGGCCGACAGCTTATAGACGTACTGTGCAACATATGAGCCTCGCTGCTTGACAGACAAAGCCATCAGGCCTTCTTGCAGCTTCGAGCAAGGGTAAGCATCTTCCACCCAGTGCCTGGGAGACAGTGAAACCTGTGATCGGACATCTTCGCTGAGCGCCATCTCGCGAAGGCGATCGGACAGCAAACTGAACGGAACGACAGGGGCATCTTGCTCCTGAGAGTCAAGATTGGTAGCCTTAGAGGCAACCGCGGAGAGACGAGGGTCATCAAACACATCCTTGACTGTAAGCGAGATACCAGCTTCGCGGCATGCGCTGACAAGATGGATGGCCATAATCGAGTCACCTCCTAAGCCGAGGAAGCTGTCATCGCGGCCAATCGAGTCGGACGGGAGAGACAGCAAAGTTGACCAGATCCTCTGTAGCTCAATTTCCATCGGAGTCTCGGGGGCACGCTTGTCGACGTCGTGCAGCGAGAAGCTGCTCAGTTGAGGTTGGCTCAGAGCAGCAGTCTGCTTCTTGAGCTCCTTTCGGTCAAGCTTACCAGTTATACCGCAGGGCATGTAGCTGCAGGGGATATAGAACGTCGGAATCATATATCTCGGTAGCCTCACATTCAATTCGCCAGTTGCACCAACAAGCTTGTCCTGAAGCTCGACGTCGACAGGGGTGAATAGCCCAATGGTATCAGCTTCGTGAAGTGGCCGAAGCTCATTGTTGAAGCACAGATATGCGACCAAGTTACAGCCGTTGTCGGTCTTGACGACGTCCACAGCAACTTGATGGATTCCTTCCAGCGAGGCCTGAATATGGTACTCGATTTCGCTAAGCTCGACACGGAGACCGCGGACTTTGACCTGTGTATCCTTACGAGAAGCAAACTCGATTGTGCCGTCGGCGTTATAGAAGCACAAATCGCCCGTCTTGTAGAACTTGTTCCAGTTGCTTTCATCAGGACGGGGTGCCCATTCAGGTAGCTCATAGACCATCGCCTCTTGTGTCTTTTCGAGGTTGTCCAAATACTCGCGAAGCAATGTCGGTCCTTGGATGACGATCTCACCGATGGTCCCCGTTGGCGCAAGATGCTGTGGGTTTTCTGCATCAACAATCCAGCAGAAGCCACCCACAGGGCGACCGATGGTTAAGGGTGAGTCGTCGGCAGATCCAAACTCATGAACCGCGCTTATAACACACGCTTCTGTAGGACCCCAAGCGCTCAGCAGACGGACGCGTCCATACCACGTCTCGAATACCTCACGCGGCAGAGCCTCTCCTCCCACAAGAACCAATTCCACATTAGGGACCTCGTTTGGATCTATGGTACGCAAGAATGAGGGCGTGAGAAAGAGCCAGTTGATTTTCATATCGCGGATGAAGTCGGGTATGCTGTTCAGTCGGACGTGATCACAAGGAACACATACACAGGCTCCGTGTAGCAACGACATGATGATTTCACCAACCGAGAAATCGAAAACGAAGGCCGAAAATTGCAAAATGCGCACGTTTTCATGGTATTGCAGCCTCTTGGCAAGGTCCGTTTGACTTGTGCATAGCGACCTGTGCTCGATAATGACTCCCTTGGGAGCACCAGTTGAGCCTGAGGTAAACAGCACGTATGCAGCAGAACTAGGAGAGACGGAAACGCTAGGGCTTTGTGCCTCGTCTTGTTCGGGAAGCATGCTATCGAGGCTCGAATCAACCGCAACCACATTGTCAATCAAAGACGAGAGCAGGGCCACGTTGCCCGGCGAAACCAAAGCGAGAGTGGCCTTTGTTTGGCTGATGATAGACTGCAATCGTTGCTCTGGGTGGTGGGGATCCAATGGGACCCAAGTGGCGCCGGCTTTGTTGATGGCAATGATCGAGACTATGTACCAAGCTGATTTATCGAAGCAAACGTGTACGAAGTCGCTGGGGTTGACGCCATAAACGTTGATGAGATGGTGAGCCAACTTGTTAGCCGCTCTGTTGAGCTGGTCGTATGTAAAGTTGCCATCCCAAGCAGCAATAGCCGGCGCCTGTGGAATCAAACTGGCCTGCTTCTCGAAAAGTTCGTGCATGCATGCGTCAATGACCTCAGGCATCCTGGAGTTGAACGACACTGCCGTTTGGACGTCATGAGGCGAAGAGACTGAAACCGTCTTCAAGGCGACAGGTTCAGTGGTGGTCAACTGCGTCATAACATGACCAAGCTGATGGGATAAAGCCACCAGTTGAGCCTCCGGGATGATGTTCGAGTCGTAGATCAGCACAAGGTTGACACGGTCATCGTACAAATGAGCTTGGATGACAAGGGGGTAAGAGAAATAGTTCTGGATGGAATCAGCAGAACCATTGTCCCCAATTTCAGCATCAACCAAGATGGCACTATCGTTGCTGGTGCCAGTAAGATGCTGCATAGGCTGGACGACGAGAAGACTGCCAAAGTCGCAAGCATCCCGTGCATCCTCACCCAGTTTAGCGATATTCTGAATGCCGTACTGTTCAAAGGCAGTCATCTCCACAGCTTGCTCCTGTACAGCTTCAAGGAATTCAGAGACGAGCTGACGGCGATCAATGCGGACGCGGACTGGCACAGTGGCGATGATCGGGCCAACCATTTCCATAATGTCAGGGATAGGTGCCTGTCGACCCGAGATAGTAGAACCAAATGTCACATCGTCAGTGTCACAGTATCTCGCGAGGACGATGGCCCAGGCAGATCGAACAACTGTGGCCATGGTGATGGTTGAGTTCTTCATGCTGGAAGGAAGGTCGAAGGACGTCTCTAACACTCGGGTAGCCTCTGGCTTGCTATTGGACACGTCCCTCGACGGCGGGAAAGCGGCCTTCTGGGCTTTGAACAGCTGCGTCTTCCAGTAGTTGGCTGTGAGTTCTTCATCGAGACCGAGGATGTACTTGATGAAGCGCGCAAATGGAGGGATTGGCGACACGTCGATGCCGCTGTAAACCTTGAACAAGGTGGCCAGAATGTTTTGAGTTGATAGACCATCAACGACAGCATGGTGCACATTCCACATGAAGTATGTGCTGTTGCCATCTCGAATAAGTGCATACTGACAAAGACGATCACCATAGCCCATCTCAAGAGACTGAGCCCGAGCAAGGCATTGCTGCAAGCTACTGTTGGTCTCTTCCCAAGCGATATCGCCATTAATGACAATCTGGATAGAAAGACCATCGAGCTGAATGATGCGAGTGCGCAAGGCGCTGGACAGCTCGACTGTGCGCTCCCAGGCGGCCTTGAACTTGACAACATCCACCTGTTCGGGAAGCTTGTAGATATACTTGGCGATGTAGGAACCTGGCTGCTTCACGGCGAGAGCCATGAGACCTTCTTGAAGCTTGCTGCAAGGGTAAGCATCTTCAATGAATTGCCCGTCAGGCAGAGATGAGGGGAGAACAAATTCCCCAGTGCCAGGCGGCAAAAGGCTGAATGCGTCAATCGGCGCCATGATGGCACTATAGACATCGCCATCAACAGCCTTGGAAGCAACTGAAATTAGACGAGCATCAATAAACACGTCGTCGACTGTCAGGCTAATTCCGACGTCGCGGGCCATTGAAACGAGACGAATAGCAGCAATAGAGTCACCGCCAATGCGCAAGAAGTTGTCGTCTCGGCCAATCGAGGATTCCGGCAAGTTCAGGATCTGGGCCCAGAGCTTCTGGAGACGGATCTCCATCTCGGTCTCAGGTGCCCTTTTATCAGCATCGAGCAGAGAATAGGATTCCAACTGATCTTGGCTGAGCTCGGCTGTGAGACGACGAAGCTTGACGCGGTCCAACTTGGCAGACGAGATCAACGGCATATAGTCGCAAGGGATAAAGAGCGTTGGGATCATGTATCCTGGCAGTGACGAGTCCAACTGGGTCAGCATGTTGCCCAGCTTCGCCCGTAGGGCACTGTCGATTGACATAAACACATCTTTGCCCTCAGGATCAGTATCAGGGCCAGGGGTCTTGGTATCGTCAGTGAGGCAGAAGTAGGTAACCAAGTTAGCTCCCATTTCGGTCTTGAAAACGTCGACAGCAACCTGGCGAACACCATCCAAGGAGCTTCGGATGTGGTGTTCGACTTCGCCCAGCTCAACACGCAGTCCACGAATCTTGACTTGTGTGTCCTTGCGGCTGGCATAGTGAAGCAAACCATCATGACTGTAGAAGCCCAGGTCACCAGTCCGGTAGAAGCGGTTCCATTTGGTCAACTCTCGTCGAGGAGCCCACTCGGGAAGCTCAGTAACAGTAGCAGCCGCCGTTTTCGTAAGGTCAGCGAGATATTCCCTGAGGAGCGGAGGGCCCTGGACAACGATTTCGCCCAGGCAGCCCGTAGGTGCAAGCCGCCGGGGATTTTCAGCGTCCACAACCCACACGTACGCACCAACAGCTCTACCAATCGTAAGGGGAGACTCGGTATTGGACTGCCAGTCGTACAGCGTACTGAAAACGCACGTTTCTGCAGGGCCCCAGGCGTTGACAAAGCGGGTGTTTGGAAGACCAAACCACGTATCGAGGACATCTTGAGTGACAGCTTCGCCAATAAGCAACAGAAGCTCGAGGCCAGGGAAATCTTCCGGCTTCAAGGTCCGTGTGAATGACGGAGTCAAATACGCCCAAGTCACGTTGAAATCGCGGACGAAGGCATCGAGACTATTGAGACGCATGTGGTCCGAAGGAACACAGACACAGGCGCCATTCATCAACGGCTCCATGATCTCGCCGACTGACACGTCAAACACAAACGACGAGAACTGCAGCATCCTGACGGTGTGGTCAAGGCCCAGCCATCGACTGATGTCCGTTTGACTTGTGCAAAGCGCTCCATGTTGCATCACGATACCCTTGGGCGTACCAGTGGAACCAGATGTGAACAGTATGTAGGCAGCGTCAAGAGGCGTGACATGGACGTCAGGTCCCTCTTCGCTATTGACATCGTTGGTTGAGAGCGTTTCGTCAAGAACAGCCGAAACTTCAATCACACGATTCACGAGCTGCCCACAAAGTCCGGCATTGGCAGTTGAAGCCAGGGCCAGCGTGGCACCGGTTTGCTTAGCCACAGCCTGCAGTCTCTGGAAAGGATGGGCAGAATCAAGGGGAGCCCAGGCGGCACCGGCCTTGTTGATGGCGAGAATAGCCACAATGTACCACATGGACTTTTCAAAACAAACGTGCACAATGTCGCCAACCTGAACAGCATAGTCGTCGACAAGGAGATGAGCCAACCTATTAGCGGCGTGATCCAGCTGGCTGTAGGTCAGGCTTCCGTCCCAGGCATCCACAGCAGGCGCATTAGGCCTGTGTTTGACCTGTCTCTCAATGATGGAGTGAATGCAATCCTCGATGATTTCAGGGCCGTCGCCATTAGACTTCTGTGCAAGCTCAAGATCCCACGAGCCAGCGACGGAGATGTCGCCCAGCTTGCCGTCCACAGCCAACAGCTGCTGCACCACATTGTCAAAGTGGTGGGAGAGAGCAGTCATCTGGGGCTCTGGAACAACGGTTGAGTCGTAGATCAAAACGAGGTCAGCACGGTCGTCATATACATGACCCTGGATAACCAGAGGATAGCTGTAGTAGTTCTGAACCATGTCCTTGATTTCTGACTGAGCAGGAACCAGGAGACCCTCTTCATCTGCGACACCTGAAGCAAGGCGTTGAACAGGTTGAATCAGCAAGAGAGATGTAAAATCACAGGCGTCTCTTGCATCAGTTCCCAGCTTGGCAATGCTTTGTAAACCGTATTGCTCATACGGAACCATCTCATGGGCTTGGTTCTGGATGTCTTGCAGGAACCGGGGAATACTTTGGTCCTTGTCAAGCTTCACACGAACAGGGACAGTTGCAACTGCCGGGCCAGCCATTTCCAGGACACCAGGCACAGGTGCCTGTCTCCCAGAGATGGTAGCACCGAAGCAGACGTCATCACTGTCGCAATACCTTGCAAGAACAACGGCCCAGGCAGCCCTCAGGACGCTTGCCTTTGTGACTGCTTCGTTCGATGAGGTAGGGAAGCTGAGAGAAGTGGACATGACTCGAATCTTCTGCTCATTGTCGGTAGACCTCGTCACAAGCCCAGTCTTGGGGAAGCTAGCCCGCTTGGCATTCTGCAACTCTGTTCTCCAGTATTTACTAGCAGCCTCCTGATCAAGCTCCAAAGTGTATCGGATGAAGCCGGAATAAGACTTGGGAGTTCCCAATTCCAGACCTTCATAAGCTTGGTAGAGAGTGCTGAAGATGACAGGCACAGACCAGCCGTCATGGATGGCGTGATGGACTGTCCAGAGGAAATACTTATCACCCGACTTGGACTCGTATATGGAGGTTTTGGATAGTTGCGAGCCGTATGTCATGGTGTAAGAGTGCGTTTCACGGGCAGCTTCTTCCAAATCCTCGGAATCAATGAGATCCCAGGTGACGCCGCCCTTGACGACCAGTTGAATGCATGCGCCGTTGATCATGATGATCCGCGTTCGTAGAATATCACGCAGAGCAACGGTCTTTTCCCACGCGGACTTGAAGCGAGCAATATCAACCCGTTGGGGTAGACGGTATACATATCTCGCAATGTAGGATCCCGGCTGGGTAACCGACAACGCCATGAGACCTTCCTGGAGCTTGGTACAAGGATAGGCATCCTCGATTGTCTGGCCTTCGAGCAACTTGAGTTGCTGTTTGACATTTGTCCCGACAGCAAGCTCTCGAGTCTCAGCACTGAGGAGGCTGAACGGTGATGCCTCAAGTGATTCTTGTCGGGCCTCAGCGTCCATCTCCTTAGCCTTGCTGGACACGGCCAATAGACGAGGGTCATCGAAAACGTCCTTTACAACAAGTTGAATGCCCTTCTCGCGAGCAACGCTGACGAAATGGATTGCAGTGATTGAATCACCACCCAGACCCAAAAAGCTGTCATCGCGACCAATTGAATCAGTCGCAACGTGCAAAAGCTCCGACCAAATACCCTGGATCAGGCTCTCCATCGGCGTCTCGGGAGCCCTCTTCTTTCCGCCTTGCAGCGAATACACAGCCAGTTGAGCCTGAGTAAGTGCTGAAGCGCGACGTTTGAGTTCATTTCGGTCGAGCTTGGTAGACGTGATGGACGGCATATACGTGCAAGGGATGAATAGGGTAGGAACCATGTATCGTGGCAGAGATACACTGAGCTCGCCGACGACTCCGGTAAGGTGATTCTGTAAGCTGTCGTCGAGCAGCTTGAAAGGTCCAGACGGACTGGCTTCGTGGGCTTGACGAGTTTCGTCACTGAACGAGAAAAACGCCACGAGGTTCGTACCGTTTTCACCGTGGAAGACGTCAACGGCGAGTTGTCGAATGTCGGGTAAAGCGACCTGAATGTGATGTTCAACTTCGCCTAACTCAACCCTCAGGCCACGAATCTTGACCTGCGTATCTTTTCGGCTAGAAAATTCAATGGTTCCATCAGGGTTGTAGAAGCCAAGATCTCCTGACTTATACATGCGATCCCAGCCGGGTTCATTGGGGAATGGAGCCCACTCAGGGAGAGACTTGATGACCGCAGCCTCAGTTCTCTCAACGTCTGACAGGTACTCCCGCAAAATTGTAGGCCCTTGGATGAGAATCTCACCCAACGTGCCAGTTGCTGCAAGCCGACTCGGGTCCTCAGGGTCAGCGATCCAGCAGAATCCACCCACAGGACGACCGACGGTCAGAGGACTCTCATCAGCAGACTTCCATTCGTGAAGAGTAGAGAACACGCAGGTCTCAGCCGGCCCCCATCCGTTAATAAGTCGAACGGTGCTGCCAAACCAAGCTGCGAAGACATCCCGAGGAACTGCTTCTCCAGCCAGTAGCAAGAGCTCGAGGGAAGGCACCTCAGACGGTCTAATCGTACGAGCAAAGGACGGTGTGATGTAGGCCCAGGTGACCTTCATCTCGTTGATGAAATTGATAATTCCATTCATACGAGTATGCTCTGAAGGAACGCAGATACACCCACCTGAGATAAGCGGACCGATGATCTCGCCGATAGATAGATCAAAGACGAATGCAGCAAATTGCAGTATTCGAACGTTTGGCCCTAAACCAAGTCTCTTGGCAATAGCAACCTGCGACGTACAGACAGAGCCGTGTTCCATGACGAAACCCTTTGGAACGCCTGTGCTACCTGACGTGAACAACACGTATGCGGCGCTGTGCGAGGAGACGTCGACAAGAGGGCCATGTTCACCAGTTTCTGCTGCTAGAAGCTCGTTGTCAAGGGCTGTATTGACTTCCAGGACCCTTTCAACAAGAGAAGCGCATAGGCTTGCATTCGACGAAGACACAAGAGCGAGAGTGGCCTTGGTCTTGGAAACGATTTGACGGAGTCGCATTTCAGGATGCGAGGCATCAAGGGGAACCCAAGCAGCACCGACCTTGTTGATGGCAGTTATTGCGACGAAATGCCAAGCGCACTTGTCAAAGCAAACGTGGACCATATCGTTGGGCTTGACGTCGTATTTGTTGACAAGGAGGTGAGCAAGCCTGTTGGATGCTTCGTTAAGCTCCCTGTAGGTAAAGTCGCGGTCCCAGCTCAGGACAGCAGGGGCATCTGGTTGGGCAGCGGCTTGCTTTTCGATAAGCTGATGAACACAAGCATCAACAATCTCGGGAACCTCGCTGTTTTGTCTCTTGGCGAATTCAACATCCCAGTCACCAGCCATCGACACAGAGCCCAGCTCCAGGTTGGGTTGGGATGCGAGTTGCTTTACCACATTTTCGAACTGGTGAGACAAAGCAACCATCTGCTTCTCTGCCAACACGTCTGCCTCATAGATGAGAACAAGGTTGATGAAGTCTTCATGCATGTGTCCTTGAATGACCAACGGATAGCTGAAATAATTCTGAACGGTATCGGTAACTTCCTTTTCCACATCGAGCGGGACAAAGACAGTGTCGGCGCTTTCGTCGACGTAGGCGAGTGACTGAATTGGCTGGATGACAAGCAAACTGCCAAAGTCGCAGGCATCCTTAGCCTCAGCACTGAGGCGAGAGATGTTTTGCAAGCCGTATTGCTCAAAGGGAACCATGTCGTTTGCTTGGCTCTGAATGGCTTGGAGGTAGTCCTTGGCAGCCGTCTTGCGGTCCATGGTCACACGGACGGGGACTGTAGCAATAGCAGGTCCGGTCATGTTAATGAGCCCATGTACAGGCGCCTGCCGGCCGGAGATGGTGATGCCGAAAGTAACATCATCAGAGTCGCAATACCTGGCCAGGACAATAGCCCAAGCGGCTCGGAGTAGGGTTGCCTTCGTGATTGACGACTTGCTCATGCTAGGTAGCTCAATCTTCTTTTCAACCATTCGAGTGTTGTTCTTCTTCCTCTCTAGTGCAGATGATGCATTCGGCGGGAAGATGGTTTGTCTTGCACCGTAGAACTGAGATCGCCAGTAGTCCGAAGCAACCTCGTTGTTGATGTCCATCGTGTACTGCACAAATCGTACGTAGGGTTCAACCACAGGAACTTGGCTGCGGAAAACAGAGTGAAAAGCTTCCATCAGAACCCTGATACCCCAACCGTCAAAGACGGCGTGATGCATCGACAGGACGAAGTAAGTGTTTCCATCTTCCTCAATGAGGGCATATCGAGCCAGCGGCGAACCATAAGTCATCTCAAAATTCTGAGCCGAACCCATGTAAGTCCGCAGAGATGCTCCTTCTGTTGGCTGCCAGAAGACATCGTCCTTGAAGATGGCCTGGACAGACATGTTGCCAGCAGTAAAGATCCTGGTACGCAGGTTAGGCAGGAGGCGAACAGTTTCTTCCCAGGAAGCCTTGAAATGTGAGATGTCGACATTGCGGGAAAGGCGGTAGAGAAACTTGGCGATGTAAGAGCCGGGCTGTTTGACAGCGAGAGCCATGAGACCCTCCTGAAGCTTTGTGCATGGATAGGCATCTTCAATCTCTCGATCAGCTGGAAGGTTGTAGTTCTCTTGGATACGCTTGCTGAGGACCAGGTCCTTCAGGGGCTCGTCCAGAAGGCCGAAAGGCTCGATAACGGGAACGATGTCGCCGTTTTCGTCAAGATCAGTAGCCTTCGCAGCGACAGCGAGCAATCTGGGATCATCAAAGATATCTCCGACGGTAATCTTGACTTTGGCATCCCGAGCGATAGAAACGAGTTGAATTGCGAGGATAGAGTCACCGCCAATCTGGAGGAACGAATCGTCGCGTCCAATGGATTCGATGTTGACATTCAAGACCTGTGACCAGATTGCCTGGATTCGACTTTCCATAGCAGTCTGAGGAGCAGCCTTTTCTTCATTGGCGAGCGAGTAAAGGGCCATTTCATCCTGGCTCAGGGAGGCGGCGAGCTCCTTCAACCTCTTGCGATCCAACTTGGTGGATGTTGAAAGTGGCATATAAGCGCACGGAATGAAAGCACTCGGCACCATGTATCGAGGCATCAAAGTGCCCAGCGTTCCGACCAAGCTGGTAATTGTTGCTTGAAGATCAGCAGAAAGGGGCAAGAAGACTGATGCATCAGGGTCTGTTGGTTCCGTGGCATCAGAAAAGCTAACGAAAGCAACAAGCGTGGAACCAGCATCAGATTTTATGACATCCACGGCGACCTGTCGAACACCTTCAAGGTTAGCTTGAATATGGTGTTCAATCTCTCCAAGCTCGAGTCGCTGTCCTCGAATCTTGACTTGAGTGTCCTTGCGAGTGCAGTACTCGATGTTGCCCGCTTCGTTGATGAAGCCCAGATCTCCAGTGAGATAGAAGCGATCCAAGTGAGCGGATTCACGCTTCGGAACCCACTCAGGAAGGCCTGTAATTGTAGCAGCAGCTGTCTTGACAGGATCAGAGAGATATTCACGGAACACGTTCCGGCCTTGTACTACAATCTCTCCAACCGTTCCCACAGGGGCCATGCGAGTGGCATCATCTGGATCAACAATCCAGCAAGAACCACCAATTGGTCGACCAATGACCTTGGGAGACTCCTCAACCGAAGTCCACTGATGGATACACCCAATAACACAGCACTCGGTCGGACCCCAGGCGTTGGTGAGACGCAGTTTACCGAACCAAATGTCGAGGATATCCCTGGTAGGAGCTTCTCCACCCACCAACAGCACGTCCAGAGAAGGGACATCTTCAGGGCGGATTGTTCGAGCCAGTGTCGGGGTCAAGAGTGTACTGGTAATCCCGTGCTTGCGAATATAGCCCACCAACTCATTCATCTGTTCGTCCCACGAGGGCACGTACAGGCAAGCGCCTGTTAAGAAGGTAGAACCAATCTCAAAAAGGGCGGCATCGAACGAGTAAGAGGAGAATTGCAGAACCTTGAACCCCTCGTGAAATCCAAGGGATTGTGACAGAGAGGTTTGACTAGTGCAAAGCGAAGCGTGCTCGATGACCACACCCTTCGGAACGCCAGTGGATCCAGAGGTGAACAGGATGTAGGCCGCATCACTGGGGGAAATCGTAACAGCCGGTCCGCGGGTGCTCCAAGAAGCATTCTGGGCAAGTCTAGCATCAAGCTCAGAAGTAACCTCGATAACGTGTGGCAACAGACCAGCACATCTGTGGGAGTTGACAGCCGAAGCCAGCGCCAATTTGGATTCAGTCTGACTGACAATCTTCTGGTAACGCTCGATTGGGTGAGAGGTGTCGAGGGTTGACCAGGCTGCACCAGCCTTGTTAATAGCCAGTGTGGCGATGATGAACCAAGCTGACTTTTCGAAGCATACATGAACGACATCTCCCACCTTGACTCCATAGTCATTCACGAGATGGTTAGCAAGACGGTTGGTTGCCTCAGCCATTTCCTTGTAGGTAAAAGACTTATCCCAGCCAGAAATAGCCAGAGCGTCGCCTCGTACTAAAGCGACTTCGTCAACCATTTCGTGGAAACAGCGTTCAACAGCATCAGATGAGCCACTGTTGAATTCAATAGCCCGCTCCATGTCCCAGACACTGGCAAGAGATATGCTACCCAGAAGAACGTCGCCATTGCCGGTAAGCTGTTGGACGGCGGCGTCAAAGTGGTGGGACAAGGCGTCCATCTTGCTCTTGGAAATGACCTGAGAATCATAGATAAGCATCAGGTTGATGCGATCCTCATAGAGATGACCTTGAATAATGAGAGGATACGAGAAATAATTCTGCATCATTTCCGTCTCGCCAGTAACATCTGGCCCAGCAGCGGTCAGAAGAGTGTCATCTCCGTGGTATGCCAATTGCTCAATTGGCTGGACGACCAACAGGGAGGTAAAGTCACAGGCCTCCTTGGCATCCGGGCTGACTTTTGAGATGTTTTGCACACCGTACTGCTCATAGGATATCATCTCCATAGCTTGGCTTTGAACTCCCTGTAAGAAGGCAGATACAGTCTGCTGTTTCTCAAGACGAATCCGCACAGGGACTGTGGCCACAGCTGGACCAGCCATGTTGGTGACGCCGTCAACAGGAGCTTGACGACCAGAGATCGTGGTGCCGAAGGTGACGTCGTTGCTCTCGGAGTAGCGGGCCAGTACGAGAGCCCATGCCGCCCGCAAGATCGTGGCCCTGGTAATAGACGAACCAGGCATCTGAGAGTAGGTGATGGACTTCTCCAGGACCTGCACTGCGTTCGACTGGGCTGAAGCAGGAGGGAACGTGGCTTTCTTTGCGTTATGCAGCTGATCCTTCCAGTACTGCACAGTGTTGTCGTTGTCTACGCCCATGGTGAACTTGATAAATCGAGCGTATGAAGCAGGTCGGACTGGCTTGACGCCCTGGTAGAGAGCATGAAGCGTACTGAACAGGATAGGAACTGTCCAGCCGTCGAAAACAGCGTGATGGACTGCCCACGTGAAGAAGACGTCTCCATTATCCTGTTCCACCAGGGTGACCTGAGAAAGAGCAGAGCCATAGGTCATCTTGATCGACCTCATGGCTGAGAGAGAGACACTCAAGTCATGGCTGACGTCCCACACAATAGGCTCATCGACGACAATCTGCGTAGCTCTGCCGCCGACAAGGACAATGCGGGTTCGAAGATTGTCGCATAGGGCAACAGTCTGTTCCCAGGATGACTTGAACCGAGGAACATCCACGGTGCTGGGCATGCGATAGACATACTTCGCAATGTACGATCCCGGTTGCTTCACGGACAAGGCCATGAGACCCTCTTGCAGGGGAGTGCAGGGGTAAGCATCGACAATGGTTGCAGAAGACCAGTTACACTGAGAGCGAACATCATCAGCTTGGACCAACTCCTGTGACTTCTCACTGAGGAGAGAGAAGGGGGCAATCTCAAGCGTCTCTTCCGCAGCCGGATCAAGTTTCTGGGCGCGTGCAGCAACAGCAAACAGCCGTGGGTCGTCGAAAATATCTTGCGCCGTAAGAGAAATGCCCTCCTCACGGGCCAGAGAGACGAGGCGGATAGCGCTGATTGAGTCACCGCCCAGGCCCAGGAAGCTATCGTCAAGGCCGATGCTCTCAGACGGAATGGAAAGAATCTGCGACCAAATGGACTGGAGTTGGGTTTCCATGGCCGTTTCTGGTGCGCGCTTCTTCCCACCTTGCAGAAGAGAATACATGGTAAGCTCCTCTTGGCTGAGAGCGGCTGTTTGTTGCTTGAGGTAGTTCCTATCCAGCTTCGAGGAGGTAATGGTAGGCATGTGCTGGCAAGGAATGAAGAAAGTCGGTATCATATACCGGGGCAACGAAACGTTCAACTGGCCGATCACGGCAGTAAGACGACTTTGCAGTTCATCGTCCATCTGAGCAAACAGTCCACTGTTATCGGAGATTCCACGAGTACCAGTCATCCTCGTCTGGTCGCTGAAGCAAAAGTATGCCACCAAGTTGGAGCCATTGCTGGATCTCATCACGTCGACAGCAACCTGTCGGACGTTCAAGGCAGACTTGACGTGATGTTCGACTTCGCCTAGTTCAACACGAAGACCTCGGATCTTGATCTGAGTATCCTTACGACTGACGAACTCAATCGTTCCGTCGGCATTGTAAGAGCAGAGATCACCAGACTTATAGAACCTGTTCCACTTTGCTCCACGATTAGGAGCCCAAGCTGGAAGGTTGTAAACAGTGCTGGCTGAAGTGCGAATGGGATCATCCAGGTACTCCCTTAGGATCGTTGGTCCCTGGATGACAACTTCACCCACGACACCGATCGGTGCGAGCTTCTGGGGGTCCTGGGGATCAACAATCCAAGTGAAGCCTCCCACCGGACGACCAATCGTGAGGGGAGATTCACTGTCAATGGATTGCCACTCATGAAGAGTAGAGAACACACACGTCTCAGCCGGTCCCCATCCATTGACCAGACGAACCTTGCCAAGCCAAGCATCCAGGATGTCTCTACTGACAGGTTCTCCGGCAAGCAGAACCAATTCAAGACTTGGCACATCCTTTGGACTGAGCGTTCGAATGAATGACGGTGTCAGATAGGCCCAGTTGACGTTGTTTTGCCGAACAAATTCAGGCAGCGCGTTCATCCTGTCATGCTCCGAAGGCACGCAGATGCACGCACCAGTAATAAGGGGTGCGACGATTTCACCTATTGACAGATCGAACACAAACGCCGCGAATTGGAGGATCCTGACACTAGGTGTCATATTGAGGCGCTTCACGATGGCTGTTTGTGACGTGCAGACGCTTCCGTGCTCCATGACAAGGCCCTTGGGAGTGCCGGTTGAGCCCGAGGTAAAGAGCACATACGCAGCGTTGGACGAAGAGACCTTGCGAGCAGGGCCACGGTGAGAAGACTCGGTCTTGCGGAAAATCTCATCAGTTGTAGATGATACTTCCAGAACCTCGTCTACAAGATCGACACAGGTGGAAACGTGAGATGCCGAGACGAGAGCAAGGCGGGCCTTCGTCTGGCTGACAATCTGTTGATGGCGTTGAGCTGGATGGGAGGGGTCCAAGGGAACCCAAGCTCCGCCAGCCTTGTTGATGGCTAGAATTGCAACGAAGAACCAAGCAGACTTCTCAAAGCAGACGTGGATAAGCTCGTCGTTCTTGATTTCGTACTCTGCAACAAGGTGATTTGCCAATCTGTTGGCAGCCTCGTTGAGTTGGGCATACGTAAACTTGGCATCCCATCCATCAATTGCAGGAGCTTCAGGCCGCGTAACGGCTTGTTGCTCGACAAGGGTGTGGAAACACGAGTCGATGAGCTCGGGCACCTCGCTGTTCTGATGCAGAGCAAAATCCAAATCCCAAGCACCTGAGACAGATACAGATTCAAGAGTCGTAGTACTGTTAGCTTCAGCAACAAGTTGCTGTGCGACGTGCTCGAATTGATGAGCCAGAGAAAGCAGCTGTTGCTCAGGCAGGATATCAGCATCGTAAATGAGGACCAGATTGACCGATTCTTCATATACGTGGCCTTGGATGACGAGCGGATAAGAGAAGTAGTTTTGCATAAACTCTTCCTCGTCGCGGGTAGTCTCAGTCACAGGCTCCAGGATAGAGTCGCGGTCGCCAGTATCAAGCAGCTTCTTCATTGGTTGGATGACCAAGAGCGATGTAAAGTCGCAGGCTTCCTTGGCCTCAATGTTCAACTTGGCAATATTTTGCAAGCCAAATTGTTCGAAAGGAACCATCTGAGAAGCTTGATTCTGGATACCCTTAAGGAACTCTGGAACCGACGCCTTCCTGTCGAGTCGAACGCGTACAGGCACAGTAGCAACAACTGGCCCGGCCATTTCAGTGATGCCTGATACCGGGGCTTGTCTTCCGGATACCGTTGTGCCGAAGGTCACGTCGTCTGTATCGCAGTATTTGGCAAGGACAATCGACCATGTGGCACGCAAGAGAGAGGCCATGGTTATCGAGGTCTGCTTCACTTGTGGCAGTTCCAAGGCCTTTTCGAGCACACGGGTGTTGGATGTCTTATTGCGGGAAACCTCGTTAGAGGCGGCAGGGAATAATGCCCGCTTGGCATCCGACAGTTGCTCACTCCAATAAGCCTTAGCAGCGTCGGTATCAAGATTGACGGCATAGTTGATGAAGCGGGCATAGGGCTCAAGTGGAACAATCTGTTCACCCATGTATGCAGAGAGCAAGGTGTTGAGTACCAGGCGAGTCGTCCAGCCATCAAACACAGTGTGATGGATTGACCATACAAAGTAGTTCTTGCCATCAGCTTGTTCGATGAGAGCGTGGCGGCTCAGCGCAGAGCCATAGACCATGTGAAGCTTCTGATTAGCCTGAAGATACGACTTGAGCGTCATATTCGGAGTGACCTCCCAATTGCCAACATCCTCTAAAACAACCTGAACAGAGGCATCGCCAGCAAGAACGATCCGAGTACGGAGATTGCTGCACAATCGCACAGTAGTCTCCCAGGCGGCCTTGAAGCGAGCAACGTCAACACCACTTGGAAGTTGATAGACTTGCTTGGCAATGTAGGAACCCGGTTGCTTAACGGCCAGTGCCATGAGACCTTCTTGGAAGCTTGTTGCAGGGTAGATATCCTCGATAACGGCAGAACTGGGCAGCCCACACTTGGTGCGAACTTCTTCCATCAGAGAGCTCAGATTGTGCGCAGGAACCATGTCAAATGGCACAACCTCGTAAACTGGCTCAATATCACCTTCTCCAGCTGACAGTGCCATTGAAGATAGCTTAGAGTCATCGAAGATGCCGGCCACCGTCAGGCTAATGCCAGATCTTTGCGCAAGGGTGACCAGATGGATCGAAGTGATGGAATCACCGCCAATTTGAAGGAAGCTGTCATTCTTGCCAATGCCGTCAACATTGATCTTGAGGACTTGGGCCCAAAGCTCGGCCAGCTTCTTCTCCATGGGTGTGGTGGGCGGAACAAAGTCACGCTTGACCAGGGAGAAAGAGGTGAGTTCATCCAACGATAAACCAGCTGCAATAGCAATCAACCTCTTCCGGTCGACTTTCATCGAAGTGATGAAGGGCATCTTTCGCAAAGGCAGAATAGTGCTAGGCACCATGTAGCCAGGAAGACAATTCCTCAAATGCTCCATGACGGCGACCAGGGCAGTGTGTAGCTCGTCATCAAGCTGGAGGATGTCACCAGAACCGGAAGAGGTCTTGTCCTTGAACGAGACAAATGCAATGAGGGCATCACCCGTCTCGCGATGAGCCACATCGACAGCGACGTGCTCAATCTCAGGCAAAGACTGCTTGACTTGATACTCAATCTCTCCCAGTTCAAGACGTTGGCCGCGAAGCTTGACCTGGGTATCTTTCCTACCAAGGTACTCCATTTCGCCGTTGGAGTTATACCGAACAAGATCACCGGTCAAGTAGAACCTGTGAGGGCCGGAGATACTGTCCTTGGGCAGGCAGTTGACCGCAGTGACGAACGAGTCTGCAGTGCGCTTGGGGTCGTTGATGTAGCCGCGAGCAAGAGCATTGCCTTGAATGATCAACTCACCGACACAGCCAATAGGGGTTAGCTTATTGTAGTCAGTTGGCTCAACAATCCAGCAGGCACTGTTGAAGCCGCGGCCAATAGTGCGAGGTGAATCAGTCGGCTTGAAGTCATGCGTGGTTGCGTAATTGCAGGCCTCAGCAGGTCCATAGCCGTTGACAAGACGCAGGCGGTCGCACCAAGTCTCAATGAGATCCTTTGAAGAGGCTTCGCCGCCGAGAACGAGCAACTGCAGCGACGGGACTTGGTCGGGCGTGAAGGTCCGAACGAAGGAAGGCGTTAACATGGCAGTATTAACACGGGCCTTGCGCATAAACGTGGGCGCTTCCTGGAGTCTTTCCGTCTCGGAGGGCACACAAACAGTGCCGCCGAACGAAAGAGTGGTGAAGATCTCACCCAAGCTTCCGTCAAAGACGTAGTTGGAAAATTGGAAGACGCGAGAAGTTGGGCCAAGGTTATACACACGACCGTGTCCCAGGGTGCTGGTGGCAAAGCCTGAGTGCTCCATCAAGACACCTTTGGGCTTGCCGGTGGAACCTGACGTGAAGAGAACATAGGCTGCATTGCTAGGCTTCGGCTTGGGATGACTCTGTTTGAAGGCATCGTAAACCGATGAAAGCTGCTCAAGCAACTGTGTTGTCAGCTCCACCATGGTAGGTGTCAAACCCTCGCAAGTAACAGACGACGAGGGGGAGACGATCATGACCTCTGCACCAACTTCCTGAACCAGAGCTTCACGACGGTTGCGTGGGTGTGAGGGGTCAAGGGGTAAGAAAACGCCGCCAGCCTTGAGAATAGCGAGCATAGCGATGATGGCCCATGCCGATTTGTCGAAACAGAACGGGACCACGGACTCAGGCCTTACTCCAAGGGCATGTAAATGGTGAGCCAAGAGGCTGGAGAGACGGTCCATGGTGGCATATGTGACGGTGCCTTCGCTCGAGTAAATAGCCTCGTGGTGGGGATCTCTGGCCGCTTGTTGAGCAATAAGCTCATGTACGCAGGCATTGACGATACCGGGCTCCTTGACATTGTAACTCATAGCCTGCTGCAAATCCCATGGTCCGGCAATGGTGACATCCCTGAGCTTAGCCCCGGCATCTTGGCCAAGCAATTGCTGCACGACATGATCAAATTGAATGGATAGTGCTTGCAGCTGATCCTCCGAGAGTACGTTGGCATCGTAGATCAGCATCAGATTGACAGCGCCATCATCATGTAGATGAGCTTGGATGACCAGAGGGTAAGTGAAGTAGTTTTGTAGGCTCTCTTCAGTAGCTTGCTTGTCATCCGGAGGAGCCACAAGAATAGACTTGTTGCTGGCGATGCTCGACATGGGCTGAATAACCATGAGGGACGAGAAGTCGCAAGCATCCTTTGCCTCGGGACTGAGCTTGGAGATGTCTTGCAGACCGAACTGTTCGTAAGGAATCATATCAGTCGATTGAGACTGGATCTCTTCGACAAATCCGGTGACCGTTTGTTCGGGATCCAGTCTCACACGGACCGGGACAGTGGCGACTACCAGGCCGGGCATCAACTCAATGCCGGCAACTGCGGCATTACGTCCAGAGACGTTGACACCAAAAGTCACGTCATCGCTATCGGAGTATCTGGACAATACGAGCGCCCAGGCAGCCCTAAGCACGGATGCCTTGGTGATGCCGGATTTGGTTGAGTGAGAGAAGTTGAGGGGCTTCTCGAGAACCCGAGTAACCGACTGAGCGGATTGAACTGAGGCTGATGGCGGGAAAGAGGCTCGCTTGGCATCTTGAAGTTGGCCTCGCCAGTAGTCAGACGCGGCTGCCTCATCAATATCCATGATGTACTTGACAAATTCAGCATAAGGACGGAGAGCGGGAGCTTCGACGCCGCGATAAGCTGAATCCAGCGTTTCCATGAGCATAGGGAGCGTCCAACCATCAAAGATAGCATGGTGGATGCTCAAGACAAAGAAGTTCTGACCGGAGGGCTCATGCACGATTGCATTGCAGAACAATCGTGAACCGTATCCCATGCTAAACTCCTGAGAGAGGTAGGCTTGCACGGTTGTATTGCAAACCTCCCACTCGACCTCTTCATTCTGGATAACCACCTGCACACTGGAATCGCCAGCGATAATGAGACGTGTTCTCAAGTTGATGCAAAGCTCAACTGTACGCTCCCACGCTGCCTTAAAGGCATCAAGGTCAACGTGCTCAGGCAGGCCGTAGACCTGCTTGGCAACATACGTACCGGGCTGCTTGGCAGAGATGGCCATAAGACCCTCTTGAAGCTTCGTAGAGGGGTATGCATCTTCCACGATGACACTGCCGGGTAGGCCATATTGTTCTTGGAGGATAGCAGTGACAGCTGTCTGGTCAAGGGAAGCACCAAGCATACTGAACGGTGAAATAACCTCCGCCGCTTTTTCCGACTCCATCGTGTATGAAGCAAGCTCCGCCAGTTTCCAGAGTCGGGAGTCATCAAAGACATCCTTCACTGAGAAGATGATGCCGGCCTCTCTCGCTGCAGTGACTAGCTGGATGGCTGCAATGGAATCGCCTCCAATACGCAAGAAGCTATCGTGGCGACCGATTGACTGAGCCGAAAGACCCAGAATATTGGCCCAGATATCTCGAAGAAGCAACTCAGCCTCTGTTTCAGCAGCCTCCTTGTGGGTGTCGTCCAGCCCATAGGCCTCAAGCTGCTCCTGGCTCAATTCGGAAGTGAGTCTGCGAAGCAGGCCCTTATCAGTCTTTCCTGATGACAGGAAAGGCATATGAGAGCACGGAATATACAGAGTTGGGACCATATATCGAGGCAACAAGACGCTAAGTTGATTCGACAGAGCGTTGAGAGCCTTTTGCAGGTCATCGGTGAGAGGCATGAATAACTCATCAGAAGCATCGTCAGGCTGGTCAGCGCACGCAAGGTATGCAACCAAACTCGAGCCAGCCTCGGATTTGTGAACGTCCACAGCGACATGAGCAATGCAAGTTAACAGGCTGCGAATATGGTGCTCAACCCCATCCAATTCCACACGAAGGCCACGGATCTTGACTTGTGTGTCCTTACGGCCATGGTACTCAAGTGTTCCGTCAGGATTGAAGCTGCACAGATCGCCGGTCAGATAGAACCGGTTCCAGTGCTGTGATTCGCGGCGCGGAGCCCAGCTTGGGATTGACTTGAGGATACTGGCCTCCGTCTTCACAGGGTCATCGAGGTATCCGCGCAGGAGAGTCGGACCCTGGAGTACAACCTCGCCAATAGTACCAATGGGAGCAAGGCGGTGATGGTTGTCCGGATCAACAATCCAGGCAAAAGCGGCTACAGGCTTGCCAATCGTAATGGGGCTGTCTGTAGTCGATTTCCACTCGTGCATACTGCTAAACACACAGGTTTCCGCGGGACCCCAGCCATTGATCAGCTTGACCTTGCCGACCCAGTCCTCTAGGATTTGCCTCTTGGAAGGTTCACCAGCTAGGATGACCAGCTCCAGAGTCGGGAAGTCGGCAGGGTGAAGAGTCTGAACGAACGAAGGCGTGAAACAGGCCCAAGTTACCTCTTTCTCTTGCATGAATCCGGTCAAGTCACCCATGCGAATGTCCTCAGATGGTACAACGACACAGGCACCGCGGATTAATGAGCCATAAATCTCGCCAATAGAGACGTCGAAGACGAAGGCAGAGAACTGGAGCATTCGGACACCGCTGTGCAGGCCAAGGCGACTAGCGATAGCAGTTTGACTGGTACAGACAGATTCGTGGCTCATCACGAGTCCCTTTGGCACTCCAGTGCTGCCAGAAGTAAATAGGACATATGCACTGTCTTGGGGCGAAACCATGACATCTGGAGCACTGAGAGTGTGTCCTGCTGTGGTGAGGGCATCGTCCAAGTCTTGGCTGATTTCAACAACAGTGTCCAACAACTCCTCACCCAGCTCAAAATGCAAAGACGATGTGAGAATTACCTTCGCGTTCGTCTGTCTTGTGACTTGCTGCAGACGCTGCATAGGATGCGAAGGGTCAAGGGGAACCCAAGTCGCTCCAGCTTTGTTGACAGCAATCATTGAGATGATGTACCACAACGATTTTTCGAACAAGAGAAGGACGAGATCACCGGAAGCAACATCGTATGTCTTGATCAGGTGGTGGGATAGGCGAGTCGCAGCCTGGTCCAGCTGGGCGTATGTCAGCTTTCCATCCCAAGAGTCAACGGCAATGGCCTCTGGGGTGGCGAGGGCTTGTCGTTCGACCAGCTTGTGAATGCAGTCCTCAACGATCTCGGGGTCTTCTGTGTTCCATGCAATAGCCTGTTGCACGTCTTGTGGGCTCGCCAAAGAGAGATCTCCAAGCTTGATATGATCGGACTCGAGAAGTTGCTTAGCAACGTGCTCAAATTGAAGCGCCAGTCGGCTGAGCTCGACTTCGGACAGGACAGTGCTGTCGTAAGTAAGGAGCAAGTCAATTTGGTCCTCCAACAGATTGCCTTGAATGACCAAAGGATACGTGAAATAATCTTGTAGGAGATCTGCTACAGCTTCATCGTCCTCAACGGTAGGAATAAGAATGTTCTCATTGCTACCATCACCGTTGCTAGAATCCAAGTGTGATCGAGGCTGGATAATCAAAAGACTCGAAAAGTCAATTGCATCTTTGATGTTTTCAGAGATCTTGGAGATGTTCTGCAACCCAAACTGTTCATAGGGAATCATCTGCGTGGCTTGAGACTGCACATTCTTCAGGAATTCCAACACGGTTTGCCGGCTGTTGAGTTGTAAGCGCACTGGAATAGTCGCAACGATGGGCCCGGCTATTTCCAAAATGCTTGGAACAGAGGCCTGGCGGCCGGACACCGTCGTGGCAAAGCAGATATCGTCGGTATTGGAATAACGAGCCAGGATGATAGCCCAGGTGGCACGCAGAAGAGTTGCCATGGTGATCGAAGACTGAGTGCTGTTCGGCACTTGGATCGTCTTGGTCATCATGCTAGTAACCGCCTTGTGCTGCTTGTCAGACCTAGGGCGAGGGGGATAAGAGGCCTGGACTGCACCATCAAGCTGCTGAGACCAGTACGTCTCGACAGCCGGGTCTTGAACAACGTCCATCGCATACTTGATGAAGGTTGAATACGGCTTCAACGAGCCGCTGCTTGAGCCCTGGTGGAGATTTTGCAGTGTCTCTAGCACCAGACGCATAGTCCATCCATCGTGAACAGTGTGGTGAACAACCCAGATAAAGTAGAAGCCATCTTCTCCCTGAAACAGAGTGTACTCCGACAGCGGAGTACCGTATGTCATCTGCACATTGCGAGCTCCAAGCATGGCTGACTCGAAGCTAGAAGCGGCTGAGGTCTTGATCTCAGCGTCCTCCTTGACGACCAACTGGACGCAGCGGTCACCAAGAAGCACGATACGTGTGCGTAGGATAGGGCAGAGAGAAACGGTCTGCTTCCAGCTTGATTTGAACTGCTCGATGTCCACATTGTCGGCCAGTCGATAGGCATATTTGGCAACATATGAGCCAGGAGACTTGATGGAGAGAGCCATAAGGCCTTCTTGGAACTTTGTGCAAGGATAAGCGTCCTCAATTATGGCTTCCGTACCAAGACGGCATTGAGCCCTGGCGTTTTCACTGGTAGCAAGACGACGCTGCTCGTTATCCAACAGGCCGAATCGCTCAATAACGGTGTCATCAACAGAGACTAGTGACTGTGCGGCCTGTGCCACTGCGATAAGCCGGGGGTCGTTGAAGATATCTTTGACCGATAGAGAAATGCCCTGATCGCGACAAACACCAACAAGCTGGATGGCTGTAATTGAGTCACCTCCGAGACCAAGGAAGCTGTCGTCCCGGCTAACTGCCTGCGGCGAGAGACCCAAGATGCCAGACCAAATCTGTTGCAGCTTGCGCTCCATGTCGGTTTCCGGAGCCCTCTTGCTGCCACCCAGCAGGGAATACTCGGATAGTTCATCGCGGGTGAGGCTGGCAGTACGGCGGCGCAACTCATTACGATCCAACTTGGTAGACGTAATCGACGGCATAAAGCTGCAGGGTATGTAAAGAGTGGGAATCATGTACCTCGGCAGCGTGACTCCCAGTTCGCCGACCAGAGCATTCAGTTGGCTCTGAAGCTTCTTATCAATGGGCATGAATGGGTTGCCGCTGTCGCGATCAGCAGAAGCGACTCGGGTCTCATCTGTAAAGCACAGATAAGCCACGAGGTTTGTTCCCCTTTCGCCCTTGTAAACGTCGACAGCAATTTGGCGCACGCCACGCAGTGCAGTTTGGATGTGGTATTCCACCTCACCCAACTCCACACGAAGACCACGGATTTTGATCTGTGTGTCCTTTCTAGACGAAAACTCGATGGTCCCATCAGGGTTATAGGAGCAGAGATCACCAGATTTGTAGAGGCGTCCCCAATGCTTGGAGTCGGGCTGCGGTGCCCACTCAGGGGCTACAGCTGAGGAAGCCGCAGTACGTTCCGGGTCGGCCAGATACTCGCGAAGCAAAGTCGGACCTTGGATGACAACCTCGCCCAAAGTGCCAACAGGGGCTAGCTTATGGGGGTTCTCAGGGTCTACAACCCAGCAGAAGCCTCCAACTGGCTTGCCCACATTCAGAGGACTCTCGTCGACGGACTTCCATTCGTGTAGGGTACTGAAGACACAGGTCTCAGCCGGGCCCCAGCCATTGACAAGGCGCAATTTGCCAAACCACGTATTCAGTATCTCCTTAGGCACAGCTTCACCAGCGAGAAGAAGCAGCTCCAGGCCAGGCACATCCTTCGGCCGTAGGGTGCGGACATAGGAAGGTGTCAAAAATGCCCAGTTGATGCGCTGGTCACGAATGTACTCTGTAATGCTGTTCATCCGGATGTCTTCCGAAGGCACACAAACGCAAGCACCGCTGATCAATGGCGCAATTATTTCACCAATTGAGAGGTCGAAAACGAACGCGGCGAATTGGAGTTGTCGAATGTCTGACGACAACCCTAACCGTTTGGCAATAGCCGTCTGCGAGGTGCAAACAGCCCCATGTTGCATAACAAGGCCCTTAGGGGTACCAGTTGATCCGGACGTAAACAGAGCATAGACAGCATGTTCAGGCGTTACAGAGACTTTGGGAGCCTTGGAAGATCCTGTCTCAGCCAGCCTTTGCTCCAAGGCTGATGTGACCTCAAGAACGTTCTCGAGTAGCCCAGAGCAAAGCGTCGAATTGCTTGGAGACGTCAAGACCAGCTTGGCGCCCGTCTGGCTAATCACTTGGCGGAGACGCTGCTCTGGATGAGACGGGTCAAGAGGTACCCATGCTGCTCCGGCCTTATTGATGGCCAGAATAGCCACAAAGTGCCAAGCTGACTTCTCAAAGCACACGTGAATGAAGTCATTGGGCTTGACCCCGTAGGCCGCGATGAGGTGATTCGCCACTCTGTTGGCAGCGAGGTCAAGCCGGCTGTATGTAAGCTCAGCGTCCCACGCAGAAATGGCGACGGCCTCAGGTCGAAGCTCTGCCTGGCGTGCAACAAGGTCATGCACACAAGCATCAACGATTTCAGGAATGTCGCTGTTGTAAGAAACGGCACGCTCCAGATCCCAATCGGAAGAGATGGACACCGAGCCCAATGACTTCTCGTCAGTGGCTGTCGCAAGCTGGAACATAACGTGGCCAAGCTGTTGAGAGAGGGCTTCCAATTGAGTCTCGGCCAGGATGGTTGAGTCGTAAATGAGAACAATGTTGATGCGGTCCTCATACAGATGGGCCTGGACAATAAGGGGGTACGAGAAGTAGTTTTGCATCGATTCGGCCTCCTCCTTTAGCGCCCCATCCGCGTGTACAAGCACAGATTTGGCGGTCTCAGAGTCCGAAACGTGCTGCATAGGTTGAATCACCAACAGCGAAGTGAAGTCACAAGCTTCTTTGGCGTCTTCGCTGACCTTCGCTATGCTTTGTAGACCAAACTGTTCGTAGGGAATCATTTCGAGCGTCTGCTTTTGAACAGCTTGAAGGAAATCAGTAGCCAGCTGTATCTGGTCTACCCGAACCCTGACAGGAACAGTTGCAATGATAGGTCCAACCATGTCCATCAGTTCGGGCACTGGGGCCTGACGCCCTGAGATGCTCGTGCCAAAGGTGACATCTTCCGTATCGCTGTAGCGTGCGAGGACCATGGCCCAAGCAGAGCGAACAACGGTGGCAAGAGTAATGCCTGATGAAGCCATCTTGGGCAGCTCGATAGATCGTTCAAGAACACGAGTGGCGCCGGGCTTGTTGGATACTTCGCTTGACGCAGGGAAAGTGGCTTTGCGAGAGCTCTGTAGCTGTTCTCTCCAATAGGTTGCTGCAGCGTCTGCATCAAGTCCAAGGGTATACTTGATGAAACGGGCATACGATGGCGTTTCAAGGACATCGGTGCCCTGGTAGGCCCTCTCAAGAATGTTCAGCACGTTCTGAGTAGACAGACCGTCAAAAACAGCATGATGAACGCTCCACATGAAATACGTCTCGCCATCCGAGTGCTCAATGAGAGCATATCGAGAAAGCTGCGAGCCGTATCCCATTTCCATGCCTTGCGCCAGCTGGAGATACGAATGAAGGTCTTCGTTCTCGACGGAGTCCCACTCGAAGTCGTGGCTTATAACAAGCTGCGTGCTGTGTCCCCCCTCGGTCAGAATTATCCGGGTGCGAAGGTTAGTGCAGGCATCAACTGTGCGCCTCCAGGCATCCTTGAAGCGAGCGACTTCAATGTGCTTGGGAAGACGGTACAGGAACTTGGCGATGTACGACCCGGGCTGCTTGGCAGACAAGGCCATGAGACCTTCTTGGAGCTTGGTGGTAGGATAGGCGTCTTCGATTCGCTGTGTGACATTCAGACCTAACTCCTGATAGATGCTGGGAGACTGAATCACATCTCGAATACCGTCGTCAAGGAGGGAGAAAGCAGGAACAGGAGCCAACAGCTCGTCATCGCCATCAGCGGACCCGGCGGTAGCAGCCATAGACGACAAGCGGGGGTCTTCGAAAATGCCATTCACCGTGAGAGTAATGCCGCGCTCGCGAGCCATCGAGACCAATCTGATAGCAGCAATTGAATCACCACCAATCCGGAGGAAGCTATCATCTTTGCCAATAGTCTGGGCGGGAATGTTTAGGATTTCAGCCCACATGCTTTGCAACCGAACTTCCATGGCTGTGTCCGGAGCGCGCTTATCGGCATCGGTCAGTGAATAAGCCTCCAGTTCCTCCTGAGTCAACGCGGCCATCTGCTTGCGAAGCTTGACCCTATCCAACTTGCCGGAGGAAATCAGTGGCATGTAGTCACAGGGAATGAAGTAAGTCGGAATCATATAGCTGGGCAGCAGGGCGTTGAGCTTGCTGATGACAACGTTCAAATCACTCTGAACACTCCGAGTCATGTAAAGGAAAACGTCGTCGCCATTAGGGTCGGTGTTCGGTCCGGGAGTCTTCGTCTCACTGCTAAAGCAGATGTATGAGACGAGATTAGTTCCAGTATCCGTTCGGAACACGTCAACAGCGACCTGTCGGATGGACTCAAGAGCATTGCGAATGTGATGCTCAACCTCTCCGAGTTCAACACGGAGACCACGAATTTTAACCTGGGTATCCTTGCGGCCAGAGTAGTGGATTGTTCCGTCAGGGTTATAGAAGCCCAAGTCACCAGTCTTATAGAAACGACCCCATTTCTTGTCATTAGCGCGCGGTGCCCAATTTGGCAAAGAGGTCAGAGTCGATGAAGCCGTCTTGACTGGGTCAGCCAAGTACTCGCGAAGGAGCGTAGGCCCCTGCATAACAATCTCTCCGATACATCCAACCGGGGCTAGACGTTGAGGATTCTCTGTGTCGACAATCCAGGCAGAGCTTCCCACTGAGCGTCCGATTGTCAACGGCGACTCGTCTGCAGATTTCCATTCGTGGATAGCACTCAGAACGCAAGTCTCAGCCGGTCCCCAACCGTTTACCAGCCTGGCCTTGCCGAACCAGAGGTCAAAGACGTCCTGGCTAACGGGCTCGCCAGCAAGGACAATGAGCTCAAGGGTGGGAACGTCTTGAGGGCGGAGTGTGCGTGCAAAGGATGGTGTCAGGAAGGCCCAAGTCACCTGGGCGTCTCGAATAAATCCGTCCAAATTGTTGAGCCGATCGTGGTCAGACGGTATGCAAACGCAACCACCATGCATAAGGGAAAGCATGATTTCTCCCACGGAAACATCAAAGACAAAGGACGAAAATTGAAGCATTCTGACGCTGCTAGTCAGACCGAGCCGCTTTGCAATATCACGTTGGCTCGTGCAAAGAGAGGCATGTTCCATAATGATACCCTTAGGAACGCCGGTACTGCCAGAAGTGAAGAGCAGGTAGACGGCATCGTTAGGGGTAACCTTGGTGGCAGGCTTGACATCACTAATGGCCTCGTCACCCTTCAACTGCTCATCCAGGGCCGAGGACACCTCCACAACTGTGTCCAGAAGCTTGGAGCACAAGGGTCCGTGGATAGAAGACGATAGCGCAAGGTTTGCAACAGTTTGGCTGGCAACTTGTTGAAGGCGTTGGAACGGATGTGCCGGATCCATTGGCACCCAAGCAGCGCCAGCCTTGTTGATCGCGAGGACCGAAACGACATACCAAAGGGACTTCTCGAAGCACACGTGGACGACATCACCGACCTTGACACCGTGACGCTGGATCAAGAAGTTGGCGAGCCTATTGGCAGCAAGATCAAGTTCACTGTAAGTAAGTGAGCCGTCCCAAGCGTGAACAGCATGGGCGTGAGGGGTGTGCTTCGTTTGGCGCTCGATAATAAGATGGGCACAATCATCAACGATTTCAGGGCCGTCGCCGTTTGAAGCCTGTGCAAGATCGAGATCCCAGGGGCTCGCCACTGAAATCTCACCAAGCTTGCTATCCTTGCCGCTGAGAAGCTGCTGGACAACCCCATTGAATTGATGTGACAGCGCGACAAGCTGTGATTCCGGAAGGACGACAGAGTCGTAAATCAAGACGAGCTCAACTCGGTCATCATAGATATGTCCCTGCAGAACAAGAGGGTAAGAAAAGTAGTTCTGCAGCTGATCTTCCTGCGTTTCTTGTTCCAGAGCGGGCACCAGGATAGCGTCGATATCCTCGCCAGCGAGATGCTGCATCGGTTGGACTAGCATCAAGGAGGTGAAATCGCAGGCATCCCTTGCATCGGCACCGAGCCTCGAGATGCTTTGGAGACCAAACTGTTCGAAAGGAATCATCTCAGAAGCCTGGCTCTGGACACCCTGGAGGAATTTCGACACACGCTGCTGGTGGTCGAGACGGATACGGACGGGAACAGTAGCAACAGCTGGACCGGCCATCTCGGTTAGGCCTGGAACAGCGGCCTGCCTACCAGAAATAGTAGATCCAAAGGTGACATCGTCAGTATCACAGTAACGAGCTAGGATGATGGCCCAGGCAGCTCGCAAAACTGTAGCCTTTGTGATGGCCGGGTTCATAGAAGCAGGGAAAGGAATGGACTTCGTCATCATTCGCGTGATATGCTTCGTATCGCCAGTGGTAATGGCAGCGGCAGGGAAACTGGCCCGCTTGGCGTTGTCCAGCTGGCTGCTCCAATAAGCAGCAGCAGCCTCCTGGTCGAGGCCAAGGGTATAGCGAATGAAGCCATTGTACGGCATCACAGGTGCGGATGCTCGACCCTCATACTCTCGCCTCAAGGTCTCAAGGATGATTCTCATCGACCAACCATCATGGACTGAGTGGTGGATAGCCCACATAAAATAGTTGCTACCGTCCTGATCCTCGAGAATCGTATAGCGAGACAGAGGTGAGCCGTATGTCATCCTGAGAGACTGAGCCGATGCGATTGCAGATCGAACATCATCAGTCTTTGCGGTTTCCCAGGGTAGCTCGTCGTTGATCACGACCTGGACGCAAGAGCCGTCGATCATGACAAGACGAGTACGGAGCGCTTCAATAGCCGACGAAGTGTACTTCCACGCCTCTTTGAATTGCTCAAGGTCAACATGGGCAGGAAGACGATAGGTGTACTTGGCGACGTATGATCCAGGCTGCTTCACTGAGAGGACCATCAGACCCTCCTGGAGCTTGCTGCATGGATAAGCATCCTCAATTTGTTGGGTCTCAGTGAGCTTGAGTTCCTGTCGAAGATCCTCTGAGAGAACAGCATGGCGGACATTCTTCTCCAGAAGGCTGAATGGTTCAAGCTCTTCGAACTCAACAACTTCCTCGCTGGCAATAGCCTTACTTGCGACAGACAACAAGCGAGGGTCGTCAAAGATGTCCTTGACGGTCAAAGAGATACCCTCTGCCCGCATGACATTGACCAAGTGGATAGCTGTAATAGAGTCACCGCCGAGGCCAAGGAAGCTATCGTCACGTCCCACTGACTCCATAGGAATGTTCAAAATCTCAGCCCAGATCTGCTGTAGCTGTTCTTCCATAGGAGTCTCAGGGGCCCTCTTTTTGCCATCAATAAGCGAGTATTTAGATAACTCGTCAACAGATAGCGCAGCGGTATACTGCTTCAGCGCCTTGCGGTCAAGCTTGGTCGAGGTGCTGGTGGGCATATAGCTACAAGGAATGAAGAAGGTCGGCACCATGTAGGATGGGAGAACAACCCTCAATTCACCAGAGGCAGCAATGAGTCGGGCTTGAAGGTCTTCATCAATCGACATGAAAGGCCCATTCTCATCTCCCACAACACGAGCATCAGCCGTCTTGCTTTCTTCGTTAAAGCAGAAGTAGGCAACAAGGTTAGAGCCGTTATCACCCTTGAACACGTCAACCGCAACCTGACGAATGTCATCAAGGGCAAGCTGCAAGTGGTGCTCGATTTCACCCAATTCAACACGAAGACCGCGAATCTTGATTTGCGTATCCTTACGAGTTGAAAACTCGATAGTACCATCCGGGTTGTAATAACACAAGTCACCGGACTTGTAAAATCGGCTCCAATGCTGAGACTCACGGCATGGTGCCCAAGCCGGCAAATCATAGACAGTCGACAACCTGGTCCTCTCGGCATCTGCAAGGTATTCACGAAGCAGGGTGGGACCTTGGATAACGACCTCGCCGATGGTGCCGGTAGGGGCCAGCTTCTCAGAGTTTTCTGGATCGACAATCCAACAGAAACCGCCGACCGGCCGGCCAACAGTCAGAGGGCTCTCATCGATGGACTTCCACTCATGAAGCGTCGAGAAAACACACGTCTCAGCCGGGCCCCAACCGTTGATAAGTCTGACCTTTCCGAACCAGCTTTCAAACACATCGCGACTGACGGCTTCTCCTGCTAGCAACAAGAGCTCCAGAGCAGGGACGTCTTCTGGCTTGATAGTGCGGGCGAACGCGGGGGTAAGGAAGGCCCAGTTAATCTGGTTCTCCTGGATGAAGTTTGACAGATCGTTTAACCGAGTGTTTTCGTCTGGGATGTAAAGAGAGGCACCCGAGATCAGTGGCGCCACGATTTCACCAATGGACAGATCGAACACAAAGGCTGCAAACTGCAACATGCGAACATCGGCAGTCAATCCAAGTCTCTGGCTGATGGCGGTCTGCGAGGTGCATACAGAACCATGTTCCATGACCAAACCCTTGGGCGTACCAGTAGAACCGGACGTAAAAAGGACGTACGCAATGTTGCGAGGCGTTATCTTGACGTCTGGCCCGGCGCTGCCATTCATGCCGCTCTTGATGAGCTTCTGGTCAAAGAACGGGCTTATCTCAATGACAGACAAGCCTAAGCGGGCACAGATGTCCGAGTTGGCCGGCGATGTCAGTACGATTCTCGCACGGGTCTGACTGGCGATCTGGCGTAAACGCTGTTCAGGATGTGATGGATCGAGGGGGACCCATCCGGCACCAGCTTTGTTGATGGCCACAATCGCGACAAAGTGCCATGCCGATTTCTCAAAGCAAACGTGGATCAGCTCATCAGCTTTAATGGAGAAGCTTTGCGTGAGATGATGGGCCAAACGGTTTGCAGCCTCATTGAGTTCAGCATAAGTGAAAGTCCGATCCCAGCCCACAATAGCAAGGGCATCGGGCCGTTCGAGGGCCTGTTTTTCGACCAACTCGTGGATACAAGAGTCGATGATTTCAGGAACCTCGGTGTTTGCTTTGAGACTTTGCTCCAGGTCCCAAGAGCCGGAAACAGAAACATCGCCGATAACGAGACTGTCTGAGCCAGCAAGCTGCTGGGTAACATGCTCAAAATGGTACGTCAAGGCAGTGATTTGCGACTCGGCAAGGACGTTGGCATTGTAGATGACAAGAAGCTCGACATGGTCTTCATACAAGACGCCTTCCACAATGAGAGGATACGTGAAGTAGTTCTGCATAACCTCTTCCTCGATGCTCTTGTCGTCACCAATGAGAATGGCGTCGGTGCTTTCATCGCCATATTGCAGAAAGTGGCCGGGCTGGATGACAAGCAAGCTGGAGAAGTCACAAGCCTCACGAGCACTTTCGCTGACCTTTGCAATATTCTGCAGTCCAAACTGCTCGTAGGCCACCATTTCAGAGGCCTGGCTCTGGATGTCGTGAAGGAACTGGGCCACAGGCTTCGAACCGTCAAGACGAACTCTGACGGGCACAGTAGCTACGGCAGGGCCAGCAATCTCAGTCATTCCAGCCAAAGGAGCTTGACGACCAGAGATTGTTGTTCCGAAGCAGATATCGTCGGCGTCGCTATACCGGCCTAGGACAATAGCCCAAGCAGCGCGCAGGATCGATGGCTTTGTAATCGAAGTCTCCTCCAGGCTGGGGAACGAGATCTTCTTCTTCATGACGCGAGTGGTGGACGGTGCAGAAGACGCGCCGGCAGCTGGGAAAGCAGCACGTCGAGCATCCTGGAGTTGAGAAGACCAAAAGTCCTTGGCTTCGGCTTGGTCAATCTCAGATGTGTACCGAATAAAGTGAGAGTATGTCCGAGGTGGAGAAGGGCTCTCTTGACGATAGACACTCTGCAAATTTCCGAGAATGATTTGCATAGTCCAACCGTCAAAGGCAGTGTGGTGAATGGTCCAGACAAAGTATCTATCACCGTTGCGCTCTTCGATAAGGGCATAGCGACAGAGGCGTGATCCGTAGGTCATCTCAATGTTCCTTGTCGATTCGATGTAAGAGACCACGTCTTGGCCGTAGGTCACATCCCAGGCAACATCGTCTTTGATAACAACCTGGATAGATGACCCCTGGTTGAGCACGATCCTGGTACGCAGAATGCCACACAACCTGACAGTTTGCTCCCAGGACTCCTTGAAGAGCTGAAGATCGACATGCTTGGGGATCCTATACACATGCTTGGCAATGTATGATCCCGGCTGCTTCACGGCCATAGCCATGAGACCTTCCTGGAAGCTGGTGGTAGGGAAGGCATCTTCAACAGTCTGGTGAGGAAGCAGCTGGCACAAGCTATGAACCTCTTCGCTCACGGCCCAGTCGCGTGTGTTTTCATCGAGAAGGCTGAAAGGCTCAATGACGTTGTTTTGCTGGGTTACATCTCTAGTAGCCTCAACAGCCTTGAGAGCAACCTTTGACAATCGCGGGTCATCGAAGATGTCCTTCACCGTCAAGATGATTCCGGCCTCATTCGCAGCCATAACGCTGTAGATGGCTGCAATGGAATCACCACCCAAGCGCAAGAAGTTGGAGCCTCGGCCAATTGATTCAGGCGAAAGCTTGAGGGTTTCCGCCCAGATCTGCTGCAACCTTGCTTCCATCGGAGTCTCGGGCACCTGCTTGTCCTCTTCATCGGATAGCGTGTAGGCCGTCAACTCTTCTTTGCTCAAAACAGCCGCAGAAGCTCGGAGGGCCTTGCGATCCAGCTTAGCTGAAGTGTTGATGGGCATGTACTTGCAGGGAACAAAGATGGTGGGAATCATGTAGTGAGGAAGGGAGATGTGCAGTTGGCCAAGCATGTCAGAGAACTGCTGCTTCATCTCGGGAGTAGTGGTCAGGAAGATGTCATCCAAATTCTTGCCACTGCCCTTGGTGTCGTCATTGAAGCATAGATAGGTGATGAGGCTGAGACCAGCTTCGTCGTTGTTGATGACATCCACCAGGATCTGCTTCGCGCCAGGAAGGTTGGCCAGGACGGTGTATTCGATTTCACCCAGCTCGACACGCTGGCCACGAATCTTGACCTGGTTATCCTTTCGGCCCATGTACTCAAAAGTTCCATCAGGATTGCGGCGGACCAAATCACCAGTCCGGTAGGCTCGCTTTGGTCCATTGGCGGGAAGCCAGTCGTATGTCATATCCTCCAGCCAGTTCGCCGCAACCTTTGCATCGACATTAAGGTATCCATAAGCCAAGATGGGGCTCTGGATGAGCAGCTCGCCGATACAGCCGATGGGCACAAGACGACTTGGGTCGTTCGGCTCGACAGCCCAGAAAGCACTGGACAGAGGGAATCCCAAGTTGGTAGAAGCACCGTTGTGCACATCCGCGTTGCGAGCGCAAATCGAGGCCTCAGCAGGACCGTAGAGGCCGTTCAGGGTAGTATAGCCCTGCCACCTCTCGGAAGACTTCTTGTTGACGGCCTCGCCACCCAAGTTGATAGTCGTCAAAGATGGGACATCGGCTGGGTTGAGCATATCGGCGACAGTCGGCGTCAAGAAAACCCAGTTAGCCTGAAGAGCGTTGATGACGCCTGCGAGGTTGTTGAGGCGGTCATGGTCCGATGGCACACAAACGCAGCCACCGCGCATAAGGGTGACCAACACATCGAGAATACCGATATCGAAAGTGTAAGCCGAAAATTGGAACACTCTGCTGCCAGGCCCAACACCGGTTTCCGCAGCATGGGCATCGCTTACGGAGGCGAGACTGCTGTGCGGGATGCGAATGCCCTTGGGCTTGCCGGTAGAGCCAGACGTGAACAAAACCGCGTAAAGGCTCTCTGGTGTGGCATCCGACGAGACAAACTTGGTGCTGGGATCGGGCAACTTATCCAAAACAGACATGTCAACAATCAGGAGGTCGATGCCGAGCTCTTGAAGCTTGTCCTTGAGAGAAGGATGAGTAACGATGAGCTTCGCCTGCGTGTCAGATACGATACTCTGCAGACGAGCCAAGGGAGCTGCAGGGTCGAGGGGCACAAGAGCACCACCAGCCATCTGGATAGCAACCATTGTGATCATAGCCGGTGTGCTCTTGGGGAACGAAATGGGTACCATAACGTCCGGCCCAACACCCAGGCTCTGCAGCTTAGCCGCCAAGCGAGTAGCCAGAATACCAACCTCGCGGTACGTGAGCTTGGCGTCCCAGGAATCGAACGCAGGGGCATCGGGTTGCGCTTCAATCTGCTTGTAGATCTCCCAGTGGGTGCAAGATTCAGTCGCCGGGCGATAGCGAGATGCGTCGGCGGCATGCTGGATTTCACGCTCTCCAACAAGAGAGATGTCGCCGATGAGCTTGTTGTCTGGGCTCAGGAGCTGCTGGACGACATATTCGAACTGATAGGAGAGGGCCTCCACCTCAGCCTCGGACAGAATGTCTGGCTTATACACGAACCTCTGGTTCACGTTGTCTTCCGTCATGTAGCTGAGCATGACCAACGGGTAGTTGAAATACTTGTCCATAGACTCGATCAAAAGGTGATCTTCTTCAGCATCCGACTGTAGCAGACCATCTTTCATGTTGAAGATGGAGCTTTCCTGCTCTTTGGGCTGAATAACCAGCAGCGAGGTAAAGTCGCAAGCCTCTCGGGCCTCCGGGCTCAGCTTGGCAATGTTGGGCAGACCATACTGCTCAAATGGAACCATATCCAGGCCATGAGCCTGCAAGTCCTGCAGCATCTGGCTCACAGGCTTATCGGCTTCCAGGTGGACTCGGATCGGGACAGTGGCGATAACAGCACCGGGAGTCGACAAAAGGCCGTCCATGTTAGCCTGACGACCAGAAACAGTCGCGCCATAGCAGACGTCGCTGGCATCGCAATGCTTGCCGAGGACAATCGCCCAAGCCGCTCGAAGGATAGTTGCCATGGTGATGGAGGCGTCCTTGTGGTTGGAGAAGGATACCAAACGATCGACAACACGAGTCGAGTTCTCAGTGCTGTTAGCAGCCAGAGAGGTTCCAGCGGCAGGATAGATGGGTCGTTGAGCACCAGCAAGGTCAGATCGCCAGAAGTTGGCTGCTGCTTCGCCGTCTATGTTGCTCAGATAGTTGATGAAGTTGGAGTAAGGCGTCAAAGAAGCAACCTTTTGGCCATAGTAGCTGTTGTAGACGCCATCGAGGACAATGCGCATGCTCCAACCGTCATTGATGGCATGGTGGATGATCCAGACGAAGTAAATGTCATCCTGGTCCTCAACGAGAGCAAATCTGGTCAAACGAGTTCCATATCCAATGTCCAGCTGAGAAATCACGTTCTTGAACGACTCGAGGTTTTGCCCAGCAGTATCCTCCCAGTCGCCGTCGTTCGAGATGACAGCTTGCACTGCAGAGCCGTCTTCAAGCATAATACGGGTTCTCAGGGTAGCGTTACACTGAACAGCCTCATTCCAAGCATCCTTGAATTTGGCAATATCGATATGCTTGGGCATTCGATAGAACCATTGAGAGACGTATGACCCGCGTTGCTTTGCAGTGAGGGCCATGAGACCTTCCTGAAGGGGCGTGCAAGGATAAGCATCCTCGATCATCTGGTTCTGGCCAAGGCCATACCGGGTTCGCACAGCATCGCTTTGCATAAGTTTGCTCAACGAGCCTGACAGCAGCGTAAAGGGCTTAACCTGAGAAGAGCCACCCGCGCTGGAGAGAAGAGTAGCCTTGGAAGCCACCTGGAACAAACGGGGGTCATCGAAAACATCCTTCACTGCAATGGAAATTCCAGCATCGCGGGCTGCAGACACGAAATAGATGGCAGCAATCGAGTCACCACCCATCCTCAAGAAACTATCGTCTCGACCGATGAAATCAGGCGACAGCTTCAGGAGATCCGCCCAGATCGCCTGGATACGGGTCTCCATTTCCGTTTCCGGGGCACGCTTCTTGCTATCCACAAGGGAATATCTCGCAATGTCGTCCTTACCAAGATTAGACATTGCCAGTCGCAGAAGCTTCATATCCAATTTCGTCGAGGTGATGAAGGGCATGTAATGGCAGGGGATAAACAGCGTCGGGATCATGTACCGAGGAAGTGTAACACTAAGCTGGCCAACCAAGGCAGTAAGTTGGCTCTGGAGCTCAGGAGTCATGGGCGCAAACACATCTCTAACGCTCGTCTCGGAGTTCTTGCCAGCAGTACGGGTCTCTTCGGTAAAGGAGAAGTAGGACACGATAATTGCGCCACCATCGCCCTTTGCCACATCCACAGCCACCTGCTTGACGCCTTCCAGAGACTCGCGGATATGATGCTCGATTTCTCCAAGCTCGACACGAAGGCCTCGAATCTTGACCTGGCTATCCTTGCGCGATCCAAACTCAATCGTGCCGTCCGCGTTATACCGACACAGGTCACCCGACTTGTAGAATCGATCCCAGTGTGCTGCTGTACGATTGGGCACCCACTCAGGGAGGTTCCGGACCAACGATGCCTCGGTCTTGGTAGGATCAGCCAGATACTCGCGGAGGACCGTCGGGCCTTGGATGACAACTTCACCAAGGGTCCCGACAGGGGCCAGTCGCTGCGGATCATGCGGATCAACAATCCAGCAGTAGCCGCCTACCGGAGTACCAACCGTCAGCGGAGATTCCTCGAGGCTCTTCCACTCGTGGAGGGTTGAGAAGACACAGGTTTCGGCAGGGCCCCAACCATTAATCAGGCGCACCTTGCCAAACCAAGCCTCGAACACATCTCGTCCAACAGCCTCGCCAGCAAACAACAGTAATTCCAGACTCGGAACGTCATCAGGGTTCAAAGTGCGCGTAAACGAGGGCGTCAGATAAGCCCAGTTGATTTGCATCGTGTTGATGAAGTCTACCAGGTTGTTCATCCTCGTTTCCTCAGACGGAACGCAGAGACAGCCACCGACTACCCAGGGACCGACGATCTCACCAATGGAGAGGTCAAAGACAAAAGACGCAAATTGAAGCATCCTCACGTTAGAAGTCATTCCAAGGCGCTTGGTAATAGCAGTCTGCGAGGTGCAAACGGCCCTGTGCTGCATAACCAGACCCTTTGGCGTTCCGGTACTTCCAGAAGTAAACAGAACGTAGGCTGCATTGTCTGGAGACACGTTACGGATCGGACCATACGAGCTCTCTTCTGTCTTAGCCAGCTTCTCATCTAGAGTTGAAGACACCTCAACGACGTTATCAACCAACTCTGTGCACATCTCAACGTTGCTGGGGGAAGCCAAGGCCAGCGTCGCCTTCGTCTGCGAGACAACCTGTTGCTGCCTCTGCAGCGGGTGCGAGGGATCCAAAGGAACCCATGTAGCACCAGCCTTGTTGACAGCAATAACAGACACGAAAAACCAGGCCGATTTCTCAAAGCAGACGTGGACGAAGTCCTGATCCTTGACGCCACAAGATTTGACGAGATGGTGGGCGAGGCGGTTGGCAGCGCGATCAAGCTGCGAGTAAGACAGCTCCATATCCCAGGCTTGGATAGCAGGTGAGTTAGGGTTTGTCCTTGCTTGCCTCTCGATAAGTTGGTGAAGACACATGTCGACGATTTCGGGTGTTTCGTCGTTGCTCTTGATCGCCTGTTCCAGATCCCACGAACCAGACACCGAAAGGTCACTCAGGGGCATGTCGGTCGGAGCAAGCAATTGTTGAACAATGTGCTCGTAGTGGACACACAGAGCCTCAAGCTGGCCCTCAGTGATGGCATCAGCGTAATACGTCAAGTCCAGCTCAATGCTGTCCTCGCCAATGCGAGGCTGCAAAACGAGGGGGTAGTTGAAGTAATTGCGCATCGCCTCTTCCGAGAGAGCTTTTTCGCGGGGGCCCTGCTGCAAGATGGCATCAGACGCAGTATCAGCCATGGACGTCAGATGATTGTTTGGCTGAATGACGATGAGGTTGGAAAAGTCGCATGCTTCCTCGGCATCTTGAGACAACTTCGAGATGTTCTGAAGACCGTACTGCTCGTGAGCCACCATGTCCGCCGCTTGCGTCTGGATTTTCTCGAGAAAGGAGGATACAGTCATGCCACGCTCAACCTTGACTCGAACTGGCACAGTCGCAATCATGGGACCTGGAATCTCGTTCAATCCTGGCACCGCGGCCTGACGACCCGACAGCGTAGTACCGAAGCACACATCATCAGAGTCGCAGTAGCGCGCAAGCAGGAGAGCCCACGCCGCGCGAAGGATCGTAGCTGTGGTTACTGACGAGGTCTTTGCGTTATGGAATGGCATAGTCCTCTTCATAACCCGGTCCTCAGATGTGGCAGACAGTCTCGCGGGCGGGAAATGAGCGCGCTGAGCACCATCAAGCTCCTTTTGCCAGTATTTGGTAGAGGCGGCGGAATTGATGGAATCGACATAGCGGATGAAGTTGGAGTACGGGCGCAAAGCTTTGGCTTCGTTGCCATGGTAAGCGTTGTAGAGAGCATCCAGGACGATTCGCATGGTGAGACCGTCAAATACAGCATGGTGAATGAGCCACACGAAGTGGACGCCGCCATTTGCATCTCGAACCAGAGCGTGTCTGCTCAGGCGCTCGCCATAGCTCATGCTAATGCTTCGCGTTCGGTTGAGATAGGCATTGATGTCCAATCCTGGAGCAGGCTGCTCCCAGGCAATATCCTCAGCCATCACAGCCTGGAGAGCTCGACCGCCGAAAAGGACAACTCGCGAACGCAAGCTTCCGCATTGACTGATTGTGGCCTCCCAAGAAGCCTTGAATTGATCAACGTCAATGTCGGGTCTCAGCTTGTACACGACCCTGTGGATGTAAGAGCCAGGCTGCTTCATACCCAAAGCCATGAAGCCTTCCTGGAGAGTCGTACAGGGATAGACATCCTCAATAGTTTCCGTTGCGGTAAGCTTGCACTCCTTTCGGATCTTGTCTTTGATCTCGTCAACCTTGTCAATGCTGACCATGCTGAAGGGCTTCGCTTCAGACATCATTGCGCTGTCGTTTTCGATGGTTGCCACAGCTGCCATCCGGGCAAGCTCAGCGTTGTCCGACACGGCCGCCGGACTCAGACAAATACCGTACTGGTAAGCAGCAGTAACAAGCTCAATAGTGGTGAGAGAGTCACCACCGAGCAGGAAAAAGTTGTGCTTCTTACCAATGTCCTGCTTACGGATCCGGTTCACATCTCGAAGGATCTCAACCCAAACAGCTCGAAGGACAATTTCTACTTCACTGGTAGGCACTTCGTCGTCGGCAAGCTCGCTCTCCAGAGAGCTATCTTCTGCAATAACACGCGCCCGCTTCTCACGAGCTGATAGATCAGTGGCATCGGAGCCCTCATCAGAGGTTCCGTAACTCCAGGGATACTGAGGTAAGCCAGAGATTGCCCTGCCATGGGAGAACAGAGGGGCGAGATTCGGCACAGCCGACTCCTGCCACAGCCTTCCAACAGCAGAGAGAAAGCTCACTGCGCTATCGACTCCACGAGTTTGGGACGAGACGTATTTGCATCGGACATCTGCGGCGGCACAGATCTGGGATAGAGGCACGGAGAGTGCAGAATGAGGTCCAACTTCCAGAAACAGAGTCTCTTCAGATGATACGCCAAGGAGGCTGGAGACAGACGAGCTAAAGCGAACTGGCGAAACAAGGTTGGAGATCCAATACGCAGCTTCAAAGTCGCTCTGTTCCTTGAGCACCTTCTCGCTGACGGTAGATACGAAGGTGACCTTGCTCTTCCGGATCGCTTGCGAAGCGACCTTCTCCGCCGTCAAAAGCTCAAGCAGCTCATTAGCAAGCACAGCCATGTGGTGAGAGTGATAGGCGGTATCAACGCGCAGAAGCCGAGCGGTCACATCAGGCTTGACAGCCTTGACGGACTTCAGCACTCGCTCTACTGCCTCACGATCACCAGAAATAGTGGTGCTGATGGGAGAATTCTCGCAAGCAATCACCACACCCTGCTCCAGGAGCCCCTTCATTTCCTCGACACCCAAGCTCACCACTCCCATGGCACCATCTCTCTGGTTCTTGGCAGTGACATGGCCGTAATAATAAGCAATGGTGATGGCGTCCTCAAAGGAGAGGAATCCTGCAGCATACGCAGCAGCAATTTCACCGCTAGAATGTCCAACAACAGCCTTGGGCGTAACACCAAGGCGGCTGAAACGGTTAACCAGGGCGATTTGAAGCGCCGTGCTGAGAGGGTAGGAGAACTGTGAGGTGTTGATCCGGTTGTTTGAGTCGGCAGCATCCCGGAGAAGCTCCTCCTCAATTGACCAGGTTGCGGGTATCCTCGATCCCTTCAGGACAACATCCATCCTCTTGATGTCTTCCCTGAAATCGGGGTCAGTCAAGATGAGCTCCTTGGCCATTCCCGCCCACTGAGCACCCTGGCCGTTGAATACCATGGTGATGGCAGGGGTCCCTGCGGAAGAATTGACGTAGTTGGAAGTGGTGATAAATGATGAATTCGAGAGGATGGCGAATGCCTTGTGTTCCAAAACCTCGCGTCGAAGGGCACGGGTATAAGCGATGTCGGCAGCATCATCCGGGTGAGCTTCAGCGTACAGACGGTGCAGCTCTATCTGCTTGGCCAGAGAACCCGCGTTCTCTGCAGAGAAGAGAACAAGCTCCGGCCGAGCCTCGGATGCAATCGGAGTAGTTCGGGGGTGGGAGTCGACAATAACGTGAGCGCTGTGTCCCTCAGCGTCAGAAGCAATGATGCTGGCTCTCTCGGCACGGCCATCCGGGAACGGAGTGGCACGCGTCGCCACGATGGTCGAGGATGCTGATAGTGGCCATGTCAGAAATACAGATTGCAGATATAAACTGGCATCATAGGACTTACCAGAGGCAACATTTGGGGGGATCATCCGGTTCTCCAATGTGACCACTGCCTTGACCAAGCTCGTAAGACCAGACGCGCCCTCATGCAGATAGCCGCCATGATCTCCGAAAGTGTTGCTGATGGCAGAGTCTTGAGCTTCGTCATTGCTCCCCTTCCACTGGTGAATTAAAGTCAGTATGCTAGAGCTCCTATGATCTCGATTGCTTCGATATGGCTATTCGCTCTCTCACCTCAACAACAAGAGTACTTCGCGGATCCAGGCCCGCCACGTCGTAGGCCTCGCGAATGAGCTCCTCACGCGCCTCAGACGTCAAAGCGCTGCCTGCGCTAGAAGCTCGAATGACGGCACGAATCGGGTTGCCGCTGCGCGTGGCATCAGGCAGTGTCTTGATATGTACAGCTGACACGACCTCGCCTCTTACAGCGCCATCCTGAGAAGCTCCCAGAACAACTGCCGATTTGGCACTGCCAGATCGAACAGCGGAGCAAGCCTCATGCAGAGCTACAAGAAATGACGATGATGACGCTCCAATCGTCATGCTAAGCCCAGAATCCCGTTAGCGAACAATACACTCTACTCATGGGAGGAAGGATAGTAGTCTGGACAGTAAACGAACCTCGGGCCTCTCAAACCATGCTTCAGTGACACCACCGAGGCATCATCCTCTCCAATACCGCCAGCATAGCAGCCCACACGAGCATCCTCGCCCCAGTAGTTGATCTCGCACGCATCCTCAAGACACTCACGAGTCACCTCCAGGAGCTTCCGCTGCAAGGGGCTGCAGTTCTCAGCCTCTGCCGAGAAGAATGAAGCATCAACAGTGTCTAGTTCTTCCTTTTCATCGCCATCCGCCCGTGGTTGAGCACGGTCATTGACGATCGACTCCCAGAATTGTTCGGCATTGTGAATGCCACCCGGAAACCGGATGCCAACGCCGCAGATGGCAATTGGGGTGAGGGATTCGCTCCCATTTTCGTATGTAGTGTTCGGCGCCATTTTTTTCCAAATTGTACAGAATTATCTTCGTCCTTTTTTTGTTCTTCCGTTCTATATTGTAACAATTGGCGTGTATTCTAAGATACCGCGAAAAAAGAATAGTACGAATGTTGTATTCGTCGTTATCAGAATCGAATAGTCCGTCGGTGTTTGATCGATTCGTTCGGATGATGATCCTTCTTCAAGCTTTCCCTTATTCTTCTATTCGAAAGGGTATCGAGTGTTGTAACAATCGAAGGCGTAAATGTCGACAGAAGGTGTTAAACCGTCTATTCGACCGAAAGGTGTATGGGATTCAAGCAGTGGAATCCTTTATCGAGAGAAGGCGAAGTGCTTCGAAATCAGCACGTCTGCGTACCCGTTAGACGAACGAGAATCTCGATATGGAGAGACGAAGTTTGGACGAAGCAGCAATTCATCACAGCTATTATCATGCAGGGACACAGTCTCTCTGGTGATTACAGTATACACCAAATATTATTAAGATAGCAGTTCAGCAGTCACTACCTATTACGAGGACGACGAGCATGCTGGGGTATCCGTAGCGGGTACGCTGCTCCTACAAGCAGGTACCTCCGCGAACACTGTGCAGCCCTGGCTCGGTTCCTCCCGGCCATCAATAATATCAGCAGCTGTATGACAGCTACAGAGCACTGAACGAGGCCTGCCATAGGTAGCACACTCTTTCTCTCGCGTGAGACTCGATGGGGTTCACGCCAGAAGCTGAACCAGGGTCCCCCAAATGCAAGGGCCCTCACAGATCCCAAGGACCGGAGGCTGGCTCGGGGCTGATGGTCAGCTGTGCCGCAGCAAGGGAGCAGTTGTCTTAGACAATGTTGAGGACCAATGTACGCGAGCAGAGGTTGCTCGTAGTCAGCATCTTCCATGTACCTGTCAAGAACGAGTCAGCTCGAGCAGCAATCGTGACTTGCGTGAGCAGCCCAAGAAGCGGGATGGCGACTTTGCTTCCCAGGGACAGGGTCTTGCAGGGTCCCCCCAGTCCAGCTGGAGATGAAGCTGGAATGGAGAATTGGAGAAAAATCGACCCGGACAGGGGTGTGTCATGCAGGTTGTCTTGCTTGGCGGGCGCCAAACAGCAAGGCTCCGGATGGTGGAGGGGAGGCGCGGCGCCTAGCTACATGAGCAGGGCTTCGTAGGTACTTCGTATGGGCTCTAGAGGCAAGGCAGCAACATGAATGGAGTGATTTGCGATTTACTGGGTTTCAGAAATGCATACTCTTCTATTCCTTGCATTCACCGCTTGGCATTGGGGACTCATGGACTCGGTGAAGGTGTCTCTTGTGTCGAGACATCATAAGCAGAAGACTACCCTACAGCATTGCAACATCACATGGGGCAGCACAAAATGCATTGTTTGAACCTTTGAGGGCTTGAAGATGATACATCTACTTCATTCGAAGATGAAATATACTAAGACCGTGTTATTTCCACCATTGTCGCGTATGCCACATCATACATCTTGCGTGATGATGGTAAAGGATGATGGCAAGGCTACCTTGGTTAGAGTCTCTTGAGGTCTGATATGGTCATATCGACTCACTTTCTGCACACACAGTATGAAATAAGAGAGAGCCAAGAGAACAAATCCACAACTGTTTGACACACGCCATCTCGGCGAGTGTATTAGCCCGATGCGCAAAGGGAGGGAGTCTATATCGGACTTTACTGGCATGGCGTCTTACGGATCTTTACTCCGACTTTGGACAATCCCCAAGATCATGGCTCGTCTAGAACGGCCTACAAGAGTACGAGGTAGAGAAATCACCCACAGGGCTCCATCTGGATCAGTGGCTTCTCAGCTCACCTCAAAAACGCCAGGAAAGAGGCGTTCCAGTTTTTTTTGGCGGCCTACAGGCGCACAAAGAGCACGCAATACAAGAGACTGGCTGTCATCCCTTCCCCAGCTCGCACGAGAAGTATGCTTAAAACCCACATGACTGTACTAATACTGACAAGGGGTTCCCCTGTCAGGCTGGCAGCTCCTCCACGGCAACAGCCTGCATATTCTCCACCATCCGTCAGACGGCTGCTCCCAGGCTGCCATGGGTATCGCTAGCTTTGCCTATTCTGGACGCCGGACTCCTTGTCTGACAACTGCCGCGCGGAGATATTACGTGGTAAAGATCGATGGCGCTTCCGGGACTTACATGCCGTGGATGGTGGTGGTGCGAAACGGCCATCAAGATATGGCGTACGGGACGCTGGCTTTTGGGCCTGAGAGGCATCATCGTAGTGTATATCCGTGCGAGGCATATGAATTCATATTTGTCCCCTGTTCTGTCTCAGCCACCAGATCACCGTAACCTACGCACTGGTCCATAGGAGCTGCTAGCAGGTACATATGGACGCGAGGCTCAGCCAAATCCACACGCTCACGTAATGTCAAGCTGGCCTCTGAGGTGATCGTATATGAGCAATGGCTTCATTGCTTATACGGGAATGGCTATCACCCGCTGTAGGAGATCCAGGGGCCCTGACCAAGGCAGCAAGGGACCTACAGGATTGCGATTTTAGGCCCCAGCCAGCTTTTTCTAAAAATTACACCAGCTGGAGGCATGAACCGCCACCACCCAAGCATGTCTCAGTATCCAGCCGCGGACTATCTAATGGCTGCATGAATATGGTTCCTCATCTGCGAGTGAGAAATGTCAGCCGCACCGGTTTCTACAGAGTGCATGTAAAAAGTGCCTGTACCGGATATTTGCCTTGCAGAAACACGGATACCATCAGCTTTGAGTTGAACACTGTATGCGTAGGTTTCATCAGATAAATCAGCTTGCATTGAAGCATGTGGTTACAGACAGCAACTGTGTAATTGCCTACAGACGGAGATCCATAGACTTGAGAATTTATCTACATAGTATGGTAACTTAGGTAGGTAGCTGGTAGGAGGTATTCATGAATGGTGATTTGAATGCCGATTGGAGACTGGACGTAAGTCATGCTCCAGATAAATATTGATGTCCTAACCCCGGGCAATCCGCGAGGCTCAAGTCTGAGTCTCCATATACCATCTTCTGTTGTAGTCAGAAGTCATGTATTATTGTAAGCCAGGGTTAGAAGAGAACATTGGTCACCAAATTTCACACGGGATATAGGTCAGGGAGGCAAATACGCCATCGTCGATCAGAATTTCAACACCATGTTACAAATGCTCAAGTCTCAATCTCTGCAGATATCCTCCGAGGTACAACATCTGGCTAAGCTACGTGGGCAAGGCTCTTTAGCAGATACCGTTACACATACTACCGTGGCATAAGTGGCTTCTTGCCTACATGCTGTAGTTCAAAGCATAGTTGGACATCTCATCAAGATCGCAACGGTGGCTTCCATCTCCGTACGATATGTTGGATATACAACATGCGCAACTCGATGATCGGCTCACGAGCCCACCAAAGCCCATCAAAGGCAATGCCCTGTCGATCAAAAGGAACCGCAGTATCTGATCGGTCTGAAGTGTCTTGACTATTCAAGCTTGGTCGATGTGGCTTAGCTAGGCGGAAGGTGGCTGCAGCAAGGTGAACACTTTGATCTGAGCTCGCTTGCATGTTATCGAGGTGAGAAGTGACCATGGGTAATTCGATCGATCCTCTGCATTGCTGCATTGTTCTGTTGAGCACGCTTCGCCATGATGCCCATGTGGCTCTGGAACTGAGACACACCGGAGAAGAGGCTCCAGCTAACAATCTCGCGTATGTTGTTGATCTGGTAGTCTCGCCAATCTTGATGCTGCTGTACTAGATACAAATGTTGTTATAGTAGCTGTCTGTTGATAGCACATGTACGGTTAGCTTTGCGGTACCGATTTCCATCTCATTGCAAATCCTGTGTTTCCTGCTGCATCTGGATCTCATGGAATCTGGGCATATCGTGAGCTCAAGTTGCACAAGATCAGCTCATTGTTGCAGAGTCGGACAGCGGCCTTGCAAATCCTAGTATTCGAATTTATTAACTGAATGCCACTCGAAGCTTTGTTAGGATGAGCAGCTTTGGTGGACCTGCTTTTCTAATTACCCCAGTGGCGTTGTGGAAGGTGTGAAGGCTAGAACATGTATTCATATGCTACCACGGGTGTTGAGCATGCAATAGCCAAGCCACTTTCAATCGCAATGCCGAGCGGAGTCTCTGTGTGCATCCATACAGTTTCTGTACGTCGTCGGCAATCACAGATTGTTCGTGCCGTCAATTTAGATAGTAGACAGGCCTTGTAAAGGACATACCATCTAAAGATTCATTACTAACTCTCTGAACCTAGAACGCTACGGCCTCCGTGAGATGGGAGTTCAGGATACAGGAGAGAGCACTTGAACGGAATCAGCCCTCGAGAATGAGCGAGGGCGTATGGCCGAGGCTGGAGTGCCAACAATTTCTCAACTTATACGAATGATCGTAAGCATTACTAAGTATGCAAATGAAGCATCCAAGGTACCCTTCCCAGTCGCCACTATTAACGATCGACAAATGCATGCGGTTCATCTTAGTCGAGTTCCCCACACACATCGGGAAAGCTTTGCGCCTTGTCGCAGTAGTTTCTGCATGGTAGCATTGCTCCGAGAATCAGGAGGTCCAGCATCAGACGGTTCCCATTTTGGGGCGCCGGGCCACGAGCTGGCCGCTTACTCTTCGAGAACAGTGGGCAACCCTCCCATTGTTGGAGATAGGTAGCACTTGGCAGAATGGCAGAACGATATGCATATTGTCACAACCTGAAGAACTGCCATATCTCTCTTACATCACCATGTCTTGGGAAAGTCTCCGTCCCTTGCAAGAGAGGCCAACTATTGACGGCCTCACCGGTTCCCCCTTGCGTCGGCGGATCGACCCACGCGGGCCGTGCTCGGCAGGCGGAGGGTATACTCCTTGGAACAGAGGCGAAAGCATCGTGAATGGATGCTGAACTTGAGTGGCAAATTATTCGCCGTACTGCCCATTAGAAAGCTGCAATTCATTGCTTTCCTAGATTAGGTGAGATGCGGGTA